GTTATGCTTTTACAAGGCGTCCAGCGGAGCAAGCGATCAATTGACAAAACTGCCGAGGCACGAGACGAGGCAAACGAGTCAACCCCACCACGAACAAACCTGGAAGCAGAAACAGAAGCAGGCAAGGTGGTAGGAGCAGAGAAATTGACCACTACTTCACTGCCTGTTTGGCTGTTTCGATGGCTGCAAGTTTCTCAAGATGTCGGACATATTATTCCCGCTGCGTATGGGCAATCCGGCGCAATGTTACCGCTGAGTCGGTTAACACGCCGTGAATGCCACCGAATCGTCACGTATGAGGCAGGTCAACCCTCCTCCCGCTTCCCTCCCGTCCATACAGTCGAATGCTAGGTGTTGATCGACTTTCAGTTAGCAGCCCTGCGGGAAAGCACCCCTCGACGGGTTTCGTAATGATTCCACAATTAAATGCAGCAAACGTCCGACCTGTCATTCACTTACACAAGTCTGTCCGAGAAAGTGGCCATCTGGGGTCCATAATGCCGGCCAGCTGTCGGCTCTGGTTTATTATTACGGTCTCTTCACCGGCAGAGAGGCAAATGATTAATTGGCAGCTGAGCAACCCGTCGACTGGTCAAGATTAGGCGATTAATTCCAACACCCCGCAAATCCCGAACATTGTTCATCCTCATAGGGCTGGTCTCGGCAGGGGTCTCGGCCTTACGCGTGTGGGTGTATTCGTGTTTCCAAGTGGCTCTCACAGAGAACGCCTCTCAACAAGCTTTGGGCCACATTACTTTCCTTTCCTAGGAAAGATATCCTGCAACACTGACTCTACCTTGAGGCTCATGACCGCTGCCGAGAAAAAAATGTTGTAGCACTCGTCATCCTGCATTAACTTCACAAAACTTGAACACTGGCATCAAGAAAGTGCTGTTGAAATAAGGTTGGGGGCGCTCGTATATCAGAGAATGCTGATTGGGAGTGACACCAATAAGTTTCGGTAAGACTTTTTCATCACAACTTCCACAGCTCAGCATCTCCTATTTCTCGCATGATACCACTAAGGTCGATATGGAAGGTAGTCTCATCTGGTACATGATTGCCTCGTTCGTTGGAGACATTTCAGTCAAGAAAACAAAGCCACGATCTCGTGGCTGAACTTTTCTCGCTTACGGCCCCTATTCAGCTTGAAGAGTCTCCGGAGCGCCCTCCACGTAACCTTCGGTCATCTCATCAATTGCACAGTCATCCATTTCAGAAATCCCCCAGCCTATCAAGTAGCTACCAGAGTACCATCCATGCTTAGTGATAATTGCTATCCCGATCACGAGAAATGGGGCCGCAATTGGGAAAAGCATGCGGGTTCAAGGAGCCAAAGAAGGCCTAGTAAATACGAGCCGTGGTTCTAGAAGCTTATTGATTTGCTGCATGGACGCACACGTTTCTCCTCTCCGGGATTTGACGCAGTGTTTCTAATGCGTGAAATTGTCTCAAAGGGAGGGTTCAATTGACATTCATGTCTCGTTTCGTATCGCTAGGGTACGGTGGCTTATGATGATTCGGTGAGCAGTAACTTATTTCAAGCACGGTTTACAATACTCCTCTTGACTCTTGAAATATCTTGCAAGGTTGATGACGCTAATCTGAGAAAATAATTACATCCCAGGAGGGCTCTATAAGCGACCTTCAATACGAGACAAATAGCCATTTTGTAGGCCTTAATGGCAATAATCATCATGAGAGCGACATGGTTCATTCCGTTGTGAATCTCGAGGTAAGTAGAAAAAACGAAGTTGGTCAGCCATACGTGTTTTACCACCGAACCATGCCCTGATGGTCTTTCCTGTGAAAATTCATGATACTACCGCAAACAACATTGCTTTGCCGCTGTAAATGCATCCAAACCTCAAAGTTTCCATGAAATTTGTTTACGAAATGCAGTCTATCGGAATTGAAGATGTGAAAAGATGAACTTCAATGCCCAGTTGTCCCAAGTTGTACAAGCTACGGCTCGAAACAATAGTGAAGCGTCACTGTGGATCGCGAGTCCCTGTAAGATTTCTGTGAACACAGTATTACGGCATATGGCCAATGATTATAGAACTATTTAGCTTCATTTAACTCGCCTCTTTGCCTTGTCAAAGTTTTTTAAGGAGGAACGAAAATGCATTCGACTTCAAATCTAGAGGCGGACCTGAGTTTCCTCTAAAAACCCTTTCTGCATTCAGTTTTCTACCCGCGACCACATCTATGGAAGCACTACATACCTTGAATATGGGATTACTAGTACAGTTTTCTGCGAAGCGTATGGCAAGTTTCAGAGCGAATCGCTTTCCCCTGTTTGCCTTGAAATAGGAGACTGCTTCTCCTTCATTATTGTTTAAATAACATCTCGTAATTAAATGAGCTCTGTCACACATCTGGACCACTGTTTAACTGTTAGATTTGAATGTCTACATCTATACATTTACAGGCGCAATAGCAACCCTGACGCTAAGTGGCAGCTCTCTACTCATTTTGAAATGTGTAAATTAGAATAATCCCTCTTGTGGAGGATAATCAACTCTTCTCAAACGAAACGTATCCTCGTAAATGAATCAGATTACTACACAAAATTTTGATAGACCTTTGTCGACTTTTGTTCGAACACGAATGCAAGTGATTATGATTAGTTTTAATCGGAAGTCATTTGCAACTTAACACTTTCTACAAGCAGTGCCTAATTACCTTCATAACAAATTCGTTAGTTTGTTCCTTATATTCACATCAATCATGTGTTTTCTTCTATATCCGACTCCATGGTCCGTTACATGTGATCCACACAATCAGAGATAATCCCTCGTTAGATCACCTTTTGGGAAAACAAAACGCCTTCCACACCAATTTTATGTAATATATCGATAGTTGCCACTCACTTGATTAATAAACACATCAAACCCATAAGTAATTATTCTTGTTTCTCTGATTATTCTCAGACTGAACTATAACCGAGATCTCACCTACTTACCCGACCCCACGCCTTTCAAGCCTCATCTCCCAATATCTTACTTAGGTGACACAACCTGATACAAACACATATCCGAGAGCGATAGACGAGTATCTGGTGGTCACCCTGGAGACCGCTTTGTTTTGATTGGTAAGGAAAGTTGGCGCGAGGGAAGCGCCGAGTTCAACCTTGATGAAGACGTGGAAGTCTGTTCTAATCCAAAGAACATTAATTGAGTAGCTCAAATTAAAATTAGGTTTTTTATTTCTGTCTTGTATCGCTGCGTAGTCTTGACCGTTAGAGAGGCGCTTCGGAACAAATTCTGCAGGGTTGAGAAAATATTGCCCACCCTCCCAGCAAATCAAAACATGACTATGATTTAGCTAGAAAGGGAAATATAGCGATAAAACATAGGTTCGTGGTGATACGCAGGATCTCACCTTGAGGTAATGTCTAGAGTTGGTGGAGGTAATTGAAATCTGAATAGTCTTGTCTGTGTTGCAAAAGCAGAAATCGGTAATAATTTGATGGAATGACACAACTTGAGGGCATTTTTTCCTGGTAGTATCATTAGGGACATCGAGATGATGTGTATAGAGATGATGTTTGAGACACATTTGAGAATAAAGAGAGTCGATGTTGATACGTTTGTCACATAGATATTTGAGCAAGCCGGAAACATAAAACGCCAGTGGTTGTCGTGTTCAGAGTTCCAGGTAGGTCATTGACTTGCCGAAAGGACTTTCAAACATTAATTGCAATGTCTCAATTTTTCAATCTATTGTGAGCTTACCTCTGCTTCGAAATGTAGATGCGTCAACGTAGAAGGTCAAAGATATATTAGTGCTTAGACGATTTCACAGATCCATTTCCCAAGCCCCAGCTAGGACTAGAGAGGAAGGCTCAGTGGACTGATCCTGTATAATGCAACCCGGCTTATGAGCGATGACTTCTAGCATTCCTCCAGAGGATTGTACTGTATAGTTTTTCAGCTCGCCGGTGGACTTGGTGAAGTCCGATAACAGTTCGACTTTAATTTGAAAAAGAGAAAAATACAGGTCTCTCCAATAATCTAGAAGGCCAAAATGTGACTTCAATTCAACTACTCGGGCCTATTCTCCAGCTTTGAACTTAAATTCGACATAGACAAAGTGTTGTAACTGTTGTTCGTGATGCAATTTCGCGTACATGACGATATGACCGGTATTACGTGACCAAGTAGTTGTAGATCTCCTAGCCTAGAGTAGATTAGAGTAGGTTAGCTATTGACCTGATAATTAATGTACTTGAAGGATTTTGAATCGATTTGAATGAACGTTACGACTCCAGAATGTTCACTCGGCCTAAACAACAACCTTTGGCACGTTGCGGAGTATTTGATGATGAATGCTGTAAAACCAATTTTGTAGCCAGCAGTAGTTACAAGACCTATTATCTAGGTCAAGAGGAAGGTGAATTTTCTTGACAGTAACAACACAAGTGGCTCATAGTGTATAAGATACGTGAGACTATCCTGGCTACTTTAAATTAAACTCCTACGTAAGCAAGCCTATTTCACTACCTTTCGATGATATTCGGATATATCTGGTATAACTTAATCAACAGACGAAATTTACGGTATTTAATCAACGTAATCGAATGAATATCGTGTTTGGACACTTACTTACTTATGCCGATTTATTCCCGATTGATTCCAGCCGGCGAACCAATCGGGAATGAATCGGCAGTCGGAATTAAACCGGCACCGTCAAGACTAGACGATGTCAACTTTACCACAATTTACCTAGTTTCGGTGATAATGCTCTCTAACTTCTCCTTGACCTAAACACAAGAAACTCACAGTATATCGAAACTGTTTAAGCACTTACAAACGACACTGAGCAGTCACGCGACACGCAAAAAGCGCTCAATCCTTTGCACTATTCCAGCTGAAGTTGAGGGAGCGACTGTGATCTGTGGACAAAGGACGTCGAAACCAATCTTGATAGATCTGCAAGAGGGAGCATATTCCTCAGACTCCGAAAAACTGGATTACCGACCAAGTCTGTCAGACATGGCTCTGTCTAGAGTTGAAGGCGATGATGAGATATATGTCAGTGGGTACGCAGTTTAAAATTCTTCTTGTCTTGAGAGTTCACTTGCATTTGGTGGCGGGGTGTGGCACGTGATGTGCACTCGCTTCCCCCTTTCTGTTTTGGTGGTGCTCTTGGCCCTTTCCATTCATTGTATTATTGTTTCAAAGGTCTAACAATATATAGAATATTCACGTTGAAACTCAAATCTAAGCTCCAGAAAGCGGGTATAACACATATACTTTCTACCCTGGTCTATGACTTCAGCAAGTATGAAGATTGGGATCAATATGAACATCTTCAAATAGAAGCATTGGATGTTGATGATGAGAATCTTTTGGGAGAATTTGAGAAGACCGGAAGTTGGATCGAAAACGCTTTGCGAGGAGGTGGAAGAGTGCTTATTCATTGGTGAGTTTTGCCTCCATCTACCGGAGTAAAACTTCGTTCCAAAATTTCTAGATGGGTTCTTCTGGAAAATTGCTGTCATATATGAGCTGCTCCTTCCACTCTCCACTTACACAGAATTCTTGCGCACTTCGTTATTCTGCTAGAACCTAAGCTAATTGAAAAAAGTGCAATGGGAAAATCACGCTCAGTCACTGTAACAATAGCTTTCCTTTTACGGAAATATCCACATCTCACAGTCAATTCAGCTTTAGAGCTTATCCGCAAATCTCGGCCCATGGCTGAGCCGAACGACGGTTTCATGGCTCAGCTAGAATTGTACAAAGAGATGGGGTGTCCAAAAGACATTGAAGCGCAGCCGAGATATCAGAGGTGGATTTATCAGCGAGAAGTCGACGAAGCACTAGCATGTAATATGGCACCTGACAGAGTTCGGTTCGAAGATGAAGAGAAGCAGGAGGAGTCTAGAATAAAGCAGATTGCGGAAGAAGGCGAGAAGGAATTACGGTGTAAGAGATGTCGGTAAGTACATTATACCAACCATCCTTGAGGTATATCGCGACACGTTCTAAACTGGCCGCTAGGAAAACTTTAGCGAATTCTCCTTATTTGATAACACACGAAGCCTCCTCTACATTAAAATCGGCATGTACCCACCACTTTCTTCATCCACTCTCTTGGATGCGGCCCACGCTATCGGAATCTCTCTTGGCTGGTCGCCTGGAATGTCCAAATCCAAAGTGCGAGGCTCAGGTCGGCAGGTATGCATGGCAGGGTATGAGGTGTAGCTGCGGTGTCTGGGTATGCCCGGCTTTCTCGCTACAAAAGGGTCGAGTTGACGAAGTGGTGACTGCTAAACCTATCGAGGTTAGAGGCGTGAAAGACGGAGGCAGTGATAAGGATGTTGTTGAGAAAATGAAAGGCCTAGGGATTAGGCTACCACCGGGTATGAAAGGGGTAGAGAAGGAAGTCAAGGAAAATCTTTAGAGTGGATCTTCTCTTCATTTGGATAGTAGAAGACCAGCGCTCGTGTGCCCTAAGGCTTCAACCGTAAAAAAATTATGTTGGATATATACTCAGCGAAGGCTCCGGCCATCAGGGTATTACCGCGCTGAGCTTTTCGAATGACAACTTTGGTATGTATAATACGATCTAGGAACCTATATATGCTCCATGCTCCGGCTAAGAAACTTCGGCTCTCACTTAATGTTCACATGGCCCCTCATAGGCACATGAAGTAAAATTCAGGTTACAATTCACATTCCAAATATTCTTAATCATTAGGGAGGAAATGGAAGCTGTGATTTGTCATAGTGCACGCTTTGTATGGAATGAAACTCGCCGCACCGCCGTACGTCTTCCTTGCTACTCACCAGAACCTATTTGGGCACTTGACAGAACATATCAGCGGAAGGGCGTGCACAACGCGTTTGTTTCCACCCGTTCGAAGGTAAAACGTCAGTGGTATGGAATTCTTGATGGTATCTTCCAGCCTAAGCGGTATTCGGGAAACTTTGAAGTTTGAAGACCAGCGATAAACCTGAACGTTACATTGCTAAGTGCGCTCGGCGGAAAAAGCTGACGATAGAGACGAATGCAACGGATCTCGGTTAGACCCATAATGGTTCGGAAGTAAGACAAAAGATATCCGATTTCTTGTTGACCAGAAGAGTGCAGTTCGCCGTGGTTGCTGGCGACAAGGAAAATCCGATCGGCTCCCACTCCCTGCAACCGTTTCTTAGCCATAGCTATCGGAGATAAACCACAGTGAAGTTACCGTCAATGCAATTGACCGTACGCATTGATAATTGAGAGAAGAGCAACGAATGGATTTCAAGATCCGAGTTCTCGCGTGGCTCCGCAGTTATTTTGGGATATTGCGTGATGCTTCCAATCTGAAATCAGGTAACCCCTACTGACAACATCTCCAGGGCCTTGTAGGCTCTGTGCGATGAACAGAAAGTTATCATATTAAGAAATTGGGTTAAGTAGCGTCCTGACTAAGGTCCCTTAATACACTGATCAGGCGAGAATTAAGTTGATGTTTCCAGTGCTGCATGCTCAGAAACCCGCGATGACCGAACAGCTTGGTGCTCAGGACAACGGTAAGGTCATGTATATGTTAGGGTTGCCAACTCCTTTAGAATGCCAGAGGGCCGTTCATGGTGCGCAACAGAACCCCGTTGATTCCTCTTGAGAGTATTTGGTCCGAATTTCTGAATTGATCCCCCGAAACATGTCGCTATTCGACTGTGGAGACTTCGCATCCTGACCTCAGTCAAGACTGCTTATCGATTGTTTTGAAGAAATCAACTTTTGATCGTTGTTTTTCGCTTCTATCGCTCCGCTCGTTACGAGGCTTTTGATTGCTTACCTCATTACGAGTATGGTCAAAGGCCTGGGGAGAGGAAAAGCTTCTCGAAGAGCGGGAAGAATCCTTTAGCTCAAAACCCATGCCGTATATACCAACCCTTGTCATACCGCCGAAAACTATGATTGTCCCGTATGTGCTGGAAAGATGAAGCGTCGCTGAGCAATAGAGAAGTTTCAAAGGTACAAGGTATGATAAATGAACATTGATATTTTGAAAACCATACCAAAGGGACTGCTTGTTGGGAAACTTTTAATCTTGAGGTCCATGACTGCGGTGATATGCCACAGAGACATTGTGGCAGTCCAGATAGTTACCAAAGTACCTCTTCCTCGCTACCTTGTAATATATACCAATAAGGCTGAGCTGAAAGTCATCCTTGTCAAATCTTCTTCGCAGAATTTGTTCTTCTCAGACGCTTCACTCCCTGTAGACTTTTTGCATTTAGGAAAAGGTCACATCGGTCTAGAGGTAATCCACCGGTGTGCAGACCCAGACGTCGACTTATGAGGGGGCCTGTTGCATGTTTCGCTATACGTCTTCTTCCGAAGTAGTTGGATGTAAGCAAAAGTCGTTGCTCGGTAAGCCCCGCATGTAAGATTTCACGTCAGAGGCCATACAGCAGCTTAGAAGTTGCGATCCATTTGCCATGTTAGGAAAGTGTACCGAAAGCATTATGACAGGCACATTACGCGCTTCTGCCGACGTTTTAGTTGAGAACAGTCCGAAGAGAAAGGATACTTGAGCCTCGAGATCAACCTTGAAAGCCCGCGACAGGGCGGCATTTATGTCCCACTTTGGAGATGGCGGGTAAGGCAAACCATTAGGCAATCTGATCATCAGGGCTCGTGCCAGCCTTGTAGGGTGAATCGGCCGGCCACTATCGGTATCGCATTTTCTAATTTGAACCTCTCTTTCATTGGAGCATGATCGCTAGTGATGTCCTCTTCTTTCTGCGTCCGCATGGGTTTCATTCTCCCTGCTTGAGCTGGGGAAGGATACTGTCGTCAGTCTCACTATTGAGGAAGCAGAACCGACATGCGAAGTTCACTTCAGCGGTAGGACAGGCATCGTACGAGGAAACCACGGCATTGCTGTGAATATAGAAGCTTGTCAGCAACCAACCTGTCGGTATTCCTGATGTAAAACTGCCAAAAGTCGAGCCAACCAGATTAAGAAACGGCTATAAAAGGTAGAAGATCTCCAGATCCCATGGAGGTTGGCTTTGGTTTCGGCGGTTAAACCCGATTCATGGCTAGCTGCAGTGTCTCCGCTGAAGAACATCTGCTTTTGAGGATTTAGACTGGTGGATCTTGGTTGTCGCTGACGTATAAGGAGCCAAGTCGAGAATGACAGGTAGGCAATCAATAGACAGCACCACCGATATGATGATTTCGACAAGAACATGTGCCACTAGAACTGCTTCTCAACCTATCATTTTTGCCGGACTTGTACTTCATCAGGTATGACTGCAGCCCATATGAAGGCACTCTTGCGGGGTAGAAGAAGAGCCCAAAGCTCTGTCACTGATGGAAAGATCATGTTCATGATAGTCTAATGTCTTTACAGAAGATGATTTTGGATGTAGATCATCGTTCGCTTTGCAATTAGATGTTGTAGAACCCAATAAGCAAAGTTCATTCTCCAGTCGGATTTCGGGAACGATTTGAGTGCGCTGGATGAGTTTGGCCCTACGATTACTTGTTCCGGAGAAACAAGCGAACCCGCTGACCGCAGGGGGCATAAGCACGGTGTTGCGTGCTCAAAGGTTGCCAGTTACTGATGCGGAAGAACTCCCGGGGTGTAGTAGTGGAGCGTAAGCACTAAATAACGGAAGCGAGGTGTCGGCCGTACGGTAAGACAGGCTGTAAGGCTGGATAGATGATCAAAGGATAGTTATATGATAGGCCATAAGGAACGAAGGCGCACGTACGGCTGATGCATATAAAGTAAGACTGACTGTAGTGTTGTATTACCTCCGGTTGCTTTCGGGTGTCTGTATTTGCCTTCAAATGGGTGATCCAAAAATGTCAAAGAGTCAAGAGCCTAGGCTCGTCGAGATACTTGAATCGGTGATCTTGTGCGAGCATAAGTTGATCTGCATATCGAATAAGGGGCCAATGATACCAAGATATCGCTGTCAATCTCAAGGAAGCTCGCATAAGCGAACGGTAAGTCGATCATCAAGGGTATATGCCGTCATCATCAAACTACGAACGAATTCTGTTGCAAGTGACGTGTTCTGGCCGGCCAGTATAGTAGGGGATGATAAGGACGTATGGCGGCGGGAATACGAATAGCGGTGGGATCCAGCTTGTTGATATACACGGAAGGGCTTTTTGCTTGCCCCCAGCTGATTGCATCTTGCAAGAGCGGCAGTTGAAGAATCCGTGAAAGGGAATCCAAGGTTTTTGATGATAGCTTCAATAGCAGACCTTTCAAGACCTCCCTAATACCCATTTTTGCGGACTAAAACTTCATGCGAACTCCTTCGTTATAGCCTTGTCTTAACCATAGTACTCTATGGAGTCGAAGTTGCTCTTACAGATGTGAACATTACTTCTTTCACGGGAAGTTTTTGGGCACCTGTGGAAAGAGGTTTGGATTTTGTAGACGTTCGCGATTTCGTTTGGCGATTTCTGCGTTTCTCTTTTTGTCGATTCTTTGTTGATAGAACATCTTCGCCAAAGCAAATACCCGAGGCTCCTCCTCTGGTATGGATGTTTCGTCCGTTTGTTTCTAACGGCGAATAGGTAAGTTAAAATTGTTGGGCATTATAGTTGGGATGGAATGGTTCTACCTGCTTCTCAGTTTCACCGTCCTCCTCCTTGGCCTTGTCCTTCTTTTCTTCGCTTTCCTTGTCCTTATCTTTCTCCTTGTCTTTCTCCTTTTCCTTTTCCTTCTTCTTTTTCTGTCTTTCTTCAAACTCCTTCTTAACTTTCTCTACCTCGGCTTCCATTTCCTTCTTCTTCTTAGCAGCCACAGCAGCCTCATCAATGATAGGAGTACAAAACTTTCTGTCTTTGATGTGACCAGGACAAACGTAGAAGAAGTCCTGTTATGAGTTAGGTGATGTATTACGAGACCCGAAAGACGGCAGCTACCTTGTTCTCCGAGGCGACTAGGACACTTGCAGTCGGTTTATAACAGATCTCACATGGCTTGGAAGCAGTGTCAGCAACCTTCCGGTGAGTGTAGACATTCTGAAAAGAAGCCATAGATGATGATCCGCTACCCAAAACGCTCTTAAATGTTCGGAGGCAGACTAAACAGAACAACGGCAGTCAGGTGTCACGCAATCCTTGATGGACGTTGATTGTGGTGGACGTGTTGTTCTACAGGGTCAGGTGATGTGTAACAGAAAATGGTTCACCAACCTATTTAGGACTAGCACTTTGACGACAGGTGGAATCTGGAGCGGGCTTTGACACGTGATCTGATCCGCCTCCTAGCTGTTGGACCCCTGCAAAAAAGTTCTCGAGATGCAGCCTGCAGTGGGGAAATTTTGATATCAGTCGCCTTATCGACTTTGTATGCTTCGCGCTCCGTGCCAGGAGCTTGGGCTGTAACATTAACAAATCGTCAACCACTGAAGCAAATTTACTACGATTTTCACCTTTCCTTTTCCAATTAGGTACAAACCGAATTGACAATAATCATGGCTTCGAAACAACTTAGAGCACCTGGTAGCAAGCCAGGAGAGAACATGCTATGGGGTGGACGCTTCACCGGTTTGACTCACTCTTTCAGAAACTTCTCTTTTGTTTTTATACTAAGGCATTCTTAGGTGGTCTTGACCCATTGATGGTGTCCTACAATGAGTCTATTTACTTCGACTGCAAATTGTATGCACAAGATATTGATGGCAGTGTGGCTTGGGCTCGCGCCAACCATAATGTTGGTATTCTGACCGCCGATGAGTTCTCTGCAATTGAGTCCGGCTTCAAGAAGGTCAAGGAAGAATGGGAGTCTGGAACGTTCAAAATAGTTCCTGGAGTTGACGAAGATATCCATACCGCCAACGAGCGTCGATTGGGAGAAATCATTGGTAAAGACATTGGTGGTAAACTGCACACCGGCCGAAGTCGAAACGAACAAGTCGCAACAGATATGCGATTATGGTTGAGAGATGAATTGAGAAAGATTGAGGGGTACTTGGTAGATTTTTTGAAAGTCACAGCTGCTAGAGCTGAAAAGGAGATTGATCACATTATGCCTGGATATACGCACTTGCAACGCGCACAACCTATCCGATGGAGTCACTGGATGTTGTCGTATGGAACAGCTTTTGCTTCAGATCTTGAGCGGCTACGAGAGGTCATCGCAAGAGTCAACCAGAGCCCCCTCGGTGCTGGAGCTCTAGCAGGCAACTGCTTCGGCTTAGACCGACAAGCAATGGCTGAAGAACTCGGCTTTGATGGTTTGCTATGGAATAGTATGGCAGCAGTTTCAAGTCGTGACTTTGTCGTCGAAGCTATGCAGTGGGGAAGTATGTTGATGTTGCACATGTCTCGGTGAGTCTCTTGCCTTGCAAATGAAACTACTGCTAATTATGTATTATTAGCTGGGCTGAAGACTTGATCATCTACTCAACTGGTGAGTTTGCATATGTCAGACTGGCAGATGCATACTCGACTGGAAGCTCCCTGATGCCCCAGAAGAAGAATCCCGACTCCCTCGAGCTCCTACGAGGAAAGGCTGGACGTGCTTTCGGTCAGGTATCGGGCCTAATGATGACCGTCAAAGGTCTGCCCAGCACATACAATAAAGATCTTCAAGAATCCCTTGAGCCAATGCTGGATCACGTTAAGACTGTTGCCGACAGCATTCGTATCGCCACCGGCGTTCTTAGCACCCTCGCCATCAATCCCGCTATGATGAAGGCTTCCCTCGAGTAAGTGTTCTCCCTCGCACCTCCAATTTTACGTCACTAATAACTTAGTCCATTCATGCTCGCCACCGACCTAGCAGACTATCTCGTCAAGAAGGGAGTTCCATTCCGCGAAACCCATCACATCTCCGGCCAGTGTGTCGCCTTTTCAGAAAAGACCGGGAAACCAATGAACGAAATGACCCACGAAGATTTCCAAGGAATTGACACCCGCTTTGGAAAAGATGTATTGAAATGTTTTGACTACGAGGTTAGCGTTGAGCAGCATAGTGCGCAGGGTGGAACTGCCAGAAAGAGTGTGTTAGAACAGGTTGAAGTTATGAAGAAGATACTCGGATAGGAAAAGTATTTTGGTCGGTTGAGCGGTAAAAGTTTAATGTATTTTGATGAGATGAATGAAGTTATGGCTATAGTCATGATAAGCAGGAGAAAAGATACTAGTAGTATGCTGTGAGTAACTGGGCTCTCTTGGTTTTCTTGACGGATATCGTTTAGATGCATCAACTTTGTCGACAGGAGAACAACGTAGTCATCGTTGCAACACATCTGATCACTTCATGGCGAGGAAAGAAAGGTTAGATCACGCTGAAGCCTTGAATTGGCTCTCCAGATATTCCACGAGAGTGGCAACAAGATTCTCCCCTAGGCCAGTTTCAAATTTTAATATTCGGATGGAAATACGAGGAGGATTCTGACGGCATAACAGTCTGAACTCTTTATCCACGTGGGAGACACTTTGTTGAAATATAAATACCAGAAGCATTAACCACGCGATCAACTCTCCAATTGCACAGCAGGAGAAAGATACCCCCTATTCTCTCTATTGTTGTACATTTCTACTCAATAGTACATGATTGGCTTGGTTTATATACCTTAAACAATTCCACCGCTGTTGTGTAAAAAGAATATACAAAGAGATAAGTTACCTACCTGTCTTTGACCGAAGCGAGATGAATTGCCCAGATTTTACATTACTCACGACTTCTACGTTCTACCATTTTTACTTAGTTTGCGTAGGGCAGACATATTTGTATAATTTGTTAATCTGCATCGCCAGAAAAAGAAGGGACGAGACGGGCGTTTGTAAACGCAGAGTCATACACTTTCGACCCATTGGTTATTAAAACAAGGTTGTTTTTTTTTTTAGCTAGGTGGAAATTTGAAATCCGCATCAGACCATAGAGCGGTAACTTGTCCGACAGTAGCACGAAGATTTGCACCTCCAAAGCATACCGTATGTCTAATGGTTTGAGGTTAGTTTTGGGCCTCGACACAGACTTTTAAGGCTTTTAAAGAGGTACTGCTTAAATAGGTATGGATCTGTAGTCGACACGTTATAGGTGGGCTTCCAATATTGAACATGAGAGTGATATCACACAACTCTGATTTATCTTTTCTTTGCGAACCTAAGTGTGGTTATGACCTAAATTTACCCCACACATCCCTGTTGGGAACCCAAGACAGAAGCCTCCAGCGCCAGAACAAATCCCAAGTGATACGAAATCGCATGCAAGTTTGAAACGCCTTTATCCTTCAGTAACATCCATCTTTTCAGCGGTTGCTGTGGCTCTAGCGTTCTTTGCCTGTTCCCTCTTCTCGGCCTTCCATTTTATAATGCGTTCTTTCAGATCTGTATTCGGTATCACATCCTCAATTTTCAAATCTGTCCGATTGAACGGATCGTGCGGATCACTAAGTAAGTGACTGCGGATTGTACTTCGATCAACGGTTTGTTGGGATATAGGTAAAATGACAGGGTCTTCCATGAGTGTAGCAAGAATCGGATCTTCAAATTCATCTGGAATCTCGCCCAAGTCACCTTCATCTTGATCATCGATCTCTTTCGCGATCTTGAACCGCTCTTTGAGAGCCTCAAAAGCGGCAAGGTCTTCGTTAGAGCGAATGCTGAAACGACTTAGGATACGGGATGCGTTGTTGAAGTTTTCCGGCTTGTAAGAGCGACCGTCTCGGGCGACGGCTTCGATGAAGCGCTCAGAAACGCCGAGGTTGAGGTAAATGTCGATGAACTCACTCAGGAGCGTCTTCGGCTCGAAAGCATATTTCTTAGGGTCCTTGACCTTAAGATTTTTAGACTTTGGCCCAACAATTGTGTCCAGAGTATAGTCCACCATAGCTGCCACTCGGTCAACGATTTCAGGCATGGTAAATGAAGAGCTGAGAGTTTTCGTGAAGAGCTTCATCATGGAGACGGTCTCATTCGTTAGCTGCATATATGACTGAGCTTGCGACTCAGCAGATTGCAGTTCCTCCTCCTTCGTGGCTCGTTCTTCGGCGCCCAAAGAAGGATCATCCAACTGTTCTTGCAGATCATGAATCTTTGGAAATTTGGTTAGAGCCTCATCAAGTACATATGTTGCGTCATTGAGTAATAAATTAACAAATCTCAAGAAAAATTCCGTATTTGTCCTAATATTCCATTAGCGGGGAAACATTCGTCCTAGGGAAAAGATTCCCATACTTGCTTTCTTGGGCCAATCTCTGTTTGTACGTATCATTGGACCAAATACATTTGATAACTTGGAAAATCTCATAACGAATATTGAATTTGTCATAAAATTGTGTGTGGGCCCCTGTCACCTCGACCTCTGGTGGTGTCAGTTAGCAATTGTTTTTGAAAGAATTGGCTAGAACATACCGATGTAAAATTTCATCAAAGCATGCAATAAATGGTCAGTCGCGAATTTCAGTGCAATAAGGTTATCCCCGAGGACACCCTTTTTGAGATGGTAAACAGGCCACGTGCCATGGAAGAGCAGAGAGACCAGCTTTGCTTTGAGATAAGGATTCTTGATGTAGTCGGAATTGGTGAGGAACGTAATGCAAAGCGCAATAATCTCATCGCCAACGGCTGATATCATTACTTCCGGGATGTAGCTATGTCTCTAATTAGAAAATACCCGTTTGGGGGCAGGCAACTGAAATTACCGAAGAATGAAATTGAAATTTGAGACGATGTCTTCTAAAACATATTCAGGTAAGTACTTGAAGTTATCGGGCTGCTGGTCCGGCAGTGGAAGCCTAGCTACATGTTAGCAATTTGCAGGATTGATCGAGGACTAGCATTACTTCAAAGTCTTGTCTGGGGTGTAGTCTGTTGCAGAGGCTATTCTCAGCAACCACACAGTAACATAGCGCATGAACAACAAGGATTTTGTTTGCATTGCCTTGTCTGAAAGAACGCCCTCAATCGCCATCTTTGTTTGCATTGATTTTTCGAGCACATCGTTATACCTCTTCAAATCCGCATCGAATCTTAGCAATTGGGCAGGGCTCTACAATCGTCAGCGACCATGCATTGACTCTTTGTTGGTAAAACTAACAGCTAAGTACTTATTTCTTTCCTTCTCAAACTCCTCAATCTTTCCGGCAATGAACTTGATGTCTTTATCAAGATTGCTGAGCGAGGAATTGGTAGCTTCGGTACCGTAATGATGCGATGCGAGGGTCAAGAAGAAGATTTCGGATATGAAGTTAGATGTCCCTGATGCTTCATTTTTATAGAATTCCTCTGATGCATTCTCATCCGCGTTGAGTTTGGTCTCATCAGATATGTCGACACGAGGTTTTCGCTTGAAATAGTCAATTTCAATTCTTGACACTTTCGAAAAGGTAGCGTCCATGAATGGTTCGCAGAGACCGTCTAAGACAACCGTAACATTCAGTAGGAACCCATCTGACGAGAGTTTAGATGCGTCTGGACGCAAAGCCCGCCGCTTATGATTCTGATTAACGATGTATGCGAACCAATCCAAGGTCTTATTCTTTGCTTGTGGGCTAGCACGGACAAACAGGTTGATGATGTCTAGCAAATCCCTCTGATGCTGCTGTAAAGCTGCACGTAAGCCGTCCTGTGCGTTCCGGATATGGCTTTTGCCCATTGACTTCGGTGAAGCGAAGTACTGGCTGCTAACTTGTGGTTGTAATGGCGATATTCTGAAGAATGGGCCAAGAAGTGTATGTCGCTCGATACCTTCTGGCGACACGGCCATCTGGAATAATGGCGACTCGGCAATCGCAGTAACCAGAGGTGGGAACTGACACATGTGTTTGAGAGCCTGGAATTGGTCAGCAAGTAAGTAGGGTTGAACATTGTCTTTACTCACATTGACATATGGCTGATAGTTATCCTTCATTGTTAGCTGAGAAAGTTGTGCACTCAAGCCAGCCACAGATTTCGCCAGCAGGGTTTTGACAGATTCATCCTCTTCAAACCGGGAGACAGCTTCTGCTAGAAAGTCTGGACATATACCCCTGTCTTCTCCTGCGTCTAGGAGTAGATGAGGAACCAAAGAATCCGTCTCGTAGTTTGGCTCACGACTAAGGTTTGGTCAGTACCTTAGCACTAATTCGGCCGGATATTGCTAACCCATAGAGTTCCGGCATTTCCAAAGCAAATATACAATTGCTCATACAGAGTCGTTTGGCCTCCTTCAAGATTTCGTCTTTGCCAGCAACGGAACCTCGTAAACCCCTGGTCGCTCTCATCGTTCTTTTCCAACATGGTAACAAATAATCTAATACTGAGCTTTTGTAAGGAATGCTCGAGCACGCTTCGAGGATCGCTGAGTCCAATCTATCCTTAGTGAACCTAATGGACGCATTATCCTCTTCCAACTCGGACCTTAGATTTGGCAGATATATCAATCTATGTCCAGACGTGTCTACCTTCTGGTCGGGATCTAAGGTAATTCGAAAAATATGTGATAATATACGGTCCTCGTATTCGGGCAGCTCTTCCATCGCCGGTGCGACTGTGGTTCTTTTCGCGGGTGGCGCTCCCTGTGTGTTTGCCTGTATTTCACCATTTTCAGCCCGCGAACGTTTCACTGAGTTCATCTCTCCTGTTCTTACGGATTTGGTGTTTATAGTTGCCTTTGATGTTAGCTCCGCGAACGGGTTTTCGGCGGCCGACGTGGGGGGTGCTTTATTGATATTAATCTTTGGCTTTTGCACCCGGTCATTATCCTCAGAGATCTTTGGCGAGTTATTGGCTTGTTTGGTTTCCCCTCCCTCAGTATTCTCGGATTTGGGGGTCGCAGTTCCTGCCAATTTCTCCATTCGCCTTTTCCGGATCTGTAGGGTAACTTCATTAGCAACTAACAAGGCGAGGCAGAGGGGCCTTTTCAGATCTGACCTGCTCCATCTTCTCCTTGTCTGGAGCCTCCGGCGGAGGAGGAGGCCCTTGCTCGTTGTTATCCATGATGGCGATAGAGGGATGTTTTGTGGCCGTGAAGAGGACGGAAGACCGAAGTCAAAAGAATTCGATGTTGCTTGCTGGCTCTCGTCACAGCCTTGCGGCTGGGGTGTCTTAAGGTGCCTGGTGACGTTTGGCGGGTTTAGCGATAAAGCTTGCTAATCGCTTATCTTAGGGGACGATAAGGTTCAAAAAGAATCTCGTCGACAAGCCTACAGTATGCTTACTTTAGTTTAGCTACTAGTATCGGGAGGCTTGTGTAGTTTTTAAATCGACCTTTCTGTTTTATTATGCGCAAGTAGAGCTACTAAGATGGCTACAATTCTAGCGAACAGGGTTTAATAGACATATTCACTTGCAATAAGAATCTATTAGGTTATTGCTGATGGCAATTCGAACTATGTGAAGTTTAGTCCTAACCCATATTTTACAGATAGACAGACAGAATGTCGTCTTATTACGTGAGGAGATGACGATTCAAGACTAACTCTGGAAACTGATCACAGCCTCGTCGGCACTGCTTCTCCTCCTAAGATAGAGGTAAATAATGTTGATGTATATAGCGGCGCACCGGTTGTACCAAAATCTTCGTCTATTATGTAGTATGCCCTGGAATCCATGAACTCGCAGTCCCAATGCTAACCCAAACGCCTTGCTTCTCAACCGTTATAGACTCCAAATTCATACACAAGCAGCCGAGACATTCCACATTCCCTTCACATACGCTTCCTCTGGCCAAGGTCTCCCAAAGTCTTGCAGTTCGTCATAGGTAGTTGAGATGCTTTCTGCAGTTTTTCCATATCAGGGAAAAACCAACCTTGAGCATCGTTTATCATGTTCTGTTTCCGATCTTGCTCAAGAGTGCACTTGTACTGCAGTTCCTTCACATACAAGACGTCTGCATTGGAATCCAGGGTTGAAAACATCTTTGTCGAGTAGCTTTGCACCTCGTTCGGATTGATCCAGTATTCTTTCTGGTAGTTTTTGGAGTGCCGAGACATGCTTTGTGGAGGTTGCGCGTGATCGAATCGCATTTGGGGACCGGAGGAGCCTGACTCCCCACCTAAAAGGTTCGAGAGTAGAGGAAGACCGACAAAGAATATAAGCAGGGGCAGAAGTCCCATAAAGACGCTTGAAGCGGATGGCGCTGGCTCGGGGGGCGCATTGGGATCTCTCGGTCTCCTTCGCGGGGCCGCTCCACCAAACTGATGAACTCTCACACCGGGACCTCCTCCCATATTGAAGACAAACCCAGGGCCTAACGTGGACAGATATTAGCATGTTTCTGCATGACTTTGGACTTGAAGACCTACCTCCACCCCCAAACCCCCCAAACGGCCCACCGGCACCAGTACCACCTCCAAAGAATCGAGCAAACATCTCTTCAGGGCTGATTTCCTCTTCCCACATACTACCCCCCGCCTGCTGCTGTCCTCTACTTGTTCTCTGTCCGAACCCCCCAGCAAAAGGATTGCTCTGCGGCGCACTTCCAGTTCCAAACCTTGAGTCCGGGTCACCCCCATATTTGTCATACTTCTGTTTCTTTTCCTTATCACCAAGCACTCCAAAAGCCCTGCTGACCATTTTAAACGCCTCGTCCGCATGTTCATGGCCATTCTTATCCGGGTGAGTTAACAGACTCAATTTCCTGTAGGCCTTTTTAATTTCGGACTCCGTCACAGTAGTCTTGACATCTTCTAATCCGAGAATTTCATAAAATGCCGTCGGTGAACATCGTCGAACTCGAAGGACGGCGGTCTTTTGCTCGAGCGTATATTTGCGATCTTGGTTTCCTTGATTGTGACTTCTCGCATCTGCCATTGCGCTTACTCCGTTTGCTCGGCGCAGAAGCCCAGAATGCGCGCTGTTGGAATCAAACAAATTGCTAGGTCAATGGAAACGCTGCAAGGCGGTAATAATGCTGGGGAGAAGGAGCTGCAGTTGATGGTCTGGTTCGGTTTGGACACGACGCGCGAAGGTGCCTCTAAAATCGACCGCTCTCTTCCGCCCACTTTCACCACAGGGATTCAGAGTGCCGACACGTGATGCGCCTGTCTCCGTCATCGAAGGTCTCTACTAAATCGATCGCATTGTATCCGCCAGCACAAGGGGACTTCGTTAATTGAAGAACCGCAAACTGCAGTGTGGTAACTTCGTGCGCCAATTGAGGTGATAAAACGATCCCAGACGCGAAAATGGCGGGACAAGATCCAAAAGTTGAAGATGTGAAAAGATCAGGAATTTCCATGGCGATGGACTGGGGCAGTAAGCCGACCACCAACTCCACTTCAGTGCAATCTTGTAGTATCAATACTAATTTTTATTTCTAGAGTCTCCTCTTCCCCCGACCATTTTAGCTACTCTTTTAACCGCCCTCCACGCTCGACCATTCCAACCTCTTCCTATGCTCTTCCCTCCAGTTCTTCTCTTCAGCACTTATCTCAATCTCAACGCCTACCCTGTCGACTCTGCGGGTCTTACAGCGGCATGGTCTGGTCTATACCTTCTACTTGCGAACCGGAGAAGAGTCAAGGGGAATAGCTTGGGTCAGAGAATTGGGAGTAAATTTGGCGCGAGGGGATTGACTAGGGGCAGTGCGATGGTGCTTGCAGGCGTCAATGTTGTGGGCTGCGGACTTGCATATGGATTCGGAAAAAGAGAGAATTCGGAGAAGAAAATTTGAGTTTTTGGGACATCCTTGTACGATATGGGAGCTACTCTGTAATTCTGTCTTGCGGTAGGGTTGATCTCAGCTGTACAATGATGATGCGACGTATGTGGACCGAGAGATGTATAGATCGGCGAGTAATCATGATGAACATAGCTGGAAAAGACATATAGATTATCTGAATGTAGCAATACGATAACCTGCCCTGATGGGGCAAAAAACTTAGACCGCTAGGATGGAATCATGAAATTTGTTCATGCACCCGACGATAATGTTGGAAACGCAGCGTCAATACTTTGAGATTCAGTAGTGGCTAATACGATCAGAAAATAGGTAAGAATCTGAGAACTTCGTGGCAGTTCCGTCTGTATTCATGATGTGGTATCTACATTACAGTCCGACGAGTAGCCCATCTACAGGTGACAAGAAATTTACAAACGCCACAACAGCCTCAATATCCAAGGTTATTCCCACCAAAACTCCATCGCCATGCGGTTAACAACATCTCCAAAACAACGAGAGCGAATGAACCTATTGTTCTGTGACTTTTCAATGGCCGAATAGGGCAAGCCAGAACTGGTGCAAGCATAGAGCGGCGACCAGCCAATGGCCATGAGACGCCAGATTCGTGCAGGAGCTGTTTTCGTACCAGATATTCACAATCGTGAGTCCTGCGCCGATCAATGCTGAGGTGCCAATAATAATTCCCACGATCTGACTCATGTGTGATCCGGTTGATCTTTTAATGTTTGTGTGGTTGTCTCGTATAATTTCTTCGCCTACATAGAAGGCTGAAATCATTACAACAGTCATGTACTGTCTGGAATATGTCGATGGAAACTTTTCTGAATAATGCCAAAGGACAAACCCACAAATGAGAAGCAAAGCGTGAAGTCCGTTACGGCTGCGAGACCCATGTCTCCTCACTAGCTCTGGTATCTTTTTCTCCTCTTCTGATAATGTCCAAGAATTTGTGAATAATTGAATGAGCTCGTCTGTTTCCTTACAAGGAGACGTCGGAGGAAAGAATTTGGGTTGTGCGAACTCGAAATCATCCACCGAGTTGATGTTATCACCCATATTGAGTCCTGAGACCCCAAAATTCGAATCTCTAACACGCCGATTCATTGAATTAAAAAAGTTCTCTTTCGTTTCCTGAGGGGTGACTTGTAAGCGCGCTTTGTTCGGAGGATTGTAACGCCGCTGGGCTGGTGTTGTTGGGGCTGGTGGTACTTTGTACCAGAAGGCGGAGTTTTGCCCATTGACGGGAGAGTCGCCGAATAATTTTGAGTTTAGATCCCGACTGGAGGGGAGAAAGGCCCGATGCTGAGATACTTGTGAAATCGAAGGGGACCAGTCCATGGGTTCGCCTTCTATGGTCTGTTCGTTTACCAAGCTTCCCGTGAACATTTGGCTGGTTGACATAGAACTGAGAAGTGGAGGGTTTTGTCCGGCCGGCATGTCATCGTAGTTAACGTTTAATTGCTTTGGATATGGAGACGGAGATGAGACAGGCCCGTATTTGTTGACTGGTTGGCCAAATATGTTCTTCATTTGGTTATTCACATCGTCCATATCTGAAGGAGATCCAGGTCTGGCGGCTACATATTTGAAACTAGTGGGGGTCGAACCCCAGAGAGGTTTGACCTCGATGCTCAGAGAGACGTAGGCTGCCCGAGCCAACTGCTTGATCGTCAGCGACATATCAGGGTGGTTGGGTGATCCAAAAAAAAAGAACTTACAAAGAGGTTGACAATAACTAATGATAAGTGAGCGCATATCGTCGCTGGATGGTTTGACTGAGCAGCAACACCGGTTCCCATAAGCCACCAAGCCACAGAGCGCGCAGCAATGGTAAAGATCTGGAATCTGTACCAATTCCTAAGCCCATTGATATTGTCCCTATATACCGTGCTCGACTTGCTTATGTACGGATTCCACCAGCACGAGGACACAGTACAAAGGAGAGATACTAGTATCCATTTCTCGGAAGCTCCAACACGCACCGAGGGTTGGACCAGGTGCATTATTGTCGAAACAAAAGAAAGAGGAGACCCTTCGAGCACGTTGAAATCAAATGCGGTAGACATGGAAGAGAGGCTCCACAGGACGTGACCCCATAAACCTGCGTACCAGAGTAGACGTCCTAAATCAGAAATGCTATAACTCCTCGACTTCTTTATCATTCCATCACGCGTCTTTGCGAGTCTTCTGCCAAGATCGTCACCCTTTGCCCACTTGAGTGAGGCTCTTATTCCTTCCAGAACTCCAGCCTGGCAGTCTTCACACACTTGAGGATACCTCTTTTCGATCCTCTCCTTTGCCGCTTCGTAGAGAGCCTTCTCTTCTCTGCCAAATCCTGGGCGTGACAAATCCAGGTCAATATCAAGCTGTCGCATAGATGCATTGTTCAAATGTTGATTCTTCAGACAATTCTCGCAGAACCTAGAGCTCCGTCGGGGTAGATAGGACGCATCTCTAGCTACAGCATATGACCTGTCGATATTTGCCGTATCCTGTGAAAAAGTTTCAGCTGGAGGATCTGTAATGTCTCCATTCTGTTGAATCGATTAGCAAGTTGCGCCGAAAGACAAGTAGAATGACTTACTTCATCAAGGAAGTTTGGACTATCGCAAAGGGTACAGTCCCAGCGTCGGATTAATCCATCGTATTTGATGCCAGATTTCTTTCCGCAGCCAAAGCATACGAGTATTTTCTTGCGGCGTAAAGGTGCCATGAGGCCATGTTTGTTGTTGGCGAGATGTGAGATCGGTGGTGACGCGAGCGACGAAATAATTGTTCCCCCGGGTTGGTTTCGCAGGGGTGTTGTCAACATGGCTGTCGATCTTGCGTCCAAACCCTTGTCAGGCGGGTTGGTATCGATATGCGTGAGAAGGAGCTTTCGAGACAATTTCAAGTGGCACAGCTATTCGAACTCGAGGACATAGTATTTCTGAAAACAGTATAGGATGTGAAAGAGCGCGAAAGACATAACCAATTGCTAAAAATGCATGTTGACCAAGTCGATGGCTGTCATTAAACATCGATTAACGAGACTTTTGAAGTAGCAATCAGATCAGTGCAATAGAGCAAAATTTGTGAATTAAGTCGTTTCGCGAAGGAAGTCGTCAACAAAGATTCACGTCGCGAGACGCCAATATCGCGTCTACCTACATACTGGCACGGGAGGTCGAGAATCGACATTTCGCCTTCGCGTAGGGTGATAAAAGTCAGGAGTATTTATGAATCTGCCCAATTCGACAAACAACCTCCGGCTCCCGATTCAACACCACCACGCAGTACTCCGTTCAGTCACCTCAGTGTGACAAATCGACCAAAGCATATATACCATTGCGAACAACAAAATGTATCCACAATCTGACTAGGACGAGTGTACTAAAGTCTGATTACCACTTCACTCGATTTGATTCTTGCGACTTTTAAGAGTCGTGTCCTCCATGCCAATCAAGATGGCCCATATTGCAGTCCTACAATTGATCATTGCAGGGTCTTTGATGATTTTGACCACACTTACTGTAAGTACTCCACTAAAAAAGAATAGAGTACTGCTAAGACTTAGGACAGTTGCGAGTTTTATATGTCCTGCGACATATTCGACGCTCAAATGTGACCCAGCTCAAAGGGAAGCCCGCTTCGCCATTTCATATGGTCATTGTACTTGGTTCAGGTGGTCACACCGCTGAGATGATGTCTCTTATCAGAGACATAGATCCCAAACGATGCAAGCATAGAACCTACATCGTCTCGTCTGGTGATAACTTCTCGTCGGGCAAAGCCTTGGAGATCGAGAAGCGAATTCAATCCAATTGTAGTTCTACAAACACGTCGCTTGTCACTCTTGAGGGTCAAGATGATGCAAGTTTTGGTATGTGGGATATAAAAATAGTCCCTCGTGCGAGGAAAATCCATCAATCTCTCATCACCGCCCCCGCCTCTTCTCTCTGGTGCTTACTTGGATGCTTGAAAGCTCTCTATACGACCGCAAGGGATTCGAAGGTCTCACCAGGCGAGTTTCCAGATATCATAGTAACTAATGGCCCCGCAACGGCTGTTATATTCATCTTCGCGGCTATTCTCTTGAAGATTCTCGGGCTAGTACCGGTTTCGAAATTGAGGATTATTTACGTCGAGAGCTGGGCCCGGGTGGTTACCCTGAGCCTGAGTGGGAAGATACTACTGAAGCTTGGGATATGTGAAAAGTTCATAGTACAGTGGGAAGTACTAGCCAAATCAATCAACGGGTCAGGGAGGAACAGAGTGGAATGGCCAGGATTTCTAGTTGAATAGTGAGAGGATTATTGATGTGCGAGAAATGTATAACAAGCATATATGCTCCAACGAGATGCAATGGCTATTTCATGGCGGCCTCCAGCAGTGCTTTGCCGCCGTTGCAAGCATCCAAAACTATAGATTTCGTTCGTTGTGATCGTTCTCTGCTGTTGGATCGCGTTTTCGTTGGAGGGGCACACTCGTTGATATCCCCCAATGACAAGTCTAGAAGCGTATTATGAGTACAATTTTTTTTACAATCCTGTGGCCGCCGAATAGAAAAATTTTCAAGCGGCAGCTGGGAGTTCTGTTTGTTCCTCCCCATCCAGACCTAAATCGATCTCAGCTGCTTCTGGAATACTCGTATAGGCAGCCTCTCGGGTCATGGCTTGGTCCGCGACGTTGGTTTTTGCCCACTCCAGCCATTCGTCATATGTCTTGTCTTCCAATCCCATTCCAACATCCAATGCACCCTTTCCAAAATGAGCCCCTGTCCACAAAGCTTCCTCCTTTGCGACTCGTCGCTCCACCTCTTCCTCGTGTCGCAAAGCATAGAACTCTTTCCGGGCAATGTCGTATGCTTCGTCTTTCTGCCTCTGTCCTTCATTCATAAGCCAAAGTTGCCTTTGCACAACACTAAGAGTAATCAGTCTTGCGAACCCTAGTGTCACAGTCATAACAGTCCTACCTTTCACCATTGAGTGGTCTCCCCGGCTGCCTTATGTTCGCCCAATTGCAATTCTGTCCGTCTCTTCCGTCATTCTCTAGAAGAATCCTCGGCCTCGCCAGTTCCCAAGGATGATCATTATAGAATTGTTTTCTCAACAAATCCTCCTCATAGACTATCTGTTGTGGTCGGAAAGACTTGCTGGGTTTCCGGACCTTTTTACTCAGTCGTATTTCTCTATGCTGCGGAGCTTGGGACCGTGTCAAAATTTCACCCGGTGGAATCGCTCCTATCGTTTGGTACCAAACTGGTGGTTGTGGTATGCTATTTGAAGCTAATAATGCCGAAGCTGTCTGGTAGACCCTCGAGGGTTTTAGATTCCGCCCGCGCATGGTGACTATAATACAGATATCAGCTTGCTTTACTAACAAAAGTTCGCATTCCTACCACAAAATTTGATGTTGCTTTGCGATGAGGTCTTTGGGAGGTCGTCCGTTGCCAAAACATTTTGACAGGGGTCTCTTCTAACGGATGCATTAACTTTGATCCGTTAGACACCTTGGCGACAGGTACTGGAGAATTTCAAGACAACTCAATTGCACCTTGTTATCAGCATCTCCCTATTGCGCAGTTATCGCGGGCCAGGACAGTTGGAAGGGTCCTCACAAATGTGTCTGCGGGGACAGTGACCAGGATTTCACAATGTTAGGCGGCTCATGTCCTTCTTTTGCAGCTTCCCCCCCTCGACGGCCGGAACTCTCGTCTCGAAGATAGCACATCGACAGGTGCTCTTATTCTTATACCCTTCTGAGTCTACTTCGAAGCTGACCTTTGTACGCTCTGGTTATACAACGCCAACTCATATGAAAATGGTTTCGACTTCGACACCTTCGCTAGAACAATGGTTTATCAAGTCTCTTGCGACCGCGGGTCTTTGTAATAAACACAACACAAAGTCTCAGGCCCCGAACAATCCCTTTTCCTGTCGTCGATTACATATTTCAGCTAGGAAAGCCCATTTAAACCCCCTTACCTTTCGACGACAGCATTCAACACAAGTGGTGGTGAAGCAGAGCAATTATGATAATGACGAAGATTATTGGGACAGCCAGTCAACCCGGACAAAGGAAGAGCTTTTGCAGTTGGTAGACCAGTACGCAGGAAATTCACATGCGATCGAATTGCCTTTGGTTGAGCTTCCAGTCCTAGACCAGTCACAACAAACAGCAACTTCAACGACAGCTGGTCAGGTGGAGGATGAATGGCCGCCCCCGAATTACGTTCGGCCAACCAAGTCCACACACACGACCAAACTTAAGGAGTTACAGTCGCTGATTCGCAATAAGGAGTCAGATCCTGACTTGATATATCAAAAATATAGAGAGCTTCCAGGCCAAAGAGCTACTTATCTAGCTCCAAAGCTGAGACATGAATTTCTCCGACGCTTATACACTATCGAGAAAAAGGATGAAAACTCTATGCTGAGATATCTGTCGGTTGTTGATGACATGAAGAATGCCGCAATACCTTTGACGACTATCGAATGGAACAGCGCCATATCTTTTGCAGCACGATACGTGGTGAAATCTACAGAGGTCGAGGTTGAGGCAGCCTTATACATGTGGCAAGAAATGGAACAAGTCGCTGGTGTACCGGCCAGTGATGTTACTTTTAACATTCTTTTCGATGTCGCGTGTAAAGCCGGCAAGTTTGCCCTGGCGGAGATGATCTATAAAGAGATGGGAAAACGAGGGATTCGTTACACTCGCTTCCATCATGTAAGCTTGATTCATTACTATGGCCTGCAGAGGAATGGAGATGGTGCACGCGCGGCATATAACCAGTTGGTCGAGGCTGGTGAGATCGTTGACACTGTCGTGTTGAATGCGATGATAGCAGCCCTCATCTCCTCGTATGAAACCAATGCCGCAGAGAACACATACGAGCGGATGAAGCGGATGCATAATGATCAAGCTGTTCCGCGGCTGCCTCCGAAGGATTACCTTTCGCAGCGAGCTATCACTCGATCTTTGAAACGAATGGCGATCATCGGTAAAGACAATCCCACTTTGAAGGAAAGTTTTCAAAAGAGGTCCATTGTTGCGCCCGATCTCCATACCTACCGGATTCTAGTCAATCACTATTCAATTCAAGCTGGGGAGCTTGGTAAAGTTGCCATGTTGCTGGAAGAAATGAAATTTTACGGGCTTCCCGTTCACGGCGCTATGTTTCTTGCCCTATTCAAAGGCTTTGCTATTCATGGTGGCATTCGGTACACCGACTGGACATCAGCTCGCTTAGAAAAGGTCTGGTCGGCTTTTCTTTCTATCCTAGATGAACAGCAGTCAAACCTACATGTCTCACGTTGGATGGCGGCCTGGGCGTTGAGAGCTTTTTCGAAGTGTTCGGGGGAGGACAGAACTCTCATGGCATGGAAAGAAATCAGAATTCGATGGCAGCCTAATGAGATGGAAATATCCTTTGTTATGGAGCATTTGAAAAGGCTCATCAAAGAAAGAGAGACTATTGATCGACATGATTCGTGGATACTAGGTGCGTAGAACATTCAAACATGTAGATTATTGTATGTGTATGAAGAGGTAGTTCAGTGTGCTATAATAAAAATGTACATTTGTCATCTCGACCAAGATCAATCATTTTGGACGACTTCTCTTGCTCGCTCCTGCATTTAGTTCCTATGCTTGAAAGTACGTAGGTACCATAAACTCTTGGTTAATCGCTTTGAACCTGCAAGCTATCATTAATCCTACCTTGTCTGAGAAGACATGGACAGAAGTAATGCCATTTACGCAAATATGCCAGCGCCATGACTCTGTCATTTATTAAATTTGGTTGAACTAGCCCTCGAGCTGAGCGGTCTTCACATGTGAGATTCATGGCGGTTGAGGGAACATCTTCCATACTGAACCTTTAAACGGAATTGACATGCTTGACTGACATTTCTCGTGAGGCACGGGCATGGTCTGAATAGTACAGTGGCCCTTTATGAAACACGACAGAAGAAAATCGAGATATGGTTAAATGCAATCGTGAGCTCAGTCTTTCTTAAACAAGATAGGTCAATTAAATAAATTATTGAGTCAACTACAGGAATTCATATATTTTATCTCAGTTGTTGCAGTATCTGGTCAATGGAAGGAATGGAGAGCTGCTTGCGAATTAGAGTTGTCAACTCCTATTAGTTGTAAATTCTCGGTGCTATTCTTAATCTCAGAATCTAGTTAGGCGCTGGACCAATCCACTTGTTTATGATAAGGATATTTTTAAAGAGAAAACAGAACGGATGGATAACACGTGACTGCGCGCCTTAGCGTGGTCTGTGACCTCGCGACGAGGCCAACTTCATTCACTGGATACGGTAGTTATCTTTCGTTGACATCGTCCAAACCTGGCTCAATTAATTCAAAGACAACTTAGACTCTCTATCTTGAGGATGAGTACTTCGCCGGGTGGGGGCAAGCGGAAACGAACCACCCTGAGCTCTCGTGTCTCACCTCCACCGTCACGCCGCAAACTGCAGTCAAGCACAACTAGTAAGTATTCCGACTGCGATTTGTTGTAGATCGCAAGACATAACTGCCTTTACAGAGAGTGCAATAGCTTCATTCTTCACTCCTTCGTCTCAGAAGGCCCCAGAAAAACTCAAGTGGCAAGAGCGAGCCTATTCTGACCAGCTGCCAAATACCTTGCTGGTGGGGAAACATGTGCCAACAGATACTTCACCGACACTCCCAGGATTGAATCAGAAGAAGAAGAAGAGAATAGCAGCATTTGATTTCGTGCGTGAAAATGATCCTGAACTGTTTCCTGATGACTTCTGATTTCGTGCTGTTTGTAGGATTCAACACTCATCACAACAGTGTCGGGAAAGAAAAGCTACAGCTCGGAAAGCAATGATTGGAAATGGTGGCATCCTTCTGTCCCTGGTAAGCTTCGACAACTATACACCGAAGAAGGGTACGTTGCATCCTCTTAGAGCTGCAAGTGAAACTGAGAAATGGTAATGTGTTAGGTACTTAATTGCTGTGGTCAGTAATCAAGCAGGCCTCTCATTGAAGACAGATCCGAAAGGCTCTGGAAAACGGTTAAACACTTTCAAGGACAAAGCTTCTGCAGTCTTGAATCAGCTGGACATGCCAATCATCATCTATGCAGCAACTGAAAAGGATATCTATCGTAAGCCGAGAATGGGGATGTGGACAGAGTTACTCGATGATTGTAAAATTTCCTCTGATGACCTTGATTTGGAACATTCGATTTTCGTTGGTGATGCTGCTGGACGTCACGCGGAAGCGGGGAAAGCAAAGGACTTTTCCTGTTCAGATCGGTATTGTCTCATTCCTTCATTGTACAAATCCTGTATTGACACAAAAGAGCAATTTTGCAGGGAATATCGGCCTCAAATTCTATACTCCTGAGGAGTTTTTCCTTGATGAAGTCCCGAGAGCATTTTCTCGTACGTTTGAGCCTTCCGAGTTCTTGCCCAACACTGCGGCTGAAGGTTCGTCACCGTGTAACGTCTGACTGCTTGACGGGAACCATGACTTATCGTCTTCTAGTGATTGCGCCTTTTTCAAGAAATAGCCCACAAGATCTTGTCGTCTTCGTTGGAAGTCCCGGGGCTGGTAAATCTACCTTTTACTGGCACAATTTGCAACCTCTCGGATACGAAAGAGTAAACCAAGACATTCTAAAAACAGTAGGTGCTACATTACACAACTTGACCAGATTGTTCTAATGCTTGAGAAGCGAGAAAGGTGTCTGAAGGTCGCTGAGCAATACTTGATTGAGGGAAAATCAGTGGCTGTTGGTGCGTATTTGCCTAGCAAGGCCCTCCACATGCTAATTTGCTTATCAGACAACACCAATGCAGACTCTGAAGTCAGACGAAGGTGGATAGAGCTTGCTGCGAAACGTTCCGTGCCGGTCCGTTGTGTACATTTCACAGCCGCAGCAGAAATATGTGAACACAATGATGCTGTTCGTGCCTTAAACAGTAATGTATGTGACAGTTCTCAACCAGTGAATTTGGACCCCGAGGAGGTCTTCTGCAAGACTAGCCTTGTCACATAGAATATGTTGACATGTGAGGATCTATATTGATAGTTGTACAGATGAACCCCGAGAAGCGCAGTATGCTCCCTAGCGTAGCCTTTCGAGGATATTCTTCAAGATATCAGCCACCAAAAATTGCGGAAGGGTTTGAAGACATAACTGAGGTTTCCTTCAAGGTAATTCAAGACTTCAAACCTCCGGACTTTATGGACTCGCTAACCTCGTGCCCGTACTCAGTTTGAGGGCAAAGAGTCTGAAAGGAATTTGTGGATGCAGTACTGGACTTGAGGTTGTCTTAAATCAATGTTGTGCATCGACTAACAACCGCATCACATATCCACAGCCACTGCAGAAGTGAAATACGCCACCAATCATTACACCTCATCTCATGTCTCATCGTTTTGCGAAGTTGACCTTTCGTACATGTTGCTACAAAAGAGCCACCTCAATGTTTCGATAATTCTTTCACACAAAGCGGCACTCAACTTCGCGTTTTTTTAGGAGCTAGTGTAATCCCTTACACGAAGGGGACATGATAGGACGTCTGCTCTAATTTGCGGCTACACAAAGTTTTTGACAGTTATCAACAGGTACAACATCTTCTCGCATTGAGCCTGCGGTAGGCACACTCTGCTGGGTCGTTGATCTGCAAAATTGGCATTGGGCTTATATTGCATGCTCGCAAGTATGGTGCCCAGGCCGGCGATCGTCACAAAAGAGAATCATGAAGACTTCTAACCGTGATATGAGAAGAATCAGTATAATTACATAAGCTATGGGCTATTGACTCATTTGGGCGTAGTACACAATCGTCGCGACTATTGTCAATACAAGTTAAAGCTATATAGGCACCATCTAATGAAACGTCTTTCATTAGCACGCCTTTAACGAGCCGTTTGCAAACTAATGACATGCGAAACTGTTGAACTAACGTTTTGGGCATGTATGGCGCAACCGACAATCAACACAACTGACAGCACATGCTATTCTCACTGGTAGGCTGGACATTATGAAATCCTTCCGAGGTCCATCAGCGACGACCACGTTGAATGGATGCGTCGGTGCACTTTTTTTTGCTTTGACGTGTTAACGTCGCCAGAACATATTTAACAATTTTTGTCTATCAGGTGAGTGACTATTGGCTGGGACGGTCTTTTTGCAAAGCGCCTGGTTAGTTCTCGGCTTATCAAATAATGGTAACAACATATGCGACTTTATCCAAGTGCTCGATGTGGAACGCCATGCTCCGCTGACATTGGGAAACCACCGAATCTCAAACGATTAACAGCACCGCGGAATAATGATTCAAGTTCGACCGGTCTAGAAAGGGAATTAGGATTGACTTGAAAAATTAGTGAAAGATAGTGTTTGGACTATCGCCGATCTTGGTCGGGAACTCGGAGTCTAATGTCCTTCGACAGCGGCCGCCAGACGTTATTCTCACTACTTGGAGGTGATCCAAGATTACCAAAGTATGTCGAGAATTATTCTGTTTTGTCGCCGAGTTCGTTCGGTTAGACGAGTACTTTGTGGGCAGGCGACTCACAATCAGTACCGATGGTTGCTCGCCTCCCCTCGTGGTTCTTCGTGCCATGTTCAGCCAGGCTTTGCGCCGTTCAGTAACACTACCGAACCATAATGCACCAAATGCATCCATTAAGGTTATTTCGGCCACATGGGATTTACCACCAGCAGCGCACGCCAGCCAACAATTGCAGACTGCGAGGAAGACGGGCACAACAGGTCAACATGCCTCTGACGTCGGATGAATATTGAGGCCTGAAAAACACGTACGAGGTGATGACTGCACGAATGACAGAACGGCAACCGAATAATATATTATTATTGGAGCCCTCACCTCCTTTGGCTGATGGTGAGAGGGTGTGCAGTGCGTTGGCCAACGGAGTTTGGCTGTTTGCCAGGGAGAGGGGTTCTGTTCTTGTTCTTGTTCCTGGCCCTGACAGGCTGACAGGCTGACAGCAGAGCAAACTCTTCTCCACGAATCAGAATTCCGACATATAATTCTTTTTGCTTCTAGCGAAAGCAGCATCATCCAACCAACGACGCTGGCTTGTGAGAAGGAGAAACTCTTCGCTTTCTTGCACATGGACGCCGCCCTTTTCTTCCAGTCCTCAGAAGCAAGGCAATTTGCAGACTTCTGCGTGGTACTCGCCGGAAGTTGGAGGGGATGTGCCACACGGTGCTCAGAAATGTTTGAAAAAGCAGGCCCAAGGAAAAAACTGACTTCACGGTTTTGTTTTTGTTTTTGTTTTTCGTCCGGGGTTGTTTTTGGTGTGCTTGGCCGCCTCGCTGCCTCGCAAGATCAGATTCTGAGAAGTGATCAAAGTTTGACTGTTGCGCGGCCGGGAGCTCCCTCTCTGCTCGTTCAATCTACGTATACACACACGCACACCACACACACCTCCCGCTCAACATCATGGCATTGGCAAGTTGAGGGTGTGAAGGCGCAGGTACCCGCCGCTGGTCATGAAGGTTTGTCTCACACCACAACGGGTTCTGCGCAGTTTCCTATTGGCAGGCGACTGATTCCCGTGACATTGAATTCGTCGTCTGATTTCGTTCGCTCGCACTTCACACTGGCTGGCTTCACACGACGGTGATGATGGTCACGAGGAGATGACAACGAATACCACCTTTGGCTTGATGCTGGCACCACTGCCCTCCACCACTGCTCTCCGTCGTCTGGCAAGCGCTGGAACACTGAAGAGACCGCACCACGGGACCGTGACAGCGTGTGCTCCGGATGTCACTGTCACTGTGTGATGGGGGTGTGCTGGGTGATGGGTGGCCGACTTCAGCAGCCAGTCCCAGTCATGTTCGCCGAGGCAGGGCAGGGCAGGCTCAGGCTGGTGGGATTCGAAAGTTTCTTGTTCTGGTCTTGTTTACTTGGCGACTGCCCCGACGAGCCCATCAGTTTTGCGTCCCTGCCACGGCCATCCAGTGTGATCCTTGCCTCTCTCCCCCATGGCCGGCTCCAAGAGCGTTGACCTCGGGGTGGAGGAGACAGGGCACGGAATAGGGCAGGGCAGGGCACAGATCGGTGGAAAACAACAAACAATGATTCTGTTGCTGGCGCGAGGGAGCTGTTCAACAAGGTATACTTCGAAGTAGTTAGCTGGAGTGATGACATTGTCAATCAAACTACATTGTCTACTGCCCAGGTGACGTCTACTATCTGGTGTCTAATCGACGTCTGCAGCAACTCAGAAGCCACCACCCGTTACTCTGTAGGAGTACAGGGTACCTTAAGAATAGCTGCCATGTCTCGGTAAATAACCAGTGTGTATCTCCCTGCCGCTTTGTTCGATTCTCGCTCGACCTCGCAGCCCTCGCAGCCATGGGGGTTCGGGAGAACCACCTTCGGGCTCGCTCCTGCAAGGGTCTGGCAGTCGAACCCTGGGTTCCTGTTCGCACCGTTTGGATCCCCTCCGTGGTTCCCCATGCTCGCTCTGGCTTTGCTCGGCTTGGGCAATTTGGGCCCACGAACCTCCGTCGCCGTAGACCTAAACAGGCAGCAGACGCAAGACGAGCTCCAGCGGAAACTCTTTCCGAGCGTGCGTGTTGATGTAATCAGGGCGGGCTCCCTCCATGCTCGCTCAGGGCCCGCGTTCTGGAACCTCGACTAACAAACACCAACGACGGCGCCTTCCAAACGGTTGACATCGCAGTGGAGATAGGCTCATAGGTCCCCCGCTCCCCCGTCGTGATTGGATTCCGCCAGCTCCTCTCGCAAGTCAGGGTTGTCGCTGGTGGACCGGTGGTGCTCCGTACCACCGCTAAGCTCGACGAAAAATCAACCATCCACCCACCACTGCCTCGCGCATGCCTCAAAGCAACACCCACATGGAATAGCGACGTGTACCGACCTGCTCGCATCTTCACGATCACTACCTCCATACCACAACCTTATTCCACCAGAATCCGACCACGTAACACGTCCTTCCACAGCCGCTGCGAAGAAGCAATTCTCTCATATCAACATCACCCCGCCCAGAAAAACACCTTCACATCACCACCATGTCGCCAATTGCAACATATTAGCCTGAGGTAAACACCGCAACAAAAAAGCTTACCCAACGACACAACAAACACACACGACGCCGGGGAAGTGAGCAGCAGAGGATAGCACAATGTCTCCAAAGCTTAAGCCGTTGTTGCTACCAAAACTGGTAGAGGAGCGGAGGAGAAGAGAGAGCATCTTGGACGCCGAATTGGACCTCTCGTCGTCCTCGTTTTCGCAAACATCGACGGCCTCCGAGGTACCTTCGCCGGTCACGCCCACCTTTTCCAGATCAGGACACTTGAGATACCCAAGCTCTGCATCGTCAATCGACTCGTCTTTTCACGCGTCCGTAACAGACAGCCCGCAATCGCCGACGTTCACGGCTTCCAAATCGAGCAAACGCTCATTGCCGGATGTACAAGAGGAGCCACAGGAGCGCGACGAGGATTTTGATATGTTCGACGACGACGATGCTGACGACCTCTACAACTGTCTCTGTAAGTCTCAATCTCTGCACCCGTGACAGTCAACAAGTTCATCGCTAACATTAATCGCAGGCGACAACCAAGAATGTTTGCACCGCGAACCTTCCATGGCCGCCCAGAGCTCCGAACAGCTGTCGACTCAACAGACTTTTGATTTCGACCTTGCCGATGGCTTCTTCAGCGATGGAGAGTATGCGCTGAGCCCTCGCTTCAAAAAGCGAAGAGCGAACGAGACTTCTCTCTCGAATCTGACAGATCGTATCAATCATAGATTCCCGTCTTTCTCGCGAAAATGGCGATTAAAGAGAGGAACGAGTTCCGCAAACTCCGTCGCATCAGACGGACTAAGAGACATGACTTCGTCTAGAGCGGATTCCAGTCGATCATCATCCATCTCGGCCTCGACGCGACCAGCGGCCGAAAAAGCCTTCGAGCCTCAAATGCCACCCACGCCAACTGCAAGTCTGCTCGAGGCCAACGATGACTCAGTGACCGCCTCCCCGATCGATATTGAGAAAGCAAACGGCGACATTGCAGCACGTGAGGAGAACTTTGCGACCACGCCGCTTCTCCCACCTCTCATGACTGACATGCTCTCCAATACGAAAGAGGTACACTTGCAATCACCATTACAGTCACCGTCGGTAGCCGAAGTCAACGATCCATGGGCATCCGGCACGCTGACACCAATTGATGCCATTACCACTCCACAACTAGCGGGCATCCCTTCGCCACCTCTTAGTACTAGACCATCGGTTTCGTCGTTCCATCGTACCTCGACAAGCCGGCCAACCCATCTCATCCCATCCTCCGAAATTCCACCAATCCACATCGCTGATGTCAACGATGAATGGTCTGATAAACTTGGCCATGCGAATTTCTGTATCTACCCAGAGCCTTATCTCCCGGATGCGACCGATCTAGAGGCTTGTCGCCAGCTGCAAGCGAACTGGACGCTGGCAAGGAACAACTATTTGAAGCATCAGACAAGGACACTAAAGCATTATGGTGGTACTTCGAAAATGTACAAATTAACAGAAGAAAAATGGGCTTCTGTTATGTCCACATGGAGGAAGAACAATGATATCACCTTGGCGAAAATGATCGCAAATGGTGGTGATGTCTTCGCAACTTTGAAGCACACCACATTTGGCGACGACTCAAGCAACAACACAATGACTATCATTCCATCTCTCAACGATCCGAGATGCGAAGGGAAATTTCCCGAGATGGGAGACGAAGACATTGTTGGACCTATGGTACAAGTCGCTGCTCAACTTCAACGAACTCCAACCAAGAAGAACAAAATTCTCAAGTTCTTTGCCCAGAAATTTCCAGGTGGCCTGGGTCGTGCTTGAGGCCTCCCCACCTATCACACACGATTAACGAACCCATCACGAATATCGTCTGCAACTATATATAAGAATTACCTATCTCTCTCGACATTACCTAATTGTACTGGTGTGGACGAGTACCTGTACAGCATTATATACTACTTCAAACCACGCCCTTTTTACGACGACATTCACATTCTACGGAAGAGCTCTTGTTTCTGAGCATAGCTTCCCGGCGCCATCGGCCTTGTTTATTAACTTATACCCTTACATCACGCTCGTTAGCACTTGGCATCTCAGTATTCTTCTGAGCGCTGCTTTTTCATATTGTCTCTCTCTTAGTTAATTGTTCTTTGTGTTTAATTATAAAGTCTATATTGTACCGTGCTTTAGCACACGATTTCATTGTATGTCATTGGTTGGGAGGTTCAAAAAAGCTGGTCATAATTAGAATTGGCCGGGTTGCAACTTTTAGAACGCGAAAGCGAAATGGTGGGGTCACTACAAGGAAATCTGAACAAGCAATTGTCACTGTTTGTTTAGGAATGGGTTCGGCAGGCAAAAAGGTGTGCGTTATCTACGGTTCATGGCATCTGCTTCATGGCGCATGTAATTCATCGAGGGAGCATTTGCGAGCGAGGCGCGTAGAGGGAGTTCCTATGGCGGCTATTACCTTCACACTGGCTATTGCTTGTGTTTGACTGGGAGAGCGCAGTCTGATTTGTGAAGAGGAATGAGGTATCCAATGAGGGGGCATTGATGGCATGAGCTGTGTCCTAGGTCAAGGTTGGACGGATATGCTATGTGTAGATGGAAGAATCAAAAAAATCACATTAAAACATTTAATCTTGTCTTTTCCACTGTGATGCAATTCCATAAATACAAACGAATTCTACATTACGGTATCAGATTCTACCACCATCACTTTAGCCCTTACGTACCTCTCACACATACACACACACCTCGACGCAAAATCCAACAATTCAGCCTTTCAAGCCTTCCAAGCCTTCTCCCTCTAGCTTCCCCCAACCGTCAGAGCACAAACTCTCCGAACGCGTGACATGGCGCACACTTTGCCCATTACGACACGCGCGTCCTCACGCTTTCTCGAAACCACACTACTGCAAGCACTTAAACCTTTTTCCCCTTTGCCTTTGTCTCCCTGAGTCATGTTCCGTTTACTTACTTTCTGGTCTCGCTCCTGTTTGTTGAAACGGGCTATGACTGTGCTACTGCGAGGAAGGTTCTTGGGCGGTGTTGCGATAGAGGGGTTTGAGAGAGAGAAGATGGGGATAGAGTGAAAGCACGGAGAATTTTCGGGGTCGATGAGTGGGTATTGGGGGGATGGAAATGGAGATGGAGATGGAGATGTCCGCTTCGGGCCTGTGCGTTTGTTTGATGTGTGTGGGTTTAGGGTTGGAATCTCTGGGTGTTGGGAGGGAAACGGATGACGAATCATTTCTTTGGTGGAGTGGGAAAATTGATTTCGAAGTAGACTTCGAAAATTGTATGTGAAGTAATTCTCGCGCTGTATGAACAGTCAATTGCAGATTCCCGCTGTCCATCAAAGTATACACTTCGCTTCCTTCCACCAATCACACATCCCCTCTCACTTCCCACCAAAACCTTCCCCTCTTGCCCAACATCAATCTTTCCAACCTCATCAAATCTCCAAATCTAATCTCATCAATTCCCAGTATGGTGCCACTACATACCCGTTTCTCCTCTTTAAGGTAGTATTCAATCTAATAAACACCTTTGTACCTTCAAGGTCATGCATTTAATATAAAATTCAAAAAATCAAGGGTTCATCATCAGTAACACGACATAACCGTTTCCCCTCTCTAGCGTAGTAGCGATGGTGGTAGGCGCTTTCATTACCGACATATCTTTACTTTGGGAATCTACAGGATTAATGAGGTTCTCCGCTTGGTATATTGGTTTGTGGTACATATTGACGGATTAGGTGGTGTTGAGATAGAGTTGAGATGAAGTTAATTGTGTTGTGTGAATTGAGACGATTGCATATGATGGGGAGGGAATGCCGGGTTTGTTGTGGTGGATTTGGACGTACCTTGCATTTTTGTCCTGTGGGTAGAGATGATATTGAATACCTCGATTTGGAAGAGTCATTAAAGATATATCTTCGCTAAGCAATTGGTGAGTTGGGATAGAAAACTCCGCACGCGATTTGGAGTGTTGCATATTTCTCCCGTCTTCATTTGTTAAGCAGTTACATCACTTCCTGTGTCTGCAAGGAACGGGAGTGTTTGGTTCCTGATTTAGTTAGAAGCTTGCAATTACTATGACATCGAAAGCGGGATTTTAAAAAATATGAACCAGACTTGATGCACGAGAATCGAATATTCCTTCGGTATCTGATATAGGTTAGTATTTTAACATTAGAACCAACGCAAACGGCGTTTTCAAATGCCATTTTCTAGCACAATAAAAATCCCAAATTAAGCGTTTGTGGACGTCTTTGTCACTAGACAAGACAAGTGTATCCAGATCGACCACCCGAAGGTTCCGACTTCAGTAGCGAGATCGAAATGCCATTATCGGTCCCAATGTCAGAAAACTGACGATCTAGACATCTAGAACATCTGATAAAATTCGATAGCCCATCCTTACGAATATGCAAAAGGTGAAATGTCATGTTCGGGGATAATGTACTATACTTTTAAGATGTCCTACAGCCCGTTGCTCTCATCAACGCACCCGCCTATTCAATGCAAGCACTTACGTCTTGCAGTAAAACGGAAAGTATATTGATGTTTCACTCTGGAAGAAGACCGACAGGAAAAGTGGGGATGAATGTCTTGTTTTGTGAGAAGACGTTGGACTAGAGTGGTAGTCGATGCCGGTATGTAGTGTTGTGACATCCGGGTGTAAAGTTTATTCTTTCTAAACATTACAGCATCCTGGCCAAGAGAAAGATTGAGGGGTAATGATGCGGGAGGGCTTGAATGAATTTAATTCTTTGAAGTAGAATAAAAATAATAGGATAGTGCGGTCACCGAAGAGAAATACACCTTTAGTCTGCTGTACACTGATGCGGTTCAGAATCTAAAGATCTTCAGCTGCGGTATCTGCTCTACGTCACCAGAAGCAGATGTGAAAGTGAAAGCAATTAGCAACTGAAGGAATTGAACCAATAAATAATTAATCTGGGGTGTTGAAATCCATAGAAATACAAAGAAAGAACACCCACGCAACGACCTTCGAGCTTGCCCGGACGCAAGCGACGTCAAAATAAACTGCCCGATTGATACCCACCTTGCTTACCCAGTACCCAGCTTTCCAGAAAGTCTAGAACCTTTGCAGTCTTTTTCTGTGCCTGGGGGCAGGGGATCTGCATCTGCAAGCTGAGGATTCTGATCAAGGATAGCGAAAAGGTGATGATGTGATGAACAAGGGTGGGATGAGAGCGTTCCTGCAGCTTTTGTGGGGGATTGTTGTGATTGACATGTGGAGATGATTTGGTGATTGGAAATGGATGTGAGTGGTTTGGAGCTTCAATTGAGATGACATGGGAGCTCAAAGGTGGGATATAGATTTCTTTGGGAGAGCAGAGCTCCTCTGAGAAATTGTGCCTTTTACAAAACCGAGAAAAGGCAAGGAAAGTAGTGGAATAAAGCAGCGGCAAAAGTATACTCAGTAGACTACTGATACAATTTAAAATACTCATCTCGACGCTTGCCTAAGTGAGTATCAAATTATCAATCATAGCTTCGAGTTTCCAATTCTGTACAAGATCGTGTTTTTGCACAAGCGACCTGGCCATGACTATCAAAGGAAATTGAGGTATCCATGGTCATCACAGCGTTTCGTTTCAATCTGTAACCTTTTTTCGCATGTCCGGTGTCGAAATGTCGTGAAACAGAAGGAAAGGACATTTCAATGATGGTTTTGCTACCGTACCACTTCTAGCGGTTTTCGCCTTGAGAGTTCCTTTGTCCATCTGCGGTAGCCATTGACTGTTTCATCAATCTGTTCACTTGAAATTCTGACGTTAGAAAATGAGACTGTATAGCATTAATCGAGTAACACATACGTCAGGCGATCTCGGATATCAAACGATTAAGTGGCAGGTTGACAACCTCAACAATTCAGCCCGAGCGGCAAGAATCTATCGACGACAGTTTGGAGTTTAGTAAGATAGTTAGTTTCTGATGTGAACATCAACTACGCACTTGATTATCGATATTTTGTTGTTTAGAAGGTTCATAGGGGGGTGAAAATACTTAGTCCGAAGAGGCAGAGCGGCAAAACGTCGGAAGAGTTGAGGCTTCCCCTTTTAGGCCTTTTCGACACTTCAATTCTGATACTAACAAGGCAGTCCAAATATCATTGGAATCGTCATTAACTCTATGTCACTCTGAGCTTAGGATTTCGTTTGGAAAGGTCGAAATTGTCATGTCTGGAGGACATACGAGGAGGATATGTTTCGATGCTCGGCCTCTGTAGCTTCTCAAACTCACTGGCTGGTGACTGCTATTCCTTCACGCGCATTTCCCCCAGCAACCTCTCTTATGTGTCGCAGCATCACTCAGCGACAACGATCTCTGATACGGAGCTACAAAACGCCTGCATCACTCCCCCTGGAAATCCCCATTGACGAAGAAACGATACCGAATTACGATCCTCGTACCTTCTTTCACCCCAATGTAGGAGACATACTGGACCATAGATATACTTTAAAAGCCAAGATTGGCTGGGGAACTTCTTCAACTGTTTGGCTTGCGCAGGATACTGGTGGGTAACCAAGCCCTCTCAACGAATTCTCTGTTACTCGGACATCTTACCAACGTAACTTCAGCCTGTCAAGTCGCTATGTAGCCATCAAGATCAATGGCTGTAAATATGCGAGCAGAAAAGCTGCCAGGCATGAGTTGAAGGTGTCCCACCACATAGCAGGCTCTGAATTATGTCACAGAGGACGTAGTATCGTCAGGACCGCTGTCGATAGTTTCGAAGTTGCTTCACCAAACGGCTCGCATCTATGTTTGGTTTTTGATCCAATGAGAGAACCACTGTGGTTATTCAGACGACGATTCGGTGCGGACAAAGTGACCCAGCCATTCCTACCCATCACCAAGGCATATCTGTGTATATTGCTAGAAGGCATTGATTATCTGCATTCCGAATGCAATATCATACATACCGGTCTGCGTACGCGAATCGTTCTTGTTTGAGAGTTGCTGATTCCTTTCTAGACTTGAAGTTGGATAACATCCTGGTTACCTTCGAGGATCCATCAGTTATTGACAGCTTCGTCCATGGACAACTTGAAAATCTTATGTCGCGGAAAGTACTATCAGGAAGAACAGTATATCTCTGCCACAACGATTTTGGACCGTTTGATGGCAAGCCTGCATTGAGAAAGATGTCCCCAAAAATCACGGACTTTGGGCTGGCAGAATGGGGAGATCAGTTAGAACCACGCATCAATCCTATTCAACCAGACCATTGCCATGCCCCAGATATCCTACTTGGCACTGGATGGTCGTATAGCGCTGATATCTGGAATTTTGGAACACTGGAATTTATTACGACTACTTGTGCCGACCCTTCATCCAAGCGAGACAGCTAATTTCTCGTTTTAGGTCTGGGACTTGCTTGCTGGCCAGCAACTATTTCAAGACCACCAGGACGGCAAGAATCATAAGTACAGTGCACAGCATCATCTAGGAGAGATGATAGATCTGCTCGGACCTGTACCCAAAGTACTGATCGAACGCGAAAGAAATATGCGGCATTGGAGATGGAGCCCCGAAGCCCGCAACCCTGAAGGGAAATTATGCAACAATGCTGCAGACTTCTTTGGAGGTCCGTTTTTCACCAAAGAACGTGAGTTCTATCAAGTACTCTCCGAATTTTGGGGCTAACTATCGTTTTGATAGGCGAGTTTATGGGCCATGACTTAATTGCTGCGCGGAATCTTGCAGATATAGCTCCAGAATGTGTGATAAATGATGACAAGACCCTCTTCTTAAGCTTTATGAAGAGGATGTTGTGCTGGCTTCCAGAAGACAGAGCCATAGCGAAAGAGCTGAAGGAGCATCCTTGGCTTGACTTTACCAGAAATGGTGGTTCCTAAGCTAATCATCACATTCCAGTCTTCAATCTGGGTCACCCACCCAAGGAACCGCTACCTCTAAGTCGAAGTCTTTGTTTAGGTGATAAACATATCTTCGAATTGATTCCTAGAGAGGTTGAGCACTCCGATTCTTCGCAAGTGTCTTATTGAACATTGAAATTAGATACATTATACCCGGATCAGATAAATCAAACCGATCTTGAGATTTATCAAGGTTAACTTTTCACATGACTAAACGACCGAGGGATGAGAAGGCAATCAATGACATGCCTCGAGTTTTCAGTGAGGGGTGGAAATGATGAAATGCGGGAAGATGTTCTTGATCAGGCGCAGAGCTATACGTACAGTAAGTAACTTGGTGCTCACAGCTACTGTGTAATGCACCTCATGTTCAATCAACGTCTATTTGCTTTGTCTTGGATATAGGCTAGATCACCTAACGAAGCTGGAAGTCTTCCTCTAGTCTTCATTTTTAGCCAGTTGGCTTATATGAGATATGAATCGAATTCTTAAATTTGAACTAGGTGATTAGATAATAGAGAACATAACCAAGCATCTTCTTCAAACGAAAAGAAGAGGCAGAATCAACACAGGGGATGCAGAGATTTGTAGTGTGGTTAAGAACGAATCTCTCTCCACCGCCTGTGCAAAGATTTTTCTTGGGTAAATTAAAAGAAAACGATTACTCAGAGTTCTGTTTCAGGATATAGTCATAATATGTGATCTTTCTGAGCCCGAAATACATTGTTGTGAATAATGCTGGAAATTTGTGTTGTTTAGGAGATTGTCAAAAAATAGATAGCCAGACCGAGGCTGACATCATGCGGTTCCAAGCGCGTTGGCATCGCGTCTCCTTCCTACATGAAGTCAACGCCTACATTCGAAATACAAATCCATGAAATGGGCTCAAAATTAGATGGAGCCAGTCTGGAAAAGGCTTTTGAAGGTCGCCCTGATCTACAGAATGCCATCAAACTCGCTGCAGGTACGTTATATCTCATAGCCTCGTGCCATAATTGATGCGTTTGCTCTTCCATTGCTTTCCTCAATTTACCTTAGCACAAGTTTCTGAGAAAAAGCTAACAGTATTATTTTAACTAGTTGGAGATAATTACATTGAACTTTTCAATCAGATTTCAGTCCACGTCTGCAAAATCCTACCAGATCATTCAGAGCCAGCGTCGAAGAAAAGACGACTAGACGAACCCGTGCCCTCACGTCCTGCGAATGGCATAAACAAAAATGGCGCGACAAATGAGCCCGCTGCAAGTAGTAGCGATAAAATTTTGCTCGAAGTTAAAGACATATCGATTGTTATACCCCAGCGAAAGAAGTATACATTATGCTTCACATCTACACATCTCTACGCTCGACTTCCCGACTCCCCAGAACCCGTAGCAGGTATAAGCTATGCGTGGAAAGACATTGGTATGTTCAAACTTAGCTTCAAACCAAACACAATTACTTACACGATGTCTAGAATACGCATTCTGCCTACCCGTCCCCGAAAAGACCCAAAAGCAACACAACTACATTTTCTTCCCTAAAAACACCAACATTGTCCCTTCCAAGAATTCCGGTCCACCACCATCCTCCGAACCCCTCGTGTTTACGGTTCCCGAAACTCCTCCCAAACCTGGTGTAATAAGCGGCTCCGAAGCAACTGCGGCAGCAAACGTGTCCGATGATCTCAAAACCCTCTTCGATTGGGCCCTAGCAGCCCGTCTAAAGACAGCCGGAAGATCAAATCTCAAAATCGTACAGGCAGATCCCAAACTCTTTGCCTCAGAAATCAGACAAGCACACCGGCCAAATGAGAAAGCTGTTTTTGTGAAAGCATTTCGTGGGTCCAAAGATGGATATCTGTTTTTCTTACCAAACGGAATTCTATGGGCGTTCAAGAAACCCTTGCAGTTTCTCCCACACGAACGAATAGCGGCTGTCAGTTACACAAGCGTTCTTCAGCGTACTTTCAATCTAAGCATTGAAGTAGACATGTCAACGGCCTCCAACGGGACTGTCAGTGATGAAACGGAGGAGTTCGAATTCAGTATGCTAGATCAGGAAGATTTTGGTGGTATAGATACTTTTGTAAAGAGACACGGGTTACAGGACAAGAGTATGGCGGAACAGAGGAAGGCCAAGAGACTTAACGTTAATGTAGTCAAGGATGAGGATGGTAATGTGATTGGAAACGAAGAGGGTGGGGAGTTGGAGAGAGCGGCTAATGAGGCGGAACAACAGGCTGTTGATGAAGAGGACGAGGAAGAGGAGGATTATGATCCGGGCAGTGAGGGAGACAGTGAGGGTAGTGGAACCAGTGATGAGAGTGAGGATGATGATGAGGGTGGTGGAGGTGGTCGGGATGATGACGAGGAGGATGGCGAGGGGGACAAGGATGAGTTATGAGTGATACCCTATGTTAAGATGGCCTATAATTCTGGTAGAGAAGAATATCAAAAGATTATGAAGATTCCTAATGCATTTTGAAATACAGATTTTCCTGAAACCGGTTGATAGCCTCTCATGACAGCCTGTTGAAGCTGCGAATGTATAATGTTTCAAACGAAAATTTGCATATTGGACTGACTACAGAATATAGCGTTGATTGTTCAAGTTCAAGTTTCAATTCCTTCCTATATGTCTAATATATATATCGCCAAACTCCTGTAGAATTCCAAATATACAAAGTCCAAATCAGGCCCCGTTCTGGAGAGGACCAAAGACATTGCTGGCATACGTCTCTGCATCCCTCTCAATGTTCCCAATATTAATTCGATTCTCCAACGCACTACTAACACTGTCTAATACCTCTCTCTCTTCCATCAAGGTGCCCATCAGCTGTCCCTCCTGGATCCAGTATTGCCTCGTTTTCTCTCGCAGTGGTTCATCTCTAGCAACAGTATTCCTTATTATTCCGACAGCCGACATCTTGGTCCTGACATTATCAAGAACGCGTGTAGAGAATTCAATCCGTTCAGCAGCTGCAGGCGCCGTGATAAACGCTCGGTTCGTAGAGGAGAGATACATCATCCAACCTAATAAGCCGTCTATGACTGCGAGAACGAGATAGCGGTATACACGCATCTTCCAGAAAAACGTATCAATCTCTTCAAGTCTTGTAACTCGGGCGTTGTCCTGATGGTTGTAGGTTGCGGTGACCCAGAGGTCAAGGCCCATCGCCATACCCGCTGCAAGAGTGCCGGTCCTTCGCCATACCGCCCCTTCTTTCCCAATCGCAAGACCGCTGGTTACGCCGCCAATTATTAGGAGGTTCAGGATGTGGGGGGCCAGAAGGGCGGGAAGGAAGTAGTAAAGGTAACTCTTTGGGTCATCGGCAGAGCAGAAGGGGCAGTCTGTCAAGACTTCAGGGCCGTATTGGAAGAATAGCAATCTCGATTCTAAGGATATGATCTTGGTTCGGAGGATATTGTCGCTAGGTGTGAGACCCTTGGGACGAAGGGTGTTGAGACGAGTGAAGAGAACATCGACCGGAATTTGAAGACGTGAGGAGGTAAGACTGAAGATGTTCTCTGGAGAGAATGGTGGAAGCGTCCGTATTAAAAACACAGAGGCGGCCACGAAGAGTATAAGGAGTGCTCGCGAGACGTTCGTGGGAACAGGGCGGACCGATACCCCAGGTATATTCGCAGCTGCGCGTTGGGACCGGTAGTAACCTATTGCTTTTGGAAGGAATATGGGCCCGAAGAACAGCGAAAGGGACTTTATGCTGATCAGAGTCAGTTTCGGTTATATTTGAATTGATAGTGTCTGTAGATTGAGTATACTTACGTTCCCCACGTAATGATGGCCATGTTAGCAGCAACAGCATATGTGAACGCGCATTCATGGGCGGGATCTTATTTTGTTGGAGACACGTTCACGATGCTGAAGTGACGTACTGCCGCTTTTCACCGCTTGCCGAGCCGAATTCTCTGCTCGATATGGAATAGCCTTGGAGCTCCCGCCTTCCATTTATTTCAATTTTCTGCAGCTTCCACCTCTACAGCAACCAAATGTAATCCTTGAAGAATCTTACGAAATTGTGCAACCTGACAGCTCGTTCGCAGTTTACGGCAAATACAGACCATAATTAATCAATGCCTCTGGGGTAATAGTATCAATTTTCGCACCTCTTTCCTCCTTATACCAAGTGGCACTTTCGAAGCTCTATCGATCTTTTCTCCAATGATCTCTCAGAGTCAAAAAGTATGCCCAGAACAAGCCAAAGTACTCTGCCAAGAGTCATCTCACTCGTGTTGCAATGTCCTAGCCATAAAAAGCGATGGGGAATTTTGCGTCTTTAATTCGTGAGAGACATAATATGATACTGTAATCGCGCTGTGAAGTCCCAATATGATGATTGAATATGCCATGTGAGCATGGAAGCTCTTTATTTAGAGGAACTCCTTGCTTTGAATATATGTATTACCTGTGAGACCATATATATTAACTATAAACCTTGTCCCACTGTGAAATCTACAACTCCTTCTTCTCCGGCGCCTTGCCTTCTTGAGCTGGTGTAGTCTTCTCCCCAGGGACCTTCATAGCCTCCCTCTGTTTGACACCCGCACTCCTCGGAGTAGCAGCCAACGCTACCGCTGCAACAACGGCATCTGAGACCAATTGTATGACCGCCAAACAAGCAATACTCCAACTCTGTACACTAACACTACCCACTGGTGCTCGCGGAAAACTTAGCAACCACTCTGCGTAATAAGGAGCCCAGCCCTGGGGAATCCAGAACATCGGCTGCTTCTGGAACCAGAACTGGAGGAGCATGCGGAAGCCGTTGAGGCCGAGCCAACGTAGGCCACCGACTATCTTGTTGAAATTCGCGCGGGTAGAGTCGAGGGTGTTTTCTCGAGGAATAATCAGCATGATACTTTCGTAGACTAGTACCCATATTTGCCTGCACAGCAAAATGCAATTTTGTCGCCGAATATGAAGAATCGAGAGACTTACTACACCCCTCAATCTCCTCCCCTAATTTATCGCTCTTCCTCCGTAGCTTCGCCCACTTCGCAAACTCGTCCTGAGAACTGGTAGCGTTCATCTGCATCCGCACAGTGTTGTACTCTTTCTTCAGCACTCGTAATTTGTTCGCCGATTGCGAGGTCGGCACAGGAAGCATGTTGTATAGATGCCATAGCTGAATGCCTTGTTAGCTGGTATTCAAGGGGAATAGTACAAGTTGGTCTGAAGACACAAAAAAGAGAACTAAGAGCAGCATATGGACAATAGGATTTCGCGGCCCGATATACTTACAACGTTATTTATCGTTTCAACCCCGAATGTGTTCACAAGATGTATGGTAAGTTGAAGAACGAAGACAATCACCAAAAGCGAGGGCATTTTGGGCGACTAGTATTTGCGGTATGGCGTACTTGTCTTGACTTCAACACCGAGAGCGTGCGGCAGAAGAAACAGAGGGAAAGTAAAAGCGCAGACGAGGCTTCGCGGTCATGGTGTTGAAGAAAGTCTCGGGATTCCACGAATTGTGGCTTCAAACCCTGGTGACGGAGGAGGGAGTTGGCCCGTGCGTCATCCATGATCAACCCCGAACTCTTTCAGCCTCATGTGCTCATGAGAGTTCACTACCACTTTGAATTGTTTTATGCTTGTCCACGTTGAACACCTTTTTGTCACCAGCTTCGAAATGTCAAGAGCACTGGACCCGGAGACAAGCGTGTCAGTGCAAGATTCTCTACCAGTAGAAATCTACGACCAAATCGTCGCTGTATTATGTACACCACGCGACTTACCCTTGGAAATAGAGCTTCTGGGAAAAGCGCATCCCATACCTTCAGGCGAAACTTATCTACTTGAGGAAAACTACCTCGCTATTCCAAAGGCCAAGCTCGTTCAAGCATTTGTTGTCGCCCGCCAGATATTCTCAAAGCTGTTTCGGAAGTGCTCAGAAGAGAAGAGAGGTCAATTGCGGGATGCTACTGCAGTAATGCTGTTGATGGATCCGGAACATCTTACCGCAGCGAATTTCAGGAAGTCTTACATCCTGTACCATGAGAAGGGTGAGAGGTTTGGTGAGGTTTTGAGTAGGGAGTTGCAATTCGTGGACACCTACCTTACAGCTCGGTTGCATAGACACACCAAATCACCAAACTTATGGAGTCATCGACGATGGCTAGTACAGCAATACCGACGTGCAAAATTTGAGGTTGATGTGAAAGGCCACTTTGAAAAAATCGTTCTCATAGCGGCAGAGAGACATCCCAGTAATTATTACGCTTGGTCACATATGCGCTGGCTCGTCGATAAGTTCGCTTCAACACAAGTGTTTAAGCTTGGGTTATTACCTGTCGTTCAAGATTGGTGCTTGAGACATCCAAGTGATACTTCTGGATTCTCATTCCTGTTGTATTGTCTCGACATTCCCAGGAAGCCCGAGATAGGTAATCAAGATGTAGTCGAGGTCTATAAAGAGATACTGAATATAGCTCTGTCCTTCAAATGGGCTCATGAGTCTGTATGGGTGTTTCTCAGAACCGTAGCAGCTTCGGTAGCTGATACTGATGGTTCCGGGTTATCATTTGAAGAGGCGATTGACACTGCTCTACAAGCCTTTGTTCATGATAAAAAAACACAACTTACGCTCAACTCATCTATGAAATGGTATACCGAGAATCGTCAAACCGTATCTTCTTGAGCATTTTCATCACCAAGAGCCTGTACCTAAGATGATACACCTAAGCCGTGCATATCAGCGACGAGTCTTCGTTGAGCTCGTGTACAAGACTAAGGAGGACCACGTTGTTTCTTAGAAGAAGCAGGCAGCTGGAACTCATCGTGTCCCATTTTCACACACTATCTAATGTGAGTATAGTCGAGAGACTTTCCATGCCATAAACTTACGTTAGTGAAAAGTCATCAATCAAACTTGACAATATCTGTACGCTGTAGTGCGTTGCTTTGCTTGCAAATGAAAAGGTAGATGGAGATGATCCCAGCGACAACACGATAGGAAAGAAAACCACAGCGGAGCCGATGGACGACATTCTGCTGAGCCGCCAACTATATGAGAAGTTGGCTAGTCTTCCCCGAAGGCAGCTTGCATGTCTGTCAATTATGCTCAACTTTTTGCCTCATCTACACATCTAGTAGTCAAATACCTAGGATTCGCAGAGGGCAAGGTAAACAGTAGCACTTCATGACTATTCTTGTTAATATGAAGCATATTTATAAAGGGTAAGTTCATTGAATTCCTAACATAATTCGAGTAGAGTATAAAAGCGTCTGATCACTGAAAAGAATTAACAAAATACATAACATTTCGTCAACTTGAAGGCAGAAATATCGTGTTTCGGTTGTCCACTCATTTTACCCACAGCGAGATGAAGACTGCTTCAGATAACAGAACTTTAATATTCAACAAATCGCCCCTGAGTATTTTGAGAATGACGTACATGAGAAGCTGCTTTGGTCAGTTGTCAATTCCAAGGCAGAACTTGACAACTTGTTAATTATTGCACGACCCTGAGAACAGCCGAAGCTGAAAAGTCTGGAGAACTGACCAAGCCGGGACATTACATGCTTAAACATCCCTGTGGTTGGCGTTGCGTGAATGGATTTCTAAATTTGTGTAATGTCGATAGCGAAGCGAGTTTCAGGGGGTAAAATCCGCAGGTCATCATCTCACGGCTATTTGGATCGATTTTGGAGGAGTTGACATCAACATGTTCTAAGACTTTCGGATGACAATAATCCTGAACACGTGAGATTTTAACCAAATTCATGATGTTTACCTCGATGGAGAAGTGGGGGATCAAGATATCACAACCTCAAACCATGCGAAGTTATGGTATGAAACCGTTTCGGAATTTTCCCCACGTATCCGAAAGAGGGAAGGTACATACTGTAGTACATTCCATCCGTACCTCCATTTGACAAATGCCATGTTGGTCTTCATGGGCATGTGACAAATGACCTTTAGAGGAGGCAGGAATCCGGGTCAATGCAGGAACTTTGGTTGCAACTACACCACTAGTACATCTACTTCTAGACGAAGGGACGCGACGGTCTTGCGCTGGCCATCTATTGCATGGCAATAATTCGCCGGCACCTGTGGTGTATGGTATGATGGTGCGTACAAAGGTACCTAACCGGCCGATACGAAGCCACGGATACGAGCCATCAAAAAGATTTACAGTAGAACCCCGCGATAAGAGGGGAGACTGGATACATCTCGCACTTTCGAGTCGTTGGACTCTGAGGAGGTTGGAGAGCTACGTCGTCTTGAAGCAGAATTTGGAGTTTCTTTTGGTCATCTAGACCAATGGAAATCGCAGGACTAACGGACGCATCAACTAGTTCTTCGAAAGATTGTTAGTCTGGGCTGGCGTGGACAAATGAGTCTTCATGCCACCCGTCGACCACGCCAATCTCTTGAGCCACTCTTTCGCCACGGTTGTATGGTGTTCAGCTAGATTGGGACCACAAAAGACCGCAGAAGATTGCGTGAGCAGTTGCATAGGCGAGAGACTTTTGACGACCACTATAAAGATATCGAATTCTGTCCACGAATCACATTTGTAGTGAATTCGTATGCTTTGGACCAGCCGGCGTGATGCATCCTTTTTCTGCAACCACTCCGATTCTGGAAACCATACAGAGACAAGAGCATTTACCAGATGTAGCGTGTCACTTTGCCGAATTGAGACTGTTCTTGAATTCGTATGAAGTATGTATGTGCTGTTACGCGTCTCTCCCATCTCACAGTTGTACGGAATCCCTATGTGAACACAACGCAGCTTTATAACGTGGCATACAAGTAGCCAAGAATGGACGGCATATAAAGGCGAGAGTGTTCTTTGGGGGGATAGTACTTTGAAGTATCCTGTTCGTAGTGCGGTTGTGCGGTTGCTGTGAGGACTTTGTAGTACAGTTTGTACTGCCCATAATAGTCCCCGTTCGTGCCGAAGGGTGTCGAGCTACCTTATTGGGAGATATTGATTGGGCGGATGGAAGAATGGTTGAGCTGCCGAGAGACGCGACTCTACGGGAGAGGTGTTTTAGCACAAATAGCACATACCGTATCAAGCTGAATTGTCGAACTTTGGTGTTGCATCTTGAATGTTGACCAGACCTTTTGAACGCCTTTCTGCTGCATATCGCAATTGTGATGAGTTGATCCATTTTGGGCGTGGTTATGATGACCTTGGAAGATAAGCAGGGCAGGAGAAGTATTTCATTTCGGTGGTACCCACAATTCATGTTAAAAGACATTTTCCGGCGAACGGGTGCTGGCGGCTACCGTAGAGTTGACTTGTTGTCGTCCCTGCTGTCGACGCTCTTGGTGGCCGGGTAGTGCATCTTTGCAAGGAAGCTAGCTTGATTGTGGGCAGCAAACAGCAGCATTTGGTCGACGGTTTGTGAGGGGATGGCTCACGGGATGATTCACGAGAAAGAATGGATAATACATGCAAAATGTGATTTAATTGCCCTCAAAGATAATAGTTCAACATATCTTCTCGGAAGCGCCTATTCTGTTGGTTCGTGGTGAATTCTGGCTGGCTCGCAGCTCCCGGATTTCCTATTATTGACTCCACGTCTCAAGTCGCCTCCCCGGTGCAGGTGGATCCCAGGTAGCTCGATCAAATCTTCCCGCCAACCCCCATCCGGCCTAGGCGACTCTGCGGTACCCGCCACAACCCTTGGACCTCCCAACCGCGTACCCCCTTATAACAGTGTGTCCGCTGTGATCCTTCCACGATTTCTCTTGATTGAATCTTGGTTGTCCGCAAAGCCACTCATATTTGAAACCTTCGAAAAGCTCCTTGGTTCTTCGAGTGCGTTCCCTTCTCAACTTCACCACTGTCGTTAAGGTCCGAATTCTATTTCTTCGAAGATTTGAGAAAGTTAATTTACACGGGAATATCTTCTGTTTTCGTGCCATAAAAACAACAAAAAGGTACGTGGTTTGACTTTTCTGTGCTCCTGGCTCTGCTCTGCGCCGTCACTCTTCATCAATTCGCAACTCCGCCTCAATCATGGCCCTCTGGAATCCATCGAAACACAACTACCTCGAGAGCGCCTGCCCTGCAGACCACAGAGCGTCATCTGCACCGTCAATCGTCGAAAAGTCTGTTGCTCCTGGGGAAGGCAGAAGAGAGAGGATTATTACCCGTCAGACCAAAACACCCAGTTTCATCCGAATCCCTCGCAACTCCGCTTTCTTCAAACAAACAATCAACCCACTTGCGACACACATCCACATCCATCTTCTCTCGACAACATCCGTCCTCTTGCTATCATCTCTGTCCATCGATCTGGCTGGCCTCCGTCGACTAATACTTCAATTGAACATCCGCTGACTGAGATCGTAAAGCTACATAATAATCATACAAAATGTTCGCCCAAAACATTCTCCCGGCTCTGGCCATCGTCGGTGTTGCAGCTGGTAAGTGCCCGAAGATTCATCTACATCAAACTCTACCCTCACGGTCTCACAACTGTTAATCCGGCTTCGTCGGGCGGTTCTGGCAACTAAAAAGACATTTCACTAACTCGTTGCCCTTGCAGCACAAACTGCCACCTTCTGCTCTCAGCCTACAATCACCATCAACTCCCAGGCAGACGCGTCTCCTCTTGCAAGCTGCACATCCGTTCCCGGTACCATCGTTGTTGGACCAAATGCCGCAAATGTCCTCAGTCTTGATGGTCCTACGACCGTCGGCAGCGTGATTTGCGAGAACGCTGGTGGATTGACCAGTTTGGGAAGCACAACAATCGAGACGATCAACACCGATTTCACCCTCACAAACTTGACTCTGATGTCTACCCTGTCCTTCACAGAGCTGACATCTGCCAAAAACATCAAGTTCAGTGCTCTCCAGGCATTGTCCTCGTTCACCTTCCCAGCTATCATCTCCAAGGCAACGACTGTTGTGATCACAAACACTTTCCTCACAACTCTTAACGGCTTCAATTTCATGAGTGTTGCCAGCCTGGACATCAACAACAACAACCGTCTCCAGAAGTTCGACACTCAAATCACCAACGTCACCACCCAATTGACCATTGACTCCAACGGACAGGCTCTGCAAGTCACCTTGCCTAACCTCAGAACTGTTGGAAATGCCACTTTCCGAAATGCTTCGCTCGTTCTTATCCCATCTTTGTCCAGCGTCAGCGGGGCTATTGGATTCTACGGTTGCAACTTTGAGAGTCTTTCAGCTCCTAACTTGACATCCGTCGGAGGTACCACACAGGGTGCTAACGGAGGTGGTATTGCAATTGTTGCCAACTCCAAGCTCGCCAACATCTCTTTCCCAATGTTAAAGAGCGTTGCAGGTGCTGCCCAGATCGCCAACAACACCAACTTGGGCGCAATTGATCTCCCAGCTCTTTCAACTGTTGGAGGCGCCATTGATCTCTCTGGTAACTTCACAACGTAAGTACCTGCGTCTTTCAACCCGCTCGAAGCAGAACTAACATTCACGGTAGACCTACAATTCCTGACCTAACCCTTGTCGCCGGTGGCTTCAACGTTCAATCCCAACAGCAGATTGACTGCTCTCTCTTTGATTCTCTGTCTGCTGCCAAGTCCAACTCCCAGGTCATCCGCGGTAAATACACCTGCATCACCACTGCTGACGCCAAGAGTGGTGTCGGATCTGCTACCGGATCCGGAACCGCTACCGGAACTGGCGCTGCTGCCAGCGGCACCTCAAAGGCTGCCGCTGCATCATACGGTGTTAACTCTGCCGCCGTGGGTCTTTCTGTCGTTGGAGGTCTCCTTCGTATGTTGTTGTAGAGCATTGGGACGTTGGCGTTTTTCTTGCTTTATCAATCACATTAGACCTAATATGCGAGGTTTCCATTTGGTTTCCCTATACTACGACTCTCCCTGTGCGAAACGAAGCTTATCATGGATGGAATACGAGCATTTGAGCGTTTTTGTTCTGTCGTTCCTTGGTATTTTTTGAGGAACAGACAAAAGGGGCGGATACAGGCTAGCATAATACTGTCTTTTTGCTTTTCGTATCACTTGGGGGGTTGCATATCGATGAGAGTTGCGGCCGGAGGCAGTTGTTATTTGTCTGGCCTAAAAGCTTGTGGATGGGTTAGGCTGAGAGGGATACGATTCAGGGGCCAAGAGACGAGATTCTATAAACTGTACATTGATCATTATGAGTTTTTAATGCTTTTTTTTAAGATTTTGGCTTGGTGAAACATATTTCGTGAATCATTAGATTACACCATTACGTGTACATGTCTTCTACAACCTATGAAGATCCTGCTTTCTTTTGTCTGCTTCGTATTACATGCTCTGTCTTGATGCTAACCAAGTCCTTCAGCATGTTTTGCTTTTCAACAATGTCGTCTGGGAACGGCTAGGGTTAGCGATATGCAGCGTCTCCGATCATTCTGCAGCTCGCTTGGAGCCTTGGAGAGGGAGTACATGTTGGTAGATCTTGGATCTTCGCTGATCATCTTTGCATGTACGACGTAAGCACCTTGTGTACCTAGATTCGGGGAGTGCACAAGGATGGAATAAGGCACGATTAACGACATCGATGTGCGAATCTGGGAAATTTGGCTTCTCTTGTGGTTGGGATCTTGAGGTGGGACAGTCAGCCAAGGGGAAAACACTAGGATAAAATGCAATATATATACGCGGAGACTAGGTTTTTGGCTTGGTTTGTATTTGCGAGGTCGGGTGGACGAATAGCTCTATTGTTTGATTGAACATGAAGTGATAAAAACAAAGAAACGAGGTAGCTCGATTGAGGTGTTTTAAAGCTCACAGTTGTCGTCGGAATACATTGGATTTGGATTTCGAGAAGGCTGCTCTACTGCCCTAGAAATGCAACATCATGCCTACATGACATTTGTTTATTTTAGTTTACTATCAAATGTATGATAGCGTAGGACTAGCGGATCAAAATCAAGTAGTATCTTAAACTATCACGTTGAGCTTAGTCACTTCTGCCAGTCTACCAGCTGTCAATCTAACCAAGATTACACAGATATAGACCTACAAGTACATCTTTACTCAAAGAATCAACAAGAACCTAGCTAAAAACTTGTCCAAGTTCCTTTTGTAGGACAAACTTTTGCAAGTCCCACATTAGAGAAGTTCGGGCCACTGCATAAAAATTGGAGTTATGGGCGACTAAGGGCTTCGTATCCTGCTACAGCCCTTTCGATCTAGTCAAAACGTTGCAGAGATATATTCACATACCCCCATACCTCAAGTCGTTGTGTACTGCTTTTCAAGTGGTCGAAGCAGGCTGGAATAGGAGGCCACCTTTATTTTGTTCTCTAAGAGTTGTGTATCTGCAGATTATTGCGAGCATGAAACAACAAAACAAATCATCCATAACGTGTAGAATCGGGGTTCGTAATCACGAGCCTTCAGGATATACCCACCCAAGTTAGTGAGAACGTTCATGACCTAGAACGGTCCAACGGGCTGACCAGCAGAAGTCTGTATTATTTACAATGTTTAAGTTCTCAATGTCTGATTACGCAGGCCGATTCCCTTGATTCTTTCTATAACTCATAAATAGGAGAGCAGTAGCCGCAAGAAAATTGAGCTACTAACCTTTTACTTTTGTTTTTTTCAGGTTGAATGTAGCTAAAATTACCTGTCGAGAGGAGCCATATTGTACTATGGTGAAGTGAGTGTCGACACTCTCGACAAGTGCACAGACTTCTGCTGGTGGGCTTGCAAGAAATTCAGAGAGGTACCTGGCAGTCCTAGATTTGGGACTGTGTTGTGTATCATTGTTTCAATTACAAAACGGGAACACCGCTATTTTGCCCAGCAACTGTTATTTTAAAAACCTTTAACCCCAAGTCTTAAGCTTTTTCATACTCCCCTCCAGATCTAGAGCCTTATGCATATCGAAACTATTCCACAGTAAATGTGGCTCATGGCCCCAACCCCGTCTCATACATTCGAATTCTGCTTTTGCAAAGTAATCCTGAAGCATAGGTCTGTATTCTGGGTGGGCACATTTGTCGATGATGACTCTAGCTCGCTCTTTAGGACTTAGGCCGCGTACATCCGCAAGTCCTTGCTCGGTGACAATCACGTCGAGATCGTGTTCTGTTTGGTCGATATGCGTACACATCGGTACGATGCATGATACTCCATGGGGATCAGTCTTGGATGGTCGTGTGGATGGTGTATGCATGATGCTGTACTTTGAAGATCTCAAGAAATCGGCTGAACCACCAAGACCATTCAACATTCGAGAACCCATGACACAGGTTGAGTTCGCATGGGCGTAAATGTCGACTTCGACTGGTGTATTCATACCAATAACACCTAGTCGGCGGATAATTTCTGGCGAATTGGAAACTTGCTGAGATCGCAGGAGGAGCTTGTTATAATATTGTTCCCATCCGTCGTAAAAACGTTTGAACCCCTCAGGAGAGAAACGAATAGATGTTGCAGTTGCGAAATCGAGCTTGCCAGAGTCGAAAAGATCTAAGAATGTGTCTTGCAATACTTCTGTCCATACTTTCAGATTCTGGAACTTGGAAGTGGCAAGTCCGCCGATAACAGCGTTCGCAATATTGCCAATGCCCGACTGTATTGGCAACAAGTTTGGTGGCAAGCGGTCATGCTTGACTTCATGCTCTAGAAATTCGATCAAGTGACCGGCGATAGCTCGAGATGTATCGTCTTCTGCAGAATTTGGCTGAGTCTGATCCTGGTAATCGGATTCGATGATAGCAACGATTTTCTCTGGGTCAACTGGAATTGACGTCGTGCCGATCCGATCTTCAGGAGCCATGATCAAGTAAGGCTTCCGGCGCGGAGGAAGTTCGGTCATTGTGATATCATGAAGACCTTCAAATGATGGCATAGAGGTATTTACTTCAACAATAATCTGTACCTTGTCAGTTTTTTCTACTCATAGTGCTCAAGTTCTCTTACCTTGTCAGCCATCTGAATCAACTCGGGGGACGCTCCCACAGACGCGCCAGGCACAATCCCACCATCCTCTGTAATCGCGGTTGCCTCGACGATGACAACATCCAGCTTCTTGTTCGGTCTATCCTTTGTGTAGAAACCCTAGAATTTAATTAGCAATTGCTTAAGCATTGAAAATTGCCGACATGTAGCTTGTCCTTAAGACTTCCTGGAATGATAGAGGGACAGACTGACATAAACCAGATCTACCGGGAACATGCTGAGATGTTTATCGAAAAATTTGATGTTGCCGTTATTGATGCCCTTCGCAATCGCCTTTCCAACTTGATGTGGACTCCGCCTCTCGATCATATTTAAATCCGCCCATCGATTCTCAGTCTCCGCACCAGACGAAGCACCGACGAACAGTGAGTATTTCAATTGGCCTTGCAGATTGTTTTTCTCAACGTGGTTCGCCAGCATCGTCGGGATCTTCCTGTGATAATATAGTCAGTACAATGCTTCTGATATGATCTAATTTCCAATTATGGACGGATGCAAGACATACTTAGGATATCCAACACCAGTGAAGCCCGACCAACCGACATACGCGCCATTAGGAAAATGCGAAACAAGGTCCTCCGCGTGGGCGAGTTTGTTGAGCATTGAAGGCCGACGGACCCGCGACTTCAGAGCTGCAGAAGCAGTGAGAGCTGCTGATGAAGCCATTCTTGAGAACCAGTTCTCAACACAGACAGCTTCAGTTGCTCAATCACAATGCAAGAGCTTAATGTCCCAAAAAATGCAATCGAAAAATAAACAAAAGCAATTGAAAGAAAGAAACGCGAGACAACGAACGGATGATGTAAATACGACGGAGGTCCCATACATGCATGGGTGAATTTCGGGTTTTGATTTGATTACAGTACTCGAGTACCCCTCGGTAGTGACGTTTTGTGGAACAGAGGCTACGCTCCGAGCTCGCAATGACCTTCCGCTATGCATCCGAACTCACACCCAAGACGACCTCGGGACTTCGCTGGCCTGTGCAGTAGAGTGGCCGTCTACATTAACATTGCATTTGTGAGATGCGTTAAATTCTCCTCTTAACAACTTCCAATTGTACGCGACTAGCACGATGTGGTTTCACAACCGTGGAAAGCGGTATGAGCACGACTGCTTCCAAACCAAGCAAGCCTTCTGAAAATCTTTTATACAAGTTATTTTGTGCTCCACGCTAGGCTGTTCTATTCACGCCCATCATCTCTGGAGCATTAGGAGCAGCAGCAGCCTCCTTGGCCATCCTCATTTCGGTTCTACTTATTTTCAGATCTGTAGCATATTCCTCAAATGCGTCGATTAGCGCATTCAAGGCACCTCGTAAAGCCGCCAGGATGGTGTCAACTTCTGGGCATTCTTGTTTACGTTGGACATCTGTCCAATGTATTCCAATGTCCCTCCGAAAGCTTTCCAGCTTAACAATGACTGACGTAAAGGAAAGCATAATGGTTTTAACGTCCTTCTGGACGTTCCCAAACTTATCCTCTGTCAGACTTCCCACAGCAAATCTTGTCAAGGAATCAATAGCATCTACTATTATCCCTACATCGCCGTATGGGGCCCCGAGGACTGTTAAGTTGAGCCTTCTTCTGTACTCTTGCCTGAAAGGCCATCCAAGGGGACTTTCTAGGATTTGTATAAACTGTTTTCTAAACAACCCTGTAATGCCTTGCTGTGAGAGCGACTGCTGCTGCTGCTGGTTGAGAACTGTCTCTTCCGCCTTTGACAACAAAGACTTGGACCTTGAACTGATGCTCTCGGGGGGTGACTGGCCATGTCCTTTTACGAAACGTCCCATGGCTACGGCAGCGCGCCGACTTTTCCCTTTCTCTGGGGGAGGGTTGGTGAAGATATCCCCCGACGCATTGATTCCATCTCCTACTGGTTGAGCGATACGTGGCAGAAGTTCTGGGGATGGTGGTAGTGCAGGATCCCGATTGCCGAGGCTCTTCGCTGTAGCTTGGGAAACGGGCAATTGAGGGTTTTGAAAACTGGTAATCCTCGCCTCCATTCCATTGACGACGTCGAGGCAAATAGCAAGGAGTTGGGACCATGTGGAACCCCCAGCTCTGTCAATGTCTTCAAAGATATTCCTTCGCCGACCTTCAAACCGTTGCGCAATGTATACGAGTTCCCAGAAAGCAAACGCCTGCAAAATATCAGTAAAACCACAGATTCTAAGCACTAGATGAGCTTACCCTTGTTTGCAACCTCTTGCCCGTCAGACCAGTCAGCAGACTTCCGTTAGGGTCTCGAGACTCATACGTAATGGGCCGTTCATTTTTGAGAGGCTCTTGAGCAACATGCGTGGAAAAAGCCGCGTTTCCAACCTCCCATAGCATCAATAACAAAAACCCCGAACTGATGGATTTTAAGATGACAGTCCAGTGGTAGGGAGCAATGCTAGGCAGCGAGCCTGATTTGGGCAAGTTCCAGAATATTTTAGCCCAAGCTCGTGTGAAGCTCCACGAGAACTTTCGAATGGACCATGGATAGAACCAAGTTATTGAGTAGATAAATGGTGACGCGAGTGACACAATGAGAGATCGTTTTAGGCACTTCGCCATGAGAGCCGGAAATTCCGACTTCATTTGCGTTGATGGAGGGACAATGATATGCGACAACTGATTCGGGGATCCCAATGGTTTTGTCTTCGTGACTGGCATGTCCAGCCGATCATAATCGTAAAATAGGTGACAAGCCGACTGGAACAATGCCAGGAAAAAGAAAAAGCTCGTCAGGTATATTGGCCGCTCATTCAGCATCGGGCGGTCGGTTCTTGGAATGAGCTTTATACGATTAAGATCTGCCTCTTTTGAAGCAGACCATACGTATATTTCACTGAATAAGTATGCCGAAAGAACATAATATCCCACAGTTCGAACTACGTCGAATCCTAGCGCGTGTTTTCGAAATGTATCCCATCCAGAAACCGAGGTCCTCTTTCCTACGTGGAGCTGGGCCACGCGAAGGACAAAAATAATAAAGGATGATAAGAAGAGTAGCCCGGTGCGAATGGCAGCTCTACCAAATGGGAACCATGTCCAGAAAACTAGGTAGGTCGCATTAGCTTTCGATATCTATTTCAAGAGCTTCACACCCACAAGAATTCCATTCTCCGATCCAAATCGCCTCCAAATAACACAGTAGAAAAAGAGTCGCAGATCCGGTAGCAAATCTCCTATGCATTGCAGGTGTGAGAAAGTCCTTGTAGGGACGAATTCGAAGCTTCGGCGGCATGATGATTGCGGTGAAGGTCCACAGGGCCTGTTTGAGTGGTAATGACTGATATAAGAGCCTGCCTAAAATGCTAAGAGCTCAAGTGACAGGTTGCACTTCCATGTCGTTTGTGGCCTTTCAGCGCAACAGATTATATGATGGTGTTGACAAAATAAATACACGAAAGCTTGTGGACGCGAGAGCAACAGATGCCCAGACTTCCCGGCCGGAGCGGGGCGGACCTGTGCGAGCCGCGGTCTGGATCCCGCAGGAGGCGGGTACGTCAGTCTTCCCCAAAACACGAGCTTCCCAGTAGGCAACACATTTGTACATATAGAACCCTTCTTTTCGGGAATCGCTCGTCGCTATTATCGCACTCGCTCTGCCATCTTTCAGTCATGTCTTTCGATCAGTTATCGTCGTTGGAGTCGCAGCCCACCACGATGCGAAGAGAGGACGATCCTCAGTATGCGGATGATCCAGAGTTCCAACAACTATCGCAAGCGCTCATGACCAAACTTTTCACATTAACTGGGAATATTTCGAGGCTTCAGAACGAGATAGCGTTACTTGGTACACGCAGAGACACAGAGAGGGTACGGGAAAGGGTCCATGATCTATTGGAAGATTCCAAAGATGCGTTCAAAGAGATCGGGGAAGGTGTTAAGAAGATACAGTCATGGGAAGATGTTAGCGTATGTGACTGCTTGTCCGTCTAAAGAATCCAGCTGATTTGTATAGCCATCGCAAAAATATACGCAGCAGAAACTCGCCCGAGAGTTTCAATCGAACCTAACCGAATTCCAATCCGTACAACGACAAGCTCTGGAAAAGCAGCGGTCGACTAACTCCTCCGCGAAACTCGCGCTCGAAGAAGCGCAATCTCCGAATTCAGAGTCATCTCCATCATATCAAATTCAAGCGCAAGAAACTTTGCGTTTAGCATCACAAGACGAGGTCGACTTCCAAGACTCTCTGATTGTAGAGCGCGAAGCTGAGATCCGCAATATCGAGCAAGGTGTCACAGAGTTAAACGAACTATTCAGAGATGTAGCTCACATAGTCAGCGAGCAAGGAGAGATGCTGGATACTGTTGCGAATAACGTGGAGAGCACGAGAACCGATACAAGGGGCGCTGACGTAGAATTGAGGAGTGCCGCGAGATACCAGAAGAATGCTAGGAGTAAAGCCTGCTGCTTGCTTTTGATTCTAGCGGTCATTTTGACGATTATTATTACTGCTGCTGTGGCTGGTTGAACAGCCAATCAGTGTGGTTGGTATTCTCCCTGGAATTTGGTGTTTGGGGGGTTCTTCTTTTTAGATGAATTTTAGCTGGCTGTACTTTGATAGTGGTTCGGACTTAAGCATATCCTATTTAGCAATTCTCAAATATATGAAAGTTTACCGTAAAGGGCTTGCTCTGACCTTTGAGTGCCAGCCTGCATCTTTCGGCAACTCGATGGCTCGGCTTTCATTTTATTGACAGAGTGACAGAGTACTTGTTAAGCCCTGATATTATGATAAAGTGAGACGGAAATGTTGGTGGCACTACGATATGCAACAAAATATACTACGGGGATTTATGATTCTATATGTGGATTTCTGCTCCAAGCTGACATTCAGCTGGTGGCTTTTGCGAACTGCAGCAAAGATAACACTTCACTCTTTTATGGGGGTTTCATCATCATTTATCACCGGCTCTTCATGAGGGGCAGAAATCACTTTAACGTGATAGGAAGGAGGTCTGAGACCTCGGTCGCATAGGAGTACAGGACAACATATGCATGCAGTATGCCTCATTCTGCATCTAGCCAGATGACTCCCAAATATTGAACACCCCATGACGCCGGTCGCAATGAATGCCGGATATTATAATACAGAAGTCTAGTCTTTCCACATGTAAATATTGCATGCAAATATTTACATTCCTCCCCTAGTATCAGGTCTTGCGCTGCTGCTCACACTTCCACTTCTACTCCCTGCTGTCGTAGACCCTTCCTCTGCACTCCTTTCCAGAAACCCCGTCCACAAATCCGCAAGGGATTCCTTTTCTCTAGCGCTAGTTCCTGAGGGTTCGGTAAAGAACTCAGAAGACAACGAAGGTGTACTTGGCGTGCGGTGAAATGGTGAGATTGGAAGACGAAGACTGCCGCTTGCAGCACCAGGTCTTGCAAGACCTGCTTGCTCCTTTTGCTCCTCGCTCCAATTCAGAAGCGAGGCTATTAACTGTAAAATCTGAAACTTTTTAGGATCGGTTCGATCTAGGGCCAGGAAATGCAGAAAATGATTTGTGACAATTTGCCTGCGAATAATTAGTGCGTTACTATATTTTGCAAAGATTCAAATACCTATCGACATTGTCCTCTGGCTTTGCCTTTTTCAGAAACCGCAACGCTTTCGTCAGGTGATCGTTCAACACAATGGCTTCATGTCGTAGCTTTCCTATCAACAGGTTCTTTTCCTTCACTTCTTTTTCAAACGGAGTCAGCCTGTCCAGCTCTGTTTGCAACGAAGTTCTGTCTCGTTCGGCTTCCCCAGCCCTAGCATCGGATTCTTGGACAAACTTTTTTAAGCTTGCCACTTGTTGTTCGTACGATTCCACCATTTCGCGTAGCTCTCGCTTGCGGGCATCTTGGACTTCTCGTAAGGATCTTTGTAAGCCATCTAATGATTGCGTTCGACTATCCCTCTCACGCACAGCTTCATCGAGAGCCTCCTGTTGTGATGCAAAACTCTCTTCCAGGTCACGGAATTTTTCTGTCAGGGCTTCCCACTTTGATCTCTCTTCCATAGCAACCACCTCCCAGTCTCCCATCGCCTCCTTCGCTGCCTCAGCTTCATCTCTCAATTGTCGGTTTTGCAGAATCAAATCTTCCCTTTCGTTAAGCCAGTTCTGCTGTGAAAGGTTATGACGGTTCCGAAGAGTAGAGAGCTCTTTTGAAGAGTCATTTGACTCCGCCTCGAAACGTTTCAATTCTTCCTCAAGACTTTCTATCCTTTTTTGTGACGATTCGTTTTGTGATTCCAAGTCCTCAATCTGTTGTTGAGCCTCGGCCAACTCCAGTTTATCCGCTTTCAGGCGTTCTCCTAATGTTGCTTTGATTGTGTTGATCCGCCCAAGCAGGTGTTGATACTGTGTTTCCGCATTTTCCTTTGCTGTTTCGCTCTCCTCCAACTCCGCTTTTATGGCTGACACCTCTTCCGAATGCTGCTCCTTAATTGCAGATACCTCATCATCTTGCTGTGACCTGATTGCCGTGACGTCTTTCGTATATTGATCCTTCATAGACAGCAGTTCCTCATTGTGCTTGCCCTGAATATCTTCTAGCGATTTCCGTAGCTGCTCGACTTCTGCTCGCAGGGCTTCACGCTCTTGCGACATGGCTTCGAGACGAACACTAGCATCGGATGCGTGGCGGTTGATGTTACCCTCTGCTACTTTTTCAGAGTTTACTTCGCTGTCTCTTTGATTCTGGGACGAGTCTCCATTACTTGCACCTTCGGGTTTATGCCCATTTGTTTGCGAGTGTACGTTTTCTGGGAATTGAGGTTCGTTTGGTGTGTTCTAATTGAGGCTGTTAGAATTATGTGCTGATCCCTCGATATTTTGGCAATTGAACAGGTGTCACTCGTACCAGGGCTGATTGTTCCGAATCGTCCAATTCGGCTTCTACATCGCCGACATCCACCGGCGCCTCTTTCCCAACATCTTGAGGTTTGGTAGCATCTCCGTTGGCTTTTGTCTTGTTCTTTTTCTTCTTGTTGTTACTCTTCTTCTTCGGAGCTGCGTGAATATTAGCGATACTAGGTTCTGTACGGCCGTCTGAGTGGCTGCGCGGACAGACCTGACAAAGAGTTCGCCGGATCTGAAGACGCTATAGTTGACATTTCGGGCGGCACCGGTGGCTATAAAGCTCGAGCGGCGCTCTCCCAGAATTTAGTTTGAGGATATAATAATTCTGTTCGATGTTGTAGAACCTCGTAATCACGTCCTCTCACGGTTTCGCGCTAGAAACAGCCTAGCGTTACTGGAGTGGCCCTAGCTTTCCTCTCCATTCACCCCACCCCCCCTTCACCTGTCCGAAGATCTCAAAACTCCGTCAGACTTCGACGCGATCACCTCCCCGCACGCTCAGCCATTCACAGTCTTTATTTTGCATGATTTGAGACATTGACGAGACCTCCTCTTGCTAGGCGCCATGGAAACGGTCTAAAGCATGCGGGGAGACGCATTGTCGCTCTGACCTAAGTGTTCTAGTCTCGCTTGTGCGAGTAACCTGCCTGCAACTGTGCTAATATACTTGCTAAACCTGTAGGGCCACGGTTCTGATGGCAGCGCTTAGATATTTCAAACTAGTCAATTAATTAGACAAGGCAAGAAGTCTAGACTGAATACCATCATATTCCATTACCCCGCGCCACCATAATGGTTGTATATATTCTCGTAGTCTTCCACATATCAGCAGAAGTGATTCAATAATACGACCATTTCACATTCTACTACACATCCTCGAATCTTAACAGCCATGGGATCACAAGCTGCCGATGACCACTCGAATGGAGTGTCCTCCCGTCATTATATCAGATGGGACTCCGAGGGTGTGCAGTCCATACCATCTAATGAAGCAGAAGACATCAAAGCTGTTGCTGAGATGATTAATTCCATTCAAAGAACGCAATTCAACAAAGCCAGACACTGCTTCAGTGGTAAGTTGAGCCATGCCGCAAATCAATCTCCACACAGATGCTCAACGCCTATAGGTACGCATGCTAGGACCCAAGGCGTAGTGAAAGGAAAGTTGATTGTTGGAGACCTTTCATCACATCTAGCACAAACATTGTTCTCTCACCCTGGAGAGTACCCGATTTGCATGAGATACAGCACAGAGCCAGGTGATCCAGGATTGGACGACAGAATCCCGCAGCCACGGGGTCTCGGAATCAAGGTGTTTAAGGTCGACGGCGAGATGTTTGAGGCGGGAAAAGACTTTCCAACTCACGACATTGAGTTCAACAGCACGCCGGCATTGGATCTCGCTGATGCAAAGACTACTAGAGAGATCGTTGACCTACGTATCAAGTATGGTGTGATAAGAGGAAGCTTTATGAGATGTTGGAGGCACGAAAAGATACCGAACTCCAGAAGGCTCGTGATGAAGTGCACAATACCCATCTGACTGTACGTGCTGGTTTCTTACAATTAAGATACCATTGGTACTGATACTGTGCAGTCAATTCGTTATTATTCCCAAACAGCATACCGTTATGGGGACTTTATTGTCAAGTACTCCCTTGTACCATCCTCAGAAGTGCAGAAGAAGCAATATCAGGAGGCAGTGAAACCAGACTCCCATCCAGACAACATTCTGAGTTCATGGGTGAAAGAGTTTTACGCAAATAATGAGGCGGAGTACCTCTTCCAGGTTCAGCTTTGTGAGAATCTTGAGGACCAGCCAGTCGAGTACGCAGGCAAAACATGGGATGATGAAAAGTATCCATGGCAGACGGTGGCTAAAATTGTCGTGCCCAAACAAGATAGTATGATACCAGCCCGAAAGACATTCTGGGAGGACCATATCAGACTAGATCCGTTCCAAGGGCTAAAAAGCTTTGAACCCATCGGCTCCCCAAACAGACTTCGTCGTGTTGTCTATCCGGCCAGCGCAGCTCTTCGTCACGAGCTCAATGGGAGAAAAGAAGTTAATATGACTAGTATTGATCAACTTCCCGACGGGGGCTATGTTGAATGCTGAGCCAGGACCCATGCCTGTGTACACCTACACATCTACTAGTTAGTATTGGAATTGTAACATGAGACTTTCATTTTGAGGTTCGTCCGAGTTCACTATACACATGTCAATTTCATTGTTTTGTAGGTAAAGTGCTCAATTTCTCAAGGAACATATCCATCCGCTGGCTGCTGCACATATTATGGAGTCTAAAAGAATTGACTGTTGGGGCGGATTCCAGTTCCTTTCATATCTGAGCGGTACGGTGAATTTGCCTCAAAGCTTTTGCGGACTCTGCTGAATTCTGGGTGGAGATACTGGCACAGGTCTCAACTATCATGTTGTCTCGAGATTTATAAGATATCAAATTTTAGCTAGAGCCAACCACCACCTAGTTGCGCTTTACAATCCCTGATATCCACGGAGATATGGACCCTTCTGAGCTTACGAAATCGTCTGAATCTCAAGTTACCGACCACAACAACCATGCTTCTACAAACTTGTCATTGTCGTCGAATTTTTCGGATCAAGGCCGAAGTGCGGCGACATCACATCCATCCATATCTTTTTCTGGTTCCTCAGTTCTCAAAAATGCTGCAGCTGCCTCGAATATCTCCAATCCGCTTGACTTATTCAATACTACAGTTCCTCCGCACACAACTCCTTCCGAAGGTTTCTCTGGGCTTCAAGGGCAACAAGGGATCCTGAACTTTGTCAATCCTTTTCTTGACATACATGCACATAGAGCTCCCCCTAAGCATGCACTTCACTGGAAAGTTGCAGAAATTGATCGTCGTAACGCGTCCCCATCACCATCAGTACTCTCAACATCACAAGATCCTCCGCTCGAGATACAGACAGCACCCATTCCGTTTCCATATCCACAGGCACAAGTTGCACCGATTCAATCTCCATTTACGGAGGCAAAGCCATCAAGCTTCAGCATGGCCAACACCGCAAGACTAAAATTGACGAAACCCACGGGTTGCATTGAGAGGGACGCAGCTCCATTCCAACCATCTAGAAGCAGAGATCCCTACTCACGAGTAGAAGACGTATTTCAAAACATCTGTTTTCAACCTGATTACTTGTGTCATTCTTCTGAGGAGTTGAAATGTAATTATTATCTAACGGATTAGCTTGGGGAGCACAGTCGATATCCTAGAGGCTGACACCAAATTAATTGCTACGTCTCCACCGACGATTGCTTTACCTCGAGCACAATTTGGCCCATCTAAAAATGAAGAGGTTTTGTTGGATAGGGAATACACTGAGTCTGAGGTCGAGCAGCTGCTAGATAATCACCCATTGTTTATACAGGCTGTGGCTAGGAGAATCAAAAGAGCGAGTGGAATGGCCGGAAGTTTCTGAAAGTAGTGGTCATGAGAGTGTGAGGGTCCTGGTTACTCGTATTCGGTATCGTAACTCTTCATTGGGAACATGGGTGGAAATTTCGCCATCTTTTCAAATTGCGTGTACGTAAGAGAGCTTTGTTTTCTAAGTAAGATCCCTTGTTCAGCTATCATAGACAAATAGTTGCTTGCTCCCAGCAAATTCGGGTCCAAAACTCCATGTTACTTGTACGTAAAAAGCTTCGACAGATATAATACATTTCAGAACAGAAAATGGAATATACTTGCGCAAGTAATGACTCTAGCCTCCCAACAGAATCAAGATTCAATAACTGCTAGGAACTGAATGGCACAATGGCACAATGGCACATACTTCTTGTGCCTGATATCCTAAGAAGGGTTATTAGAGGCTATCTTGGTGCCTGCTCTCCCAAACCCTGAGGGGTCTTCAAGAAGCTAATCTGGTGCTTAAAATAGAGTAAGCCGTTCACAACAACCAAATTTCTCCCATGGGTTAGGAGTAAGTACCGTAAGTAATAAGCAGACAATTTGAGGTTGTGCAATTGAAACGAAACGATGAAGGTCAGCTGCGGAGATGGGTCATATCCCGTACCAGCGTTAACATCTGGGTATCATCAGAGTCCCAATTACAAGAAAATGATGATCAAACTTACTCACAACCGTCGACCACTTAGAATTCGAAGACTAGTCGAGCAACTGGAGTTACGTTGGCTGTATCTGTCGAAAATGATGAGGCGAAGGATCCGACAGGTTCATTCTTCAAACAGTATCTGTGAACATTAGTGCTCACACTATAAGTCTGTCACGCCAGCCTATGTGTTAGATTGCGTTTCGGTGTTTCATTCCTTATTCTCCCCCCATTCAAATTCTTGTCTGTCTCCGTGCGAGACAAATGTCGTTCATGAGCAGAGACAGATGAAAGCGCTCCTTTTTGAGCCCCTCACCAAAGCATTACCGTCCCCACGCTCAGCTATTGCAAAGAAAAAAAGATCTCATGGCTGGAAGTATTCATCAAGAAGAACTCTCCTATGTTTTAGCTGCCTTACATCGTTCGAATTATGTTGTGTTTTCAGGATCCGGACTTGCTCCTTTTGTTGGTCCTTCCTGCCTTCTCTACGCTCAGAGATGCAACCACCAGCTGCCACTCTAAGCGCCAGGTACCCTCTGACGTTAGTCAACAGACCTGAATCGATCCTGCACATCTAGGACTGTTTTCACCCCGTCTCTTTCGACCCCTGTCGATCGGGTGTGAGTTCATGTTGCAAACTTGACGTCTCTCGTTCATCCATATTAATTCTTGGCTTCTTCAGTAGGCTCTCATTCCATACTTGCCATAACAAGATTATCGTTATTTCCGCGTTGAAATTCTTTAAGTCTCCTGTACGTTACCTACTTTGACAACAGTTCGAAACCATCCATCACAGACCCGGCCGCAGTGTCTTCCATCGTGGATTGCTGAACGGACAGACGAGCTATAACTTACTCGGACACAACAACAAGGCAAGATGTGCGGTCTACATACATAACTGAATCAGTTAGCGTATTGGAGAGATTCAGTCTTGAGAGAAACACCCAGTTCATCACATCCTTTTTCCAGCGTCTGCGATATTTTTGTTATATGATCCATCATCATGTCAATCCAACCGCCGTTGAATAACTTCACGGGAATCACCACAATGAACGCCAATGTGACGGGAGTATATGGAACAAACCTCACTGCTCTGGAAGGCCATATTGTTTCCCGAAGAGCCAATCCTGGATTCGTGGTGCTCTCTTACATGATAAGTTATGTAGGAGCATGGACGACAATGGAACTTCTCCATAAAAGAACTTCCTGGAAAGGCATATACAACTGGTACCTAACAAGTCAAAGCTCTTTAAAAGTCTGTCTGACAATGCTTCAGGGGACTTCTTCTCGGCTCAGCGATATCGATGGGTGGCGTTGCAACTTGGTGCATGCACTTTATTTCAACGCGTGCCATCATTTTGGGGCATGGGGAACCAGAAATTCAGATCTCATACAGCACGGGGTACACAGCTCTCTCGTTTTTTGTCCCGGTTGTCGTACTCATGATATCTTTCTGGACGATAGGGGCCAATGACATAGTCAGCATACCCCGAGTTTGCCTAGGGGGAATGCTGGCAGGTTTGGGGTTTAGTGGGATGGTTTACTTGGGTCAAGCAGGTATCTCGAACTATGTCTGCATTTATCTCGTCGCCTATGTGATTCCGTCCGCCATCATCGCCTGCCTTGCCAGTATGGTGGCTTTGTTCGGATTCTTTCACTACCGCTCGAACTGGAATACATCGTGGTGGAAAAGAGCCCTTTCTGGTCTCATACTCGCTACTGGAGTGACTGCTATGCATTGGATCAACATCGCTGGTACTGAGTACCAACTGAAAGTGGTAGATGTCTTTCCACCAAGTAATAGATCCAGGAACACCACGGTGACCATTGTCATCGTCTTTGTAAGCTTTCCTTGTCCGAACAAAGTTTATATTCAGATTCTAATCAAGATAGTCGACATGTGGCTGCGTTGTACTTATGTTTCTTTCGATTGTTGCTCAAGCTCACAGACTTCGGAACATAACCCGAGCACAACAGGTGGTCGTTGCCGCAGCAGTCTTCGATGTCGACAATCGAATTCTCGTCACCCCAGGCGGCTTACTACCCAGCAAAAAGATCACACACCAATTTCTGGAACGGGTGAGCCCTGTCAACACATACTATGTCAGATCCTGCTAAAAGTTCGATAGTCATTCAACGACGTATTTAACGCCTCACACCCAGTGTTTTTATGGATATACAGGACGTCCCACAACTGGTCAGGTATCTCATATCTGGTTCCCGCAATGCGTAGACATATTGACGCGGCTGGTTTTGGTCATCAACACCTCAGGTCAAAATCTTATGCTAACCTTATGACGGAAGAGGGTGACCCCATTGAGGATTACTCCCTCGTATTCAGAGAGCTCTTTTGTTTAGCAACCGCAGATCTTGCAATCCACCTCGAGAGAGATATCGATGACATGGGCATACTATACGAGGAAATTACTGCAACTGGACACCTTTCTTCCGGAACTAGAAAGATAGACAAGGCCAAAGCTATGGTCGCAAAGGGCCGACAACCAATTGACCCAGAGCGCGGAACCATTAACACCGCAGGCGCTGCTGTAGAAAATGTTGGCAAAGGGCAATTGCTATTTCTCGTCAGTCGCGCAGATAAGACCGAGGCAGCAGATCTACAAGCTGCCGGATTTCGATTCGCACCAAAGGAAATGGTGTTGCCCATGTTGTCAGCTTGTCTTCAAATAGATGACAGAGAGATCAGTCGTCGTATAGACCTCCTGATCGACTACATTGGCGACTCGCATATCCTCTCCCCAGGTGTTCATGTCTCATGCTTCGCGATTAGGGCGTCAATCGGCGCCGGCTTCGATGTGCTGGCCAGGAGAGATGCTAGGAATCTCCTTCCGACAATGCAAGTTCCTGAGCTTCGGACGCTAGAGCCATGGCAGTTGGATTACTTAAAATCCATGGAACTCCTTAGCGTAGCTGCAACCATGAAACTCTTTAACAAAGACTCCAAGCCGAAAAACCCGAATGCTGAGCAGCGAGAATTTGCTAAAGCCATGTTGACAACACTGGAGGCAATAAAAGATGAGATAGACGATCCGTTCTTCAACGATGCCCAACTCATTGCGCAACCCATCGAAGCACCCTGCAAGGGAGACAGTGATCACGGTTCTACAGGTGTTGCCTTGCTCATTACTTATAAGATTATAGTTCCAATCCATGCTCGGGCGCCTGGTAAGAAGCTAGATTTCGTACCTCTGAATTTGTTTCGAACACAGCAGCGAGTCTACCCTAATTCTCCCGACCATATACATCTAGCACGAGAAACGTTCCGCGAGTTCTCGAAAGTGCTTGATATGACCGGCTTCGATGAGGACTCCCACATGCGTGCTGCCCCTTCCAAGAGCAAGTTTTCTTTTAGGAAGATGGCAACTCGCAAGAAGAGTGCTGAAGCCCAGGTCGGCGAGCCCATTGATAAAGACGGAAGGGGCGTGTCACAATCTGGTAGTGGTCACCTGAAGCCGCCCGGTTCATCGAAGATCAAGTTTTGGGAAAAGGGCCATAGGAAGGGACTGGACAACTCATCGCAGGAAGGATTGATAGGCCCCGAGGATGAAAGTGCTGATTCTGAATTTCCGACGTCATCAAACGAAAACGGCATAGAGATGAAGAAGTTGTCCTCGGAGCACATCGAGAAGAAGGCCGGCCCCAGTAAAGACGAAGGAGAGAAGCGGACGTATATCGATGAGATGTTTGCTATCACTATCAAGACGAAGGAAGGGGCGAGGGTATGATGCTTGAAAAATTAGGGTTCGGAGTCAGGATAGGATGCTGGGATTCGCCGGATAGTGCGATTAATGGGAAGAGCGTGTTGTACAGTATTGGAATGGAGCTTTTCCCTGTACTTAGGGAAACCGAAACGCTTGTCGATGTATCTTTAGTGGGCGTCTTTGACGGTCTGATAAACCGATTAAGTCGTACAACTATGTCTTACTGCGCCCAATGTTTCTCCCCAAAGCACCACTCCTGCGACAGCCACCATCAGAAGCATAGCTCATGTCACCTTCCCCATAATCGACCATTCCTTACGAGATATCAAATTCAATGTGATGGTTAGATCCTTAAAACTTTGCTTCGTAGTTGCCGGTTTCAAATGTTTCCGTGTCGTAGAAGAGGGCTGAGATGGTGTTTCCATTGAAGATACGACCCTCCAGAGCGTTTACAGCCTGCGCGTTTGATGTTAGCAATTGAAGGAACGGTGAGAAGATAATCTCACCCGAAGAGCTGAGAGCTGGTTTGTGAATTTCACGAAGACCTTTGGCGTTTCGCCATTCCTGTCAATATAAACTCGTTCCACGCGACCATACTAAGAAACCCATTAGCAACAATCCATGTAACTTGCAAAAAGCTACAAGCCTTTTCGTCGCATTCGTCTCCGATTTCCTGCATCAGGCCTCCATCTCCAGCAGATTCAACTTCCTCATCGAGATTCATGCCATCAACCATACCTCGTAGTACAACAACCTCTGACATTGCTCCAAACTTCCCAGTCTCTGATTCCTTCTCTGGAACATTTTTTTTACCTCCTATAATTTTACCTCTTCCACCAGGGGGATCACGGAAACCTCCACCTTCAGCATCAGATTTCTTTTTCCGCTTTTCAATTTGCACACGTAGAGGATTTACAATGCCTGAGCCGTCCGCTCCAAGTCCTGTACCTTTACTCCAACCATATTTAGACATCAGCCGCTCAGCAAACCCTTTCTGACCTGGTCGACGTGAGCGCGGTGTGTCTTCTGTGACTGTTAGCTCGTCGCCTTCTTCCGGTTCCGCGGCAAGAGCTTGTTCGAGTTCTGCTTCTGAACTGGGAAGCTCGCTGGGTGCGGGTGGGAGATTGTAGCGCACTGGTGCCCTGGATATAGCTCCTTCAATAATGGCTGGTTTGGGAAGCTCCAAAGCTGGCGGGTTTGTTTCTAGAGGTGGTGGAGGAGGAACAGTGCTTGCTTTTGGTGATGGTGGATCTATGGGAGGAGGTGCGAAAGAATAATTCGAAGGAGGTGCAAATTGACCTGAAACATCATTAGCAGAAGGATCTTGCCTGGGTCTGGGATCACCGTACTGTTCATTTGAGGCCGGTAGTCCTCATCATCGCTGTCCTTTTCACTCTCGGACTTTCGTGCCATTCTATGGGCATACAGCCGATCCTTCCATTCGCGAATTTCTCGAATCTTCTCATCACTGTGTTTGTACTCCTCATAACTATTGGGTCGTGCTGGGTCATAGATATCGTCCCAATCTTGTGCTGCAACATGTTCTTCTCTGTGTTTGTTCTTCCTCCTCTTTCGGCCTCCTCTTTGTCGCTTCTCCCCCGCATAAAAGCCGTTCACATCGTCATCGTCCCCAGTCGCAGTCCAATCGGCAAGAGTACTCTTCACTGCGGGCTTCGCGGTTTGTGGAGGTTTCGATATTGATGCTGGAAAGCTTCCTGTTTCCTGTGGAACAGCTTTCGGAAACTGGCCTTTTGGCTTAGCTTTTTGTGGCAGCTGGGGTCTCTTCGTTGGCTGAAAGCGTAGCGTAGCTATGAGACGAGACACAGAGAGTGAGCAATCCTTTTCGAAAACTTAGAAGAAGGAGAATAGTCTACCAGCATCTATGTTGGGTTTCTTGGAAGAAGCATCTTCTTGGACATCAGGATTGGGTTTAAAGACGACAGGGCCTCTTGAGACGGTCGCAGATGAAGTCGTGCTGTTTGAGTCAAGCAGGTTTGCGTATAACGAGAGGCCCGCTCTCGGTACTGGAGTTGAGTTTGGCTTTGACATTATGGTCGGTGATGGTTCGCGGGTTAGAGATCATAGATTGAGGTTGACATCCAGCCTGACGCGTGAGGCTGCCAAATCGAGAATATGCGATATAAAATAAGAGGTCCACAGATGCGGTTTACACGTGAGGCTGAGCTGCAGTTCCTGTCGAAAAGCGGACTAATCTACCGGGGTCTGCTTCGCCATAATTTGTCACAAAGCTTAGCTGTTTTGGACCAGTAAGAAACTGACCACGAATTACAGCATGGCCCATGCGAACTCCGTAACTCGGTGATAAGATGGGAAGATCAAACCGCTTCCTGTCACGTCACCGTCCCAAGAGATCTCGAAGCTGACCAGTACAGCTTTAGGGACGAATTGTTCTGTAAACAACCTGGAAGCTTTTGTCGATTGATTCATTTTAGTATCATTTTGCTGAATTATCGAATTGCAATTGCAATCCCACCTCAAATTTCCACGATGTCTGCTACAACACTCTCCACTTCCTTCTCGTCCGGGGATACTACTACCGCCATCATCATTCCTGGCAAGCAGCCTCTTACTATATCGTACCAAAACCTTTCTGCTGAAATTTTATCATTTCAAAAGAAACTTGCCAAACTCGGTGTCACTCCAGAAGCGGCCGTGTCGATCGCTCTTCCCAATACTTACGAATTTATCGTTGCTTTCCTAGCCAGCGCCTGGCAAAGAGGTATCGCGGCTCCTCTCAATGCGGCATATAAGCAGGAGGAGTTTGAGTTCTATATCGATGACCTGAAATCCGCGGTGGCACTAGTGCCAAAAGGATCGTTCGAAAAGGATGGTGCTGCGGTGAAAGCTGCAAGAAAATACAAAGCAGCAATTGCGGAATGCTATTGGAATGGACAAGAAGTGGTGCTCGATGTGAAAGACGAGGGGAAGCTGAAAGGGAAAGGAAACCAAAAAGTTGAGCAGGCTCAACCTGACGATGTCGCCTTGGTCCTCCATACTAGTGGTACAACTGGACGACCAAAGGCAGTGCCATTGACACACAAGAACCTTACAAGGACAATGAAAAACATCAAAGATACATATCAGCTTTCGCCCGCTGATAGGACGATGCTTGTTATGCCACTTTTCCATGTCCACGGGTTGCTGGCGGGCTTCTTGGCACCGTTGTACTCAGGCGGTTCAGTCATCGTCCCTCTCAAGTTCTCTGCATCCGAATTCTGGGACGATTTCATCACGCACAAGGCGAATTGGTATACGGCAGTTCCAACCATTCATCAGATCTTGCTTAAGAATCCGCCTCCAACTACAAAGCCTAATATCCGGTTCATTAGATCGTGTTCGTCTCCCTTGTCACCAACAACCTTCCATCAATTGGAGGAGACATACAATGCTCCGGTTTTAGAAGCATATGCCATGACAGAAGCTGCCCACCAGATGACCTCCAACCCTCTGCCACCAGGAAAACGCCAACCGGGAAGCGTAGGTATTGGGCAAGGTGTAGAAGTCGCGATTCTCGACCAGGAGGGGAAGAAAGTGAAACAGGGGTCGGAAGCCGAAATCTGTATTCGTGGAGAGAATGTTACTAAAGGATATTTAAACAATCCCGAAGCGAATAAGTCTTCCTTCACGAAGGACGGGTATTTCAGAACTGGCGATCAAGGAAAACTCGACAAGGATGGATATGTGATCATTACTGGCCGAATTAAGGAGCTGATCAACAAAGGTGGTGAGAAAATCAGCCCAATTGAGCTTGATAACGTACTTGCCAGACACCCGAAAGTCAGCGAGGCTGTCAGTTTCGCTATCCCTGATGAAATGTACGGTCAGGATGTCGGCGTTGCAATTGTGCCTAAAAGTGGAGAGAATTTGGGCGAGAAAGAATTGAGAGAATGGGTCTCGCAGAAGGTTGCCAAATTCAAGATTCCCAAAAAGGTATGTAGACCTCCCACTGAGATTTTGGTTTTGAGTCATTGTTAATTGACACGCGCAGATTTACTTTACGGACAACATGCCTAAAACAGCAACTGGAAAAATCCAAAGGCGTATCGTTGCAGACACGATGATGAAGCAAGACCAACCTAAAGCCAAGCTATGAAGAGTTTGTTTATGCACCCTTGTTCTGTCCAAATTTCAATATACCATCAATACCTTGTTATGTCATCAATTACATGTATTATTGATAGAATTAGATATTGGCATATACATAATCAAGAATATCATGTAGTAGTTCAAATTGGCTGAGGACGGTCCGCCGTGATGAAAGAAGTGGCAGTGACCTGCAAATGACCTAAATAGTGTCTTGGATACCTAGGTAGATTATGATACTTCGCGCCAGAAGACCTTCTCATAACACCAGATATCAAAATAAAACTTCAAAGATGTATTATGAGCTTTCACGTCAACATGGTGTCTCAACCGCGTCTTTTATTGTCCACCGCAAGCACCCTATACCAAAACTCAGAAGCTGACACGTTGAGTGTACGCACATAGCGAAGCTGTTAAGCCACAACAGAGTTTTTAAGGCTCTAGGCAAATGAACAGCATTTTAAAAGGCGCAAGAATCGTTCTGGGTCATTCAGTAATATGTAAAAGGCTACGTTTTGTAAGCCAGAACAGGGGTATAGAATGCCGTGGTTTATATGTAAAGACTGAAGAAGAAAGGAGGAAACCATCGCTGAATTTTCCTATTTTAAATAGAAACGCTAGACTTGATGTGGATGGCGGGGATAGCTGCAGGGATGTATCTACCATGTGACTAGGTGGCGTTCTCGCGTTTGAGGTCTCTTGAACGTCGTTTCTTCACCGAAATCACCTTCAACTTAATATAAACATCAATGTGTCTGCTTCGAGTAGTATTCTAGACAGAGCTAGAGTAAAATTTGTCTTGTATTTTCAATTCTGTCCTATCTTCTTCCAACATTTAAGAGCTGCCTCTTGCTATCAAATTTGATATCGTTTTCCAACACCATGTCGACCCGCAAGAATAAATATCCCAAGACCGAAGAAAAACCAGTCTCAGGCCCGAGCCGAAGGGTCCGGATCCCAGAAAATAAAATAAAAATATCGAAAATGACTCAAGGGTCATCCTCTGGGGAGCCTACAAAAAAGCGCAAAGCCCGTGACAACGGTGCGGATGATGAGAGTAACGAGAAGCCTGATTCTAAGTCGACCACTAAGAAGAAAAAAACCGAAATTCTCGAGGAAAAGAGACTGAAAAGATATAGGGCAAAGGCCCCTTCGTCGTATCTTGAGCGTTTGAGTCGCGTGAAGAGTCAACGTATGTTTCTGATTGACAGACATAAAATTACTAGTGTGGATGGTGTCGATGAGAAGGAAGTATTTGATATTGCAGGTACTACGGGAAATATCTACCAAGTAACGATAAGCAGAATTCCGACTTGCTCGTGTCCGGATTATCTCAATGGAAATCAGTGCAAACACATTATCTACGTAGGTTTTAAGACAATGCTTGCGAGTGGTGCTGATGTCCATAGGTTCTCGTCAATATCCTGAAAGCCCGTGAAGATCTTTCCTTTCAGCTAGCGTTTTTGACAGAGGAATTGGCAGAGATGTTTGCCAATGCACCGGAAACACCGCAATCGTACGATGGTGCTCACGATGCCACTGACACAGGGGGTCGTCGCAAACCTATAGAAGGAGACTGCCCAGTATGTGTCATGGAATTTGAAGAGTCTGATAGATCGGAAGATATAATCTGGTGCAAAGCTGCGTGTGGAAATAATATCCATCGTCATTGTTTCGAGCAATGGGCTAGAAGCAAGCCGGGGGCACCAAAGTGTGTATATTGTCGCACGGTTTGGAAGGGAGACGAGGACAGCTTGAAGAGGATTGCCAAAGGAGCAGGCAAAGTAGGCGCAGAGGGGTACATTAATGTTGCGAGTGAGTTAGGTTTGAGTGCCGAGCGAGATATGAGCTCTTACCATCAGCATTGGGTTGATCGCGAATTCGGTCGCAGGCAGTATGGCGGATATGGCTACGACCAATATTAACCATCCAACGTTGATTGTAGAATAAGATGAAAGCGCTGGACTCACTTGGGGCTGATCACCGAACACCTGGGCAATTGGCAGGTCCGTCGTCATATATCGCGTCGTGCGTCTTCGAATCTCACGCTAACTATCTCGCAGCTACCTAGTAACCGTCGCGTCTTACCCCTATGAGCAAAAGAAACCTTTGAGAGGACGCCAATGGCACAAGACTGGCTAGCCTGATTTAAAACTTTTTTGGTCGGTGGATCCACTGGAAGGCGTCTTCTACTCAAGAAGGGAGGCCTGCCTCTTTTGTGTCCATTGCATCTCTCATGAACTATCACCAGAGCTACTTGCGTTTTCCACCTGTCGCAACCCGCGTTGCGATATCAGCTTCAATTGGTTTGTAAAGTTTCAAACGGCTCGGAACACTCTTACCATATATTATCGCTAAAACGATTCGAGAGCGAAACAAATCTGGCAGTCCAAGGGACCGCAAAATCGAACATGGCTTTCTACAACCAATTCAACCATCAGGTCGGCGAATCCTCGCGGTCCAACCCCAACTTGACACCACCTCACGATCAATTCCATAATCATGTGAACCATAAAGGTCGCTCACGATCTAACGCTTACCTACCACCGCCCCTCAGCCAGTTTCAAGATCATTCGCAACCCAATGACCTGCTACCACCCCCATACACCCCATCCACGTTTACCTTCTCTACGACTGCTCCACAATCATCTTCTTCGTTCAAGAGAAAAGCCGGTTGTATGGGCGCTTCACATGACATTTGTGGCACCAAGAAAATAAAAAGTAGCTGTTCCTCTAGCGCTTCGCTCCAACATAGGCCGCCCAATACTACAGAGATTGTCCATAATCGCCATATGTCCGACTCAGCTGAGATTGCTAGTGGGCGATCAGGGGTCCAGCCCGATGGAGGAACTACTCGTCGCCTTTTCCAACGGAGCCCTGATAATAGCGATGCGGCAATAAGATTTTCAAGAGCTGCACCATCGTCGACGGGAGACGAATCCGATCAGATGGATTCCCCTGCAGTCTTTCCATCAACGTGTAGCACAGCTTACACATTTTTAACATCGCGTTCGGACTCACACCCTTGCGATAACGGACATCTCTATGAAGATACAGGTCGCAGATATGATACCAGAGAAATGGCCGATCCTGATACTGAGATGACTGTGGATGCTGAAATAGGTACGTACTTATCATCACGCTCCACACAGACTATTTGGCTGATTGATGGAGTTACCAACGGGTGCTTGTATTGTACCAATGATGCGTGTGCTGGATGTTGAGAAGATAGCATGTCTTTTTGTTTTTGAATATCAGGTTAACCACGGTTGACTCTGTCGTTGGGTTGTTTTTATAAGGCGTTTGAAGTGGTAAAGGTAGAAAGCCTGGATGTGCAATGGTTGGGAATGGCATAGGATAGAAATGGTACATTGTGGAGAGTTCTGGCAACCTGCTGACGAGTTGGAGGTTGGAGAATTAAGGGGACAGGGGTCACAATTGGAGTTGGAAAGCTGGCAAGGTTTATGTCAAAATTAGCATCGAGTGAATTGAACAACGAGTAACCCGAACCAAGACTTGGACCGTACAGGTAAAATTAATAATATTCATTCATGCATTCGCCTTGCCACGTGCTTGCTACCCAGAATTATACGGCATTTTATCAAGAGATACCCGCACAGGAGACGAAATAATGGTCAGTCGAATCCTGATATGTCGTCGACTAAGTGGACAAATTATCGTCTATTTCATCTACCATATCTAGTAAACAGGTTGGACCTGTGAAACTCTGTTGAAACCCAAATAATAACTGTAACGACTTTCCCGCTCTAGATCGGCCTTTGAAATGACAGAGTAGCCAAGAGATTCTACCCCCTAGGTATATGGTCCTCTGAGGTAGCCCGCTGACGAGGAAAGGCGGGAGAGCGTTCGTCTCTATAAATTCAACATTTAGTGGCCTTTCTGAACACAGTATCATATATTTAATAGTTACACTTTATGTCAACTAAACTCCTACGCGTGATTATGTCCCTCCAAAGCCTATGCAATATGTCTAGGCTCAGCCGTATAAACATACCATCGATGCACTATCTCCCCCCCAGTAATTATCCAATATGTCTAACCCACCCAACTCTTATCGTATAGTATTTTACAGCCCTAGGTTGTAGAGTTTCCTTAGAGGCCGAAACAAAACCAAACCTTGTAACGCCTACTTTGCGAACAATCAAGTATTTAATCATCTGTTTCCTGCTCCGCAGCGACACGCAGCTCATAGTTTAGCTCGAAACATTCGGAGAGAAGTTCAATGACGCTTCCTTGGCCTTCGGGAATTTCTTTTCCAACCATGAACTTCCCGTCTACCCTCATATTATCCAGGGAGTTGAGCTATGAGATTGTTAGTGGCTAACGCGACCGAAGCGGGTGTACCTACCTTCATACTGTATGGATACAACTCTCTCGGTGAGCTTACCCCACCTGAATTTTGAACTTCCAGTAGGCATCGCTTCAGTGTCTGCAGTTGATTATAAACAGGCAAAAGTGCTTCTGAAACTGGCTCAGAGGCAATCATTAGAAAGTATATATATGCGTAACTCCGGCGAATGAGGTAGAGTAATGTCTGACGCTATGTTAGCACTTGATTTGGGCAAAAGTTGGGCCACATACCCTTTGTACATAAAGTTCTGCAAAGTTGCCTTCTGAATCAACAAAGTTGCCATCGATACGGCTCTCGTCAATCCTGTCCAGTTGTCTTTGGTAATCATACAGATCGGTCTCTCTAAGTGACCATGCTTGAGTAAGAGAAAGCTTTTCTAGTTTATTCCGGATCTCAACAAGCGTTTGGTATTTTTCGCGGAAAGGCTCTGGGCAGACTCCTTTTCTGTTTGACAGTCAGCTATGTTCCTCTAAACTTGAGTGTGCGCATGCTCACCGTTCCAAAACCATATTAGCCCAGTAGATTCCCTTAGTTAAAAGCTCAGAGACCTCGTGATCGCCTGCTAACACCTCTCCGTTTACTGTAACGAACTTGCCTTCTTTTCGCTGGGCGTCAATTTCTTTCAACTGCGCTTGCAACTTCTGGACCTCAGTGGCAGAAAACTATTCATGAACATATTAGTCCTTCGTCAATTGTGTATTCGCCTATAGATATAAGACATACCTTGGACTTAGTGTTTGCAAGGGAAAGGGACCGGAGAATTGAAATCAACTTCTCATAAGTTGGCATGATCTCATCCGATAACCGGGCGAGACGTGTATTTAAGGTTACCAGAGAGCGCTGGCATACCTCGATGCGGTTTGAAAGGAGCGTGATGAAGTTTTCTGAATGAGACGAACTAGCAGCTTTCACCATCTCCCGTAGTCTCTCGAGTGTCTGCGAAATGTGGGCTAGATCTTTCTCCGAGTAGATATCCACCTCAACCAAATGGTCCAGTAGTCGTTTTATGGTCGAGGTTAGGGCGTAAGCAGCTGGTGCCTCGTTGTTGCGACCAATGGTCATAAAGAAAAGTGAGAGAAGCTGAAAACATCCATCCAATACGCGATCAACTAGCCGTGAAACTATCAGTATATATACTGTCTCTGTCTAAGCAGGCAGTCGAACCTTGATTATCTTCCGTCGGCTTGTCCGCTCTAATTTCATTGAGCAACTTGACTTGTTCGACGACCTTGTCATACAATGGCATTACATCGGAAGATTTGACATATGTTGTACGATCCTGCTTCAAAAGAGTTAATTGGTCCCGCAAGACGCGTAAAGATTGGAGGACTGGTTGTTCTCGTGGGTCGAGCGGCGGAGGTAGGTTTGGGGTGTCCATTGCGGGGACAATTCAATGCCTGTTCTTGTAGTTGCGTGAGTATGTTAAGCTCGTAACAATAGTCATCTGCTGCGTCGAGGTTGTGGGAGTATTCGCGCTGATATCCGGGATGCTGCTCCGTCTGGACGAGCACGAGAGAAGAGAATCTTGAGATCTACGAACTGCGAACTGCGAAGGGCTGAGGGCGCGGGGAACCCGGGCAAGGCTAGCCTCACTCCGGCGGGGCTAGTTCATGATAAGCACTGTGCTTGATCGCCCAATCACAGCTCACGTCACGCCCCACCTCGAACTTTCCGCGCACACTCGATTAATTTCTAAATTCGTCTCGGTTTTCAACTTCCCACGAACAATCCCACAAATCAACACGAACTTGTCGTTTCAGTCTCCGCCCAATTCGCGGTTAAAGTGATTGATTCTCCTGTTCATCCCAAACAATTTTCATAAATCTAACAAAATGTCGAACGCCGAACTTGCTGTCTCTTACGCCGCTCTCATCCTCGCCGATGACAAGGTTGACATCACCGTAAGAATCCTTATATCCTCACCATGCTGCGGCATGGAGGAAAGCTCTACCATATACTAACTCTACCCAGGCCGACAAGCTCCAGACCTTGATCAAGGCTGCCGGTATCGAGGATGTCGAGCCAATCTGGACCTCTCTCTTCGCCAAGGTACGAAATTAAACTCGAAACTGAGGGAGGAGCAGTTGCTGATATTTGGATTTTAGGCCCTCGAGGGTAAGGATGTTAAAGACCTCCTGTTGAACGTTGGATCCGGTGGAGGTGCCGCCGCCGCTGCCCCATCTGGAGGTGCTGCTGCTGGAGGTGATGCTGCCGCTGAGGAGAAGCCTGCTGAGAAGGAAGAAGAGGGTAGGTTCAATCGGCTCTGTCAACTGATACGACATGCTGACATTATGCCTAGCCAAGGAGGAATCCGACGAGGATATGGGTTTCGGTCTTTTCGACTAAGCAATCACTTATCTCCCGTTTGTTCTTACGAATGCATAGCAACGGTTCACTGGGTTGTGGGGAATCATTGGGCTGGTTGGGAAGCTTACATAGATAAGCAATCTCTAGACGGATCACCACACGAAATTTACCGGCCTGGAAATCATTGTGCATTATGTGTCATGAAATTTGAAAGCTACCGTGATAATTTTCATTTGTGCTTGGATGGTGTACTAACATTGCCTCTGCGCGATTTGTGGAATCGTATGCGTTTCGCATGGAGCAGACGTTTAAGGGTAGTAGTCATTTTAGTACGGCGTCCCTTATCACAAATTGAAGGACTCCTCTCGGATCTCAACCAAAGACTTCACACGCCCACGGCCATGGAACCGAGCGGACTGAAAGACTATGTCACAACTCATGAAGAATGATGAATGTCGCAACCTTATTCGAAACAAATGTTGGTTTTTGAATGTTCCCAATATATTGAAGTTTACACTAAATTTATGATATCTGAGTGTCTCCTTGATTCAGTAGCATGGATTATAATTTCTTCACATCAACAACCACTTTTCCTATAAACGAGGCTTCTTGCCTAGCTTCCTCGCAGGTGCATCGGTTGGTCAATTCAGAAATGTTTGATAATCTACAGGTACCTGCAGAAATCGATGGTAACGTACGGTTCTTATGGCATTCTGAAAGCGCATTTGAATGGATACACCTGGACCTAAACACAAAAGCAATTAGCAATACTGAGTCTCTCCAGAAGAATCCACACATGGCTACATCTATCTGAGATCAGAAACAGCAAAAGAGTTTGAAACTTACCTTACTAAAATCCCAAACCTCATTCTTGGCATAAATGTCATTCTTCAACACCTCAAATATCTCCTCCTTAGACGCAGCAACGCATACTAAGGCACTGCCCACAATACCCATTGCTTCTCCTTCTTTTGGAACTTCATCTAAGATTGCACCTTCGCTTTCGTTAGCTTGCCAACCCCTCCGGCTTCCCTGTAAGACGGCACAAGTGCTACGCGTTCGTCCCACGGAATTTGAGATGAGCTTAAGAAAGAACATAAACATACCTCCCATTTTATAAAATCCGTTGTCGACATTCTTAGTTAGACCTTCAAAATGCTTTCTGGAGATATTTAGTACATGTGAATCAACAGGGCGGGAGAACCAACGGTCTGACTTCCATCCTCTTCGCAAATTTCCCCTCTCCATCTGGGAGTATAACCAACCACTCGAACTTCCCTTCTGGAACCGTGATTGGATTTGCTGATGCCATTTTCCTGACTTGCTGGAATCTGGGTGCCCGAAATGCTTTTATACTAGAAGAATAACTCAATTGAGCTCCAGGAATTGGGAGGCGTAAAGGAAGGGGAAGCTGGAGAGCTCGGGTGAGTGTTGGAGCTGCCATTTCGCATATGTGAAAGCCGACGTTGTGAGATGTGGGGAAGTTTGGTTCAGGTGGGGTGCTCAAACTACATGCACACCTACTGTTTAAGTAGTGATAAAATCACACCGGGAGAGGTTATCCTGCTTCTGTAGCCGTCTAGGATTCCAGCGAAAATCTTCATATGACTGAGCTAAAGGGCAAGTGGAAAAGTTTAGGTGAGTGTCCCTATGGAAATCAAAGACGCGGTCAGCCGGGGCGGTTCAAAGCTTACCGTGTAAGTAAACATCGTCAAAACAAGGGCGTATAGACGACACGTACCTTCTTTGGGATTTTGAAATTGTGATATGCTCAGGGGGTAAAACTCTTCAGACTTTTGACCTGAGAAAATGCGTAAGTGGTCCTATGTTATGGGGATTTATATCACACTAACAGCGATGAAACTGGACTTTCCAGCTTGGACTGAAGACGAACTCCGACTCCTGAGCTGCGGGAAGATGGCTCAACTACGACACGGACACTGCCGAGAAGTAAATTCACAAAAAGCGGTGATAGAGAGTAGCTCCGGAGGACAAAATAAGTGGCAGTCACCTACCCGCATCTTTTAGACAAAATAGCAAGTCGACTTCGAACAGAGCTTAAAAATTCACATTTACTTAAAACAATCGACGCAAGTGTGATAATGTTCTAAGTTGATCCACTGAATATACGATGTTTCGTCAACTTAGTCGAAGAAATACTCTGTTTCGGCTGCCACTTATTTGTCCTCCGCGAGAGCAGGTCTATTGGCCATAGCTGCCAATAGTGCTGAACGCGTTTCATTGTATTCTGGCGTGTGGGTCTACGGGCTCCAGTATGATGTTTATTACAACTAAAGTTTAGTAGACATGATGCAAATTGTCTTTGACTTGCCTACATCCGTCCTTGGCCAGAAGGTGTGAAAGTATTCGGGTTGATCTTCGAAGGTGATGCCTACTAGAACCGAAGTCCATAAGTCCATTGACAGTTTTAGTTCCTCGAACTTACGATAGCATCTTACGACAACGTTTTAAAAGCTACACAGATCGATATTAATACAATGTTTGCGGTGACAAGCAAAACTCCTGGCGAGGGGCGTCGAGCTTATTCTCCATCAGCATACTTCTTCTTTGCCCACGAGCAGCGAGTCAACCTGCAAGAAGAATATCCAGATGCCACGATTAGTGAACTTCCTCTTACCGAGCATGAAACATCCGATCTAACTCATTTTAGGTGCAATACAGAAGACATCAGCCCAATTATGGCAGAAAATGAACACATCCGAGCGAGCTCCTTATGAGGAATTGGCGTTAGTTGAGAGAGAGCGCGGTATATGCGCCGTAACGCCTTTGGGCAAACCAACATTTGAGGTGTTGACGCCTTCGACTCCGTCTATCAACACTCCGGCAGGTGGTCCTTCGTTCAGCGAGCTTGAGGTGCAGGCACCTTCAACTTTATCCGTCAATATTCTAGCAAATGACGATTCATTCAGCGAATTGGGAGAACAGGCCGACGTTGAATTTCTACCGACCAGCAGCTGGACGGCAATCAATACCCCAGGTCGGCAGAATGATACAAGTAGCACATCCTCAACACAACCCGTCGTCAGCGGCTCTGCAATATCAGAACAACAGATGCTGATTGGTATTTCCTCGACTTTCTTCAGCGTGGTGGAAACGGAGCACGACGATCGTCCTTACATTTACACAGTCTCGGTCTTGAAACTCCCTCTAGGGGTATATAGAGAGCACCAAGAGAGCATCATTCATTTCTACCTCAATATGACAGCCGCCAACAATTATCTTCGACACCTATGTGAGCGACGCCTCAATTTAGACGACCCAATGTCGTGCTATGCTCATGGAACCAACAGCGACCAAGGCTTGTGGTTTGAGAGAACAGATGAAAATGGAAATGGTTATCGGATTCTAGCTAAAAAGCGATGCGTCGACGTGGATGGGAGACGTGAGCGAAAGGTTCAAGAGGAATGGGGAAATCCGCATGCCAGAATTAGACATCAGCCGAAATGAGAACGAAGAAGGATTGGGTCCCACAAACTAACGTCAGGGACGAGGATGGAGGCAGTGGCTAATTGAGGTTTGAGGACTCATCGTATGCAACCGCAAACAGTATTTCACTTTAGTACGGCCTGAGTGTTACCGATTATTGCAACTTTAATGTTCTTTGCTGGTGGAATTTCTTAAAAATGTATCAAAAAATAGTAGTGTTTTGAAATGTCTACATTGTGCCTTGACTTTATCTACCAGTTCCTACCCTAAAAACTCTACAGTACACCCATATCTTCAGACCACTATCACGAAATTACATTTGACTAAAATGACTTCGGTTCTTGAAACTCACAGTGACCTGCAAGACATTGTGTCAGAAAGTGAAGAAGCTCGAGATTGCCCTGCATGCCAGGAATTCCATTCATGGAAGAAAGGCCGTATCATAAGGGGCAGGCGATTGTGGTAATTTGGATGGAAGCTAGCCTTGTCGGATCTTTCACGTAGTCGTGGTGCCAGATTTACTATTGACAATGCGCTGCACTTCTTACCAAAGGCATACTTCAGTGCATATCTTGCGAAATGACTGACAGCTGCCGCGCCGGGGCGTGATTGACATGACAGTATCGTGACTAGCCTAAAACTCTCTCATGAAACAATGTTTACACCTCTAGTAGGTCAATATTGTTTCTGAATATATGAAACATTGTACACTGTATACCAATATTCCAACGATTATGTACGTGTTTGCTGGCAAGTGACAAAGCAAAGCGATTGATATATCTTGATGACCATAGATCTAGGTCTTCTCCACCACTCTGTATTTGTTGAACATTTCCCGGAGCATCCGCCTACGGAAAGACTTTGCATCATAGTCGGGAAACCCGATCTAGAATTGTTGTTCTAACCACTAAGGAAGTTTAGTCCCCTGCTACTAACCACAAGCTAGGCCATACCACCCCACGAGCTGGCCGCGTGATTAATCTCATTAACTATCGTGAATCTACAGACGTTCACCTAATTGTAGATTATATTTTAAATCTTTTCTACATCTCCATCAAGAAGATCTTCACTCTATCATTATCTCATATCCTCTACCCTCGTCACTGCCGACCATTTTACGAACGACTTAAAGGGATCTAAGAACAAATTCTCTGAGGATAGCAGATCACGAGACCATCTACGTGGAGGATTCTAATATGAAATGGAGGAATGGAATTGGAGGTTTCAGAGACGGATGTGGCATGAAACCACAAGTATACTTCCGGGACATCGATTACACAAGGTCGACAACGATTCAGATACTGCCATCGTTATCGCCATGTTCTTCGAACACACCCAATCCTGAAAAGACGATTACAGGTGAAGATCTAGCACCAACAGAAACCCAAGCTAAATCTGAAAACCAACGGGACCAGTCTCAGGCTCACCACATGGTCCGCGAGATATCTGATAGCACGAATTCTCTCACAAATACGTGGAGACCTGCAATGAAATTACCAGAGGAGGTTGCTTATGAAACAAAGTCGATCAACCGCCAGAGAATTCTTCTCTCGTATGCTGGACTCTGGAAATCGTTTTCTCACAGGGAATTTGACACAGTGAGTCAGATAGATCGTGAGTAAATAGCGCTGTGGACTAAAGCACTAATTTGTTGATCTAACTGCATTTCTGTAGTCGTGATGTTGCTTGGAGGCGCAGATGGACGATACTTTGCTGCATGGATGCGGGAAGCCGAGGAACAATTTCCACGGAAACGGTCGACTGAGAAAGCAAGTTGGGTATTTGGTGGAAGGTGTGCAAGAAAGGAATGGAGGAGGCAAAGAAACATCATCGCCTGGGCATTGATATGTGTACATCTCGCCGAGCCGGAGTGGGTGAAATCCTTCATTCCTCGAATTGGACAAAGACCTGTCCTATTTAGGGAAGTTTGAGCCCAATCGTTTTGCAAAGTTAACATTATTTGCCACAGGGTGGTGAAGATCATTACCGGTATTGTGAGCAGGAAATACAAGTGGAGTGACCAGAATATCTTGACACAATGCAGATGTTTAAAAAAAGCACAATTTTTCATTCATTCATTGCTTTCCCTGGAGCACCAGTATCAAAGCTACATGTGATTATGAATATAGTCAAGGCCGAAAGTTTGTGAAGGTTCGATAGCCCTTGTCCACACTTGCTCACAACCTCTCTTCAGTCATCGGAAAAGTGTTACGCCGGCCACAGAGCTGAGATAAGTTGTAACAGAACCTGAAGTTATAGACCTTAATGCGAATAGGGCCATCATAGATGATCCCGAAAACGCACAAAATAGACAACAGCTTCAGATCCTTCCTGAGGTATGATAGCACCGGCGGCAAACGCGGCACAAAAAGATCCCGTAAGACGACCCATCCTGAAGCCATACTCTAAAATACGACTTAGCTTTCAATAGGTGTCATACTTGCGCAGATCTCTGCCTATCAATATTGATGGAGGACCTGTTCCAGCAAGTGCTGTGTCGTGCAACAGACATAGTTCTTGTCTACAACAGAGTCTTGAATTATGAGACGTTGAGGAAGGTACCCAGACACCACCGGAGTTGTCGAAAAAATGTAAATAGCAACATGCTTCAGATGAACGTTGCAACAAGTGTCATGAGGCGTGAATTAGTCGGACCTTCAGGTAAAGTGAAGCTTCTCGCTAGCTGGATCTTTCAACAGTTGTACGCTGGGGAAACAAACCAGAGCTACGCCACCTGCCATACTGAAGCCAACATAATTGATAGGAAGATGACTCTATCCTTTGCAACTGCTGGGAACTGAATCGTAGGTGACCAAAGACGCACGCATAGCTGGCTGAAGCTCGAAATATGACTGAAGGACAGAGGAGCCTGAACCCCGCGGTTAAGAACCGAGAAAAAACAACATTCCATTATGTGAAATCGTAGAGATTGTTGATGCAATGAATGCATGAGTTTGCCTGCTACTTGACAGCTATTTGATTGGGATATAGGACGAACCGCGAGAGAGACATATTGAAGCCTGACACGCGACGGACAAAATAAGAGGGATTCGCAATCTCGCGGTAACGACAATAGCTTAACACCGATAATATGGCAAGTAATTAGATTAAATCATAGTATATTAGAGTACTTCTCTACGCCTCAGTATTTTCTCAGGATTTTTTGGAAAGGACTTTCGTTCACTTAGACTATAATCTGCGATTTTGGGAAATTCCGCTTCTTCTATCCATCGCGTGCCTAACTGCAGGTAAATATCAAGGTTGCACTGCAAATAGCTTGCAATGCTCGTATGCACACATTTGCTGACCAGGTTGATGCAGACTTGAATGTCTTGTTGTCGAGATGCGTCTCTAATATAAAACCTTACGTCTTCTAGGGTGCTGTCAATTCAAATTGTTAATGCTTTCGAGATTGTCGTCCACACCAGTCACGTGCTTAGCCGCTAAGCTTGCTCTCGGAGCTCTTTACGACCAAAGACTCGAAGTCAACTGAATAAACAACACACATAATCACAACCACACTCACCGTTTTCCACCGCCACCGACTGTGTGTACATTTACAACGCAGTCATATTCTCCTGCTACGACGGTTGACTTGTTATTGCATAGCCAGTCTCAGCAACTATGAATGTTTTGTTGCAACCGACGACGCATGTGTTTTCCGAGTTCCCTTACGACGCACATCACAGACCCAGTATGGATCCTCCCATATAGGGCCCTCTGCCCAAAGTTTTCCCACAACTGACTTTTTCTTGTGACATAGTCTCCCCCCTAGCATCATCTGCCAGAATGTCGAATCGAAAACGCAAAGTTGATGATGATGCCTTTGACGATAACATGTCGATTTCGCCCCAAAACTCCCCCGCTTTCACACCAAGAAGCATCGCTCGACCTTCAAAGAAAGTCAGAGCAAACGAAGTAACCGGGCGGCCACTTGCTCTTCCTCGACTTCTAGAAACCCTCGATGCGGAATCCTTACGATCCGTCCTTCAAACCATTTGCGAACGACATCCCCAGATCGGTACAGAGGTGGTTTCGTCAGCGCCCAGACCATCCGTAGCAGCAACCCTCGATGTTCTTTCACAGTACCAGCATAAGCTACGAGAAGCTTTTCCATTTGGGGGTGCAGGGTCGGACTACGCATATAACAGAGTGAAACAACCTTTAGTTGATTTAATCGAAGCCCTGACCGACTTTACACCTCACTACCTGCCCCCAAACGAAACTCAAACGACAACATCACTCACCTTTCTTGATAGCGCCACGAAGGTGGTCCACGAGCTACCTGACTGGGACAGCCAATCCCATCGACATCACAAGGATAACGCATATGACGAAATATCGAGGGCCTGGGCTATGGTAGTCAGTGAAGCTTCGAAAAAAGGCGGCGGGTTTCAGCTTCACTCCGGTGGTTGGGACCAAAGACTTGCCAAACATAACGAACAAAGTGGAGGACGTATGCAAGTGGCTATTAATGCACTTGGATCTAATTTAGGCTGGATGGGAACAAGTACTGGCTCGAGTACAGCTGCAAACGATAGAGAATCGATCCGAAATCAGTTATTGTCGGGAACATATGGTTCAAACTCGCCGGTCCGGGTTGGTATTTGGTAAACAGCCTGCATTTTGAGGAAAACGTTCAGGTCAGGTCGCAGTCAATGTGGGGAATTTTATACATGGAGAAAGCGAAGATTGTCATTTTGATCGGCATAGAGGTGCAGCTACACGGCGTCTTGATTTGGAGATACCATGGCCACAGGCCGTATCATTCACGAAGCTTATGACTAGTTTTCTTTATAAACCTGTAAGGTTGTTTCTCTAGCATATTTTGGAGTTAGGGCTCGACTGCCTGAGGAGGATTTGGCAGCGTTTTTGCATTGGACCGGAAAGCATGTTTTAGTGTCTGGCGTACATTCTTTTTACTTAATCCAGCGCCGAACATGGTCTTAGTAGATATGACTTAAAAGACTTTGGTACATTAGGAAAAATCCGCGACGAGTTCCTGGAAACTTGTGGCTACCTTTGGGCTTTCTCATATGTGATTAGTACTTTACTTCTTCTGGGACTAATTATGATAATATGAACAGTGGGTGATCATGTGCTTCCTAATTCTGTCTTGTCCTTCTTCTTCAGTTGGCTAGCGGTGAAGAGGATTCGGGTGCAACCTATGGTTCTGGTGCGTTTAACAACCTTGGAATCCGATCAGTTGTCTGTCTCCATAGCTCGCAGATAGAAGGACTCCAACCCAAACTCTATCATTCGCCAAGCGCGAAGTGTGGGGAAATGCGCCACTATCCAGCATTTTCGAGACTCATGCAGCTGTTGCAGATTATTTTTTGACTCACATGCGGAAGATAAATCCTGCATTTTTGAAGAGTTTGTTCAGTCGCTTCTATTTCTCAAATTAACAGCTTATTTCAAAATTAAGTTCTGCTCAAAATCGATTTCAATTGAGCGACTACACACCCCAACGCCACCGAAATGCGTCCTTCCACCCTTCGTCCCGCCGGGCGAGCTCTCCAAAAACGAAGCTATTCTACTCCTTCCTCCAAACCTCGTCACCTCCTCACCATCGCAGATCTTTCTGCTTCCGAATTCACAACCTTAGTCCGAAATGCCTCCTCTCACAAAGCTGCCCTCAAAGCTGGAACTACACCGCCAGCACTCAAAAATGCGTTGTTGGACAAGACCGTAGCGATGATGTTCTCCAAACGAAGCACCCGAACGCGTGTCTCTACAGAGGCGGCAGTTGTCAGTATGGGCGGTCACCCAATGTTTCTGGGAAGCAGCGATATACAATTGGGTGTCAATGAGTCACTCTACGATACGTCGGTTGTGATATCTTCAATGGTTTCAGCAATGGTAGCACGTGTAGGACATCACTCCGAAGTAGCAGATCTTGCCAAACACTCTTCCGTTCCAGTCATCAACGCATTATCGAACGATTTCCATCCATTGCAGACGATTGCCGATTTCCTCACTATCCATGAAGCGTTTGGAAATAAAGAAGGGAAGAAGTTGGGAGTTGAAGGCTTGAAGGTTGCGTGGGTGGGTGATGCCAATAATGTCTTATTCGATTTGGCGATTGCATGTCAGAAACTGGGGGTCGAGATTGCGGTTGCTAGCCCAAAGGGTTACGAGATACCATCACACATGAAGGATTTGATCAACTCTTCTGCGCCTTTGTCTAGGTCATTGTTGACCGAAACGACTGTGCCGGAGGAGGCAATCAAGGATGCTGATATCCTGGTGACGGATACCTGGATTTCTATGGGCCAGGAAGAAGAATCAGCTAAGAGATTGAAGGCATTCGCTGGATACCAGATCACTGAGGAGCTTGCCAAAAAGGGTGGTGCAAAGAAAGGATGGAAGTTCATGCATTGCCTACCCAGACATCAAGAGGAGGTTGATGATGCTGTGTTCTATGGGAATAGGAGTTTGGTCTTCCCTGAAGCCGAGAACAGATTGTGGGCTGCGATAGCTGCGCTGGAGGGGTTTGTGGTCAAGGCTGGAAAGATTGAAGGATAGTATTACGATTTTGCGCTTTTATTTCTGCTTGCTAGGCGTTTGATGGAAAAGTCGAACCGGGAGCAAATTATGTTGTCGGACCAGCCTGTAAAGCTGGGTCTTCTTTGAAGGGAAGGATTTTCTCATGTTACCTCGATCTCTGTTTATGATATCCATCGTAAAGTTGCAATAAGCTCAAGGCCTTCTTTCAAAATCTTGAGAACATCATAAGAAAGGAGCGAAAAAATTATCATTGTCCTTGGTAGGATAGGCCTAGGTATCTCAAAAGGAAATTTTCGCAGCGCAATCTGATTATACTACATACAAGCCATCATGCTCACCATCTCACAACCATGCAACTAACTTCTGTTCTATCGTACCAGCACGCGTGTCTTAACAAATCTATGAGTCGAAAGTGAAAGAAGTACCAATTTTGTGGGTAGCTTGATCCAGCTTCTGGGTATCGAGGGAAGCACCGAGGCCGAGGGTGACACCGGGACGGAGGAGGACATTGTATGCGAGGGCGGCGACACCGCGGTCGTTGATCTTGACCTACAGAAAAGAAAGATTAGCTATGATTATTCCTGTCAAATTCTTCAGGGGAGTAGTCTCAATTACCTTGGCGAATGAGACTGGGTCAAGTCTGTACTTGCTGGCAACCTCGAGTCCAACTGGTCCGCCGCTCTTTGAGTCGTATGTGGCTTTAGCACCAGCCTCAACTTGCGAGTTAACCTTGTGGTAATAAGCGGCAGAGAAGACGCTCAAGTTGTTGGTAGCAGTAACGGAAGCGGTGTATAGAGGGTTGGTATATCCGATAGCAGCGCTGTAGTTGGTGATAGCAGCCTTCTGGACGTCGTATCCAGCAGCGGCACCAGCAAGGAAACCGTCTTGTCCAATAACAGCATCGACGCTCGCAGTTGGTCCCTTGAGAAGGTCGAAAAATGCACGACCGTGGAAGTTGGATTGCTGGAAGTGCAAGTTGAATTTTGCGCCCTTGGCAGATTTCTCTGGGAGGAAGGTGCCGAAGACCTCTGCCTTGAGACCCTTGACGAGAGCATCCTTGAGTTCAATCTTGGTGTCGAGAGCGTTGGCAGTATTCCATGTCTGTGTAACGGTGAGGCCTGAAGTGCGATAGAATATTAGCATTTGTGCTTTGCCAGTCATCGGCGAGAGATTGATAAAGAAATCAAAGCCTTTCTTTTTGGAAAAGCTTGTTCTCATCTGCATTGACAGCATATGGAGGGATGTGGTACCGGTTGGTTTATCTGTGTACTTTGCTTCTAACTATTCGGGTTGAAAGAATTCTTCATCAGCTTTTGCGGACAGCAAAGATATCGCTGAGTATTCATACCAGTCCACTTGTAGCTCTCTCATGTGTGCTCTTTCCGGTGACTTTGAATGCAACATTGTTGGGGGTATTGCTCTTGACCTCAAGTGCCGCGGCAGACAAGTGGTAGAAGTCTTTGTTGAGCAACTATAAAGAACAGTTAGTTATATGCGGATTTGACATGTTTACCCAGACTGTTGCAATTGAGTACCCAAAGAACGTGAGGATATAGTACTTACGTCGTTTGAGGACTTGGCGATATCGGTGAAAGCTGGGACAGACATATTGACGGGTTATGAGGTAAGGAATTGAGAGATTTGTTGATGGATTCAGGAGAAGTCGGGATGCCAAAAAAGTCGCGATTTGTTCCGGTGACCCTTCGGCCTGGTTGAAGCCTTATATGTTAGGCCGGATGTATATTGCTGGAGAAACGAGACCTGTGCAACAGAATTTCACAAATATTATGAATTGTTTTATGTCCGTCGGAACCACATACAGAACCAGGCGCCTTTTCAATAATTTATCAACGAACGGATCCAGTTTCATGAAGGTAGTCGGCAACTACATCTCTGATGATATATTCTCCATTCCTCCAACCTGTTGCCGGTTAACAACTGAGGCCAGGTAGACCGCAATAATTTCTATTCGATGTATGGAAATTCACTCGTAAAAACGACACACTCAGGACGGCACTAGTGTTTGTATTAATACCCTGTGTGAATTGGCATATATGCTGGATCCACAGAAAGCCAGTAAGAGCATATTGATTTCAAGTAGACAAAGTCCTGTACTACATAACCACACAGTTCAAAAATATCATCAGTGTGGTGTGAATCTTGTATTTTCGCTCCTTCTGACGCTGAAACGAAAGGGATTACTGTTTAATACATTCCGTAATCGGTACCAAACTTTACATTGAAGGTGAGGAAAGTAAATGGCGAAACCCTGCCGACGAATTGGCTCCAACAATTATCACGGTAGGAGGATCCGTAAATCGTTAAAGCTCAGGTATGTTGGCTTTCTCGTACAAGGCCAGGTGCTGCAAAATTCAGATGTGATATGTACTTCACGAACGGGCTTGCTCGCTTGATATTACAGAAAAGATAGGGCGGAACAGAAATTATTTTCAGACAACACCCACCCCCACGAAACTGAACATGAACATCACCTTCGACAGTCAGAGATGCCACATCTCATGCTAACCTGATCAGAGGTGAAGTTAGCTTAGATTATGTGATGTAGCGATAGAAACCTCCGTCTTCAAATTCAATCTTCTCCTGTTTCTTTCACAACTCCCGTGTCACCGCAGCAGAATCAATAGAAGCAACAGTAGCCATCACTACCATCACTTCTACCACCTTGGCCACTTCTACCGACATCCCAAACCTCTCAAGTCTCTTCACCATGTCCGATACTGCGGGTTCCTCTGACTGCCTCCAAAACCCTCCTTTCTCCGCCACGTTCGGTGCTGCTAGCACCTTCATCTCCCTTCCTCCAAATTCTTTTTTCATTGTGATTGCTGCTCCGAAAACAAAGAGTCCTGCTCCCTCGAATTCCAGCGACCGTTGTCATAATTGCTGGCAGCTTGGCCACAAGAAACCGAATTGTAAGTAAACATTGCTTGCTCCTTTAGATATCTTCTAAGCCTTCTTTATTGGGCAACGTCGTTTGTTTTACATGTTTCTTTCAGGCCCCTCCATAGCTGGCTCAGTGCTCAGTTAGATTTTAGAAAAAGGTTTGCCTTCGCTTTCAAATTCTAAACTCTTGAGCGCCTACCACAGCATCCCCTACATAGTGTGAAAAGAAATGCAAGACTAACACATCCCTAGGTTCAAACGAGTACCTCAAGCGGTCAATGGACATAAAAGACCCGGGCCGAATCAAGAATTCCAAGAGAAAGAGAAATGCCGATGGCGCCTGGACGAAGGGAAAACCACCAAAGAAGCTGATCTGTTCTGGCTCGGGGCCGTGTAAGTTATTATAGGCTCAAGTATATTCTGAGCGTATCCACTAAGTCTACTATGGCAAGCCACCCACTTCCCATACACAGAATCAAAAGAGCTCAAAGAGCGTAAAGCACAAGAAGATACCGCTGCCGCAGTTACTTTTACCTCCCTTAGGGAGAGTGTGCGCGCGTTGGTAGACAGTGACGCTTCTCATAAAGAGCAATTACGAGTGATTGCAGAAGATGCAGCTGCTCTCAGAGAGGAACGTCGCATTGAGGTCGAGGAGTGGCGCGTTGTGGTAGAAGAATGCCGCATTAAGCTCGAATTCTTGAAGGGTCACATGGCACTGCTTTTGCAGCATATTTGTGCGCTGAAGGGCGGGAAGTCGGTCTCAATGCCAAACAAGAAAATTATGGTGAAGAAGGAAAACGATCTGAACGTTTGACGAACACATAGATGGTGGGGCTGTGGATCGTAAACTAGGTAATTATTCTCTATGCAGTGTATAGAGTGTCGAGGGGTCATATTTTCGCTTTGGGGGTTGCTTCACAGACTGTTCTTCGTTGTGCATAGAAGAATTCTATCGCTTTAGCTGGATTTCCCTTCGTTTTATGCTATTGCGAAGAGTTTGGCCTTACCCTTGTACATCAATGTCAGGAAATTTATAGAATAAGTAGAGGGGCAACATCCATGAGGTTTTTCCTGTCAAGATCGAACATCAACCCGACAAAGATTTACTCCAATTTTCAGGGGAGAGATTCGCTTACCTTAAGCGACACCTTGGCAAACCTCCCGAGGTCCACTCTCGAAATGAATGGCAGTGGAACCACAATAGTTCTTTGATTAAGTTAACGAAAGATCAAATTTAGTGGATCAACTTGACACAATCTATCATATTTCGTCACTTATTTTAAGTAAACGACGCATCTTAAGCTCCATTCGAAGTCGATTTATTCAGTCCAAGCTTACTTAGTAGGCAGGTGGCTGACACTTATTCTGATCTCCGCAAGCCACTCTCCTAGGGGACTGTCCGAGTGGCTATTAAGAAGCGATGAGTCTTCAATCCAGTTAGCAAAATGTCAGGTATTTCGTCGATCGTTTTCAGGACGTGGGACGTCTGTGGGGTCCTCAGATCGAATTTGTGAATAAAAGTACGTGCCTGTGGAATTACATATGTTAAAGTCCGCTATGCCAAATTTCCTCGTCTTTCGTTTCTTTTTCATCCCGTTATACGATCATCAAGCCACCCGGAAGAAAACCCAGCGTTGATCATCACGACAAACGAATGAAGGTCAACACCCCGAGAATTAGCTGGGTAATTGCTCATTCCGATGGACTCTACCAGAGCACAAGGACCTTCCTTATATCCGCTCGGTGTTTCTGTGGCTTGCAACTTCAATCAGAAGATAAGAAGCAATGAGAACTTAGCTAGATTCCGATGAACATGCGAATTCGAATGCTGAGCATCCATATGATGACACTGTTCAACAGTAGTGACTTTATCTTGAAGAATGATACTTCTCGATACAAGGTCTTCTTTGCACAGGCCATCCAACTATTCCATCGCGCAAAGCCCACGAGATTCTGTCGCTGGTTTCCTCGAGGAGTTTAGTGAGACCAGATATTATCCCTCCGTCTGGCAAATGAGACTAGTTTCCATACAAGCTTTTGTCCCACCAGTCGTTCATTTCAATGTTTGTCCCTCGGGAACCATCTGACCTGTTAGCGTGACAAAATCGGAACCAAAATCCTGCCATGCACCAATTTTATACTCGTAAAACAAGACAAGCAAAGATTTGTGATTGTCGGTGAAGCTTTTAACAGCATACATAGCTCCCCAACAATCCGTGGGACCAAATACCAGTAAACTTTATGACTTTTGAATAAAGTATGTCATCGCGAGAGTGCCCTTGAACGAAGAGGTTGCGGCAATTGAGTTCGAAAAAGCATCGTACATAATGAGACTGGAGAGGCAAAGAGAACTCCTGGCTAGGAAAGCAGTAGTCTTTCAGGTTCTGATCAAGTTCCATCGACCCCAAGGAGCGAGGGAAGTGAGCTTGTAATTGTCTCTGGGTCAACTCTTATCTTACTACTTCTGCCTCCCCCGAACCAAGCCGCCGAATCTAGGATTTCTAATTGAGGCGCTCTCCGCTAGCTATCAAACTCTTTTTGACTAACTTGAAGTGCATAAAATCGTAGATTAGTAGGTCTTTGTTCCCCGCTATAACTGGTGGAATTGGCTGACAATACAGTGGACATACAATGTTTCCGCTTTCCTCTTCAATCGTGAGCAATTGTAATGTAGGCAATTCCCTGGGTGGTTGTCGAGGCTGAAGTCCATATCGTCCCTTCGATTGCTCAAAGTGATGGCATCTATCAATCCTTCGCGGCCATTATCTGCACGACGAGAGTTTTCGGGAAGCGTCCTTCTCTGGACCGATTTACCTGGATCATTTCGCTATTGAACCAGGCTGCCGCGGAGAGTGAAAAATCCTCCGTATCAGAGAAAGCTCGAAGCGGACTCGGAGATGAAGCTAGTTGCCTAGGAGGATGAAACCTGCCGATAGGCAAACGCTGGCGTTTCATTTGATACTAGGCTGCAGCAACATGAGGGAGGCCAGAAGCGAGTGGAATTTATCGTAATGAGAGGCTGTTCTCTTTCCCTAGCAACAATAGACTCGTCACCAGTCTGTGCTCATAGTCGGATTTCAACCTGAAGAAACTTTCTCCTCACCATAAGGCAAAGGCATGTTGATACCAAAAATACCCATTAAGCAGTAAGCTTGATCTTCGATCCTATGTGTCGTGACGAGAAGCCCAAGACATCTTCTCAGCCACACATTGTCCCGTTTGCTTGTTTTCTTTGACACGAGAAATTTGTTGCACTAGATCGTGCATACTTGACTTCGTCCCGATTTCCGTCCAGTCCTGAGCTTAAAATTCAATAAATTCTGGGGCAAGAAGCTTTTGAAGTGTCTATCTACGCGACAAGCACTTATTCAACCGAAAGGACGTAAAGTCGCTGACGCTCCCATATCTAGAGTTGTTGTTTACATCGGACACATATGCATAACAAACTTCAGCCCTTTGATACCACATGCACATAGAGTTCATGGCCTCAGAGAGTTCAGCAGTATCTACCCACTGCTGAAATAAGTGTTGTTGACACAAAGGTGTGCAGTATGGAACCTAGGCCCAGCCGTCTTTGATAGCTTGAGCGCAGATGTTCGGAATTTTCGGAAATCCAGCTCGATCTCTGCCATCATCTAACAAAAGTTGCTGTAAAGATACCTCGCCATCTTCTTTGGTGTGAGAAGATTGCGTAGGGCGGAATCTTTCGTTCAAAAGATTCATGGAGCTGGAGAGTATCGACCCCGAGAAGACGCATCTGTTTTGTGAGTCGAAGGAATGGTAACGAGACTACCTTTTAATAAGGAAAGAATGGGAGACGTATTGTTAAGAATAGATTTAGGATCAGGTTATTGAGGTTGTTTGGAGAGAAAGCGAAGTGAGAGTGGGACGGACCGAGCTGAACTTCAGCTGAGGCAAGCTTAATTATTCGACTATCTTGACGCAGTATCGGTTATTTCGTCTATTAAATTCAGTGAATATATTGATCCAAAGGTTTACTTGAAATCTCAGGTCAATAATGGAAAGGTAAGGAGGTGTTGTATCGTCTCGTCTCGTCTCGTCCACCGTGAGGCAACCAGGTAGAAGCCAAAATACCGAACCTAATCTTGAGAAAAGTCGCATGCTATCACAATACACATTATACGTTGTAAACATGAATCGATATGTGCCCTGAACATGAGTGCACAGGAAACATTTCTTCGCATTCGGTTACTGTACGATGTGAAATGCAGCACCATCAATCGGATATAGGTGTTAACCGACCTCCGCTTTAATCTACAAGGGTTCGCGATGGTCGCGTTGCGGGTCGGCGAACGCGACAAGCTTAAGGTTAATTATCCTCGAGCTATACCCTCCGCCATATGCCAACGTAAAAGATTCTCCAACAACAACTGCACAACTCCAAAATGTTTAGCATGCTGCCTCCTTCATCAGGACATCATTTCTCACAGACACACTCCTACCAATTCTCTCCAGTGGTTCCTTCCCCACTGTCTTCCTCGCCATTAAGAAGCTCACCAACTCCAACTCCATTAAGTCCCCGCGATGCGAATTCTTCACCAACTAGGCAATACCATTCTGAAGACAACTTCATGTCTTCACCTACGCCTCCAGCGAAATCTGATACGATAAGGCGGCATAATATTTCCCACATCTCGTTGCCTTCGCCACCACCCAGTAAGCGGAAAGAAAGTTCTTTTGCGAACAGAGCGACAAAGGCAAATCCACTCCTCAAAAAAGATACAGATGCGCGAGAGACACGACGAAAATTGTTCCTCAAGAATATGAGAGAGTCCCGGGAAGACAAGAAATGGCAGGACAGGAAAGGTGGAGAAGAAATGATGCGCGTCTTGTGGATCGGTGAAGAACGGGAACGCACCAGAAGGCTAGAGGGTGGTATGAACAGCGTCGAGGTTCCGATCGAGGATGAAATGGATTCCATCATGGAACCTGCTCTGGTCACGGATGCGGAGCAATTGATGGCCGATGAAGTTGCCATCAATGAAGCGGCGGAGTTGGAGGCTCGCCTTGCAGAAATACTGCCCGAACAACATGGGCTCAATCAATGGGGAGAATATGATTTTAATCCCGAACAGACAAGCACCTTAGATGCACAAACCTCGTACGGGAGCGATGATGAGTACGACGACATATTCATGGACGTTGCGAAGGAGGAGATTCGGACATCAAGTCAACCATGTCACGGCCAGCAACAAGAGCCTCTGGGATATCTCCAAAATCAAGACCAGGAGATGATGGATCTGAGCTAGGCCACTGAGCCGTTGGGTGTCATTATTCGGGCGGAAAAAATCATGGAAAGTTTTGTATTAATTAGCGACGGCGTTTCGGGGTACTGTCTGATTCTCCTGAGGGACATTGGCGTTCTGGACAGGGCAATTATTTTGTTAAGATCATCATAGATCTCATTTTCATGTAAAAGCGAAGGAACTGGGGTTTCACAAGTCTTTATTACTGCTGAGGGCAACCTTCTTCGGGCGCACCGAAGGCTTCTTGTGCTGCAGCCATATCGCCAACAAGATCGGGGGGTGGTGAGCCTGCTGCTTGCATCTAGGGAACGTGATCAGCGGTTGCATTGTACTATATTCAAAAGGGAGCTTACCTTTTGCATTCTCTCTACAATATACTCACGATCCGCAGCATTATCATCACTGTACCCTTTTCTCTCAAATCTCGCCGTGATTTCTCGTACATATACTTGCTGCTCTTTATAACGCTTCATATCCGCCTCGTCTACTTTACCAGCATTCTTGTCTATCCAGTCTGGGTATTTGTCGTCCAACTCTTTCATTGGCTCGTATAAGATCTCCTTGTTTGTCAATTGCTCCATCATGCCCAGCAGCATTTTGGAAAAGTCTTCTTCACTGCCTTCGGCGCCATCGAGGCCTGATGATTGCATGGCTTTCATAATCTCCGCTAACATATCATCACCCGACTCTGTATTCGCCGCTGCCGTAGCCTGATCTCCAGACTCACGCATGCGCTCCATAGTCTTTTTGATCGTTTCCTGAAACGACTCTTCTCCACCAACGTTTGGGGTAGTCGACGCTCCGGCTTTCGATCCAGTACTTTTTGATTTTGCTGCAGGTTCAGAAGCAGGGAGAGGATTTGTTGCTTGGCTTGGTTCAGTAGACCCTAAGTCGCCAAATTGCTTCATCATATCTTGGAATTGTGCCGCCATATCTGGATCACTGTCTAAGCCCTGTAATAATTGGGCCATACTTGACTCCAGTTGTTCCGCAAACTGTGCATCTGTAAGGCCATTCGTCGCGTCCGTGGGTTCGGTTGTCGGTATTGATGGCTTTCCAGTTGTAGGAGCTTTGGATTCCGATTTTGGCGGAATGAACTCATCTAACATATCTTGAAGGCATTAGCATGGGAAAGAAAATGAATTCAAAAGATATACCATCCAAATCATCCAGGTCATCTTCTTCTGGGTCCGGGAACTCTTCTGGCGGGGTAGGTACATCGGATTCAACTGTCGTGGCAGGAACCGTGGCTGCAGCTTGACCATTTTCAGTCTGGAGAATCTTGGTAGAAGTCTCTACAAGACCCTCTAAATCCCCAGGTTTTTGCTCCATGATAAATAGTGTTGGGGAACAAAACGAAGTTTGAAGTTATCGGCTTGTGACAGCAGCAACTGGGCGGGGATGATCCGCACCGCCAACGGATGTGGGGCAGCTGTCAGCTTCTGAATTGGATACAAGTTTGACAATCAAACAAGTGGCTTTATTTTCCACTAGCAACTAGAAAGAAATATTGTGCAGTTTTTCGACAATGAGAGGAGGATTTTACGAAATATGCAGTATTACATGCAGGATCGCCGAGGTACATAGTGAGGATTAATCCTTGCAATTTAGCCCCTCCCTCTCGCTTCTGTCGCAGCGACTGGAACCTCAAGCTCCAAACATTCGAGGCTTCCAACATGTTTGCAGCGCCCCCAGAGCACAAAAAGTAGCCTACTTCTTCCCACCTCCGAATTCACCACCACGCTCTCACCTTCACCTTCAAAAGTCGTCGTCTTCAAGTCTCCCATATTTAGCTCGCCAAGAAGCTGCAACGGTTCTGCTTGCTCTCTTAATTACTTGCGCAAGCCCAGATCGATTCCCTGGCGCTTCTCATCCATCAAGCCTCAACCGGATAACAAGACACCACAGATCAATCATGGCGCTGTGCCAAAACCGTTTACAGGAAGAGAGGAAGCAATGGCGGAAGGATCACCCATTTGGATTTTTCGCAAAACCGCAGAGAAATGCGCAGGGCGTGCTCGATCTTAAGGTATGGGAATGTGGCATACCCGGCAAGGAGAAGACATTATGGGAGGGGGGACTTTTCAAGATGAATGTCACTTTTCCTGATGGTATGTTTCTTTCTCTATACGTTGACTGACTCAATCTAATATCACCACAGAGTATCCCACAAAGCCTCCAAAATGTAAGTTGTGTCCATCACACCTTGGCTGGGCTGTGAATATTAACGAGGCAACCACACAGGCAAATTCACACCACCGCTTTTCCACCCCAATGTTTATCCGTCCGGCACAGTCTGTCTTTCGATACTGAACGAAGAGGAGGGTTGGAAACCAGCCATCACGATCAAGCAAATTCTTCTCGGTGTTCAGGACCTTCTTGACGACCCAAATCCTGAATCCCCCGCCCAGGCAGAGGCCTACAACCTTTTCAAGAAGGATCGAGCAGCGTATGAGACCAAAGTAAAGAAGATTGTTCGCGAAAATCCAGCGCCATAGACAAGTCAGAGGTGCTTGCATACCTAGATATGGTTGGGAAGGATGGCATCGGCGTTAAGAGTGGAATTGCAAGCATGGGATTTTATGAATTGCGTGGAATGGATAGGGAATCAAGCTACGACAGATTAGCTACGATGAATGATAACACGAAAATTAGCAGAAAATGTATCGCAAATCAGACTGTATTGCGCGTGAGCACGCGAGCTCAATTATTGGTTTGCAACCCGGCTAAATACCTATCCAGGGCCAATCTTAATTTTAGTTTGAGATGACTTAAAGGTATTGGACTGGACTCGATAACATGTCATTTTCCAACTTGATTGCCAGATTCATATTTACCAAACGCGTTATCTTGTCAAAATATCCGTATCTCTATCACATTTTTTAGCCAAGAAACCTGTGGCAACTGCTCGCTTCAAAACTCCTGATCGCTCTACGGAGTTGTTCACTCTGGCCAGTTCTTCATGAGCTCCACCAGCTCCGATGCAACAATTGCAACGAGCTTGAAGGAGAGAGCTACACATTTGTATTTTAGTATGAACCATTCCTATCAGGGTTTTTGGCCATGTTCTACAGGAGTTCTGGAAGAGAGTCATTGTTGCGGTCTGCTTATCGTATGTTATACCTTGACACCCAAAACCATTATCAAACCTCTTATCGTCGCCCGGTGTCGGCCTAGACCCCACCAAATATTTTGAGTCACAAACTTCTCAATTTCAGGATATAACAACATACTAAGACCTCACTAGAAGGGCAAAACAAACTTTCGCTCCTCAAAACAACTCATCAAAACACCTCTGGACCATCCGCCTCTCTCGCAAGCCAATTGGTACCAGAAAACACCCCGAAGCCTACTATTTTAACAGACCACCAGCATGTGTGGAATTGTTGGTTGCCACCATGTTCCAGACGCAAAGGCATTCAAGCCTACGGCGTTGAAGATGGTGAAGCAGTGTCGCCATCGTGGTCCAGATTGGTCAGGCAGTTACGTTGCTAACCGCACAAGTATGTGTCCTGGAATCATAATTTGGACCCGAATGCGACTAACAACTTAACAGTCCTTGCTCATGAGCGATTGAGCATCGTTGGAGTCGATAGCGGTGCTCAGCCAATCACCAACCAGGACGATACCATTGCTCTTGCGGTCAATGGCGAAATTTACAACCATAGGTTGATCCGAAAGGGTCTCAAGACCACCTACCATTTCAAGACCCATTCCGATTGCGAAGTCATCATACCACTTGTAAGAGATTCGGTGATAAGTAGAGAAATGGAATTGATGTGAAATAGTATATGCAATATGGTATCGATGCGCCAAAACACCTCGATGGCATGTTCTCATTTGTGCTTTATGACAAGGAACAAGACCGAACTATCGCGGCACGCGATCCCGTGGGAATTACAAGTTTCTATCAAGGATGGTCGAGCAAGATGCCGGGGGCCACTTTCTTCGCTTCAGAGTTGAAGTGTTTACATTCGGTGTGCGACAAAATTGAGGCTTTCCCTCCGGGATACGTGTATGACTCGAAAACCGACCAGAGGACGAGATATTTTGAGCCTTCGTGGTGGGATCCAGCCAACGTACCATCCAACCCGGTCGATTACAAAAAGCTCCGCGAGACTTTAGAAAAGTCGGTTCGCAAGCGATTGATGGCCGAGGTCCCATACGGTGTGTTGTTGTCAGGAGGTTTGGACTCGAGTTTAATCGCTGCGATTGCGGCCCGGGAAACCAACAGGCTCAAGAAAGCTGCACTGGCAGCAAATGCAGAGCCAGGAAAACAGCTAGACGAGGACCACGGCGAAGGCCTCGTCGGTATTGACGATGATGACGAGCTCTCTACTCTCACATATCTTCCTCAACTCAACTCCTTTTCAATTGGGCTGAAAGATTCCCCAGACTCGAAGGCTGCGAAGGAGGTGGCCAAGTTTCTCGGCACAAAACACCACGATATGACCTTCACGGTTGAGGATGGTTTGAATGCTCTCTCGGATGTTATCCTTCATATCGAAAGTTACGATGTCACAACCATTAGAGCATCTACCCCTATGTTTTTGCTGTCAAGGAAGATCAAGGCCATGGGCGTCAAGATGGTCCTGAGTGGAGAGGGTTAGTTCTCTTAGATTTGTTGTAATCCGGATGCTAACAATCTAAAGGAAGCGATGAGATAATGGCTGGCTACCTATATTTCCACGGAGCGCCAAGTGCAAGCGAACTACACGCAGAAACTGTCACCAAAGTCAAGAATCTTTATCTTGCCGACAACTTGCGTGCCAACAAATCGACTATGGCGGTAAGTACCCGCTCCCTGGCCATTGTACAAGCGCTAATAGATATAAGTGGGGCGTTGAGGCTAGAGTTCCATTCCTCGATAAAGAGGTAACCTATCCATCATGTTTTGGAGTCATTTTGTGGAACGGCTGCTAATTGGGTTTTCAGTTTCTCGAGGTTAGTATGTCAGTTGATCCATCGGAAAAACTCCACACCCCAGAGAGAATTGAGAAGTATATCCTACGAAAGGCATTTGATACACCAGAAGATCCTTACCTTCCTGCACACATTCTTTGGAGACAAAAGGTAATAATCCGTACTCCCTAACCTTCCGCCTACACTTCCGAAAACTAATCAACACTCCATGTGAAGGAAGCTTTGTCCGATGGTATTGGATACTCTTGGAGAGATGCACTTATTGAGCAAGCTGAGCTTCATGTTTCTGATGAGATGATGAAGAACCCAAAACCAGAGTGGAAGGATGACATTCCAAAAACCAAGGAAGCGTGAGTATCTTTGCCGGAAGCTTCGTATATTGCTAATAGAAAACCAGGTACTGGTATCGAATGATATTTGAGGAGCATTTCCCAGGTCCAGCTGCAGCTTCAACTGTGAAACGTTGGGTGCCTGCTTGGACAGACGCAGTCGACCCTTCTGGCCGGTAAGTACACTAACAACACTGCGTTAAACTGATGCTTACAACTCATTAGGGCGATTGGCATTCATAACAACATGATCAACGATAAGAAGGCCTAAATTGGTGGCGCATTCAGAATATCATTACTGCTTTACATGTCAGGAGTTTCGCATTTTCAATCGACAGGAAGGAAGATTCTTCAGGCGTCTGAGTAGAAGCATGGACGACTTACAGAGAACCTGTGGATGACATTTCCGCCTAGCTGTCTAATAGAATTTGAGTTGATGCTCGTGTATACCTCCGAGGCCATGTTGAGCCTTACGGCACATTTTGAAGACTTTGCCAAGAATCTCCACCTCAATGTACTTTCCTTCAGCAATCACGCCCTACACTCTCTTATGCAGAGTCTGGAAAGAGGTTAAAAGCCATCGTTTCTCGTAAATGGCTCACCACCAGCTTCTTTTAATGGGGTTGGACCATCACTAGCGAAGGTATGATTTGAGTCAAAACCCTAATCATGGTAGGTACACCAGTGCGTTGCAAGTCTGACGGGACACCTTTTTACGGCAGAATTAAGAAACTATGCCCAGAAGACTCTGCTGACTCTAGTTGTTTGTGAATCGTCTATTGAAATGGGTAAACATACTCATTGAGAATAGAGTGTCAGAAAGTGGTTTTCTAAGCATCATTATCCTTTAATGGTGTCCCGCCCCCCGTTATTTTTGCAATGAACTGGTGTAATATGTAACTTAATACAGAAATGTTCATCAATAGTCTCGAGCGTTCCCCTTAGGATACTGGCTGCTAATAGTCATAAATCTAATTGTTTGGCAGTCTGCCGGTCGCGACTGCTCCAAATTCTGTATCTGAAACTGGTCGATTTCATTACTTATTGTGTCGCAGCACATGCAGGGTACGTGTATTTGTAGTCTCAGGGGTCTCGCTTAGCTAAGCACCCCCTTAAATAGAGCCTACGGCCCTCCTTGTCGGAGGGTAAGAGTTCCCTCTTAAACATACTCCCACCCGTACTTTTGCGGTTCGTGTGACATATTGGATAATTCTAGAGAGCTAAAAATTACTGCTTGGCTTGGGGAGACCCTTCTCAGGGTTTGCAGCGACAAGACATATTGTCTACTCTTTCACAAGATAAGCAAGTCTCTCGGCTGAGTAGGCTCGCTTAAATGATAACTCCACCTTCGCCCCTTTTGGACTTTCTTCAGTAGGTGCTCAACCCTGCCAAGCGGTTTCCATGGAATTTGGAATCCTTGAATTAATTTCAGACCTTTTTCTCAGCAGTCTCTATCTTCTCATGTATAATTTTTAGCTCACTGTCTCTTGTGGTGGTTGAATATGTTGCAGTCGGAACACGGTATTTACTCAATTAGATTTATTTACTCTATTGCCTTCAATAAATAAGCAAATTTTGATTTTCATCAAAACGATTTTATCACAAACAGCTGTAGCGTGCAAAATATCCTTCTTGTGTTTTGGTGTGTGGAACACTGAGCGATATGGAGCATTACGCGCTCCAACTGACCAGACAGCTGCCAGCCGAGAGATGACAATGATCCACCTCGATAGAGAGACCAAATGTCTCATAGCTCTTCCATCCTTTGGGCTCAACTCGACAATTATAGTTTAATATTCGGGCTTAACTCACAACATGTCCAATTCAAGGAAGGCCCGCCTGGAGTTTGAACTTGGAGGTTTGTTTCCACACAAGATAGTAAGCCATGTTAGTAGACACAATATTTTGTATTTTATCCATCGCTTTGACTAGGTCAGAAAATGGGCTGAGCTAAAACCACTTCTCGAACTTGCGTGTTGTCGCCGGAGATAGACATTGCATATTACGGTTTAATTATGACCCTGCTTGTTTGATTATGACAAGAGCAGCTTTTGGCCTCGCAAGTTTATCCGTTGAAACCTCATTCACCTTTTGAAAACATGAAGAATGACGTATCTTTCTATCCTTTGAACTTTGATAAGATAACAAACACTGACTAGATAAAAGGAATGACAAGGTTGGCCAACCAGTTTAAGAAATTATTCCAGAGCTCTTGCACTCCACCAACTACACACCAAATCGACATATCCTCATAACTTTCTCCATCTCGAATTTCATAATGAAGATCTAGCTGCCCTCCAGCACTCGTCAAGAGCTACTCTGCTGAACAAATGATTTAAGCTCTGCAATAGTCACTGGCTGCACCCCCATCAACACAGGAGTAATCCCCGCCACAGAAGCCTAAAAACTCGAGGTCTGCTCCGCAGTTCCACAGACTGTTCCAGATATCCTTATCCCCGGGATCACATTTTCCGAATTTGCTGCACAGTTTGCTACTGATTCTGGATCGGTAATCCTCCACTTTGAAGGACGTGTTAGCCACGAGAACGATGCTTGAGATAACCCAAAGCAACAGGGAAGTGGTAGTAATTTAAAATTCAAACATACAGTGGTTCTCGATAAGATTCCAGCCACAGTAATGATAGTTCAGAACGCAGTACTGACGAACGGCAGTGGATTCGGTCAACGTTCCGTTCGAAGGGAAGTCTGCCGTCGGCACAGCGACAATTCTTGGGACCAAGGTCGCCGCGAGAAGAGCGATAGTCGAGATTTGGAATTGCATTTTGCGGGTGTTAATGGTCTTTGAAGCAGAATTCGCAGAGGAACTTCTAGCCTGTGAATCAGGAGAATGGTGAGTTGATATGATAGTTGAATTCATTAGAGAAGGTACTTCTGGCCTTTTTATAGAATCCAACATCGCTTCTCGCATTTGAGAAGCTCCTTACGGAGAGCAAAGTCCGGTTACCAGTTACTAGAAAAGGCAATTTCTGTGCAAGACGAGTTCTCTCTCGCCGTCTCTTAGTCGCCGACGACACCTTCTGCAGTAACAGTCCGATTCCATCACGGAATCTGTCGAGGTCATCACCGCCTGACTTTTCTCAGCTCTCTTCGGGACGAAGTGGCTGGCGCATAACTCATGTGTTCTGTAATGGCTTGGCTCGTCTTAAATACATGCCGACTTCAGAAATCAACAAAGGTCATTCTGAAGCTTTCGGGTACCTGCCAAGTCAACCGCGTGGTACCATTAGTACATGAAGATATTAATTAAGCGAGTTTTCACACCAAACAGCTGGAGCTTACCTCATCTTTCAGCTAATCAACGGTAGTTCTGTCCTTCCTGAAAGTGCATCAAATGTAAGATGAACGAGGTGTGACCTGTAAGCTTCTGCGAATCGATTTTGTGGCGGTCGAAGATGAGATGCAGCTCGGTTGTCATCGTATGTCCAACCGCGGAATAACATCCTGTAGATATTATAAGCATCATGAAAGTGGTTCTTGCGTTTCTCCGAAGAGACTACGAGTAGTTCTTTGGGACTGCTCTCAACTTCTTGAGACAACTATTCTCTCATCCACCACTTGTATTCTCCTATACCAAAGCAGCCGACTGACCTTGCATTGATTTGTGGCAAGGCGCACCACATGAAAATGAAACCATCACACTAGAATTATTTCATGACCCTACATCGAAGACGTGTCGAATCCTCACCGCTCAATTAGCGTAATACAAATTGTCATCTCGTTAGGCGCGTCTTGAGACGGCGTAAAAGAAGGTAGTTAACCGGTATGCTTCAATTTTCATACTGTTAGAGGAAAACGACATGGGGGACGATTGAAACAAAAGGAAATTCCTAAACAAACGGTTTACCGCTGTACTCATTGGAGACGTCCTAATATTTTGTATCAAGGCCTTTGAGTAAATGTCAAGACTCAACAGACATCCAGTTTGTCTTATCCCCTGTCATGTTCAGTTCTATATAAGTCTGCGAAAAACTTCGGGTGTTCTTTATTTAAAAGCAGGAAATACCAAACCCCTCTAACGGTGTTCTATGCGCGATATAAGGCAGACGTTTGGAACAGTAAAACAAATGTTCAATTTTGGTCTGTTGACAGATGTTTCACACTAAGAGTCTCAAATTCAACGACTATTTCTCAAGCACTAACTGACACCTATCTTGCTCTCACGGGGTGAGAAAAGAATGTCTCTGAAACCTGTTAAAAACAACTATGAATCATGGGCCTAAATTGACGACGAGAAAATCGATTTGCTGCTCATGTAGTCTTTTTTGATCCCTAGATACGTGGTAAGGGGTAGGATATCGCTCCAAGTCCTCAGTTGTGTAGCCAGTTGAAAAAGGAGAAACCCAAAGATATGATACATAATCATTCATAGTAGTTTTTGGATCCAAGACCAGTAGGTTCAACGCCAGACTTTTTACTTAGAGGTTCCCATAATCACTTGCCTTCATGACATGATTTTTGTACGGGTGAAAATAACTCAGTAGTCGTCACCGCGACTAATAACCTCCTTTACGGTGGGTCTGAGTACAATGGTCTAAGATGTGTCAGCAATGTGATAAGTCCTTGGAATTAGAATCAGCCCTCACATGTTCAAATTGCGCCGTATAGGAGCCTTTCTTATCGACAAGTGGCGGATAAGCTTCTACAATACCACTTGATACTAGGTTATTCAGTCCAAGCAAGTATTTTTCTTGGCCCAACCGATCAAGATATCGTCTGCAAAACGGTAAGGTCCCGAAATTTTTGTTAATGACATTGAGAAGCTTGCTTGCAGAGGCAATTCTGAGCGGAACATTTGGTGCATCTTGCCGTTTTGCATAATGAGAAGTTTCATACTGTTGAATCATGTTAGCCAAAGTCTAAGCATCGGGAAAATAGGTCCTACATCATCGCGGACGTATCCGTTTCCAGTACTGCCAAAAGTCTCGATTGCAAATACCTCTCCCTCTTCCATTTTCGTTTGGTCGTTGCTTTTCACGATAGGGACACTCTTCCCACCGTGGATTTGCCATTGCCGGATATCATGACCATTCAGATTTCGAATGCACTTTACTGGAAATGTCTCTCCGTTAATCTCGCACTCGTAGCTCTCCATGGTCTCCTGTATCGCAGCCCCGATATCTCCTAGCCTCACATCAATACCAGCTTCTCTAATGCCCGTATTTGTGGCTTGTTTGACCGCCTCGAGCAGATTGTCGTACATAGGATCGAAAGACATTGTAAATGCGCTATCCACAATCCTTCCGTTGATATGCACACCGAAATCAACCTTCATAACGTTATCTTTTGACAGAAGTGTTTTGTTTCCAGCATTAGGGCTGTAATGTGCTGCAATGTGATCCAGGTTGACGCCGGTTGGAAAGGCAATGCCTCCCTTTATGTTATCACCTTCCTCCAATCCAGGATGACCACTTAGTGCACGCACGCTGTCCTCGATACCTTCTGCAATCTCCGTCAGGCTTTGACCTGGCTTGATGTTCTGGGCAGCGTATTGTCGCACTTGTCTATGAATCTCAGCTCCTTGGCGATATTCTTGCAAAAAGTCGTTATTCATTCGGTCGAGATGCCGCTTCTCCTCATTCGTGGTTCGGTATAAATTCTCATCCCGATATTCCACTTCCTCACCGGCAGGATATTCGCCGCTGGGAAACAAACTTGACATTAGGACTCGTGGCGGAGATGATTGCTTTGTAGGTACTGCTCCACCAGCCTTCTTTGGCTTCCTCTTCCGCTTCCTCTTCTTCTTTGCTGCTCCGTCGTTACCGCCCTCACCAGTGGCCTTTTCATCCTCTTCATCATCCGAGTCTTCTGCTTCGACAGTATTCCCATTGCCATTCGACTTGGCCGCAGCTGCCGAAGCCATGACAGCTTCCGGGTCCTTCACTATGTTACAGTCAATATTCATGATCATGGTGGGGTGACTGTGCAAATATACCTTTTAGATTCTTCAGGGCGTCTGCTGCTTGTGCGGCCATGGTTGCGAGCACAGAGCTGGGTTCTGTAATTTGTCCCCAGTACTCGTATTTGTGAGATTTTAAATCTTGAGAGCGACTCTCCAAAATTTCTGTCTTTTGCTGTTTCATTCGCAGGGCCGCGGGGTCTTCGAATTGGCGACCCACTATTATTTTACTTGCCGAAACTGGGCTAGCTTCTAATGTGGATCCCATATGGCGAGTGACGGCATCGAGTTTGAGTTGATTGTTTCCTCAGCATCCCTTCTGTAATGCATACCTTAATTGCCAGAACAACAATTATATGTTCGTGATGAGGAATGCCACCTCGTCTGTTGCCCTCTCCTTTCACGCCGCGCGGAGGAAGACTCTTTCACAGCAGCGCAAAACTCTGGAGTCAACCTAATCATTATGAGACCTTGCAAGTACCGACAAGTGCAACCCCTGCGGAGGTGAAGAAGTAGGTAAATTCTTCTGTCAATTGAGGCTTTTTGAAGCACCAACTAGAATTTTCAAAAGCCTTCTACTGATTCGCCCTCGATTCCTGGCTTACCCTCCAAACAGGTCCTTTTATGCTCTCTCGAAAGCCCACCACCCAGATCTCCATCCCGACGACCCCAACGCTGCAAAACGTTTCGTGCGTATTTCCGAGGCGTATACCATTCTGGGCACCCCCGCGAAACGACGGGAATATGACCGAGATCTGCTACCCTCTCAGGCTTCCGCTTCTCAGACGCCGCGCGGCTCCTATAGTTCTTCTGGCCCGGCTGGGGGACGACCCGCTAGCGGTCTGAGTCGAAGGAGAACACAATTTCGCGGACCACCACCATCCTTCTACCGTAGCGGAGGATGGGGCGAACATTCAAACAAACGGCAAGCAGCGCAGGATAGCTCTGCTACAAATCCTTCAGAACCAGGTAGCGCGACATCTGGTGTAGGAGGTATGGGTCCTGGTCAAAGCCCTGGCGGGCAAATACATGGCGAAGATGTACCGCATTTCGATTGGAGGGAGCATTTGCGTACGCACGAAAACCACAGCAGGCGGCTGCGGGCCAGACGGAGATCAATGGGAGATCCTACAGCGGGAGGTGGGCTCGAAGAAGAGATTGGACGGAGCACTCTGGCAAATCTGTTTTTTGTTAGCAGTGTACTTTTCATTGCAGTCTCAGTACCTTGGTTATTCGTCGATTCCATACTATCAGGCGGCCGGAAGAAGAAAGATTCGAAAACATAGGCCAAGATAGTACAGCACACACTTGTAAATATAACAGATGTATATGACAACAACGTGGATGGGATAGGTAGCACATCAATTTTGGAGTAGGAAGCCTTTTGATATTTCGTCCTTGCTCAGTATCACTTGGCCCCTTGGTTCGGCACGATGCTTTTCGCACCCTGTCTTCGAGCTACACTGCACAGTCTCTAATTCAGCCCGATGAACAACGTCTACAAATCAGGTTTCTGTTATGATTCAACCCAGTCCTCCGAAAGTCACCTGAACAGCTGGAGCCCTTAGGTTGTAGGAGATGGAAGACATCAATCTATAAAAGTCTTCCTATGCAAATAGGGAATATGTGGTAGTAGAACATCGAATGGAATGACTGGCTGTTCGGATTAGTTCCCGACCGATGTATCATTTCAAGAGAGTCTCTACCTCATTCAGTCATGTCACTCATGTCTTGAAGACGGTATCTTTGGGTTGTGTTCTCTACCAGGGTATACTTAAGCCTATCTATTCAGCTGGCTAAGACGCACCAAAGACCGAAACTGCTGATGAACCTTTTAAACTCAGTATGGTAAGAACCTGACCGTAAGAGGTCAATTAAATGTCATGGCTGACCTTCTCGACTCGATAGAATTAGTACAGGCCTTTAGAGATTGGTGCCCATGACACTTTTCAATCACAACACTCTTCAGCGCAACTGAGCATGCGCACTGTTTGGAGACTTTTCTTGCCAGAGGTATCTGAGTACTCTTAAGCGAAATGTACTTGAAAACTGCAGATAGTTGATGTTTACTGCTCCTGCATTGAAGTCGTTCTCAACTTTAGCATTGGAGAAATCAAGGATGGGTTGAATGGGACGTCCCGCTTTCGAATCATTTACCGGAGCCCTCCCTCGCGCAGGATAAGTCTGTCAACTTGGACTATAGTTTAGAGCGGGTAAGTAACCCCTCCAAAAAATAAACTCGTAGCTCTTGAAAACAATAGACGGAATGTACGATAATTTGTCAACTTGATGGAAGAAATATCGAATTTACTGCCACTTATCTTGTCCACTGCGAGTCTGATATTATATTCCGTTTCTGTGGCGTTTAGAAGCTTTCAGCTTCTTACTGGAGCTAATCTGATTTGCGATGAGAGCGAACCGATGCGGGAGAATGCCGCTGAGCAGCTGACGGCGACCAATCATTGTGAAATGCAAAAGCCATCCCGATGGAACACTGCTGGAATGAGAACTCGACCACATAAATCAATATCGTGGCTATTCAAACGCTTGAATCCCGGTCTTATCAACATAAAGATCAAGCTTTGAACGTTCCAAAGCTCGTCAACTCCACTTGCTGTCGGAGAAAGATCAAGCAGACCGTGAAAAATAGGATTCTCTATGAACATAGCCGGCAGTATGACTATCGGAGTCCATTTCATTTGGATTATTATCACATTTACTCGTCTCGTGGTAGTCAAGTCGTTGACCATTGTTTTGGCACATTCAGCAATTTGTCTGTCCAAGGTCTTCGACATCGAAACGAGTCGAGCTAGACGAGTATTGTGCATTTCCGGGAACTATCAGGAGAAACACAATAATAAGCCACTCCGATAGACGAAATATCTCTATTTCGTGTATCATTTTGGCACATTCATCAATCTCTTCGTCTGACACTATCGAAGTTGGTCCGGTTCGAATGAGATAGAGAATCGTGCCTTCTTACTGGCAAAATATTTATCATTCGACAGCCGAAGACGACAGTGAGCCACTTCGATAGACGAATTATCTCCATTGCGTCTATAATTTTGACACATTCGGCATTTTCTTCGTCCAATATCTTCCAAGTCGATCCGTTTCAGACGACATGGGAGTCATGCTTCCTGACAAGAAAACTATCATTCGACAGCGGAAAGACGAGATCGAGCCCCTTCGGTTGACGAAATATCTCATATTTTGTCAACTGTTTTGGCTCACTCAGTGATTTTTTTGTCCAACACTATCGAAGCTGGTCCATTTCGAATGAGATTGAGCACCGTGCCTTTGCTGTGGCCCAGGAAGCGTTATTGCAAAGTATCACTTGGGTACATGGAATATCACATATCTCGTTTATTGTTGTGTCTTGTTAAGAGAATCTGCGTTCAATATCGTCGAAACCGAAAGTTCTCGATCATAAATTCATAGTAGGGAACTTTCGAGGTCTATATAAGATTCCAAAAGTGGTTGGTTGTAGAGTTGACAATGGTCTTATTTTACTGAAGCACTTAATGAAATTTAAAACATTCTGTCAAGCTGACCTACCAAGTGTCGTTTCTGAACTACCCACTTGTTATGCCCACCCCTGGAACTCGTGAGTCTTGCCTATCAGAGAGAGAACGGCCAATAACCTTGCTTCTCTTGTCCGGTCAATAAGCGGGCAAAGACGTCAAGGGTTGACGCTCACTGGCAGTGAGACGTTCTCGAAGACTTTTTGGGAAATTTCACCTCTTTAATCTAGCTGATAGAGTGTACTGCCCCTACAAATATTCTTGTTTACCACGAGATGAGGCGACTCCAGTGCTGTTATGGCAGAAGAACCTTCTCAATTAGGTTAACAATTCGAACGACGGCTGAATAACAAAAAGAGGAGATCGGGTCACCCGAGAGTACCTGTTATCATCTGTCTTGATTGCTGATTAGTATCCAGTACCCATTCTGGTACGAAGTATGAGCCGAATCAGTTCCGCCTTGCCGGTAGACTCGGGTTCTTGTCATCCTCGCTTACTGTAATGTGTCGTAACCTCACCAGCGATTAGTTATGGAAGAAGTTTTACTGTCAGAAGCAGGATTACTTTCTTCCTGAATGTACTTTTCCTGGTCCAGGAAATGTAAAATTTATTCTTGTGTCGTACGGCGATGTAGAATTCTAGGCCCTCTTAATCTGGGCTGGCCACCAGATTGCTATAATTGAAATTTCCCCTTAGCGAGCTTACCTTTGTGAGCGCTAACAAAAAGTAACTTCTCAGTCATCATGGCTAGATACCCCTGAGGCCCTTATGAGTCTAGGGATATACTTCAATGAAGCCTGTCAAGGTTAGTGGTAAGTTGGTAACGGAGGCCGGATTAGTTTCTGAGATCCATTATATATATTAGTCGTCTCATCGCCATACGTGAATTACATTGACTTCCAGTACTAATCATCACAACTTTTAAAATGGATATATCTCAACTGTTCAGCGTGAAGGGGTTGGTGGTCGTGATAACTGGGGGTGGTAGTGGTTAGTAAACAACCCTTCAACACCGTTTCTTCGTCCTGTTTGAGAAATCACTAACTGAGGCATTGCTAGGTCTGGGACTGATCATGGCCAAAGCACTAGAAGCAAATGGTGCTGCAAAGGTCTTCATTCTAGGCCGTGATATCCTCAAGCTAGAAAACGCTGCAAAGCAATCGGTCAATTTTGACCCCACGCCCTAGCAGACCGATCATATCTGATACTTGGCAGAAACACGGAAACATCATATCCTTGCAGTGTGACATTACCAAGAAAGATGATCTTATCCGCGCCGCTTCCGCAATCAAAAAAGACATAGGCTACATAAATCTTTTGATAGCCAACGCCGGCCTTGTCACCCCCGGCCAAATGACTCAAGGAATAACACCCCAAAGCTGCATTCCTGCCATATCGGAATGTTTCCTCAATCAACCTTGGGAAGCATACACACAACAGATGGATGTTCATGTTACCGCAACCCTGTATACGTGCATGGCATTCCTTGATCTCCTAGATTTGGGCAATAAAGCGCAGAACATTTCTTGGAGTTCCCAGATCATAGCCACTGGAAGTGCACAAGGCTTCAATAAGAATCCATTGAGTGGTTTGGGTTATAGTGTCAGCAAAGCTGCAGAGACGCATCTGATCAAAAGTCTGGCGTTTTATTTGGCACCAAATGGCATTAGATGTAACGTGTTAGCTCCAGGTTGTAAGTGTTACCACCCTTATTCGGACCTTCCCGTCACTGTCTTTGAATATTTCCCCAAAACTCAAGACCATATTTAATAACTCCAATCTAGTCTACGAGTCTGACATGGTAGCGCCGGCCATGAAAGCTCTGAACATAACCACCGACAATGCACCGAGCTTCATCTCTCCTATGGGAAGAATGGGTAAGCCAGAAGAGATTGCCGGATTAGTTTTGACACTTGCTAGCAAAGCAGGTGCTTATTGTAGTGGTTCGGTGTTCTTAAGTGATGGCGGGCGATTGACCCAACAACCCTCTGTATTTTGATTAGCGAATACAAATGGGCAGACGGTGACAATAAACCAAACCTAGACTTTATAAAAACAGTCAGAAATACTGTGTCTGCCTGAAGCTTTGTTGAGTGCTCTTTGGCTAGTCGGTGCTTGAAGATCGGTGGGAAACTCGGACTCTTAATTCGCTTGGTGTACCAGAAGCGGGTGGAATGGCCTGAGAGTTGGCACGTCGCGCCTTCCTTGGAACTAGAACGTCCCATTCGAATCGCGATATTGAATCTTTTAGGTAGACAAGTTAGAAGATATTTCGTGTACCGAATTGGCTAAATCAGAATTTGAAACCAACAGTAATCCGATAATTCAATCAGAGTACGTCCAACAGGAGGACTTTCACGCCCTCCGCTGATCAGTCTCTGTTACATCGAAATTGAATGTTTTGTCAATTATCAAACAAAGTTTCGTGAATACTCTTGATTTGATGGCTGGTATGGAAGACTCTGCAGTGATCGGCCGGGTTGTTAAAATGATGAAACAGAACGTCTTGCAGTAGACCAACTGCGGCATGTATCACATGCTCTTTTAGCTACGTTAAGTGTCTTTCGAATTATGTATCTCGCCAATTGGCTAGATACAGTCCAAAGGTTTTCTCTAACAGTAGACCAAGTTTCTTTCACCGACATTGTCGAGGCCAAACAATGGTATTTGTGCTGAAAAGAATTAGCTCAACGACATTGAACGTGGGTAGCAGAAGAGAGTTGCGGTAGTCTCATCTGGCTCCTTCCAATTCATGAGTAGCCTACCCGCCTTGTTGTAAGATCCTACCATCCGCCTCACTGACATGATTTTCAGGTTGAGTATTCATCTCCGCGCTGTAGACGGGTAACGTATTTGATACTTCGGGATACGCAAATTTCGGCACTGATGACCTTGTTGGCGAGGAATAACTGTTTGTAGCAAGTGAGGACAAATGTTTTAGCTGCTCACCCCTTCTTCGGTATCGCATACAAAAGAAGGCCAGAAGAGCGAGTATCCCGAGCCCTCCAACCGTGGCCCCGACACCAATTCCTGCAGCAGCACCAGTTGACAATGTTTTATTTTGCACTGACGAAGATGATAGTCCCATGTTTGTTGGCGACGTCGATACTGGCACCTCAGAAATAGAAGCTGGTCGACTGACCTCAGTTGAGGATTGAGTTGGCTTCGTCAAAGGATATGATTGAGGTATCTGCTGCGACGATCAATAACCAGAGACGGGCGACACAAGCTCAATGTTTACTTACATTGTGACCAGTGAAGAATAACTCATATACCCATTTTGAACCTGAAGAATACAAATCTGGGAGGCTATGCTGCTCACACCTGACAAGTTTAGCATATCATGACTGGGCCCATGAATGCTGACGCTTACTTGCTATTTCTGCTACAGAACATGACTTCGCAAGACATGCTGAAGAGCTAGCTTGAATCTGGAGGTATCCAACGCCACACTGACAAGCGTAATCTGTTCGTCCACATCCAGCACTTGCGATTGCATCGGTTAAGCAAAGGATGGAGCAATTCGGAAGAAGAGCGATTTCTTCGGATATAGACGAATTGGAGATATTTCGTCTATCAAAGTGGCTCAGTATTAAACTTCGCCCGATAGTTACCGAAAAAAAAAACTTGTCTGGTTCGATTCTTTTCGATGTCGAAGACATCGGACGAACAAATCACTGTAGAATGTGCCAAAAAGGTAGACGAAATCACGATATTTACTCTACCTCTGTAAGACAATACAAACTTCCTAGTCCATAGGATGGATACGTATGTAGATCACCTTCAAAAATATTCCAAGCAGGGAAGCAGTGATTGGCTTTCAGATGATGGACGGGATACACGATATTCAGTCTACCTGAGCGAGTCAATACTGTGTTTAGAACGACGATTTGTGGCTTAAGAGGAATGGAAGGAGTAATTGATGGTCATGTCGGTCCAGGCATGTTGAATTGGATATATTTCAAGCCAACAAGTTCTCATTTACTGCGTAGATTAAACAAAATACAAGATATTGTGTCTATCTGCCTGGCTAATTGATGCTTTCGGCTGCCTGTTAGCTTGCACATTAGAGGGCGCAATCCTATACTCGTCCTCTGCTCTTCGTAGATGCAAGCAACACACGCGACTTTTGAGTAGCTGCGGGCAGTACTGGAAAGAAATAAATGCAGAAAAGACACGTTTGTCTGAGGGATCGAACCAGTCAATTGACTGAACAATATATTAATTATCAAGCCTTCATCCACATCCGCTTAAATCATGGTATCATATGTACAGCAACAGCACCCATCCCCTAAAATCACACGCCTAGAACAACCAACCAAGAGTAAGACGGTAGAGCTTCTCGCCCTTAGTCTCTGGTCCACCCTTCTTAGCAGCCTCCTTGGCAATGTACTCTGCCTCCTCAGCATCGATTCTAGCCTTTCCAGTGTACATGTCTGCATCCTCTGGACGGATCAATGTGGTCTTCATCGCGTACTTATAACCGAAGAACATGGCGATGTACAATGGAATACCGAGGTAAGTGGTAATGAATGTACGCCAGTCAAATACTGGAGTCGTTCCCTTCTTAGCGGTGACCTTGTAGCAGAAGATTGGGAAACCCTTGAAAAAGGCGATCAAGATTGAGAAGACCAAAGCACCCCATGATCCGGCAGCGCCCAATGGAGCCACATAGGCGAGGGCGGAGTCGGGAATGTTCTGTGCTTTGCGCGCACGGACAAAGTAGATGTGGGAGATGAGGAGCGAGATCCATGTCAAAAGACCGAACATGGTGACCAAGTTCACAAAGTAACCTTTAATATTGTTAGCTATAATTCAAACCTCTAACCTAAGATGAAACTTACCGAATACTGTGTAAGACTCAGTGTCTACTCCCAAGTAGGCTAGGAGACAGAATGCAACTGATAATCCGAGTGCTGCGACTGGGACACCTCGTTTGTCGGTGTAAGTGAAAATCTTTGGGGCCTTGTTCTCATGGGCGAGACCGTACAGAGTTCGGGAGGCGATGTATAGATCAGAATTGGCGGCCGAGAAGACGAAGATCAAGATACAGGCGTTCAAGATTCCTGGAAGTGCTGGAATACCGGAAAGAACAATCGCAACGACGAAGGGGGAGGCCTTAGCCGAGTTGGATTTTCCGTTCGCCACCTTGAGATCGGGATCATTGTATGGGACAAGCATGCCCAACAAAAAGACTAGCACAACGTAGAAGAGGAGGATTCGGTAGAAAGTCAACTTGATGGCGCGGGGAATAACTTTTCTTGGGTTGGCGGCTTCTCCAACTGTAACTCCAACGAGTTCAGTTCCCAACTGAGAGATGTTAGTAGATGCTAATTAATAATTCAAAGGGCAATTACGTAAGCAAACACAGCTGTGGTCAAGACACTCCAAAAAGCAAGGAAACGACCTGCAGAACCCTCTGTAAAGTCATTAGCATTCGATGTTGATGAAGTTATTTGAAGATATAAATTTAAGCGAAAGTCACATGACCTGGGTGCCTACAAGTCATGGCCTTAGACAACCACATGAATTGAGAGGTTGAAAAGGCCCCGACAGACTGTTTAGAATATATTGGGGGTGACTTACTCAATATGTACTCATTGAATGCGCCAGGATTTTTCCAATACGTGAATCCAGTGGCATCTCCATTTGGTCCACCACCACATGCAAGGACCAGTGACAGGATAATCAGCCCAACGATAACGATGACCTTGATACTGGAAAGGTAAAATTCGAACTCTCCAAAGAATCTAACACCGAAGTAATTGATGAGGACGATGGCGACCAAGAATACGGTGATGAAGACACCAGGGTTGACTTTAGCTCTCGGAACCCAGTACTGGATGACAAGCGATGCAGCTGTCAAATTGTTCGGTGTAACGATAATATACTGTGTTGATAATTAGCCATAACCCAGATAGGAAGCTAGTTGATGGCAAAAGTGCTTCAAACAGCCTCCCTGATGCAGCCTTTCACATACCTTGAACCAATAATTCCAACCCAAGCAGAAACCGAGCGCAGGGTCTACAAATCTTGTCGCGTAACCAGTAAATCCAGAAGCAAGAGGGAGCCAACAAGCCATCTATCGCACAGAGTCAGCCTCACATTCTAACGGTTGTTTATGCGCCCCATCGGAGGGCTGCCTGCGTCCGGCTCTCCACGAATTGTAGTCTTCGAAATTGCGCCTCCAATGGTGTGCAGGAAAACCACATACCTCTCCAAGAGCGGCCATAACCAAAAAACACAAGAATCCAACGACCGTATATCCGATGAACAAGGGCGCAGGACCGGCTTGCGCCAATGCCTTTCCACTATTCGCAATGTCAGCTGATGGTCGCGGGTATGAAATATGTAGATCAGTGATCACATACGTTCCGATAATTAATCCGGTACCAATAGCACCTCCGATGGCAATCATAGTAATCTGTCTCGCCTTCAATCCACGGTGAAGGTGGTGGCCAACCTCCTCCCCAAGATCATTGCTGCTCGCAATATTGACATCGTCGGAACCATATCCCTTCTCGTAATTTTTCTGGTGGTGATCTGGGGATTCCGAAGATCCTCGGTATTGGTTGATGGCGGCCATGGTGAACCAGTCGTCTGAAGAAATCCCACAAGACGGACAAAGTGATGGACAAGCGCGGGATGCGAAGGGGAGAAGCAGGATGGAAGGAGGCAAGGTCTAACTTATATAAAAGGACACCGGAGTCTTGGTACGCGGGAAACCCACATTATGAACCCAGATACGATAGGCCTGTCCAAAGAGTTGCAGGTGAATGCTGCAGGGCTCCGTCCAACCTTGAATCCACCTGGCACGACGGGTCAATTTCGAGGTTGGACGCGGACTCTCCGCAAAGCCCCAGTAAAGATACAAGCGAAACTCATTATCATTGGGGTAATTTGGGCCCAGGATGGTGAGAATCATGAAAGCTCGGTTCATGGCGTTCTAGCTTTCAAAGTGATGTGCACACAAACGGCCAGCCCCAGCAGATGTTTTCATACGATACGACAACCCTCCTTCCTTTCCTGGTGGATACCAAGAGACGCTGCCTTGCCGCTCTCATGGAAAGTGACATGTGCCTCAATACGGATCTGCAACACCATCTATTGTCTTCGACGTCGTTTCTTGGTTGCTGGGCTTCTGCCGGCTGTATTAGTCGCAGTTGAAGGGTTAAAAGAAGCACGCGAAGCCCTCCACTACAAGACCGCCACTGCAAAGAAGCACCAGAGGAGGCTTTCCTGGCTTGAACATGCGCTGAATAGTGAGCAGTGCAACAGCTTCTCGCCCTCGTGCTCCCCCGCTTCCATACTTGGCGCCAACACCAGCCAAGTGTTCTCTTATCACGACAGCCGCCATTGACCACTGACAGTCTGCCTCTGTGAGATCTGTATCTCAGCCAACCCACCACCGCCACCGAATGAGCAGCACCGAGAATCCTCAAAGCCCCTCCGCCAACCGACAGCCTGCGTTCAACATGGAAGCTCCATGGCAAACCGCCGCAGTGCTCCTCTTACGGGACTTTTCCGGCCCCAAGAGGGGACTTCCAAGACGCTAGAACATTGCCCGAAAAGATATGGAAAATCTTACTTTCAGACAAGCGTAACAACTCGCGACAAGCAAATCAACGGTTTGGAACAAGATTTTCAACATAAAATGCTTCTTCCGACTCAATTCCAAGGCTAATATCTCCTATCTTGCATATCACATCATGATAATGAAGAACTTTTCAAACACGACTCGCTCGCAATACTCGCTTACTGTAAGATGGCAATGAGGTAAAGCCGACCAGAAGCGACCCCTCCAGAAACGCCAAAAACGGACAGCTTCAAATCGCACAGGCAATAGATTGTAAGCGCCAAGACGCCATCAAATCTAAACTGTCGCGCAAGCAAACACATCATCTGGTCCAATGGAAAGGCCCGGAGCGACATTGGCCTGCGCGTACTGTGATAGCGGGAATGTACAAAAGGGGCTAGACAATAAAAGTAGTCGCACAGATGTTCTAAGATCTCACGTGAGGAACAACCTTATACTTCTTACGTAATACCCCAGACTTCCAACCTGCAAGGTTCTAGGTCGGGGGTTTGATCTGAATACAACACAGGTACGAACTAAACTGGGCGTACATTTTGTTTCAGAAAGAGAGTCAGATAATTCATTGTACTTGCTAGGCTTTCTCGTCTCTCCCAAGGCGTCTTTAAAAGTAAGGCTGGCAAGGGTATAGCACGACAAGGCTACACTAACGCAAGAGAGCCTTCGCTTCAAAGGCAGCAATGGAATTGATCAAAAAGTGACCAAGATACCTGGATACAGTGAGACAAATTCCTTATACTTAGCACATATTTTATTAATAATGAAATCCCTCTCCTGGGAGGAGAAGCGGAGCCAAGATTGACCATGAATGGAGACCTCGAGCCGATCTACGATGCCTTGAAGGATGCCATGAGAAGACCAGGCAGTAAAATTGGAGCGCCAGTTCTCACTTACAAATCTCCATTGTTACTATGAGAGCTTGAGACGAGAGAGGGTTTACTCAACCCCGACGACTAGAAGGTATGCGACATCGCTGTTCGTTGGGCAGTCGCCAAGGAACTAGATCTTTAAAGGACCAGATTAATACTGGGCAAGAATCCTAATTCAGCAGCAACGTTAGTCTTGTTAATACCAGTATGTATGGAAAGTACACTAAAAAGTCTATCTTCGATGGTAGCCTATGATGTTAGAACATGCTCATTACGCTGGAACTCATGCAGTGCCAGCCGGTGAATTTAGTCTTAGTGACAAAATATATACTTTGTATAACAACCTCGCAATGGTTATTGGCAATGTGACATATGAGTATCTCTTCGGAACAATAGTATCTATATGACCGGGCATGACAGATGCCAACAGTTGGTGGGTTGGGTGAGCACCTGATCGAAGCCTGTTACAACACAGCAAAATGTTACGATATCCCTTTTTAACAAGAGATTTCTCTGTGTGAATCATCCATACCTTCTCCTATTCGAAAGCGGGGAAGGTCGAATATCAGTGTCAGCAATTACGTCGTATTTCTTAGAGATTCAGTGAATCCAGAAATCGCTGAGCCACTAAGTGCAGGTAGACCTACTTATTATAACAGCGGCCGATCATAACCAGCCAGACAATACCATAGTTCAGTGGTAGTTGCTCGAGATCACTTTATTTCTTGGATCAAGTGGTGGCTATCTGATGACATTTATTGTTCTGTAGAATGGAATCCTTCAAGGACCGGTTACTACAAGATACCTCAGACGAGGAAGACGATTCCCAGCACGGTCAGAAATCGAAGCACCAAGTAGTCTCGCAAGAAGGAGCATCATTTATTTTTAAACTGATATCAGCGTGCTCGATATGCTTCAACGCCATTTTCATATGCTCGATCCTCATCATACTATCTAAAGATGCTCCACTACCTCTGTCGAAATATGGTATGTACACCCTGTGGAAGCGTTATACTTTCGCTGACCAGAATAGTTGGGCTACAAAAGAACGTGCCATTCTCATTCTCCCACGGCGACTTCTACACAAGTAGTAACAGATCCATCGCGGACGCTGCGTGGAATGCTCCTATAGTGCAGTCGTGGACCGGCTTAGTAGCACTATCAGAAGACTACGTCCAGTCGCACGACCTACTTCCAGCACAACAATGGCCTTGGGATGAGAATAAAAGGATCTATATCCTGAATGGCTTCCACAATTTACATTGCTTAGTGAGTATACAAGCAACTATCATCAGGTTCCGCTTTAAAAGTTGTCGTCTAATCCTACCTCACAGGATGTTGTCCGTCAGACCGTCCTTCAAGCATATGACGGCAAACCACTCGCGAAACCTTTGCCGCATGTGGTACACTGCCTTGACGCTCTCCGACAGGAGATCATGTGTAATGCGGACGACACTCCACGATATACAGGTCGTCTAAATGAAGAAGCTGGACGAGACCACCCTGTGTCTGGAATAGGTCAACAGAAGTTGTGTAATAGTTGGGACAAGCTATACGAGTTCGCTATAGAGCACTCGGCATGTTATAGGCCTGTGAACATGAGCGACCCGCATTTTCCAGAGCTTGAGAGGTTCAAGTTCTGTCCTGATGGGAAAAGAGTCTGGCCGTAAGGTTGTAAAGGAATGGGTTGGCTTCGGGGAGTTGTATATAGTTTGGTCGAGAAGGAAGGGTCCTCTGGTCATAATTTTGTGGTGAGACTTTCTGGGTTCTGGGGGTTGGAGGGCTTATTTCAAGGGGCGAATGATGTATCCAAGAAGAGGACCATTGTCATGGTAACATGTGTTGAGCCAAAGCTTTCTTTCTACTCAAAGGAGATTTATGTTCTCTTATTACCAAATCCCTAATATCAATCTAAACACATGTCCCAGGAACGAAGTAAACGATCTTGTGTTGCGCCAATTTGCGGGTACATTATGCTTCAGAGAAGCGAACCGGAATCTCAGGTATAGCTCATTGCACTTGCTAAGTTGCTAGGCTTTCTCATATCTCGGAAGGAGTATCTACAAACAGGGTTGGCAAGGTTATAAAACAACGAGGTCATAACTAGTAAACGGGAAGCCTTGGCTTGAAAGTCAGTAACTGATCAAAAAATTGACAACGATACCTCATACAACGTGAGAAACTAAATGCGGCTTACATTCAGCACCCCAGTAATAACACAATCCTCTCCAGGGAGGGAAAGCGGGAAGCGGAGCTTTGTAAATGCGCAAAGATTTCTTTTACATAACGGGAATCCCCCCCGCAGATAGATCTACAAAGGAAGTGCCGCAGAAACTCAGATTCAACACACTTGGAAAATCTCTGACAAAAACCTGACTACTGCATTCAATCATACTTTGTAATCGTTACGTCTGACTTTCCAGGTTTCCTTGAGCCGCCGCTACGTCCCGTCAGGAAGCCGCGCTGTGGGGTACCGAGGGATTTTCTGGGGTAATAGCTTCGAGAAGGCTTCCATGGCTGGCCCTTTTCTGCACTTGTGACACTTTCGCAAGCCATATGCCCGTCTTGACCGAGCTTCGGCAACAAGCCGCAGCAGTTACCGAACAATTTCGAACATTGAAGTGTCAAATCGTCGTTGGATATCATTTCTATGGAGTGCAAACTTATTTACTTCCTCTCTAACCTCCGCTGAACCCAAAGTATTTACTTCTTCAACGCTTCACCATCAGCGGCAAGTAAACTGTCTTTCGTACTAATAGGTCCTTCTCCAACTTGGGTCAAAATGACCCGTGAGACACCGTCCTTTAGAACTTGGACTGCTCTGGCATCTAAATTACCAGCATCCTGCGACTCAATTTCCCTGCTTTGCCAGCCATCCAATCCTTCAAGCGCACCCTTCACAACACCAGCTACTGCAGCCGTATTCTCCTCTTCATAATAAATCACCGCATTAGGTCCAGCGTCAAAAGTGTATGCTGCAATGATCTTCCCGGCTTTCTTGTTGATATCCTCTACCACTCTGATGGCCGCCTTACTCACATCATTCAGGTAGAAAATAGGAGGAAACGTGTCCGAGCACACAGAGTGAAAAGAGTTACTCTCCATCATGGTGACTTTTCCGAACTTTTCAAAGTCTTTGGCTTTGATAGCCTCCTCCATCTCACTCATGTGCTTTGGAACAACAACCTCTGCACGTCGTTGAAATAGTTCTGAGGTCGCGACAGTAATCTGCATACCAGAGGTACTGGAAACGCCCTTCTTCTCAGCGGAAACCACAAGAATGAGAGCGCGCATGGTAGGCCAGTGAGAAGCTGGTGCGACCTCGACTGCGAGCGAATCACTTCCATCGTCCTTTGTCCCCATTTGCCATGCGACATAACCCCCAAACAGTGACCGACACGCGCTCCCACTTCCTTGTCTTGCGATTCTGCTCAATTCAGTTGGGCTAGCTGGCAGCTGGTATAAATCTGCAATTGCGCGAACCAGTGCTGCAAATCCAGCAGCGCTACTTGCCAATCCTGCCGCCGTAGGGAAATTGTTCTCAGAAACAATTCGCAGTGGTAAAGAGGAAATCTTAGGTAGGGAAAAATCCGAGGCTTCGAGAGCGGACCGTAGAGATCGGAGCTCGCGGAAACATGCTTGGGTTCGGGCTCCTGAGGTGTCTTGCGGGGAGGAGTTGAGGAGAAGGGTATCTTCAGAAGGGAATTTGGAAGAACAGGCTGCTGTGGTGTGGGTACGAAGGTCGGATTGGGAGAGGGTTACTGATATCGAGGAATTGGTTGGGAGATTCAGTTTTGGGTCTCGTTTCCCCCAATACCTGTTGTAATGTTAAATCTGAGTGGGAGGAATAGGGGGAGGGGTAGGTACTTTACCACAGCGATGTTGACTGGTGCTGTTGTGCTCGCCTGGTAGATTTCTTGACCAGCCATTTTGAAGAATATTGCAGCTTACTACTTTATCTCCTCTACTCAGAATAATCGGACTTCAACTCAAACTGAAGCTGTCGTCGCATTCGTGGTGCTGGCGCGGGGTGTTTGTGGTAAATAATTTCAGGGCGGTCAAGCGCAACCAATCGGCTTCTCCCACATGCAATCCGATCAAGGGTCCCAAAAATCAAAGGAAGCATAGCTCATTATCAATACCATCACGAATTCCCGATTGTCACCTCCACCATGTCTAAATCACCAGAGGCGCAACAAGCGCCTGCAGAAGCATGTCCCGTAGACCACACAACGCGCGCAGCATGGCTCAAATCCAACCCAGGCGCAGCCCATCCCTTCCCTACCGCAACCCAAAAAGCAAACTCCACACCCAACAGCGAAGGAAATAGTTGCAATTCCTCGACAGTAGACCAGTCGCCTCCTCCCTCGGGTCTTCTCTCCAAACTCAAAGCGTCTTTTTCCGATTCCCCGAAATCTCTAGGCGTGGACCGCGAGGTCTCAACGATACCGCGAGCTTCAGTGGTGAATGGCGAAGGAAGCCCCGCGAATAATGAGGCCGAGGGAGGAGTTAGTAAGAGTGGGAATTGGATATATCCGAGTGAGAAGATGTTCTTTGATGCGATGAAGAGGAAGGGGTATAAGAGTGAGGTGGCGGATATGAAGACTATTGTGCCGATACATAATGCTGTCAATGAGAGGGCGTGGAAGGAGATTAAGGAATGGGAAAGGCCGTTTGGGAGTGATGAGAAGTGAGTCTTTACATTTGCAGTTCTGGAACTGTGAAGGAGAGTGCTAATACATAGTAGATGTGGAGGACCAAAACTGGATTCATTTCTCGGACTCTCGCAAACGATGTCCCCGAAAGCACGAATAAACACCTTTCTAGGATACACTGCTCCATTCGACAGACACGACTGGGTAGTCGATCGCTGTGGAACGAAGGTGGAATACATTATCGATTTTTATGCCGGCAAGGCAGATCCACGGAATCAGGGGAAGCTCAATTTCTTCCTAGATGTACGACCAAAACTTAATACTTGGGAAGGATGGAAGATGAGGGGTATGAAAGCTGTGGGATTGATCTGATACAGGGAATCGGCATTTATGGGTGGCGTTTGGTGTATTGATAGAGGTATAGTGGCATCCCCGCTTTGTAAGTTGATGATTGTACAATAGTTGTAAGAATGTACTATAGGAGAAGGAACTCATGAAATAATACTGCAGTATAATTTAACAACACACCTCATCTAAGTATCTTAATCCTCGTCCCACTCTTCGTCTCCAGCGCCCCAGTCTCAATATCCCATCCAGCTTTTTGCAATTCCTCAAAGAAATTGAATCGATCCTGAACCTGCTCGACATACAACTTTGTCCTCTGCAAAGTCTCAATCAGGCTCTCGCCTTCTCTCCTGTTAAGAGCCCAGGATTCGGCATGATAAAGAGCATGCATCCACGCACTCAACAACGTAGCATTTCCAGCACCCTCCTTTATGGCGATCAGAAATCGCTGTTCTCGAAATGGAGATTGATCCCACATCATGATGTAATCATCATCTTTATATACCTCCAATAGCTTGTTGAAATCTGAGATAGGAGGTGAAGGCGGACGTCCTGGCACCTTTGAAGGTTGATCGAAAAGAGCCAGGATCTCTTGCAAGGAGACACCAATTTTGCAATACCCACTTCCGTATTTGGCGCCCGAGTACCTAAGTATTCCATCTCTTTCAAATATCCGCTCTTCAATGGATACTTCCTGTGGTGCTGGGATTGTCAATGAAATGTCACCCGTCTGTGAATTTCTCTTGCGTGAGAATTCTTGAGACGCGTCGTGGAGACAACGTGAGAAAACGATATTTGCTCTTTGACGATTCAGCGTCCTCATACTCACAGCTCGAACAGCTAAGTAGTTCGTCCCAAGGTGGATGCCCAGCAAGAAGATCATCGAAGTCCAGGTCGCCCATTTCGTACTGATATGGCTGACGATGAGACTACCAGCTAACATCCCCATCAGAGATATGACTGTTTCTTGACTCGAATCTTTCTGTCATCTCATCAGTCATTATCCACGCCAGCACATTTAGCGACCTACAGCATTCAACTCCCCCAAATTCCCCTGCGTAGCAAAATGCGCCGACAAGCTCGCCTTACTACTCCCAGCCGCCACACCACACAGACTCCTCAAACACGAACTCGTCGCCAACATAGCCACCCTCGAAGGCTTCGGCAACGCAGGAGACAGACAATCCAGAATCATCGCCGAATCATTGAAGATATCGGCAAGCAGCCGATACATTTTGCATTCTGGTTCCAGAGAAGTGCCGAGGCGGTGGGCGAAGAGTATGGTGGCTATTCGACCCATGGATTCTTGGAGGACTGAGAGGAGGAGGGCGGAGGTTGGGGAGGCGTGGGAGTCGCCTACGCCGATTCCTGGGTGTTGTTAGTTTCGAACTGCGAAGAGCTGGGTGAGGCTCTGGATACATGCCTTCGAGCACAGCTCTGTTAGATAACATCCCAGCAATTGAACTGCTAAAAGCTTGTAATGAATCCTAGAGCCATCAGCTCACAGCTTCATCAACTCTCTTTGCTCGCACTCACATATATCTGATACCTAACTACCTCATCAGCACGGTTTCATCCATTTAAAGGCATTTCAACTCACCCAAGATAATCACTAGTAACACTATGTGGATATCCCGCCGGCAAAAACGCATTCAAAACACTTCTCGCATAGCTATTTGTGTTTTCTGGGATCTTTCTCATTCAATTAGTAAAAGAGCTCCTTATACATTAAAGATGATTCTACGTACGATTACATCGACCCTTCCTTTATTGTCAGGCCGATCAGCAGGAGAAGCGATGTACGTTGCAACGACATTTTTAGATTCATCCGTTTCTTGAATTTCGATACGGTTCGGACTACCTTCTTTTAATGGCTTTTGAGCCATGGCTGGCATTGGTAGACTATAGTTCCTTAATTATCAGCAATCTCACTACAGAAACTTGCTTTATGTTGTCTCATGTCGTGTGTGTAAGGTGTTTTTACGTGTACAGGACGACTGTCCTCGAGGAAGTGGGGCGGAGAGGTGCGTCACGGATTTTGATTGGCTTCGGGTTCAGGCTATGGGAGAAGGAGGTTCACCTTGTTCTATTCTTTTGACAATATTGATGAGTGTTTTTCAGGGTCGAATAGGTGTTTGATGCCTCCAATACTGAAGTTATGCTGCCTTTTTCATTAGCACTTACTTTACTATTACAAGAATAATATTCTCTTAATTACAGTAGCAAGAAAACAGGAGAAACTTGGCAACTGACGACTAAAGCAATACTTATGTCACGTAACTTCAACCGCGAGAATTAGCAAAGACGTAGTATCAAAACGCTGATTTCATTCTTTCTGATATCATCTTCACCAACGTTTAACCCCTGAGGTTCCATTTCGCACTTCATCCACACATATATAAATCCAAAGAGAGACAGGCGCTTTGCTTCACTGTCTCCTACTCTTTTCATCTGCCCTTACATAGCTTTTCTGACCTCGTCAACCCATATTAGGTTCCCGTCTCCGCAATTTAATTCTTATGCAACCAAAAATATCTTCCGGTCCAAAGGAAGAACTCCATATTCACTCCGTATTTCCCTGTTTCCCAATTCCCAATTCCGAACTCTGTAACACCTATGTACACCATTTGATCCCAACGCTAATGCCACTTAATAACCGCTGCATGCTCTCGCTCGTATTCGTACAGTCAGGAGATTTCCATGATCATTGATCAGAATTCTTATGTCGTTCTGTTATTCTTCTTCAATTTCGCTGTAAGCGCAGTGGTTATTTTCCACTCAGCCCTCATCAATCTCGACCAATTCCTAGCATACTAGGAACAGCCTTTCTCCCAACCCGCTTACCGGGCATATCAATTCTTGGAGCACCTTGAATACTTCTCGGCTCTCTCATCAGGGTCGGATCAAGTTGTGCTGGTATTCTAGACACGACACTTCTGTAATCACCTGGGAACTTGGAGTTGGGCGATGGAACCGCCGCGCTTCTCCAAAGATGGTCGGAGATATCCTCTATGAACGACGGCTTGGACGACTTGGAGGAGAAGAATGCTCTGCTACCTCTAGATTTCTTGGCAAGGATGATGCCATCAAATAACTGAATCTGAGGCGCGTTCGAAGCCGTGGTCTCTCTTTCGTGTATGAACTCGTTAAAAGCTATTCAATGATAGGTTAGCAAGGCGTTTGACGTGGCTACTGCGTCGGGGCTTACCTTGTGTCTGTTTCAGCATCGTAAGATACTCCTGCTGTTCGCCAGGCAAACTTCGAATGAAGCCATTCATATCAAAACCGTACAGCTGACCGTTACTCTTCTGCTCCTTGGTCGGCCGTCCAAGATACTTTCGGTACGTGTAAAATAGACTCGAGAAACAACGTACGAAAGCTGCTCGTACACGATCCGGGTGGAACGCGGCAGGACACACCAAGGAGATCTGGCCAATACAACGTCCGTGTGTACAAGTAGTACAACTGGTACATTGGTACATCCCGTCACCGTCGGAACGTTCATCGCAAATAGAACAGACGGAAGAGCTATCACTGCGTGCCCACGACATGCAATGTCCTTCGATCCAAGAAGTTGTTTCGGTGTTTCGGATCGGCTGCATGAGCATATTGGGCATAATGGTCGACGCTGCGAGAGTCGAAGCGGCGTATGATGATGGTGCATATCCATACATAGATTTCGCATCGATCGAGAGGGCAGATGTGGAGTAGCTAGGTTGATGACCATTAGAGAACGTCATCGTCGGCCGGTGGAGAGTTGGATGTCTGTCAACACCAAACGAAGAGCTTCGTCTTGACGTTCCATCGAAATGACCAGACCTCTTTTCCCGAAGTGTGGCAGAAAGAGCAAAGCCAGAGTCATTACGACTAGATGTGGGTGTCGTCGGCATAGGCGGGAAGCTCCCTGAGATTGGTGATACCGATGAGGGAGGACTGGTTCTACTCGACTTGCTCGTGGAGGGACGGTCTACCCTGGTATGATCGTTCTTTGACTGTAGGAAGGCATTGTAGACTTGTGTCTTCTTTTCCTGCGATTGATCAGAGTCTCCAAAAGTTGCCGATGGCTGTGTGACGTGTTTTGACAATGAACTTGGCTGAGCTTTTTGAGTGAAGATTGCCTCATTTTCTGATGAGAAGGCATCGTAGGGGAAGGTTTCGACGGCATATGCTGGTGGACCAACAGGAACTCCACATCGATTATGATGAGGAGCTGCTAACTGGAGGAGTGATATAAGTTTCCGTCGCTGTTGTCGTGGAAGTTCTGTGACTGGTGCACTCAACATGATATCGTCCTGGTCCAGGTCGACCAGCACAACGTCATCCTCGGGCCATTCCAGATTCTCATATCTTCTTTCCACACCAACAATATATGGACAAGGGGCCTCAAGGGCAGAAATTAATCGTGCAGGTAAGACTGGAATGAAGATACTTGCCCACTTCAAGGGATACAGTAAACTCGCCAGAGCCTTGCTTGCCAAGTATAACATCGCTGTGTGAGATGATAGCAAAATGATCCTAGATTCGGCTAACGCGCATTCGAACAAAGTCACAATGTTGGGAATTGTGAGCGCTCTGAAGAGTGCGTACAAGTCTGTATTGCGCGATTCGGGAAGTTCGTTAGCAGCCTCTTTCCGAGCAAACATTCGCAATTCTCTGACTGCAAGCTCGACCTGGGTTTTTGAAGATATAGGGCTCAAGGCCTCGGTACATAAGTTGACCACATATCTCTCCAAAGGCTGCCATCTCCCAATCTTAGGAGAGCTTGGTGGAATCCGAAGAACTCCTCCATCTGTCATTGGGACAACAACAGCTCTTAACCATTCCTTCCAAAAGCTAGTCATACTTGGATCTCGTCCAAGAATACCATACGCTCTTGGTGTCCATAATCCAGTGTCTCCGTCAGTCAAGCCATCGATTTTCGAAGCTGCTCCGTGGCGTACAGGCCGTAACATATCAGTCATTAAGGCAATTTTCTCTTCGACAGCACTAATTTCGTCTTCGAGAGCCTCTCTGGCATCTGATCCAGATACAACGCTGGGCAATTTTGCCAATAATTGTGACAACTTTGCTCGCTCACCAGCAAGTCTTCCACCAAGACTTACAGCTAGTTCCCTTTCTTCATCGGACATGTGATTCTGCCTCCATAGCTCGCATCGCCTTTCGATATCCGCAGCGGCGTCCTGGTTTAAAGGCATCCATACAATTACGGTAATTCCATATATTTTGGAATTGTCGTCTGAAGTCATTGTGAACCCATGCCACGTAGATCTTGGCCGCTCATCGCCAGACATAATCAAGATGTCATTCGGAAACGCAAACATAGGTACATAGTCTGGGAACCTACCTCTCCGCTTCAATTCGTCCGTAGCGCTTTTAGGTGGGTATCTGTCTAGTAAGACTGGCTCGAATCGTCTTTTCAGAGGATGCATTTCTGGATCTGCATTGAGAGGTTCTGGCGGTGGAATAACTGAGTTGTAATTGCTCATTCGTTTCGAGGTACGTACGGAGGCTAGAAAAAAGAAACAAATCAGCAGATGTTCGTAAAGCGCAAAGCACGGGTATTGTTGTCCGACATATATGCAGCGCACTTTATGCAGTCAGAACTGAAACTTAAACTCACATGTACGTTTAGCCTGGGTCGTGGTTGGCTGTCTCTTCATGCTGTTCATGTCCCTAAAGCTGATCCTCCTCCTAATACTCCCACCAACGGACTTAAGCTGATTCCTCTTAGTGGATTGACCATTTGCGACATCTGCTATTTTCACTGTTGGAGATCGTATAGCTGAAGATCCATTTGGCCTCTGAGGAGGAGCGCCAGCAGAAAAGCTCAGATCGTCCAGAAAGTGTTCTCTCTCATGTGCGAATTTAATCAAGGCGCTATCGAAATCGAAGTCTCCCAGTAACCCGCCACTCGCTCCATTGCTGTTTCCATTTGAGCTCCCATTGGTCCCGTTCGAAGCTGGCACGCCTTTTACTGTGATACTGCTGCGATTACTGCGTGATGTGTTGTCCAACTCCTCGAGAGCGCCAATCGAATTCCTCGAGTCGTTCGTGAGCTTGCTCAACCGGTTCCAGGAATTCTGCCTCGAATGTCTTGCCTGAGCTCTCGGCGTCCTATTCTCCTTGCTCGTCGGTGAAGTCGTAGGAGTATCCCCTTCACTCTCGCCTCCTTCCTCTATCGTGGCATCGAAACTCGGCGAGGGGGGATTGACTGGCAGGTTTGTCTGATGTGCGGTATTCTGGGACCACGAGACCGGATCGCTGTACGAAAGTGAATCGATTCCGGCGATCCAGAAATAATCGGCCAGAGGGGCGGATGTGGTATCCATGGCATGTCACGAACTCGTGCGAAGAAGAGGGGAAATGCCGCCGGGAGTGCGTGTATTTGTTGCGTGGGTACGTTAATCTGACATTGGTCCAGGTGCCCGCCGCTTTCCCTTGTGGACAACCCCAGAACCCTCTCTCCTGCTTGATGTGAGGATGTATTTCCCTTGTGTTGTTGCAGGAATGGATACCGTCAACTAGCAGCCCAACGGACTCCGGGACGATCACGCAAACGCGTTCGGCTCGAGTTGTGGGGGATCGTGGCTCGTTTCGACGGTGTGGTGGTTTTTTGGTTGCGAGGGTCTCGCGGTTCGAGTCCGCGCTGAACTAATGACGCAGCCAACGCTCGCAAGTCGTCCGTCTAAAGTAGCTCCAGGACCGGTTGGTATATGAAACTCCAGATCTGGCAAGACTCAGGGGTAAACCTCAATTGCCTTGACCAGTCGTTGGGCGAGGAGGGGATAGCTTGTGAAGAAGAACGCACAGAGCTTCGATCGGTCGTTGAAAAAGAGCCTTGGAAGGCGCTTGTCGGCGAAAGTAAGCTGATCGAGTTTCTATTCGTGGCCGCGACGTAAAACGTACGTAGATGCGTTCGATCCGTGGTGGTCGTAGAAAGTGTACGGCGTGATTTATTCGAGGGTTTGTTTGTCGTGATACCAGCTATTATTTCGTGGACCCTGAGCCGGTGAACCTTTATCGAAAGACGGGTAGCGCAGATCAAACACCCCAAATGAATGATTGGCAAGAGCACAATAAACGAGGGTGAAAGGTGGATACGGGGCGGCCGGTTGCTCTTCTTCAACAACCAAACAAAAGGGAAAAGAACGAGGGAAGAAGACTCGTTCAGCCCAGCAATCCTCAGAATTCCAAGCCACCTTCCCCTTTTCCTTTTGACCAAACCCCGTTCTATAATAATGCGCAGACGGCGGCTCAGTATATCCTGCGATTTGCCAATTCAACAATCTCCAATCTGGCTGTTATTCCTTCGATGTTGGCAGTATGTTGATCATTTCCTGTTGTTGCATTTAGACTCGAGATGGCATACGAGGAGGGGTGTGAAAAGATTCAACAAGGGGAAGGATTCAGATAGAGGAACTTAGCCTTTCTCTACGTGGCACCCTTGAACTTAATTAATCACTGGTTGTTGAACGCTCGTTTATGACTTTATATGTTCGGCCCATCCAGCCGGGTGAATTCAACTCTACTACGTGGGCGACAATTAACTATTGTCTCGCCGGAGACCAGTCCGTACCCGAAAATATGGAATTCGTCTTATGAATTAACCTTACCAGATAAGTTCCACGATAATCCTATTGGCACAAACAATCGAGCCTATAAATTTCATTGCAGCGGTAGTCCGTCTCGCCCACGCCATCTCAGGGGCACACCGGCGCACCCAACACACAAACGTATATCTTCTATCACACTGATTCGCCGCCTCGCTGGTTGACGTTGTACTTGGGCGTGAAACAAGCCTCCTCCTACCTGGTCGAGTGAGCGGTGCCTCTCAACGGATCGTGTGAAATCCTTTCTTGCATATCCGAAAATTTCATGTACCGTACCTGACTTGGCCCGACTGAACACAACATATTCGGCAAATAGTGCTCCTATCAAGGTCAACACCGTTGTTCTGTGCTTTCTTTTCCTTTCTTTTTCTCACCTCATCAAAAGTGCTAGTTCACATCGTTGGCACCACTTAAGCTCACAATCGGCGCGAGTCCACATATTCAGGGGTAGCGAGATAATTTTCTGTGAGAGAGGGTGTGCCAATGCAACCCTCCTTTCTATCTTTCGCTATTGAAACCATACTAGAGCGTCAGCCGGCGATAACCAGATATCCCACAATGCTAGGATGCGCAAGTCTAGAAGTAGACACAGGAACACAGGACAACTATCTGCATTGTCCGCAAACGAACTAGACTAAACAGCCGACATTATTTTCTACTGCCTCTTTTACCAGAAACTGCTCACCAGAAATCCCACTCTTGCCTCAGTCAAGACAACATGTATTACTCTCCCAGAAAGTCACGAAAACCTCGATGAAGAGGAGCTATAATACGGATGGTAAGAGGGGTACAAGCCAGGAAGGACGATCGGATCAAGAATAGATCGGATGGCGTGGAGATCCCGTGGCATGTTACAGGGACAAGCCTGTCATCCTGCGAAGCGGAGTCCCTGTTCGTGCAAACCTTCGATGGACGGAGGCTTCAAGTCACCTGAATATTGAATATCCGTTGAGATTTTCAGTCCTTCATGAAAATAGTACTTGGAAGTAGTCAAGATACGAAGAAATTCTCTTGCTGAACCCCATTCATGCTACTTTCGAAAGTCAATCCAACAACGTCCTGTTCTAGCCATAGAACTCCCAGAGTTATGATCTGCTCATATCAATAGGTAGCACAAAGCTCTGAGACCTTGTCAAACGTCAGATAAACGCGATGACTTTACCAATGCGGTTCGGAAAATAAAAAAGCATATCATTGGCTTTCAAAACCTCGACAAGACGTAAGGCTTGATACTTTACCCAACCGAAATGATATGACTAGAATCTACTTCGATAAGTAAAACTAGTTTTGAGGAGCTGACCCCAATTTTGATATGACGGATATCATACGAACAACTCTAGATACGAACGCGCGTGTGGTAACGGCCTGACGCAGAACCATATATAAATGAAAACCCCTGTGACATGCAACCGCCCCAGATACGACCAAAAGCTACACAAAACGCCTGGCTCCAAAGCCAACACCCGGACTATGCATAATTTTCCGACCGCCAAAGTACTAGTCGAACAAAAGCCGACATTGAAAATTTGGACCTTACAGGTACAAACTTTGAGCAGCCACAATATCTCGTCTAATCTTGGACAACGACTCTTCGAACTTGGCTGACAGCTCGTCAGAGCCCATCACTTTCCCGGCTTGAGCCATTTGTCGCAACAACTCCTCCAAACGTCGGAACAGGCGGATGAGTGATCCCTCGTAAACATCTGTCATTTTACTAATAGGCTGTTAGTATGATAGGGGGAAGAGGACTTGCAACACTTACCAAATCTCGGCAAAGGATTTTCCCTGAGCCCAAGCCAAGACAACATCCATGAGCTGCCACTTGAAGCTCTCTACATACTCATCCTCGTTGACCTTTAACTTGCTTTCCTGGCTGACCTTTGCCATGATTCTGGCTTGACTCTGAATCTCTCTAAAATATTTTGAAAGCTCTTCTTTGAGTGCAGGTGCTTGACTCTTCTCCTCGAAAATGAAGCACGAAAGGACTGCTGCACACATTTCAGGCGACATCTCATTGAAGAAGCGATTGAAGAGTAACTCGGCAAGCAGGCATTCATGACCGTCGCCTGTAGAGATCTCACAAGCCACACGAGCTTTGAGCTGAACAACTTCTTGATCATTGATAAATCCCAGTCGACGCAACACTCTTTTTCGAGACTTGAGCTCGTCCAACTGCATGATGCTGAGCGCCGCAGTAATTGCCTTCTTCTTTTCTTTGATTTTCAGACCCATATCGATCTTTCCTGCGTACTGGTTGTACAGTTCTGGGAGACGAGGAGAATTATGGAGGGGGTTTGCGAGTAGACGAGATTCAAGAACTTCAATCTTACGAAGCAGCTTTTTGAAGGAATCATCCGTGATGCCCATGTGTTCAATAGGGTCCAAAACGCTGATTCCGTCTGGAAACCTGCGGCTGACTTCCTCAAGCGATTTTCGAACGGTATTTCGCTCGTCAGTATGCGTGAGGCTCTTAGGCATGAATATACGGACGTGACCAATAGCTTCGATGCATGAAAGTAGCACGGGAACAACTTCCATTTTGCCCTTCTCGCCTTCGGCTGGTGGGTGCAGACCTGGTGGGATGTCTGTTGTTGTTTGTGTTGGAACATGAGAATGATCAGAAATGCGCAAAAGAACATCGAGTATATAAGACTCCTGTGGAGCGAGTGGGTTGCTTTCGTCCTTGGCAGGTCTTCTGGGTGTAAACTTGACAACAGCGCCCCACCCGTAATCCTGATCTTGGTATTTAATGTGAACAATTCTACCGGGTTGCATGAATTGTAAACAATAGTTGGGATGATTGATGACATCGCGCATGTCCTTTGTATACTGCGTAAGCTGTTGCCGGAGGTCGAAGTACTCCTTGATGATGGCTTCATCAGGAATTTCGACCGAGTCTCGTTCTATTTGTAAATCATGAAGATCTTTTTCCAGACCCGAGACACCAGAAGTATTTTGAAATTGATAGAAGCAATGTTCCAGCATGAATTCCGGTGATATACCCTCAACTCGCATCAAATTCAGAATCATGTTGTAGCCAAGATAGAATGCTGAGTTCAACTTATCTTGCTCTCCTCGAACAATTTCTTTAGCTGTTGGGGGGTCCATCTTATCGTTGATCATCATGATGACAATACCTCTGTCATCAAGACCTCTTCTTCCAGCACGTCCGGACATCTGTACAAACTCTGAAGGTGTTAAATATCGTTGCGAAGTACCATCAAACTTCTGAACACTTGTAAAGACAACGGTTTTCGCAGGCATATTCAGACCAATCGAGAAAGTCTCCGTGGCAAACAAGACCTTGATTAAATTCTCCTGGAAAAGAATTTCAATGGTTTCCTTCAGAATAGGGAGCAAGCCAGAATGATGGACTCCTATACCTCTGCGAAGTAACGGTAAAATGTGTTGGATCTGTGGTAGAGTTTTGTCTTCTTCCGATAATGATTCGATCGCGCTCTCAAAGACCTTGCTGACCATCGCCTTTTCGGAGTCGTCATTAAACGCCATAGTGCTCATCTGCAAAGCATATGCTTCACATTCTCGCTTGCTAAAGCTGAATACGATGACCGGATTGTAGTGCTTCAACATGATCATTCGAACAATCTTGTAAATGTCTGAAGTGTCTTTGTTGCCACCAGTATTTGTCTTTTTGTTCTTACCCCTTCCTTTCTGCCTCGCATTTATGTCGGATGGATCTGATCCTTTCTTTTCCTCTATGGTGGCCATGGCTTTCTGAAAGTTATCTTCACGGAAGTTGCCCTTCTCATCAACGATAAGGTGTATTCCGTCAGCTCCGGCTGGGAAAAAGTAGTGCTGCAATGGTGTTGGCCGGAAATCGGTGTATACAATATGGCAAGGTTGTTGATGAGTTTTCGTGATCCATTCTGCGAATTGCATGGCATTTGGAATAGTTGCGGAGAGGAAAACATATCTGACCTTGTCCGGCAACAAGATGATTGTCTCCTCCCATACAACACCTCGTGATTTGTCTCGCATGTAATGAATCTCGTCGAAGACTACCCACGCAACCTCGCGCATGATCTCAGATCCTCTATACAACATGCTTCGCAGAATCTCTGTAGTCATGACCAAACAAGTCGCAGTAGGATTGATTGTGACATCTCCGGTCATGAGTCCCACGTCACCAAATTCCGCCGCGAACTCTCGATACTTTTGATTGCTGAGCGCCTTAATTGGACTAGTGTAAATCACCCTCTGGTTGTTCTTCAGACACTGAGCAATGGCATACTCTGCAACCACCGTCTTTCCAGCACTAGTATGCGCAGAGACCAGAACACTCTCGTTCCTTTCAATCGAGGCAATGGAAACTTTCTGGAACGGATCCAATTCGAAGGGCCAGGTGCGGGCGGGTTTCTCTGGCGACTTGTGCTGCGAAATCGGTACATAGACATAATCTGGCGGTAAGGAGACCTGATGCTGTATGTTGTGCTGAAGAACAAGAGCTCCGTCATCTTTTGCCTGCAGACCTGCTGATGCTGCGACTTCTCTGGATTGCGCGGTTTCGAAAGCATCGGTGACGACTGGTTCGGCTTCCTGCTCCAATCTGCGTCTCTTCGTATCTTTCTTCTCAACCAGATCATTGTCTTCCCCCTCTTCCTCTTCTTCCGGTTCTGGCGCAGCTTCCGCCTCTACCATCTCCGCATCGCCGTCAGCCTCCTCGGCCGCTGGCTTGACATTCCCATTGAGATTCCTCTTCTTCGATTTATCTTTCTTGTGCTTCTTTTCCTTCCGGGGTTTCGTTACGACGGCCATCCGAGGTTTGTCGTCGAACACATCGAAGAGGTCGTCATCCATCTTGTCTTAAGTGTCATATAGCGCAAGGAGTGCGGGAACCTTATTTGCCAAAGATCGTGGTTGCGCATAAAAATTCGGCTTCAAGAATTTTTGTCAACAAGCTGCCTTCAAAACTCTAGCTCAGAGTTCTAATCCCTGTCCACATTATTCATTAGCGTGCTTTCCGAGCAAAGCAACTTCAACATCGAACCACACTCCAAACCTCGACACCAGAAACAATCCAAACACACAATCTCAAGGTATACCACATCGCCCTTGCGACTGATCGCATTCCCTGCTGACTCAACGATTCTAGATGCTATCACGAGCTGCAGTCCGCGCCTCCTCTACGACCTCGATGGTCGCCCGCCGTGGCTTCCACTCCACCCGCGCACAGCTAGGCTCTCCTTACCACTACCCGGAAGGTCCACGAAGCAACATTCCGTTCAACCCATTGACGAAGTTCTTCGCTCTCAGATATTGGGGCTTCATGTTTGTTGGATTCTGTGAGTGGAATCAATGGCTGCTGAGGATTAACTGCTAACCCGTGTCCTAGCCGCTCCTTTCGGAATTGCAGTATGGCAGACAAAGAAGAACCAGTAGACGGGGTAAACAGGGCTGGAGGTTGCATCACAGGCTGTAAATTAGGACGTGTGAATAGAATGGGGTTGCAATGGGATCATTGAACGTTGATTGGCTTTGCAATGACGTGTCATGCGACGTGCTATCTTTTACAGCGTGCTAAACCACAGGTCGCGTTTGATGTTCTATATCGACAGAAAGTTGATTCGAGTTGGAACGTTATGCTATTTTAAAAGACCAGACAGCGGGCAGGTAGAGCTGAGCACGAAAGTCGAAAAAAGGGTATAATTGTATTTGAAGACCACCATGTCTATGAAACGCTGATTACAGCTGCTGTATTAGGCTAGGTCATTCTCGTTCTGGTATCCATAGTAAGCCGGGCTACCATGTGGAAATTGAAGCAACCTTCAAATTCGCTTCTGGTAGTCATCAGCTCCGACACTGCTTGTTGCGCCTGGTCTGGATCTTTGCCATTAACCACTCTGACACTTATCATTAGAATCCATTTGTTCTCTTCATCAAATGGCGTCAGGGTCTCAAATGCGGGTAATGGTGAGTTGTAATCCGATGCTTGAGAGTCGTCGGGAAGTTGAAGGTAGCGGCTCAGATCAAAGATCACGTTCCCATTGATGAAGCGATAGCACTCCTGAACCATTTGTCCTGTGAATCTGAGATTGTTAGACCGGATTTCACTGGGCTCTTGTAGTTGACCGACCTGTAGCCTATCGACTTCATTGTTGAGCATAAGCCCCTCTCATTATCAATTTGCAGCATAGCCCGAGTGTTGACAGGCCTCGCGTCTACTGGGTCAGGCAGCTCATTCCACCTGAGCGTACCGGGAGATTGATCACAAGTCGAAGGGCTGGAGATTTGTCAGTTCAGAACGCCGGCGGTTCAACAATTCCTCAAGATCATCTTACAGTGAGTGATTAGGTCGTTCGTCTTGCTGTTCTGTGGACTGTCCAAACGCACCCTTCTCAATTTCGTAGACTAGTGCCACGACGTAAGATTGCCTAACAAGCTGCTCATGAAGAGTCTTCCACAGCGGTTGTTTCGCTGGCGTTTGCTTGCTAATGACATCCCCGGGTATTCCTTTCAGTCCAGTCCGAAGCCTTGGGCCTTCCCACATGAGACGGCGGCAGAGAAAAGCTTGAGGTTTCATCCCACAGAAGCCCTGAAGAATCCGTACGGCTCTGGTCAAATCATCATTTGGAACGCTTGCTGTAAGAAATAATTCGTGCATATTTTCGACTCTTTCTTTTCTATTTCTAGTCGGTGGGACGAACTATAAATCAAGTCAGCTGATGTACTTGGATGAGGTTAAAAAGATGAGCTTTGGTCTGATCAGCAATTGTCCAAGCTTGGGCTTGTCAGATCCCGATGTTGGGGAGCGTGAGGATTATTGGTTGCCAAAAAATGAGAATTAATACCAGTGGTATTGTTCCTAACGACTCCATCATTCACGACAGCCAAAAGAAGGTACTCTGTAGCGCAATAATTGCAATTTTCTCAACGATGATCGTCAAATTTGCGATGGAATGTGGCTGAGAGCCACTTTGGCGTGCAAAGGGAGATTTCTGACTGAAGAATACATGATTACTTACATGAGATGACAGGTTTTTGAACCATTCCGGTTACTTGGTTCCATTCACCCTCATGGAAGTTCGGGTAAGGAGCTACAGGAGTAAGAGCCAAATGATCATGTCCCTAAAGCCAATCACATGTCGTTTTACGGTTACCACGTGACAAAGCCTCCCAATCTCTACATTTTTTTCAGCACATCAACTTTACTGCCTATTCTTCTATAAGTGATTCTGTTCTCATGCTTGCATCAGAATTTTGCTTATGTGATGGCTTGGCATGCGATGCCATCGAAAAGATATGCAGAACCCGAATCCAGCAGTTAGGAGTAGTGCGGACCTGTGTAAAACCAATTTTCGTAGAAACAAAAAGGTTGGTGACTGTACTCTTTTCTAGGTATTCTGAGTCTGTAGATAATGTAAAAGGTGTTATTTATCAAAGGCTTCTTCACTGAATAAGTTGTCTGTTACGCTAATTAGATTATAGAAAAGCTGACTACTGTGATCTCGGCAATAAATTGCTAGAGAAAGCCTGATTTAGTCAAAAGTGCATGATATTTAATCGACTTAATTCACTCAGTATGTTTTTTTGACATTCTTCTCCGTAAGTCGACCTTCGACTAAGTAACACTATTTGCCTACGGGTGGGATGTGATAGGCTATGACCCACAAATATACCATCGCCAAGCCAAGCTAGTCAGACTATCTTCTTTTGTTGCAAGTCGCGATTGGGAAGAGAGAGCTGTCGTTAGACAAGATGAAAATCACGTGAATAAACTCTACCATTTCAAATTTCCCCGAATCCGCAACTCGACAACCTTCACTCCGGCGGTTTATTCGCACTCGGATACTTGTCGGCTATTTTATTCCACTACTGACCAGTTCCCAACCGTGTTCGGGACTCCACTGCTGATCTTTGGGCTTACTCATAATCTGTGACTGATTTCTGAATTGAAAAGGTCTGAAGATGTTTGAATTGATGCCATTGAGCATACGTTAAACGGCTAGTGGTCCCTAGTTCTAGTGTGGTGTGGGTACCAGCGTTATTAACATAACCGGCAGTCGTATATCCTCCTAACCCCTCGAGCCAACCTCGGCACTTCGATGTTAGCAATCTTCTTTCAACATCTCCCCAGTCAACGAACCCTGCGGTATGTGCTTGAAAAGCCCTTAGTCAAAGACCCCGCACTCGGGAGTAGTCAAAATACAACGGTGCCTAGGCGGTACTTCTTTTCTCGGGGTCTATGAGGTTGGTGGTACCTTTGAAGGCTAACTCGTTCATTGTGCAGATAAAGAGCAATTTTTTGCATATCCGAAGTCTCTAGGTACATGGTCCATCTACATGGAGCCCGCTAAGCTTCGCCAGTTTCCCTCTGTCTTTCGTACTTTATTCCCTCATCTGGTGTTCTTCCATGTTCATCATTCATAGCGAAAAACCGGAAGTTTTCCTACCAGTCAACTATTGTCATTTTTCCGTTTACATTCGAGTCCGGTCTTTGGCGGCGTAGTTAAGCACATATCTTAATTCCTGCAAGGAAATATTGTTTCCATCGCATGCGGGGTATTGCATAGAGTCTTGGAATAGTAAGTTCGACAGTACAGGAAAGTACCCTTCCCACCCTCAGAGTATACCAGATGAGACGGATTAGTTTTCGGCTGCCTCGTTTCAAGTTTTTGGACTAGAGTGTAGGTAGAGCGCCTTGTGTGTCGATAGCCTTTATACAGAGCGTGGAATTGTCTTATTTTCTCAAGATCAACGATGATAAATAGGACATTGTGGCAATCTGATTGGGAGATTATCTTGTTTGAGTGTCACTTATCTTTCCTCCAACGAGCTGGCACCTTAATGCTGTGGTGTGGCTCAAACAGAGGCTTCTTAGCTCCTATAATTGGTGCCAACCATCTGCGAACGGCAATGATCTCCTCTAAGTTGGCTAGGACATGTAGCAGCAATCCAGCTTGATCGGAAAGTATATTGCGGGGCTAGTTTCCTACTAGCTTTTGCACCTTGTGGTCTTAATAGTGCCTCTCAAACAATTTGACCTCGGTCAATTTTCTTTATTGATGTCTATATAAACACAGCATCATTTAGACCATTATCATCATTATCATCAATTCTAATATCTCCAGCTTTCCTCCTCAAACATCACTCAACACTTTCACAAGTTCTGCATTCTATATTCGTCAATCAATTCCATTTATCAAATCAAAATGGTTGCCATCAAGAACATCCTATTTTTCATCACTGCTGCTTCAGCTCTCTCCATCGGACGTAGAGATACCAGCACAGTCCTTAGTGACATTTCCACAATCGACTCTGATGTAAAGAGTCTTACCTCTGCCGTCAACAATTATAACGGTGGACTACTCGCCGCAATTCCCATTGAGAATTCTGAAAGTGCACTTGGTATGAGAGTTCGCTTTGGAACACCGAACAACACCTCTTGCTAACTTCCGTCTAGAACAAGCAATCACTAAAGGAACCAATGACGCTCAAGCCACCTCCCAGCTCTCAACTGAGGACACCCAAACCGTCATCGCAGCAGTAGATAACCTTTCCCCGGATATTCAAGCTGCGCTTGTTGCTCTTGTCAACAAGAAGTCTCAGTTCACCTCCGCTGGACTCAAGTCCACCGTTCAGAAGGATCTTGCCAATCTCAAGGCCGACACGGATGACTTTGCAGATGCTTTGATTGCTATCGCTTCTGATGATAGCAAGTCGGCGGCTAATGATCGCAAGGCTACCATTGATGGATATTTTGCGACAGCTATCAACGCCTACAATAGCTAAATGAATTTGGTGGAAAGGTTTTGGAGAGGGGAAGGAGCAGATAGAAGTGTCTGGGACTCGAGCGGATTTTGAAATGGAACGGAGATTTGGAAATGTTGTATTGATAGCTTACAACAGAATGGAGAATAAATCAAAACGAAAGCAAAGTGGAAATGAGTTGTATTTCTGACAAATAGTAGTTGGATTAAGTTGATTCAAACAATCTTGAACAGTATTGTAGAGGTACACTCTCCCAAATAAACAATAAAGTCCCAAAACTCCTCAGCTATATTTGAATATAATATAACTGTTATTTACCTACCATAACGGTCGAGGATGTGACAGCTACCTTTTATATTTGGAGAGATAAAAGGGTTGAGAAACGTGATGAAACAGTAAAACTAGCAATAAAGTATATTTAAATGATCAAATCCCCTGGTAGACCTGGTAGTAATGTGTATTTCCAGGTTTTCAAGCTAGAGAAAACGAATTAAGTACCTGGATAGAAAACTTCCTCAACCTGTGGATTTTCCCAATAAATCCGGTACAGCACAAATTTCGATACAATTACTGATCACTCCCAGAATGAGATGCCACACCTTTTGCTTACCCCCCCCCCCCCCAAAGTCAACCCCACAGTTAGGCATCTAGTTAGGCGATGTCACGCCATCTTACTTGGTAAATCTGGTGAGCCGGTAGCAAACGCATCTCTTATCTCCGTGCATGTTCGGAGTTGACCGAGGTCTGATCATGCGAAGGGTTGTGGTTCGACGAACGCCAGCAAAGGTGGTCGTTGTCAACATTTTTCTGCATGAAGCCTTCTGCAAAATTCTGCTATCATGCATGTTGTGGCTGTCTTCGCGTTTGAGATTTTATTGTTGGAAGAGGTATGGCCTTTGCGTTTCTCATCTGCATCCGTAATTGGCAAGCTGCTGTGAGCTCCCTATTCCGCTAGACCATAGAGAATGCGTCCTATAAATTTGGACTTCGGGGTTCAGCCAAGTACCTTAGCCATGCTGTAGCAAAATTGAATACTAAAAATGAATAATTCGATTACTATAACAACAACCGCAGGTATAATTCCATTGTGGCTTCGTCCGAGGTCTTCTTTAGTTAAAGAATGTGGGGTTTGCAGATGTCCAAGGCGAGCCGCTCGCTAACCCCCATCTTTTTATGCACCAGCAGCAGCTTGTGGTTTTTTCGCAACGCCGGACTCCGAATCTCCTGCATACAAAGCTCTCCACCTCCCACATATTTCCACATTTCTACAAACATTTCATACTCACATCGCCATCTCACGACCGCAAAGCTACGCCTGCAGGATCTTGTTACCGTCATCAGCTTCCGAACTCACTACTTTCGCTTTCCGAGGTACCAATTCGAAGATGTTTGCGACCAAAGCTCTCCGGCAGGCTGCTGCTGCTGGTCATGCCGAGCGTACTCCAATGATTAAGTTCTTGGGCAAGCGCACATTCCCAGGTAAGAAATTCAAATATTCGAGACCAGTATATAATGTTCTGACCGTCTACTAGCCGCTTCATCCATCGATCACACCCCTCACGCACACCCGGCCTCCCCATCGCACGAGCTCCCAAAAGACTTCACGGCAAACTCCTCTCCATCCTTCTCAGCATACAGACAAAAGGCCCAACAACACGGTCCTCTCGGCGGAAAGAGCTCTGGGACTATTGGAGCTATCTCAGGCCACTCTTTGGGTTCAGTTGCTCCAGAGAAGGGACAATTTTTCGACCGAAGCGAGCTTCCCGCACGGTTCCGACGCGCTCCTCTTGATTTGAGTGAGATTGACGCGATTGAGACCGGAGGTGCTACTTTGGTTTGCTGAGCAAAACGATATCATATAAGAGAGCACCGAGGATGACGTACGGAAAAGCTGAAAAGCACGATACCCCACGATTTTAGACCGGAAAAGACTTGATGTTAGTTGCATGTGAATGGATATCCTAGGAGCTGGAGGAGCACCGGCTGGAAACGGTGAAGCACGTCTGGTCATTGTCCGAAAGGGCATAAGCGGATTTGTAGGAAGCCAAATGCTGCGATACCTCGGCCGGGATCTGGGTGAATGGGTGATGGATCAGGACAATTTTGGCACTTCAAAGCGATAGCGGCATGACATGATGGGCTTGGATGTGAATAGCGCTTTAGGATCACTCTAGCTCCTCTCAAATAATTTAAAACCAGATTCAACTGCATTCTGGACAGCGTAGACATTAGAATGCCGAGGCATTCTTCTCAGGGCTGTCACACGTGATTGAGCAAAGTTTCAAAGGAATGTCGCTTTACGATTCCAATTATCCAAGAATACCGGTAAGAAGTACCTATTCTCTCTGTTGCTTTCTTGGTACCTGAGGTAAATATTTTCATATTTCACATGAACTCCCTTATTTATATTTTCAGCTGCTATACCTACCTCAGTCAGCTGACTTACCTCCCAACGTCCCTCAGCTCGGCGCTACTCCATCATGTCATTCTCATCTGGTTGGTCATTGGGCCGATTGTTCAAGTGGAACACGACCTGGCCTTGGGATGCCCTTCACTTTTTGATATTAAGAGTGGTGTTGTCACATGGTTTGCGTTCTCACATGCTTTCTACACCATGTGAAGTCTTGAACCATGTGGAGATGTAAACGGTGTGGACAGCGTGTGGACAGCATGTGGAAAACGTGTGGACATGGCAGTATCGCGCAGACCACTTCCAACCTGAAAGTTGTCAAGTCCACTTGAGGTGCCCAGGCGGTCAATGGAAGTCCTCTTGGAACGCAGCAACAACCTAGAAGAGAGAGCCCTCACTTGATGCAAGGTAGCTCCAACTTACGTCAATGGGGATTCGATGCAAGTCCAGTACGTCGTAGTGTGAGAGCTAATTGTGATGGTAACAATGTCAACAGCATGTGCCACATTCAAGTCGTGGACCCTGTTATGCCCTCAGTTTGTTATATCTTTACACCTTCTCTACACGGTATTGAAATGGTCAACGGCGGCACGACGGTAGTGACATCGCTCCTCCTTTGGCTTTACAGAAAGACGGACTTCGACTTCCAGACGGGACCTCAGGAGTCAGCAAACGGGCAAGGCGACGCGATTCCACATGCCAACCTCAATCCCTCGCATGCGAGACGAATCTCCCGTCAGGCAGCTCACCGCAGAAACCTGATAGACCAAAAGGGGGAGACAAAAAGTGGGACTCCAGCTTAGCGTCGACTACAAACCCACCCCTCGCGGTTCGAATTCTTCGTAACACTTCTTTCAAAACAAATTTGTTGTCTGGATAAAATCTAATCTTGGAAGGATGATTGTTCGCAGAAAATTGGGAGGAGTTAACAAGATCTCATGCTCTACCTAGCCATGAGCAAGGAGGAAACAGAGTGAAAACTGGCGCGTTGATTTTGGGAAAAGAAGTTCTTTGTGTGTTAGTTGCATATTCATACGAGGCAGTTCCGTTGAAATACCTGGTCACATCGCCATTCACAAAAAATAGCAGGCTACACGTTAGGTTGTTGATGCAAACTAACAGCTGTGAAATTTGGATTAATATCACTTTCTGTTGAAGCTATCAAGCTCTTGCTTTAATCAGATCTGAAGCCTTCTCCCCAATAGCATAGACTGTCGATTGTGTCGTCCCCCCAGGAATCAATGGAATAATACTGGCATCAACAACACTTAACCCATCCACACCATACACTTTCAGCTCATCATCCACCACACCACCTAGTCTCAGGGGTAACATAGCAGCAGTTCCGACGGGGTGATATTGACTTGGATTAAGTGTTGTCAAGAGATACTTTGCAATGTCTGCATCCGAAGTAATATTGACTCCTGGCTTTGTTTCAAGTGGAGAAAGTCTTTTCACTTCACCTCGGCTGTTAAAGAAGTTTCTCACCGCGCGGAAGAGGGCGATGGCCACGCGAAGATCAACTGGATTTGACAACATACGATAATCGACAAGTGGTTCGCCGTTTGGATCCGCAGGGTCAACATTTACTGTTCCTCTGCTCAACGGATGGATGTTGAAAACCCACTGATCTGGACTTCCAAATGGATTTCCACCGAGTCCCATTTGAAGCCAAGCCGTGTTCTTAGATCGTGCTGCTTTTGCCATGAGTTTGAGTTGAGATCGGTATCCAGCGACAATTGTCGAGTCTACGTTAGTTGGCAAGAGGCTGGCTGCGTCTTGACTTTCGATGTCGGATGCAATGGATGAAAATACATCTGGAGCTATGACGGGGAGCCCCAATTGTGCAAGAGCACCACCACCGCCTCGAATGGAATATGGGCCTAGACGTGTCAGTTACGATGATACTCTGATTTGTAAACATACCTGGAACTTACCTGTCATGTTGGTCTGCCATAATTTCAACGCCCATTCAGCAAATGTCTTGTTATTGACTAAAGATTGGCGGTCAGGAAGAACTGGGGTTTGGACTGTTCAAATCACTTTCATTAGTCTCCCAGTAGTTTGACTTTCCGTTCAGTACACCTACATTGAATTCCCATTGCAAACCATGAGTGATCTTGGAAGTTTGCTCCAACTCCAGGCAGGTCAAGAACCATTGGTATTTTGGCAGCTTTCAGAACAGATTGTGGCCCAACACCACTACGCTGCAGAATCTGAGGCGTGTGAATTGCTCCTGCGGCAAGAATTATCTCTTTCCTAGCAGTGATAGTCGACACTGAGGAATTATCTCCTCTGGCGGAGACTTTCACACTGATTGCGGTTAATGATCTTCGATCTCGAGCAAAGTTTATTTTGTCCACTTTATGGCCAGTGATTATCGCATAATTCTTGCGCGGCTGTACTCGGTCATAATGTGCGGTACGGGCATAAGAACGGGTTTGAGTTTTTGGGTCTTGAGAAGAGGGAATCCACAACACACCAGCTTTACCTTCGGAACCATCTGCAGGGTATTCAACTCCCGGTAGTGTTCTCCAGCCATCTAGTAGAACCTCTGACTTTGGTTAGCTTCCAGAGGTTCTTAGAATTGTCTGAAGAAAACTCACTGGTTAGAGGATACTGATAATGACCATAACTCGCTAAAACAGGGCCAGTGCCTCCCCACGCACTTTCGATATCATATTTTATCTCAAAGTCTGCTGCAAGTTGAGGTTCTGGAGGAAAGAAGGTGCAGCTCTAATATCGCAGTCAGCAAAGTTACAATTCAAGGATCAATAGTCTTGCCTTTTTGAAATATGGCAACAAGCCTCTCCAAGTCCAGCCCGACTCTTTATTCCCAAGAGAACCCCATCGATCATAATCTTCAGAAGTGCCACGCATGAAAGCTTGAGCGTTTATTGCAGAACCGCCTCCAACAACGCAGCCAATACCCACAAATTGCTTGACGGTTCCAACCGAGGTGATATTGTACATCAAAGAATCCGGAGAGGCATCAATTGGGTTAAGTGGGTCCAAAACAGATGATGGGATGTCTGAAAAGTACCCATATTCAACGACTAAAACGGAATCTACAAGTGTCATGTCAGCTTTTCAATCTCGTTAAGTGAGTTCTCACTTACATCTTCCACTCTCGGTCAATCGATCGGCAACCGTCAGCCCAGCCGTCCCACCACCAGCAATGATATAATCATAAGAAGATCTCAAATCCGATGAGCGAGTATAATGAATCGCTTTCCTCGCCAATTCAGGAGCTGCACGAACTCCACCCACCAAAACACTCGCAGCAATCGTTAGAATTGAACAGTTTTTCATATCTGCAAATCGTCGTCGCTAAAACAACGCTGAAGAACTTCAAAATGTGAGCAAAAGGACATCCATAGGTATATATCTTCAAATTCCAATGCAAGTAAGACGCTGCGGGGAAACAATATTTGTCCAGCTATTCGAGCATGAGAATATTAGCCGAGACCCCTTACAGCGTAACACAAGCACGACAGGCTTCCGGACAGGACGCCACTTAAGACGCAATCAGCTGAGTCAGCCGGCAAATGTGTTTTTGATGCCATTGCTTTCTTTTTTCTCGGTAGAAACGTGGTTTAGGAAATCCGTTTGGCTGATGTAGTTGTGCTCATGGCGGGTGGGAGACTTGGCATGCAAGAAATTGAAGAAGCTTTGTTGCTGACGAATCTGTCGTGGGTGATGGTAATTCTTTGCTCAATCTTCACTCCTAGTTGATACATGCGACAACTAGGTACCCAGGTAAGAGCCGTAGTTCGTGAGTGGGCTATCCGTGAAGTTCCAAATAATTGGTTGATTTGGGCGACACTCATGTCTTTGGGCATTTCGGATTGGAAGAAAGTCGAAATAGACCTGAGAGAAAGGTCAGTTTCCCAAACTTACGACACTGTGCTAAGCAAGCCGGGTCAACGTTGTATCTCGACTACATTGACCCTTTCCACAGCATGATAGCGCTGGAACAATGCCTGGCTCAATTACATGAAAACGGAAATCTGGAGTTCAAAGATGAGATCACTATTAATTGACCATGTGGCCAAGACTTGATGAGGTATACGATAATTTGATTTCATATCCGACTAGAAAAAGACGCCGCCACATTCTGGACATTTACGGGTAAAAACAAATTAAACAAACAACCATCTGAAAACGAGCCATCTCATCAAGCGAGGCCTCCCCCCAAATCTCTCAATTATCTGGCACATTCTTCCAAACACTATCCAAGAACGAGACATATTTGTAACCGGGTACAAAAGCTTCTCCAAAATCCCTTATAAAATTATCGTAGGTCGTCTCAGGTTTCGTGATACAGAACCCAACAGAAATATTCTTGAGCGATTCGCGAAAGTTCAGTCTTGGGAATTCGTGGGTGATCTGGTTCCAAGCTTTTCTGGTAATTACTCCGCCTGGACTTTGTTCTGGCTGTCTGAAATCCACTGGATATTTGTTAGCCGAAACTTACTTGATTGGAAGTGATTGTTGAATAATTCCAAAGTCTTGGGGAGGTGTTCACCGAACAAGATTCAAACTCACAAGCGATACCCAAAGACGCCGCCTGTGCCTCAATCTCCTTATACATCCAGATACTCGGCTGCGTATGCAACGAAATAATATCCCAAACAAGCTGAAGCCGATGCTTATCCCACCTTCCCTTTTCCCCTTCTCTAATCAAGAAATCCCGCGCACTATTTGCCCCATCCACTTCAAATCTCTTATTCTTGGAAATTAGATCCTGGTTGAAACTCCAACCTAAATCATGCAGAATCGCAGCTATTGCCTGGACTGGTAAGCTTTTGATATGGAAGTGATGATTGGAAGAAGCAAGACTCACGACGGCTTCACGATCTCGAAACTTGTAGATAGGGTCAGAGGACGCGACTATTTCACCAAATAGCCAGCTTCGCATGACATGGTTGAACGTAAAATTATCGGAGTTCTGGCGAGCGAAGGCGATGCTTTTCGTAATTAGGGGTGTATCTGGGACGGTGACGCCGGCTAGGAGTCTTGTGGGATACCTGGTGATTGCAATGTCATGAGGATGTGGAAAAGCAGCTCCCATGGCGAAAATAGCCGCGAGTATGATGGTTAATGAGAACATTGCAGCAGAAGTTTGAAATTCTTGAAATTGAAAGAGCAAGGCCGGTTTCTTTTGTCCTTTTTATAGCGGATATTCGGATATACATGATTTGGAATTTCCGGGAAAAGCATATCGGAATACATCTAGTTTGTTGGTAGCGTAACGAGGAACGCCGTGCTTTGAAATCATGCTACAGGTTAGGGTTCGATTGGATATGGATATGTTGTGAGGTGTTATGAGGGGATATCCCTAAATTCTTACGCGGTGTAATTTTGCTGCTGGATCACTCTCGACGAAGCGAGAGCGAGACGGTGAGATGAGCTTAAAAATTGTGGAATCTAAGAAAGAATTATAGTATAACTGTTATTCATCTAATATTTCTTGTTCAGAAAGTATGAAGTAAAACAGTCCAGAAATCGATAAAGTTGTCAAGGCCAGTCGTTCCGAGGGAACGCAAATACCAAGTCTATCACAACATTGTAACGTTCCGGTGTCTTCGCTTATAAGATCATGTTAAATCATATCATTTAGGCTTTAGTGTGGCAACGATCGATTGGAAATTAGAATGTGTTCAGGGCAACTGACAAGAGGCTTTCGTCTCCTGAAAAAAATCGCTTAAATTCAGGTATTCGAGACTGAGCATCGAATAGACTTCTCATTCCTAAAGCTTCAAGAAAATAAGCGAGATTTGTGAGTAAATAGTCAGTTGACTCTAATATTAGTTCACGAGCAGAACGGAAGATCATCAGAATTTCCGTCGCTGAAATGTACCGACTACCACAACATAACATTATCACATCACGTCGTCAAACTTTGTGTCGAGGTGATGGTAAATTGATGATATCATGACTGAAATAAATTTTAATGAAAGAGCTACGAAATTAGTAAATGATTTACTGGAGTTATGGAGAAATGCTCAGGGTTTGTTGTCAGAGAAGTGAGTTGAAGAGGATAATGGCGAATAATGACTTCTAGCTTGGTTCTCGGCACACGAGACATAGACAGTCTAATGACAAAGCTAAACCAGTCAAATTGAAATTCAATGTGAGTCAATAATACTTTACTTAGCTCTCTTCGAAGAGTGATACAATGAAGACATCTTGTATCGTCAGGTATCGTGATATGGCTAAGACATTTGGTTTTTATGTTGCGAAGTATAGACAGTCGTCTTATCTATGGAGAAGGTACAAAATCTACGTAAATTAAAGTTCGAGGTGGGATTGAAAGTTCCTTGCGCCCTAAATTTCGATTTTGCCGATCCTTGACGTAAAAAGAGGGTCAAATCTCATCAAGTCTACACAAAAGGGATTATCACTTCAAAGAATGTAAATCGAAACTCCCATCAATCGCAAGAGATTGCCTGGAATATGATTATCTTGATAACCAATATCTCACCACTCTATCGCGTCTATTGGTTGAATCGTAAAAATCCCACTTGGGTCAGATTAACATTTCGCGTTCAAGTTGATGATGACAGGGGCTCAAACGGCGCAGCAAATACTGGAGCAGATTCAGCCTTAAATGTCCCAAACCAAGGAAAGCACAGGGGCTCGCTACCATCGTTCCGTGGCATATTACGTGAGATTCGACCACCAATATTATAACCGACACCCCGATCCTGAAATGAGCAGTTTGTTTACTTGATAAGACATGCCAGTATCCCAACGTATTTTCGAAGCTAACGTATCGTGAAAATTGCATTCTAGTTCTGTTGGAAGGTGTTTTTGAGGGTTTTGATCTCCTTGACTTTGCACCTCATTTGTCTGAAGACTTCTTGCAATATGGCAACGACAGAGGAGTTTGACATAATTGTCGTAGGAGCAGGTAAGAGCTTCTATGTTGTCTCCATTATCGTGACGAACTCAAGAATTTCTAGGAATTTCTGGAATCTATGCGGCGAAGTTTTATCTTGATATCCATCCGAAATGTCGGTTAGCGATTCTTGACAGAGATACTTGTGTGGGAGGAACTTGGAATTCCAGTACGTTCTCGCGAAACATCTTGTACTTTCCAAACCCAGGAGGCACTGTGAATGATTTCAAACACAGGAAGATCATATGACTCCTTCTGGACTCAATGGACCGTAGGAACCGCCGAATTCTCAGACCTCCCCATGACACGACCACCAGAATCCGACATCTTCTACGAGTTCTTCAAAGGAAAACACACTACCAACTACCTAGAGACATACGTAGATCATTTCAAGCACTCCGGAAAAACACTACGAGAAAGGATAATATTTTCCACCGAGGTTCAGAGCGTTCTCAAAACAAGCGAAGGCTGGACGCTGTTTACCAAACATCGGAAAACAGATGTCGAGCAGAGTTTCCGGACTTCTAAACTTATTGTAGCGAGTGGATTAACTTCGATCCCAAATGTTCCGGCTTTTAAAGGCCAGGATCAGTATGGTCGTGAGATCATACATCAAGAGAATTTCGGGTCGTCCGATGTCTTGACTTCGCCTGATGTCAAGAACGTGACGGTGTTGGGGGGAGGAAAGTCTTCTGCTGATATGGTATACTCGGCTATAAAACATGGAAAGACTGTGAGCTGGGTGCTGAAAGCAAGTGATACCACAGGTCAGTTGGTTATTTCCACAACTCGAAATTTCTTCGAAAAGAATGGGCTTGCCGAATTTTCATCTGTGCACATCCACACAACGTATCCCTTAATCATCTGTAACTGAATTCAAAATATAGGTCCCGGATTCATGTTCTCCCCCAAAGGAAAAGGCCCCTATAAAAACGCCTTCGCCCTCGGCACAACCCGCGCCGCAGCAACTTTCACCCCCTCTGTCCTGACACCATACACATGGTGGACGAAACTGCTGCATTCGACCAAGTACGGCGTCCGAATGATGCAAGCCTTCTGGGGAACAGTGGATGAAGAAGCGAGGAAAGAAGCCAATTTTGAAGGGAGAGAGAACTTGCAAGGTTTTGAGAAGCTTGCGCCTCATGGATCGTAAGTTATTTAAGCTTTTCAGGTGTAGTTGATTCTGATTAAGATTTGAATAGCATTTTCTGGCAGAACGGAACTGGTGGTCTTCTCAACCATGAGGATTTCTTCGACACTGTTGCGTCGGGTGCGAGGATCTACAGCGCTGATGTGGTTGGCCTCGAAAAAGGGAAAGTGGTTTTGAGTACAGGAGAATCACTCGATTCAGATGTTATTCTCTGTGGTACAGGATGGGTCCCATCCATCAAATTCTTCACCGAAGAGCAGCGACGGCAGCTCGGCCTGCCACATTCTCTGAGTTCAGTGCCAGCGGAAGAAAGCGATCATTGGAGTCAACTCGAAAAGGCCGCAGATCTGAAAGTCGTCACTAAATTTCCTCAACTCGGGGATCCTCCTGCACATTACCATCGTAAGCCTACGACGACTCCATACCGGCTGTATAAATACATGGTACCTATACCCAGCAGCGAAGATCTAAAGAACGATCGCTCAATCGTATTCATCGGTCAGATCATCGCCGGAAACTACTTCCCCGGCGTCCAATGTCAAGCCATGTGGGCCACCGCTTACATGGACAACAAACTAGAACTTCCTAGCAGAGAAGAGCAAGAAAAAGATGTGGCTCTGTTGACGACATGGTGTCGCCGAAGATATCTCAGTAGCGGAGAAGAAGGTCATAATATTACGTTTGAGTTGTTTGGGTATACGGATGGTCTATTGGAGACTTTGGGTCTTACGAGCCATAAGAAGGGTTGGTTTAAGAATTTGTTTGCGTCGATTTTTGCGAAGGATTTTGTGGGGTTGAAGGATGAATATGTGAGGAAGTATGGGTGTGATGAGGAGTAGGTATTTAAATGGGACAAGGAGTTCAGATTGTGAAGCAGAGCTGGAGAGTGTCTTCTCTTGTATTTCGAACTTTGGGATGAATTTTGTGCGAAAGAAAAGGGTGTGATTTGCCCATTGTAAACTTAACAAAGTTAGCATCATACACAATAATAATGGATGGGAACTGATAAAGACTCAGAAGTTCGCTTTCGGACTTGCCTTTGATTTGTGTCCGTGCTCCTGAAAGTCCTTTTGTAGATGTTGGCCACGAGAAGAGGAACAGTGGCAGTAATTTCATGAATAATTCCTCAGTTCCGAGTCTGGAAGTGAGAATTTTACTGAAGTTGAAGAACGACATATACCATACTTTATTTCAACAGTTGGGAGAAATGCCGGCTTCGTTTGCCACATACAGTCTCCACCACGAGCCCCCTTTTTCTCCTCGCCTCGCTTCGCTTCAATTGCTTGGACGTGATGTTTCCCCCTACTGAGGGACAATGATGGTGATGTTTTTGACACCTCACTGCTGCTAAAAGGGTACAGGCGTGGTAATAAACTAATACCATAGAATCAGTGCCAAGAGTAAAGCGGACGCAGAACTTGCTCGCCGATTCTAATATTTTATTCTACAAGTGTCAATTTGGAGTCGGCCACGGTTCAGCTCGTAAGTTCTGATTGGGACGAACGCAATCTGAAAGATACGTAGTATCGGACCAACGTTTGGGTGACTTCAGATAAGAGAGTCATATCATTTCTGAAGTGGGGTGCAACGGTTGTCATTCTTGTTCATTTATTTTCGTTGATCATTCATATGCTCTGATGCCGGGTATATCATGTCTCATCATATCCCAAACCTGCTCCAAAATTCTCTTAACAAACGGTTTTGTCACCCAATCCCAAGTCATTTCCAGCCAAAAGCATCTCCATAAACCCAGCGCCGATTTCTTTGATGTTGCTGTTGTGCTGAGCTTGTGTTGGGTAAAATGGGCATGATGCAGCTGAGTTGCCGAATCCGAACTCAACTGTGTAGCCGTGGATAAGGTTCTTGCTGGTGTCTGCAAAATGACGGGAGTAAGAGTAATCATCAGAAGCTCCAGATGTGGGGTACAAGTCGGCAGCCGGAATCACAGCGTATGTACGTCCAGCAGCGGTCGACATTGCCGATCCGATTCTCTTTGCTGCTGCGACGTTGGCAGTGTTCTCAGCAGCAGGTGTGTACTCCCCGTAGCCGTTACCAGAGCCAGGAGTATCAGTCAAGATACCACGGACACTGTCGTAAGCTGAGTTAAGGAAGTTCATGGTTGGACTTGACGATTGGTTCTCATCAGACCCCCAAGAGTAAAGAACATCTCCAGCATAGGAGTGTAAATCGATGAACCATCGGACCTTTGCAAAGGTATCCATCACATATTTGATGGACTTTGTCTCTGGCTCAGAGAATGCAGCAGTTCCTAGAGATTGTTAGTCGAGACACGTGGATAGGAGAGCGAGTGATGTGCTTACCATGATATGTCTCTGATGAGGGACTTGTAGATGCAACACTTGAGCGCACACTGGATGCAAATTTCTTTGTGAAATCCCACACGAAATCAAAGTTACGGTTCAGGTCGACACCGATCGATGCAGCACTCCCAGTCGAAGAAGCCGTGTTGCGGTTTTTACGCCAGCAGCTATTGGAGGAATGATCATAGGCAACTCCATCAGGGTTGCTCAATGGAACGAAAACAATTCCTGTCGAGTAGGCTGTCTTGACTTGAGCTGCCGTGTATGATTTAGAACCATACTTGAGACCAACATTGTTCTTGTTGGCGTAAAGAAGATCTCCAATGAAGTACAACAGCCCATCTGGGCCGCCTCGCTCACGAGCATGAATACCAGCATTCAAGTAAACGCGATAAGCATTGTTGCACGTTCCATTTCCACCAACTTTACCACCACTGATGGTTGCTCCATTGACAGTCTTGTAAGGGGTTGCAAACGTGGAGATGCCGTAGACGGAAGCGAGACCTTTCAGTCCGCTATTGATCTCGTTAACGTTGAGGATATTAGTGAGCGTCGCTGTTTGAGTACCAAGACCGCGAGGTGCTATGGTTCCACCACTGAATCGGTCGCCGGTGGCGATTGGGACACCGTTGGATGTTTGACGTTTGAGAACGCGGGGTAATCCTTCCCGCTCCTCAGGGAGAAGACAAGCCTGCGAGAGGAGAGGTGCAAACGCAACATAGTACAAAGATGTGAACTTCATCGTGACGGCTGGCTGGTTTGGATTGGAGAACAACAGCTGGAATCCAAGTCTTCATTCTGAGAGAGTAAAGCCGCGTACATATACTCATCCCCTCACTCCTCGAGTGAGTAGTGGCTTTCAGCTATTTCTCATCTTGCTTGGCACAGCAGATAATCCGAGCCTCTCAACCCTGATTTGAGAAGCTTCTTACGGGTGGCGGTCGTGATTTTGGAAGCTGTGTAAGGCGAGAGGTTGATGGAAGCAGGTAGGAAGATAGGACACCCGGACCTTCCCAAAGCGGCCGAATCCCCGTTTGCGCCATATGAAGTGACTGGTCGACAATCAATTAACCTTAACGCTACGGGCGATCCCGATCTCCTTGGCCCTATTAATATCGACTCAATGCCGTGATTCGCCCCACCTACATTCCTCACATATCATTCTTCCCCATGGAGGTCACTGCCGAATTGCCTGCATATTCTTTGCTGCAAGATATGGGCTAGGGGTTTGTTGCAAGTTGGATAGCGACTTTCCCATGCAAGACTAGGCGCTCTTTTTAGAGCTTCTTCTCTTCTTCTGGCAGCTCTTCTCATCCAAATACCGTGGGAAGCCCCCACGGCAGTCACCCTGGTGGAGTCTTCGCGTGCAACAAGATACGTTGTACCCGAACATCGATATTTGATCCCAAAGAAAAGCATTGTCGTATTGTGCAAGACTGCGACGGTGTTGCTGCGACGATTTTGCTACGTAGACAAGAAATGTTGCAGTGCGAAGTGTTCTATTGAGAAGTTAGTTGAAGGTTACGACACTGATTTTGCCTTGCAGCAGGCGGCGACTTTGGCGATTGCGTCGGGACACTCAAATAGGATTTACTTGGCATTTGGCTGAAGGTGACAGAAATGAAGGTGTCAAGCCTTCAACTACGCGCCGATAAACATCTTTCAGCACATGTACCTGCCAAATCGTAACCTTCCTGAAAAGGAGTCTGCGTGAAGAAAGATTTCAATACTCACAAACTGGGAAACTACGCGAATTTCCAATGCATGTTCAAAATATCACATCCACACCACCAAAGTTAAAAAGCAAGTCGGTCGCTTAGAAGAAGATTATCATGTTGAGGAATACGATGCATGCTTAATTGTAACGACACTGCGATTTCTCCATCCGTCGACTGCAGCTCATCGATTTGATTGAGGATGGTGGGGAAAGTCGGTGCGCCCCTTCATCGCAGAATGAGGTGACCCACTGTATGCCGATTACTAATCCAACCACCCCGCGATGGGAGCTTAGACTGCTCGCTTAGCTTCTGAACGTCTCCTCATGTTTCTGAGCCTACAACACGTAAGTCCAAGCCGATTTTGATCAAACTCTATGTTCATTAGCACCTCCAAATGTACTTAATCTATGTTACTTTAATGTTTATAAAGCATTTCGTTTAATTATCTCCCATTGTCTCCCTATCTCCAGGAACTAGTGTTGTGGTCAACCCTTTGTAAATAGTTCCAGCTACATTATATTTGCAGGACTTTAGACCACCACAACTCTACAACAACTCCTTCATGTGTAGGTAAAGCCAGCAGCTTTATGTTAACTTTCTGATTCGCCATACAGGCTTTGCCTTATTCGAGTCTGTTCTTATTTTAACAACCTCAGTTATGTATATTTATCCATTCTTCTGTACAATCACCACTTCTGACATGGAATTTGACGGTTCAACGTATGACATGGTATCAGTCGGATCCTTTTGGATGCTATTTCATTTAGAATCTATTCCTTCAGTAACTATGAAGAATAGATGTTGTACTCCGTCTTATCCACGTGTTCTTCGCTGGCATTTATTCAATAATGGTTGAGTATTATTCTCTTTATTTTCTCTCTATTCTCGGTGCAGATGTGACAGAATAAAGAAATACTTACTAACCGAAATAGGGAATTGTTTTTCAAGAACACAACACATGAAATGCGACTTTGGGTATGGCCTTTCGAGTCACTTGGTGCACCTTTTGGAATTTGAAACTGTTGTTTTGGAGTCCTCTCGCCAGAAATTGTCGCGATCAATATTTTGAAATTTACTCAACATTCAGGAAAGTAATCAATAACGAGGCCTATTGCCAAGTATATCTATTCCAATGACTTTGCACCCGTGGTGCTTCTATTCCCAAGATATGTGGTGGATCCTCACTACCAAAGAGGTCCAATTCGACAATGAAGTCGGCATACTGTCGCTTGTGGTTTTCGAAGTCGACGTTTAGCTTCGCTATTCTTTCGTTCAATTGCTCGTCCGAAAGTGGGTTTTGGTCGTCCAATTCCCAGAATTTGGTGGCCGCGGTAACTAGTTCGTAGGCTTTGCTTTTGTACCAGTCGCAACTTTCTTTAACTTGTACATAGTGATCTAGATCCAGGGTTCCTACTTCAATCCTGGTCTCGAACGTTGCAAGCATCTCCTCTGCCCAGCGATGCAACCTATCGAGCTCTCTTGTCATCTTGTCAAAATCTGGTAATCGAATTACCACCGCATTTCTGGTTTGGTCTGAGAAATTCATGTTGGAAAATAGCTGTTCGCAGGTTAGCAGTGAACGCAGTTTCTTTCTGGGCGTAGGAGTACCAACCTGTATAGCGAAACGTGTCGGCGCAGAAATCTTAATCCAAATTCGCATGGATCGATATCAGTCTCAGAAGGCTTACAGGGGGGGTTGAATGGACTAGTTGAGAACCATAGAGATTGTGCTAGCCCTAAAACCCGCTCGGTACAATAGGACGGAACTTATCCGAGAAAACTTATTTCTTCTCACAACAAAGCGGCAAAGTCTTCCAAAATCTTTCACACAAACAACGAGCAAAGCTAAACACATACTCTTCTGGCAATCATCTCTCTCAAAGCTTTAATCGTTAACCTGGAAGTGTTACTACATCCGACTCCGAATTTGACGCGTCAACTTGAAGGTAAACAACCTCCAAACAACCCCCAACAGTTGCAAATAACTTCCTAATCTGACGATCTCAGACGTTTCGATCATCAAGCAAGAGTATACAGCATGTCTCTCTTTAGATCTCAACTGCCAGACAATAGAGAGGCAGCTTTCGAGCTGCAACCTTTGAAGTTCGACTCTTCCGATGCCGCCAACTCTTCATCTTCAAACGATCTTGATATCATCCGCGGAAGACAACACGTTCACCAAGCTACCAGACCTCCCAGCTTAGATATTACAGAGGTAAGACTACAGATCTCTAAAGAATGAAGAAAGCTGAGCTAAAAAAGGGGCAGAGTTCGAGAATCGAGATCTCCTCCCTCGAGGCCCCGATTCCCATCAAACCACGAAGCGTGTCTCAAAGCTTGATAACAGTCTCCAGAGCGCTTCCTGGAACTCCGCAGTCAACTAAAGCCCTCGGCATTATTAGATGCCCGGCTCCTGGCAACAGTGCACAAACCAGTGCTAAATTCGCTCTCTCTAAAGTGCTAGAAAAAGACAAGACCATGACTCAGATTACTCAATCTGAGTCTGAGGCTTTGTGAAGCGTGGTCTTCAAATTAAATAGAACCCCACCACCGGCACTGGCCGCACAGCCCACAGCATGATTTACCTCTGACAGATGGGGGTACCCCCAATACCCGCTGCCGGCACTTGCTGTGGCTTACCAACAGCCCTATGCCTCACAACCTCCTTTCCCCGGGCCACCTGGGCAGCACTTCCAACCGCAATATTCACCATCTCAACAATATCCAGCACCTCAGACATTTTCTCCCGGATTTCAGCAGCCTGGGCAAGGCTTTCCTGGAGGCCCGCCTCAACTATTTGGAGCTTCACCTCCACCTGGACCATATATTCCGTATTTCGGCCCAGAATCACATACTCCACCCGCGCATGGCACTCTACCCAACTTCCTCTGGCCGTTGTAGGTTCCGTTCCAGCCAAACCCTGAACAATACTCACAGAAATCGCAGCACTCTACCACGTTCACTCGTGAGACAAACATCACGGACTTCATTTGGAGCCCCCGTCGTTCCCCCATATCAGATGCAGCAATTACACCAAGGTCAACCAACCTCATTCCAAGGTCAGCAAAGCAACTGGCAAGGTAATGGATGGAAAGGACAAGAGCAAAAACCAGCTATGTCGTCAGCTGGCCCTTAGCCAACCGCCCACCAATCCTGCCGCCTGCTCCAGGTCTTCCTCAGAGACCGTCCCTTAGAGCTCTACCAAACCAGGCTCCATGGAATCTCAAGCACGACGTGCCAGTTTGAAGGGAAAGCACAACCATAAGCTTATCCTCAGGAGATCTAAAGGACAACGGAATGTCCGCGATCACGGTTCACACCGCGACCAAGATGCAGGTTCCATGTGTTACAAACCGTATGAGGAACACGGTATGTCGAGTCTATACCAGGGCACTTTGCGCCCAATTTCCATAGATTTTTCCAACGAGATAGGAGGCTCAGACAATCCCAAATTGTCACTGGTATGGACATTAACCCAATCGACACGGCCCACAAATGTCCCAAATGGGGCAACAACAGCTGCCCCCAAAGCTACCATTGGCTAACATACAACCCCAACAAGCGCAGATGGGAGCACCCTCTCAGTATGCGCCGCCACAGGGGGTGCTCCCCATCCCCCATCCGACAGACTACATCCTCTATTTCCTACCCTCCACCCATCACTCCCAACAAATACCCGGTGGAGTGATGGGCGGCTCTTTCGCACAAATTCGACTTCTCGACAATTTCGTCAGTCTAGTATCGCCGAGGTTTCTGATTCAGATCAGTATTGGGGTTCCCAAAATCAAGCGAGAGCTCTCAATCTGTCAATCCTTCAAGAGATAGGGCGGAGGCGGGGATAGGAGAGGGCTACATGTATTTGTAAATTAATTGCACAAACATAAATATTTAAACATTATTACAATTACCAACTGACCAAACTTGAATTCATGGAAGTGCTTGTTATGAGTTTCATATCTGCTCTTGATCGACCCTTCCTAATCTAGTGTGTCCTCCAACCCCAGCTCATGTTGGCAGCACTTACACACCCTCATTTAACATTATTTTTTCCAATTGACTTTCTCCAACTTCTAACGTATGCCATCCAACCCACCAAGTTCCGTATCTGCCACCTCATCACCAACAACCATATTCCTCCATGATCGAAGTTTCGACACGCATTCGTCGTGCATAATCGCCACCAGCAACAGATTGGACAGCTGCGGACAGCTGCAGAGGGGTCATGACCTTTATTCCCAGGAGAGAATGATCTTTCACGGTAATCTCCACTGGCAGGTACTCCATTATCTGTGCAGTCATCTCGTGTGGGCTGGCTTGCATCGATGTTTCTCGCTTCGGGGTTTATGCTCGTCAGGTGTTCGCAGCTTTCTCATCGTACGGTCAGAGTCGTAAGCAATAGAGGAGTAATCCGGCAGAACAATGGTGCATGACAGTGTGATAGTAAGCTGTGTCGTTTCTGCCGTTACATTGGTATGGATTGGCAATATCCTAACCTTGCTCCAGATTCTGTTCCAGTCAGCAGTTTTCAACTCTCTCAGAGTACACTCCATATCGTAAGCAATAGAGGTGTAATCTGGAAGAACAACGGCATATGCGAATCTGAACATCTGCCAATACTCTGTGTCATCGTGGCGTTATCGGTTGCCATTATCCTGACCGTGCTTCAGACTCTATTCCAGTCAGCTGTCTGCAACCCTCTTAACATACAATCGAAGTCGTAAGCAATAGAGGAGTAATCTGGAAGGCCAACGGCATTCATGGTGTTGTTGATATAGTGTGTGTCCCAGAAAGGGTACCAGTGCCGCCAGGAGACGGCACTGTCAGCTTGTTGCTGATACGATAGTTACCTGGTTGATTCTGCCAGTAGCCATATGCTTGTCTCAATCTCAAGCGAGACGGTTTGCATACGTCCGGTAGAGCAGAGGAAAGTTCTCAAGCTCTCTTGTGTTCTCAATTATAACCGCCCATATTCAAGCCTTTATGTATCGCTTCCGACTTTCTGAACTTCGATCGACTTCGGTAAACGCTAAGGTACTTAAAGGGGGTGTAACAGCCGTACGTAATAGGAGGTCTCGAACGGATTGGAGGGTACGGAGTGTTGTGTTTTGGAAGGAAGGTGCGACTGCCGGCGGTCTTGTCGGAATTGAAAGGTAACCTGCTTCTTCGAGACTGCGTCTAGGTGTCCTTTCATCGTACTCTCTCACACTCATCGCTTAAACCATATCCTCCGCCATTGTTGTATGGGTGCATGTCTTAGAAGAAAGTACGTATCGGTTTCAAGCCCTATCCAAGAAGTCAGCATCATTAACATGGAATTGACTTAGGTAAGGAGCAACGTCCTACCACCATCTCCACTCTATCGTGTGTTCCAAAGCATCAGACTCCATATTGAAAGCCCTCCATCTTCCCCTTCTGGCTGAAGTAACAGATATAGATAGGCTGTCTGAGATCATCGAATTGATTCGCATGACCACAGCTGTCGCTTCAAATGAGAGAGAGACTTCTCAACACGTAGCTAACACGCAGTGGAAAAGGTATGGGAGCGACATGGCGAGTCTGTCTATCAATCCCGTGGTCGTAACAGCGGCTTCCAACACAGGAGACTTTCTTTCAAGACAGTCGACTCAGCGCGACGTGACCAAGGACTCCTCTTTCTCCCGCTCGATACGTCGAGAAAAGAAGATGACAATGCCATTTGTCTTGTGCATAAGTTCGATGAGAGATCATTGGTATGCTTTCGAAAGGTGGCCCAAGAATTTCATTCTGATTGAACCCCGATCTCATTCTGATTGAACTCCTGTTCTCGGTTCGCTTGAAGTATCGAGTGAGCACAAGTCTTGGGAGAAGTGGTGGTATTGATCGTGAGGGTAGGATCTATGAGAGGTGGTTCGAATAGGACTCAAGGTTGGAATGCGCAGCTTATCTGTATCGAAAGGTTGGTTCCTTGCTCTCGTCTCGCGGGAAGTATTGGACATCATGGGCATCGACGCTGCTGGTCGCTGCTCCCCGAACGAGAAGTTCTAAGTAAGGCTTGCAGCCGGCAGATATAACGATGCTATGACTGTACTGCACATTATTGGGAGGAGTCGATGGTAGTAGTTGCTAGGATTATCGCTCCCACAGTTGGCTTTCTGTTCACATCGAAGTCGATCCTTCGCCCAGCGGCGGGCTCTGGTGGTCGCATCATGCTAAGAAGTATTGATATCTGTATCAAAGGACGTATGCCAACTTTGGCATTGCTTCAAGCTGGGAATAGGTTCGACGGATTGATATAGTCGAGGCAGTGGAGTTCTGACAAGGCTTCCCTGGTCGAAAAGGACAAACCAATAGGGAGTAGTACTCTGCGTCTCTGCTAGTAGCTTGGGTCCAGTCTCTGGGTCATTTCTTCAGACTCTAGTTGTTGGAGAAGCGTAACTGGGAAGATGGTTGTATTTCTGTGATCTGGGATCGTCGCCGAACAGGAACTGGGATGTCGCCCTGTCGTAATGCAACCTCATAGAACTGCTTGTTTTGCTGCCGCTCATGATATGAGCTGGTCGAATTCAAGAGTGGACTTTTGCCATTCTGATTAACTTGTCCGCGACCGCTGTAGCACTCTGAGTTTGTGTTATATGGCACTTCGCAGCAGGGTTTCCTGATTTTGCCTGGATCTAGTCAGTTTCTCGTCGCGCATCGATTGAAATGATGAAGGCATCGAGGAAATGAACTCTGATATGGCTTTCGCATGGTCGCAGCTCATAGAGAAATAAGGAGAGATAGTATGGCGTGGTCTTACCTTGCGAGTGCGAGTATTGTCGCATTTCCCCCGTTTGCGCATCAGCATCCCAACCCCAACTCCAGCACAACTGACCAAGAGTCCCGCCTTCTCTTAATATTAAGACGTGCGTAGGGACATAAATAGTATAATAGCTATGTCATCTAGTGTTGCGAAGGTTCAGAGAGGGTAGAAGGAGAGGCTTTGGCTGGTGTATCGCTCTATCGCTCCACTCGAAATTCATATTGTGGAAGCGAAAATGTCGGACCATTGTAAATAGAGTTCTGTGGCTTTGAATACATCGTCGGCACTGATGATGTTGCAGCAGTTGTTGGAATAGTTCTCGTGCCGGCGTTGTTTATGTTGGGGTGGTCGTGATGAACTGAGGACCATCACAGAATCATTAGGATAGCAGGTAGGAGACTCCAAATTTTCGTCCCGACCGACACTTTCGCTGTCAATCTCATTCCGCGACAACTGAAAGAGTCCACTTTGATTTTATAAAGCAGCTGGCATCAAAGGAGGTTCTTTAGAGGCTTGATTGTTACATGATTTACCACTTTGTCGCCGCATGTCCTCCCGCATCGCGAAACTTGACAAGGCAAGTACCCGCATATTTCCTCTCAACGCCCTTGTCTTGAAAAACAACCACCATTTTCTCAATCGTCTTTGTTAGAGCAACAATTGTACCATAATATGAATTCAGTTACGGCGTTGTGGGAAATTACATTGAATTGAACGTGATCAATTGGCCATATATATTGCGAAATCGCACCACAGACATCACTGCAAAGCACTACACTTCTTTAAAACTGACAAATTTGTGAGATATATGCATATTAATCGGGAGCAATAGCTTTACATAGCTTAGAGGGATATCTAGCTACAATATTGAAGAGGAAAAAGGGCAGTTTACGTCTTCCTGTTGAGTATTTTTTTGGATTAGGTGACATTCACGAAACGAAAGCTACCCCTGGCTAATTTTTTGCCAAGACTTCCATTGTCCTGGAATCGTAGGAGATAGAATATCTTTTATAGGTTAGCTACCCCTCTTTGAGATCTTAAAAAATTCAAGGCCCTCACACAAACAATTTCGTCCACACAGTTTCGCTTCATCGACGTCTCACAACATCTCCAGTCAACATCTTTGACTTGTTTCCTCTTCTTGTCCAAATTCACACCTCCTACACCACAGCTTCTCGAATATCTCGCTATCTTTCTTGATCAAAGCATCTCACTCATCTATTGAGCCTTGCTCTTCGTCGCTGCGTTGTAAGTTGGTTCTCCTTCAGACACGAATCAACCCGTTCAGGAATTGATCCTAACGTGTTATCAATAGCTTGAAAGATGCTTCAACTACCCAACTTAAAATCCATAGACTTGGAGCATCCGGACAGACTGCTCCGCGACCTTGTCTGGTTTCTCTGGGATGTTGAAATGGAGGCAACGGATCTCTATGACGATGATATCACTCAATACCTCAAATTATTCTATCGCGGCTACCAGGACTTACTTTGGTATAACGATAAATACAGCAAGGATCGTGTTCTCCACGAAGCTGACGAAAGGAAGCTAAGAGAGCTGAAGAGGGACTATGAAGTTGATTGTGACGGTATTCGCATACGTCTTCAAATGGTACTCACGGCCCTTTGGAGCTACAGTTTTAACTGAGGCGGAAGTCAAGCGACCGTATTTCCATGTCAACGAACTTGAGGTCCCTCAATTGACAAACTGGCGCAAGTATTTAGACTTCGAGGAAGAAGAGGGCGATTACACTAGAACAGTATTTCTCTACGAGAGATGTCTAGTTACCTGCGCTTTTTACGATGAATTCTGGTTCAGGTACGCACGCTGGATATCTGCCCAAGATGGAAAACAGGAGGAAGTACGCAACATTCTTGGGGTCCGCGAGCCAATATTCATCTGTTCTCCTTACTTCGCCACCGAGCGCACTCTTCAGCAATATGCGTACTTTGAAGAAATGTCAGATCGCGTGGATGTCGCGCGTGACATACATGCTGCTATTTTAGATCGTATGCCTGGTCATGTTGAGACCATCATTTCTTGGTCCAATCCGGCGCTCAATATGCTCAATACTATGCCAATGGCCAAGATCCATACGCTGCATATGGTGGTTATGCAGCATATGTTCAGTATTATCAACAATACATGGCAGCTGCTCAGGACGCTCAACAAGCCATCTCCGTCTTCTTCTCTCGACAACAGACAGCAACAGCAATATACTCAGGTGGAAATGTGGAAAATTGGACCGGCGTTTTTCAATATGGGGAGATGGAGCAAAATTTCTGATTTTTGGTCAGGATTCTCAGGATAACAACATTGGCAATTGGCATTTTCCAGCTCGGGAAGGAATTGACAGACAAAAAGCACCTTGGGCCCCTTTTCATGTATCATCCTCTCTCTGTAATTTTTAGATTTCCATGCAAGCAAATTCTCATTGTTTCCATCAACTAATTTCAAAAATAATGGCAGAATCTTGAATATCCTCTGAATGTAAACAATGCTAAATTCTGCGGAATTCTCCCACTTGAGTCTGAGTTTTCCGAGCCCAAAAGCTGCGCTCTTCCGTTGGTAGCCGAAATTACATCAGTCTGAACTCTGCTCAACGCGGAAATGTCATCTTCCGCTGCATTCTATTGTCTTCTGACCATCATCTTCAGCTTCATAGATCTGTTTGACTCGGAATGACGCTCTCCCGCCGATTCCCATTGTCTTGCGGCCGTTATCATAAACCTCAATGGATCGGCTCAATATGATAGGCCCCTCTATCCTCAACAAAAGGAGCCTGAGTGCGTAGCCAGCCTGACAATCAGTCATGAGGCCATTCTCTGGAACCTTCGAGCACGGAGTGAACGGCAAAACGCGCTCAAATCTTCAACAAATTGGCCTGGATGCCTCGCCAACATGATAACGAGCTTTCCGGAAGGTTCCTTTGCCGTGAACTCAATGAAAATATTGCAATATCAAGCCATAAACAGAAGGAGTTGGCGAATATGGCACCAAAACAATCTCCCATGGACCCACTCAGCAAGCCAGCTCTCAGACATGATCACTTGATATTCGGAACTCCACCAACCGAATGATAGCATTATCATTGGTCGATAAGGCCATTCGGTTGAGGTGGTTGTTGATGGCGTAAGCGAAGCCTCCTGTGATCCAGGTCGCGCTAGCGCCATGGGATGTCTATATAAACCTCGACCTCCTCCCTCCATCTTCTTTTCTTCTTCGGCCATCGACACTCAAAGATATCAAGCATCAAACTTTCAAACCACAAATAACTTCTTTCATCATCCGTCTTCGCCAACCTCTTCCTCAAGCAAACAATCCTTCAGTCTTTGGCAACTCGCTTTCCCTTCCTCAAAATGGGTTGGAACTATCCAACCACCTTCCGGGTTTGTTTACCTTCTTAGATCGAAGTCAACAATATGAACTAACTTCACTCGCAGTGTCTTGACCTCGCTTCAACTTCTCTTCTGGACGAAGCTTCCGCTCAGCATGTACTAGCTTGCAATGGCATGATAAGGTATGTTTCTTTCGATCTTTGTTTTCACTTGAAGTTTGTCTAACATTCGCTTCACCAGACCTTCTTCGGGCTTCATTTCTGGGGGATGTGGACACACCAATTCAACATGGTGGGGCTCCCGGGCTGCAGTTGACTTCAACATCACTGCGCTCCTCTGTTATTTAGCAAACCTGGCAGCAACAAGCAGAATGTATGACGGGCACGCCAAAGCAGTAGAGTCTTCCGCAATGAAGGTTCGCCTGAGCGAAGATTCTACTGTTTCGTCATACATTCAGCGAGTTGCCACGGTGCGCTATTCACATGAGCTGGAGATTAGTTGGGAGGTTTGAGGGTAAGTCGTTTCCTCGTGAGAAAATGTGTACATAGCTGACTCTGATAACATAGCAGAGGCTGAAGCGAAGTATGGCCACGTGGTCCATATCGCTATAGATCCATCTCTCGCTTTGGGAGATGTGTTCTAGAGCATGTGGACCACGTGGTCGTATGGAGCTTCAGGGGGGTGGGGAGGACGTGGTTATATTGGGGTTCAAGGAGGAGAAAATGCTATTAAGGGCCTCAACGGCAGGTTTTTCGATGGGGAGGAGGGGGAAGTCAAAGCAACATAGCTCCTTCGCAAGCCTACAACCATAACGACTACTTTCGACAAGCCATTCTGGGCTCCTGTGGGGGAATAAGGCGGACAAGGCAGCAGACAAATCATCAAACAAATGAAAACACAATCAAACATCTCTGACTTTTCATCCTTGCAAACGTGACTTGACATTTTCCCACTGCCTTTATTTCTTGTGACCTTGTTCTGGGTGTCTTGGTGAAAGGGCTCAGCCTTGTCGCAATAGAGAAGTCCGGGCATTCAGGTCTTGTTTTGAGCACCTTGCACCTATAACTCAGACCCTACAGAGCCTATAACTTTATTTCAGGTCCCTTTAAACCGTCATATCAATGGGCACTACCTCGCTATAGTAAGATGCAAGCTCCCGCTCATGTACTGCAAAACACCAAGGACTGGACGAGAAGTAACATATATGTAGCTAGTATACGCATTGAAAGTAATCAAAATCATTCTCTACAAAGAAACTCGCGTTACTATAGATATAAAGAATTTTGACGTTTCGTTGTGAATAGAGCACGACCCCTGTCTATGTCCCTCGGCAGCCGCCTTCAGCGACCGACAGTGCATTTCCTTCTAACGTGTCACACCCAGGAAGAAGTCCACGACAACCTCGACTTGGCTCAACTGCGCAGGGAAGTCTCATGTGCAGAATCAAGTATTTCTTCGAACCTGTCAAAAGCTTCATACAGCTATGCGCGTTGGGCATGGGCGACCGAGTGTAAAGCGACATCATTCCCATCGATCAACATAAGTACGAAGGCAAGCCGAAACGATGACGGGAGTACGTTCGACATCATCTGCACGGTGTGGGATTCCTTCGCATATCGAGAGATGCCCATCGGAATCGAAACTAAAGCTTGTTGGGCAAAAGCACGATAAGTAAGGAGTCATAGCCAGTTGCCCTTAGAGCAGAACCACCACTTAGCCGCGAGGCATCGATGCAGAGCACGGCGACAAAAGAGCAGGACTTGCAAATAGGAATCGGATAGGCTATCAGAAGAGGAAAGAAAGGTGTGTACTCCATTGCGACTTCCCCAGTACGATCCGACCCGCTGATAGCGGGGTATCGCGGGGTCAGGTTCTACTGCTGACAACTTTTAAGCTAGCATTGCAGCATTATTCGAGCGAGCGCATACTCCGCAGAGACTGTCAAGCTCATGCCAGATAATTGTAGAGCTTGGTAGACAATATTAGCTTCTGCAGCTCCAATCTAAGTCGATCACAGTTGATTCCGGACCAACCCGAGGACTCGAAGCCGTACACTCTCGCAGGAGAACAAGCCGACCGAGACGAAAGGCTGTAAAAGACATCTAAAGCCCTATTGACATTCCAAGAAAGCGCGAGCCCAACAACCCTGCCGAAGAATCCTTCCATAACTTCAGAAGTAGCGTGACTGCCCTCCTGAATGACAGGCGGCGAGAAGCGGCCTGGGAACCCCAATGCTCCTTCCAAATGGACTTGCAAGTGGCCTTGAAGTGATATCTTTTTGGCAGAAACTCCTTCGGCATGGGCAAGCAATAGAAGAAGAAATGTAGGTTGACTTCGGGAAATTAAATCGACCTGCCAATCTATTGTGGCACAGGCATTGCACAATTGACAACGACGGCAACTATGGCTGTCAAGACCAAGCAACAGACAACTAGAGCGAGGAAGTATCACGTAGAGTACATCATCTTTGTGCTAGACAGTAGATATATCGGTTTTCCAATCCATCTTCAGTGATACGAGCCCCATTCCTCCAGGTCTCTAAATGACGGAAAGATCCAGTACATCACGCAATTAAATCGCTAGATGCAGCGTAAATTATGGCTGCCATTTAAAGATTCCTCTGAGAGACGAAGAAAACCTCATCGTTAGATTCTCCGTGAGCCTTGAGGCAGGAGCAACATTCCATATCTAGAGCCTGCCACCTAGCGAATGCTGTGATTCGCTAAGCGCAGGCTTCTTATAAGGTATGCGAGGCATCCCGAGGTCCCCTCCAGTGATCTCCAGGGGTTGTCAGCTTCGGACAGACGGTGGCAAAAGGCGCTAGCTCTCAGTTTCCATATCAAATCCTGCGCCTCCAAACTGACTACCACACAATGTTCTAAAAATCGCGCAACGAGATAAACAACAGCACAACACTTGCAATGCCACCATCCTCGTCTCCATCACCAGCACGACAGAGTTTAACAAGATTACCCAGACCTTTCGGTGAAGGATGAAATTTTCCGCTTTCCGTTTCCCGAGCTCATGGTGTGGAGTTTATCAACGTTCCAGAGACTTACTACACCGCCATGCGTCTACGCTTGAAGACCGAGACGCGAAGCTGGAAATTGGATGAGGACTTTGACACCATCCAGAGATTGAGACTTCTCAATCTCTGGAAGGAGTAAGTTTCTAAATGCCTTGCAGAAATTTCGAGTCAAAGCTGATACCTCGAAGCCGATCTTCGGACGACCAAGTCAGCCCTTCATTCTGGCTCATTGGTATGAACACCCACTTGAATGAATACCAATGTCAACAGGGAGACCACTGACACAAAGATAGTATTGAAGCAAGATGGCCGCAACTTCAATCGACATCCGTGGAAGTCGAAATATCATCGTAATGGTCAGATCCCTCCAAGTCTCAGCATGAATTGGGACGCTCCACAACCCAAAAACGAACCACTTCCACCCGCCTCATTTACGAGAATGAGCTCCCTTACTCGAGCTCAACATGAATCGTTTCGAATCGATGCAGATTGTCGTCCTCGACAAGACATTGCGCGCAGACCAAGCGCTCGTGGCGGCGAGATCTGTTCAGTATGCTCTACAATATCCTGCGCCACGGCAAGGTTTGTTCCGGATGACTTATCCCGTTTACGAAGTTGAGCTAAGTCATGGATAGAACTCGAGCATATCCATGAAACAAAGGTTGAGGAGCCGCCCATGGCACTCCTTGACTTTCAAGGAAGACTTCTAGCTGGTGTCGGCAAGGACCTTCGAATTTACGACCTCAGAATGAAGCAAGTACTCCGGAGACCGCAAGCAGATGTGGTGCTCAAACCCTTTGTCAAGTTTAAAATCGCAAAGAAGCCGAATCATTGTTAGCGATGTCCAATCCTGAGTTTGTTCTTGGTAGCTATCCCCTCGACCGAGTATGTGTCACTGACAAAGCTAACAGCGATATCAAGGCCGTTTGCAGCAACCACCCATTCGTGGGTGGTGGTAAGAACGGGGGAGCTAAAAGCCCCGGGACACCCAATGGAGCTCATCCAACTCTCCCACAGGCAATCCTCAAAGTAGGTCATCATTTATCAATCTCATTTTCTGCCAAACCCTCGCGAGTCGAGCGTCCGTGGGGAGGGTAAGCACGAGGGAGCACCAAGCCCCAGCACACTAAGCGGAGCACAGCTAACGTATTCCACAGAGAATCCTCAGCTCTTCTGCGCATGCGACGGCGGCTCTAGGCTGTGGTCAACACCTTGTGCGCGATGGCAACTCGCCATCTACCAGGCTATCCCCTCTGCTTCCAGATCATTGCAACCTAAGCTGCATGGAACACCACCATCGACTGCGTAAGCGTCATGGGAGAGAAGCTGATGATGGCGCAACTCTGAGCAGAGGGAAGACCGTCGCAACATTCCCAAGAAGCTGATATCAAGCTGATAACGGAATTCCAGCCGTCGTACAACTACTCATACAGCGGAGTGTATGAGTATATTTGGAATCAACAAGCTGATGAAGCTTCCATCAACCCAAAACCGAACAAAGAAAAGATGACCCAGTTCGTCTTCGAGACCTTCAACGCCCCAGCATTCTACGTCTCCAACCAAGCCATTCTCTCACCTGTAAGCCTCCAGTCGTACCACTGGTATCGTTTTTGATTCCGGTGGCGGATAGGAATTTCCAACTGTCTTACAACAACGACGACCACAACGGAAATTATGAGAACTCCCGGAATCACCGAAGCTGCAAATAATTACCAGCTGGCCACCCACATGAACCCAGCCAACACATTCTCGGAGATGAAGGCGTCGAAGCTGCAATACGGAAATGGCGCTCGACTTTTGACCCGTATGATGGTAACAAGGTGAGTGCCTATGTTCGGAATTGATGATTTGATCTGACTGGGTTTCCAATAGTACCTGACATGACAAACAGACACGAACGGAAAGTCCAACAAGGAGCGATACCACAGACGCCCAACGACCGATCATTGTGTTTGGAAGAGGAGCAATCGGGGCCACACAGAGAAATTTGGAGTGTTGGATGATGGTTGGGATTGGACACATCATGTACTGGATGGAGTTGGAGGCCTGCAGGGTGATTTGACATTGGCCACCAAGGCGACAGCAGGTATGAGTTGGAGCTGGACAACATATATATCGTCCATGGCGAGCTCATCGGACTCTTAGGGTGATATTTCATCGTGTTGGTTGTTGTAATAGCTTGGTGCTGTCAAAATTCAATTTCCAAACCCCACCTTCTAATCCTGGCCCCTTGTGATTCTCCCCCCCTATTTGCTAAGCGAGAATCGATCCCCTGATGCCAAAACTTGTAATCTCCGCCAAAAAGTTGACGAGTTTCGAAATTCTGGTGTTGTGAGCCGTGATGAGGATTTTCCAGTAATAGTGAATAAAGCTTTTGGTGAAATTCGCTTTGGCAGCCTCGCCACCGTCGTCAAGGCCGGCGCACGCACAGTAAAACTTGCGTTTCCGCTGAATGTTTTGACTCCCTCGACAAAATCGAACAAACAATCTGTAAGTAGGCAATTACAGCCATTCCACTCCACCACCGCATTCGCAATCGAGCTAATACCTCAGCTCAGTACAGTAAACATGATTTACGGATTTGCAATCCCAACTCGCGAGAGCGAACCCCCAACCCCTCCTACCACCACCACCACGAATGCCGCCGCCGCCGCCGCCGCCGACCCCCGCGTGCCCCTCACCCGCCGCCAGCGTCACAAAAAGGTGGCGCAATACTACGCGCGCAAATATGCGGAGCTTCCCGTCCTCTTGGGGACGCAATTGTTTATCGACGCGGTCGATTATGTTCTGCGAAAGGAGCAGAACGGACGCCGCCGGGTTGAGCTGGCCCACCACTACTGGGACACTTTGATCAAGCCCAGCTTGTGAAGAACTCCTGTGAGGACAGATCCACAGCGCACTGGCAAAGACATTTAGCTAACTTCTTTGAGGAAAGCAGATATCCACAATCAACACAATCAACACCATTCCTCTAGCTCCCGGAGCTACCAAAGCTTGTTGAGACAGTGAGCCAAGCAGACAAGGGAAGAGGGGTGGTGCTAGGGTGATAGATGTGGGATTGTGTCGTTGTTTCAGAGCGTTCGGGACTTCCTCCTTGGTGAGGAACGTCTTTGGTGAAAATTTGGAAGAGTTTCGAGTACTTGAGCGTTGCCTGAGCTTCCTGGACCTGTGAAATGATGAGTGAGACTGCGAAATTCGTCAAAATGCCTTGTTTTGACGTGAAATTACCCCATGACATGACCATAAAATGACCGTTAAAACGAGGAAATGACTTGTTTCCCATATGAAATAAGAATCCAAGCAAAAATGACCGTAAATACGACATCTAATCATAAAAAATGAAGGTGTAAGCTTTGCTAAACCCCCATATGCACATACTCATAAGCGGAAACTCATGAAAAAGGCTCAAATCAAGTCCTTTAGATGTGAAAGAAGACTACAGCTCACGACTCTTTCCAGAATCATTGCTGCTTTGCACCGAATCACATATATCAGAAAAGAAACACGTCTGAGTGACTTAAACCCGACGTAAAAGGCCAAATTCAAGCCTGTCACACGTGGAAAAAGCACCCCAGCTCACGGTCTGTCTCCACAACCACTCATACTCTTCACTAGACAATGTCAACGCAAAGGGAAACTCGGTTAGCAACTCACGACACCCCACATCGAGACAGTCGGCCAAAAAAAAAACGCCAAAAGAAAGATAACCAGACCACCATTCGTAGATCTCGGAGACAAAAGTGAGCCCCAGTCTGGAAACTCCTTTCTCTTGTTAGCATAAACCCTAAAGGGGGGGATGTCTTACCTGTTGTGTTTATAGTCGACGATCCCGTCGACGACTTCCCTGCCGAACCTATACACAAGTTAGCCAGTGTATTAAGCTGGAGGGGGGGGGGGTGAGGGAATTTGCTCAATTAAAATATATAACACCCCAATTTGAAGCGATGTGGTGCTGCTTACCTTTGCGTATGAGTGTATGTTCGAGCGTGCACTCGAACATCTTGCAGAGGCAGCAGGAAAGGTCCAATGGACCCAAGACTTGGGATAGAGCATCTTCATACTTGGACATGATTCAGCAATCTTCTGGATTCAATTTTGAATATTGCTGGCTATTAGTATATTCGAGAATGATATCTTTCAATCATCTTGTTCCTGGCTTCCGGCAGGGCATCGGTTGATATCAAGAAGCGAGGAGGGTTTAACTGTGGGTCGACCAATCCTCGCTCGAGATTGCAACTGGGAGGCTCAGGTCCTTGCACGTCTCTCAATGGGATTCGAGAGCGTGCTGGGTCTGTGGCTCGAGTCTCGACCGTTGTCGGTTGGAGGACAGCGGAGGGCGAGTGAGTACCACCTCTTGGACTCTATCCAAAGGAAGATACTGACTCTGGGAATCGTCGTTCCAGGACACCGTAATCGCCTTTGTAAGATCACGTAGTTCCTACTTCTCAATCGCCGCAACAACAAGTCACACGCATCAAAGGTAGGCGCTGGTTTCCCATCAGCCATGACGCGTTCCAGCGCAAGGATTAACACTCCTATCGACTCATTTCTCATACTTGTACGCCGTATTCAGTCGACGATCATTGAGAGATTCCCAAGCTTAGGCGATCGCAGACAAAGAATATGCGGAGAGAGCGTCCCACCATTTAAGTCGAATCGAGCAGCACCAATTCCAGAACTCAGCACTATAATCTTCCAGCAGCACGTAAGAGGTAGAGAAGAGGCATGCGTGTCACGAAGTATGCAGCGTCAAGGAACCAAGGGCGGCTTGGAGGGGTGCAGCATCCTGAGCATGGAAGATTCTGAACGGCCAGTATCTCAACTACCTGGGCGACGATCACTCCCATCCGAATAATATGTTAGATTTGATGTGAGCGGTGGCCACCATTTAGTCAAGGAATGCACCTGAGACACAGATATTTGGCGTCAATAGCGTGGAGCGAAAGCTAGGCTCAAGGGTGGACCAGAACTCTTCTACGTGATGTGGATGAGGAGAAGAGCAGGTAGTAAGAAAGCGTTGGACCGAAAGGCCCCAGCGCTATGTAATAGCAACATATTCCAGCAGGTCCAGATTTTCAGACCGAGCTGTCCATCCAAATGCATAGCCGATTTAGAGGAATGGGTATTAGGTATCTTGCACATCCCATTGCAATTCGTGTGGCGGACACATTAGAGTGGGAATTTCTCGGATGTCGCCAATGAAAAGCCTTGTGGTATCCCGAATGCAGCAATACCCTGACTGGGCATCGTTCAAACCACCATTAGTCCGACTTGATTGGTCTAGTGCGATGTAGCCAGTGATACACCATGTATCCGGGAAATTGATTCGTTGAACCTGCAATACGAAAGCCTTCTGGCTCACATAAAGGGGTAATGTGGACCTCGCATACCTAGCTTTTATAGTTCTTTAAGCCCTAAGGTATGCGTTTCAACTGTGAATTGAACTTCGGCCCACGTAACAACGGTATAGGTGGTGCTAGCGCGGGAACCGTGCGCCACAGAAGCCTAGGTCGATGGAGTTTCGAGAGCATAGTCCACCAGCCGGATATCAAACACCACAAATCGATCTTACTGCAATACCACAACATCATGGTACGCACTCAACTTCGCCCCGTGGGTATTCAAGCCTGCAAACTCCTCAGAAGATGCCTCACCGAGGTAGGACTCGCTTTCGCTGCGTCAGGAATCGGTCCCACAGCCCATTTGCCGCAACTATCCACAAATCCCAAGAAGAATGCAGCTGCAACCCCGGAGAAGTGGGAAATCTACGTTAGTAGAGGGTTCGGAAACACCCCAGACGAGGATGAAGGTAAGCATACGGATCCCCATACTCTGGACGTACTCTCTGACTGGATACCAGACGGATTTGCTTTGTGCAAAGTAATCCGAACTACTGCCAAGGCCGACTATTTCCCAAGTTGAGATATTCTCGAAGATAGAAGTGCTCGGAATGCGATACTGGCTGGGAGGATGGAGGATTGGGGACAACATATTCGTCGATGCCATCAATGTAACCAGATCCAACCACGCTTTCCGTCCTGTTCTCGTGCCCTCACAGTAACAAGCCTTGTTGGGTCCTCATAATCAAATATCCCCCTTTTCACTGACAGCTCGGTAACTTGGAAGGTTTGAAGGAGCCAGACGAGCCTCCGCAACCAATCAGTGACTCGACACAGTTTTCATGAGGCTCTGACATGTTCAATATCTCCTCCTTTTCTACCGTGATGAATAAAATTCCACGCTTCTGTAGAGTAAACGTCCAATTCCAGAAACATAAACCCTTCATCCAATCAGACGCCGCTTGAGACCCTATTTGCGTTCTTCTTGAACACCCCCTGTGCAGGTCGTATGAAAGCGGAACTCCTCCGCCCCGCTCCGCCTTCCTCCTCCCTCCACCACTGTAACGAGGGCCATTGTCGCCGCCAAACAGGGATTAGCGTCAACCTCACAAGCAGTCACAGTGAATGACCCCAAAACCCTAGATTTAAAGTAATCGTTGCCGAAAAATTTTGCTCTCTCCTTCTCACACCAACCTCCACAACCCCCTCGGCGATCTCCACACCAACAACAATTCTTCAAACAAAAGCAACAACATCAAAAATGCGTGGAAAAGTTCGTGCTGCCACCAAGAAAGCCGCCAAGAAAGCCGCCAAAAATGTTGTCAAGGGCTTGAAAGCAGTGGTAGAATTCATGGGATCTGCTCCTATCGTCGTCGGTGGAGTGGTTGATCACGTTGCACCAGGCCGTAAGAAATCCATGCAACTGCTACCGCAAATCAACACTAACGTCTCGTAGAACCAAGAGCCGCTGCGCCTGCTGCTGCTGGTGGTGGTCCTGCTCCTGTTCCTGTCGATGGTGGTTCTGCTCCTGTCGGCGGTGCTGCCGCGGGCATGTATACTCAACAACAGATGGCACCTGCGCAACTTTCGGAACTCTACAATCCATACCAACCCGCCGCAGCTGGCCCTGCTCCTGTCCGTGCTGCTGTCGCCGGTGCTGCCAATGGAGTTCCGAAGATCGAGGTGACCCCGCCAAAGTAAGGAATCTACCACGCTTCGAGCTTCAGGTAAAAGCTAACCTCATCGTAGTTGATAAATACATACTCGACGATCGACTTGCTTTCTGTGTTCTGGGAGGAAGGAAGTCCGTTTGGACGAGTCTCTGTGGTAAGAATTAACTCCCTCCCGCACTGGAACTCCCAGGCTGACCACAATAAGAAAGCAATTGGATATGGGGGTGGACGGTGGCTTTCGCGGGTTGGTAGAGGAGTAAGAGAGATCCAATACAGTCATTGCCGCTTTCAGTTCTTGATAAAAACGTGCCAATCCGTGAGACGTGCCATCTCGTGAGACCTGTAGACCCAATTAGACAAATAATACTGCGTTCCTCCCCAAATACACGAATGAAACTTACGAAGCTGGTCTCTATATCTCACATTTAAGCAATGCCCGTAGGCCTCAGTTAACTCTGTTGTATTTACTCTATCTAATCATTTTAATGAGCCAAAGCTTTTACGGGTTTTAACTCATTAAAACTTCTCAAATTATCAAATTCCTCCCCCTTCTTTCCCCAAGGCTGATACAATCCCCAATCTCCATTTATCGATTAATCACTTAGCCACGTCCAGCTTTCGTCACCATAGCTTTCCTCTCTTTTCCAGAACTAGTAGAGTCCAAGGAGAATTAGATGTAGAGGGTTTAGACTTGAATGAAGCAAGATATTGCAGTTAGAAACGCTCATATCAGACTTACCAGAATGCCAAAACCTTCTATCTTCTAAAATATACCATGGACAGGGGGCGGGTGGGTGAATGCTGGCCGGCAAAGGTAAAATTCGGTATCTTCCATTGCCGAGAGAGCACATTTCTCGAAACAAGTCCTCCCAACTTCGAACAACAACAAAGGTCACGGAAGCGGCAACCGATAACCACAAACAACAATCAGACAACATGACTTTCCCAACGCCAGGTAACGCCAGCCTGATTAGCCATCTCTCCACATGGCGCCGCAAAGCACCCGCCAGTGAGCTCCACCGTCGCCTCTCCATCAGCTTTTTTCGCCGTCGTCCCTCGCGCCCCAAGCCAACAAGTACTCGGGCAGCTTTCACTTACAGCAGTGCTTTGCCAAGGACCAACAGAAGGTGGATCCGGATCAATGATAGAGAAATCGACCCAGAAAGGGCCACGCTTATATCCGCGTGTCCGACAGTCTGTTTGGAGGACGAGTCGCCCGAGGAAGCCAAGCTGGTAAGAAGCGACCTTTCAAAATTTCTGGGTATGGGGACTGACTCGAGACCAGAAGGACGCCACAATATTGAGATATGAGCTTTATCGCACAGTATCAGCTTCTCGGAGAGCCACGGATGTGGAGGTTCACTTCGCAATGGCCTTGTGGGCGAGCGCGGATTTCGACATCGACCTTGTGGCAGCGTGCGGTATCATCCACACTTGGGAGTGGATTTGTCAATCTGAAGGATATGCGTGTGTCGATTACCTGAAATTGAAGGAACGGGCTCGATTCTTGATCCGGAAGCAAGATAAAGGTGGCTGCGGAACTTTTTGAATTGATGAGGCAGGGTTAGAGTCGCCCCATTGGAACCCCAGCAAAGAGACACCGGAAGGTGCTGGAGATGCAATCAAGTACCACATCTTCAACCAAACTTTAACTATGCGAGGACGGGTTGAGAAAGTTACGGTTAGAGAAGCGGCTCGCCATGAGGTAGATGAAGTAATGGAACCTTTTTCGCTCTCAGAGAGTCATTCCAACCCGTGAGACCCCTAGATACCAGTAAACGTCCAGTCGTAAAGCCTTCTTTGCTTCCAATGAATAGAAGACCTGAACATACCTGAGTAGAACAGCCCGTGCAACGGCTAATTGGTGTGCCCGTTCAATGCCAGGATCACTGTTGAGTCTTTCTAGTGAACCGACCCACCAAGGTTTGCACCCATCCCATTGCTTCATCTCTCTCTCTCTTTGCAACGACACACCAACGCTGTACGAAAAATGTCTACAATCCAACCATCAGCACGCAGCCACGACGACAATCTTCAAAGTCGTGAGCGAGTTCTCGCTCACCCAGAAGCCGTCGAAGTCAGCATGCAGCAGGGCAGTATACTGGCTGCCACCCTGCGTCCGATCCCCTTTCGGTTCGGAATACTTTCTACAAGAAACGGCGTCGACCCCTCGGACACCAACAAATACGTTCTCATCGAAGGACGGCAGCACATTACAGAGGAGCGGTACGAAGCAATTGAAGAAGCAGCGCGTACATCAGTCGAAATTGGTGATAATTCGCTATTCATTGACCTGCACATGTCGGAAGCGGAGGAAAGTCTGGTGAGTAGAGGACCTCAGCTCCTGATGAACGTAATTAGACTGACCGTAAACCAGTCCGTTGCTCTCCTCTTGAGATGGAACCTGCAAGTCAACTTGTTGCAGGGGGGAATGATCTCGGCTGAGAAGATAATTTCTGTTGATTCAACGATGAAGCTTTTGGAGGAAAAACGCCTGTCAATCAGAGCCGCAGAAATTTCAGGGGTTCAATGGGTCCTTAAAAAGATCCAGGAGTTGGATGAAAATAGTTTGTCTCTGCAGGACTCGTCTGTGCAGCAATTGAATCTCAAGCAGCGGGCTAAAGCTCTTGTTGAACACTTTCTCGCGAAGTTGGACGGGTGCGTTGAGGAATTCTATGAGTTACCCAGAGAGCAATGAGCGTACTCTTGAGGATGCGTCGGATTGCTTTGATAGGACCGGCAGATTTTGAGGAAGAAAGTCGCAGATTCATTGACCTGTCGTATTGAAGCAGTGGCTGCTAGTTGTAGTTGGCTCGATTTGAATTGAATAAAGTTTTGATCTTGAAAGAGACCTGCCAAAATAGACTTCGTAAACTGCCATGCTTTGCTTCTAGCATCTGAATAAACCGAAGACTTACTCAGAGCTGCTTTAAATTTCTTCCAAGCATAGCGAACAAAGTCGTGAGTGAAGAAACATATGCGTAGGCGTCCGTGCCCAGTTAAGCATCCGTCGAAGTCAACCCGACAGTTGTCGACTACGCACATGACAACCACAACCTTCGATTTAGGCAAGTCGAGAATCAAACGACTCCCACATCAAACATCTCGATAACGTATTCTCGGACAACAATCCAAAGTGCCATGGCCGAATTAGCTCTCCACGTAAGGGGTTTCGCAGGTAGCCTCCCGAGTTCGACAATATTCCTATCGAATTCCAACGGCAGCGAAGGCTTTATTCCCTTGTCAAATACCGTCTCTACCATGCACGCCCCTGAGAACTCTCACATTATCATCCACAATGATCTTGTTAACCCCGAGGCAGTTGTCATTCCGCTCTTGACACCCAGCCTTCATGTCAATCTTGAGGTTCTTCTAATTCGGCTGCCAAAAATCAAAAGTATTGGATCTGCCATCTTCCAAGGATACTTGACAATGATGATCCTTAATATCATATTTGCGCTGGTTTGTAACCCCGCAATCTGTGTCAAGAGACCATCATCCCACCAACATGGTTTTGCTAACAACTAAGCAGGTCTTTCTTTCTGACGAGGAATAAAAGGTAATAGTGGTAATAGGCTTCCTACATCTTCCAAATGCGTGTGCTGACGAGAAAAACAGGGAGCTGCGGCTCGCTTGGAGCGAAAACTGGCGACAGTGCTTCGACGACATTGATATACTTGCTGCGTTCATACAAGGATTGGATATGTACGATAGTCAATCGATGTAGCTTGGAAATGAATGTGCATCGTCTTTCGTTCATCAAAGGATTCGTCTTATTCCTGTTAAGCCAGACTTCTTAATGGAAACGATACAGCCGCTACACACTTGACGCAAAAGTCGTCACTTCTGGCTTTGTGAACTGGTAAATGCGTGAACGTCGATAAATCAGCTAAGTCTATTCATTTTCAAGTGTATCAGGAGCTTTTCTTACCAGATTTGAGACTATCATTTACTTTCATCACATCATTACGCACCTCCGAAGAGGGCCTGGGTTTAACTGCGTTTTATTGCTACGTACTTGCCTCGAAAAATCTAACTACTATTCTAATCTAAAGAGCACCTCGAATTCAAACACACAGTAATATCACATATAGATATCGGGACTTATTTGACCAGTCCGTACACACAAACATCCCAACCACATGCTCTGTTTCAGGCGAATTCAATAGAAAGATGCGAGCCAATTAGAATTCGCGCTTTTCAATCTCGCCAGCCAGAACACTGCACATAGGAAGGCAGCTCCGGGGACCCACACGTGAGACGCTAGTCTTTTTTCCCCTTCAAAAGCGAAGTCGGTCTCCTCGTCAACAACCTTTTTCACACACATACTGGCAAAGTAAAAATTCAAGATCATCACTACCAAGTACCACCCATATCACCATCAAATTCTTCTCATCAAAGACAAGATCCTGAGGAAGTGTCGAGAGACACTTCAGGAGCTTCTCGGCGTGGAGACCCTTCCGAGTAGGTAGCGTCTCCCACGTATACCGCCGTCATGCTTACATCGACAGACCGATCTTCTGAAGAAATTGATCAAACCGACAACGCTACGCACCTGAAGGCGGTTGCCACGGCCGCTGGCAACCAACCACGCTCAGAAGCCCCTGAAATGAGTCTGCCTTTCATTGGGTATACTTTTAAGCGTTTCGAAACCAACTACAGATGATTGCTATGTCCTTTTAGCATATTAAAGCCACTACCAAACTCACCATCACTCTCCCAAAGTCTCTCGATGGAGAACCCAAGCGCCGGTACTCAGGCCAACAGCAATGATCCTCGAGTAAGTGAACCTTGGATTCCACAACGGTAAGTCGTCCGAACTTCGAAAAACACGCGCATGACTGACTCTGACAGCTGCTATGCAGCGTGCCAACACAAGAGAGTCGTACTGCAAAAATATGGTGGAAATTCCAGGAAGTTCGCGGTAAGTCGTATCCTCGTTGAAAAGTCATGAGATTGGCTGACAATAACAAGCAGAAGTGCTGCATCTGTTGTCTCTAACGATCCTGCGTCCAAATGGAAGGGGATGAGGGGCCGAGATCCCATGATACCCAAGTCCTGGTGACTCGGTCCCTCCTTCCCAAAAGAAGCAACCAACCTCTTCATAACCATCAAATTCTGCCTCTTCTTGTCGCTTGGAGTTAGATGACACTTACAATTGGGATCCTGTCAAACGCACAAGGCGTCGCTGAGTATCATGTATAAATTGGAGGATTCGGTGTCCATAATAGTAGTACAATAATACCAAATCTTTGTTTGCATCATTCCACTTCTGCTTTATTAGCTCGTTTGTCGTTGTATCCTAAATGAAAACAACGTATTAGTGAGATCCGAAAGTCCAAGGAAAATACGGGCTCTCGTTCAAATATTATCCAGATTTACCCTTATACCGTCCAGGACCTTCTGAAGCTCAAATCCACCTGCTACCCCATTCCCGGAGGCCCCTGGTCCTAATTGCACTATTCTTGTAGTTGTGGCCAAATCAGGTGTTGTTTCATATACCGATAACAAATTGAGCGCCAACCGAGGCCTTGAATATCCCACCCACTAATTACAGCTGCAAGAACATATGAGAGTAGTTTATATATGTCTCTATCCCTTCAAAGATGGAAATGAAGCTTCGCTTGCCTGAGAGCCAATGGATCACGTGATTCAACCCGACTGTCTGGGTAAATAGAAGCTATTTCCAGTTTCCACACAACGATGATTATCTTCTCATTCAAATTGATTTGAGATATAAGATGTAATTACCATAAAGAGGTAAGAACGGAGAGGGATTGTTGCCTATCTCACCAAGTAGATAATACAACCATGCGTTGAAAAGAGAAGAAAGTACAGTACTGTCGGTAAACGGCGCTAAGGCCTTTCATCTCTGCGCGGAACCAATTCGCGAGCACAACACCAACGATTATAACAGAAACAATTTGGCCAAATCGCTGTGCTAAATCACAAAACTAGAAAATGTCACCACGTCAGGAAGATTCGGCTGCGGAGCAGCAGCAGCAGCAACCGGAGCTAGAAGTCGAGGGGGTAGATGAGAGCGAGGGGGATCGACAAGATCGTGCCGCAAGCACAACAACTCCTGCAGCCGGAGTACTGGGAGCACCCAACCACGCGTCGAGTGAGTGCTATAGAGCAATAGTCAGGAAAACGTTTGCTAATTCCTCAGCGAGCGCCAATATCACACAGCCAGTCAATCCGCAGGTCGTGCTCGCGCCTCCAACCCAGCCCGCCCAACCCGCCCAAGCTGCAGCACCCGCTACAGCCATGGCAGTCCCGCTGCACGATCTTCCCGGGCTCGCGCCCAACCAAGTCATACCAGCGGGGTTCCATGAATACTTGCTTGGCCACGTCCTCCGCAAGCTACGAGCCGGCGAGCCTGGCATGCATCTCGGGGCGCTTCCCGGTTCCTTGCAAGCAATGGTGGATACAGATGCAGCTGGTGAGGAGTCTGACCGCGACGCAGATGGAGAAGATAATGATCGCATCTCGGGGGACGAAGAAGAGGATGAAGATGATGAAGAAGAAGATGATGATAGTGAGGACGATGACGAGGAATAGTATGCCAACGAGGGGTAATAGGGTCGCATGACGGTAGAGTATAGCATTCAAAAACGAGATTAAAAGCAGCTGTTTGCTGCGCACATATATATACGCGCGAACGATTTCCCTTTTCTCTCCATCTTACAGTATAAGATACTCTGTCCCAAAGGGTATTGCAAGCAAACTGGGCTTGGTACTTACTTTTGGGAACACAAAGGCGGGGTACACATAAGGCCTCAATCCAAACAATTGGGAGACACTGGTCAGTACTTCCCATCCTTTAAAATCATTTAATGACAAAACAGCTTTTTAGGAACCTCTCTTCGTCACGGCGACGGCGACGCCGACCTCGAGATGTCAACGACTGTTAAAAAACATACAATTGCAGCATGTATGAGATCCTGACACGAGTTACAACGCCGTTGTCCGCAACGGGACAATTGCAGAGACTTCAAGAAACCGCACAGACAAACAAGCGCCGAAACTACGTGATATTGCTCGTTCCACGTTTGACTGAAAACCCTTAGGGCGCGCTCAAGGTTGGACTTTGACTGCGACGCTCAGCTCCGTTCGAGATCACAAATTATAGCCAAGAGCTTAGTCTCAACGTTGAATCGTTCATTTCCCATTTGTGCTTGGAGCTAACATTTCGACAGATGGATTACCTCAACTATGCCCCCTTCTATGAAAGTTACCAGGCGGGACATAGTTTCGGGCACAACGCTTTCAGGTGCCACGGGAGCGGCTTTCCTACTGATGATATATTTGAGTCCCGTAAAAGGATAGAGAGAAGACATCCAGCCCGTAAAGCTCGCTGGTAAAAGGATGGAGCACTTGCTATACAATAGTGCCTCACAGTAGCAGCCCAGAAAGCTCCGCTTGCAACCAGCTACCCTCGACATGAAGGAAAGCTCGAAGCACTGTGCTTTTGGCAACCGGATCAAGTGATCCAAAACTGGCTTCGCAAGCAAAGGCAAACCATCAAGACATAAACATGTTTTTCCATGAGCCTATCTGCACTTCAAGTGAAGAAAGCGAGACGAGATGAAGTCGTCTCGGGCCGAAGTCGCCGATCATCTCCGGTGAGGCTTGACCGGATTCAGGGATAGTCTCGAGATGATCTCACCGTGAGATGATCTTCTTCACAACCTGCTACTTTCAGCTTTCCCTATTCCACTTGGGGGATCGCATGTAACAATGAAGACATCCATGTTTTTGAAAAAGATACGCAGAAGGGAACGAAGCAAAGCATAAGGACCTTTCTTGACCGGGGCATACGGTGTATCCCATCAAACGTAAACAAGTACGAGATTGCAGAGCAAGGAGATTAAACTTCATCGAACAGAGCAGCGCAACGAAATCAGTACAGAAGATGAAATGCTGCAGAAGGGTCCCAAGAAACACCGCTGTTGGTTTCCTTGAGAGCAAGTTCCTATCGCCCGATCCATTGAAGGCCCGAGTAATAGGTCTTAGGTTGATCCAAAGACTGCAGCTGCTGTAGAGGATAGAAGGGCTTGTGAGGACCGCGTCAGGTCGTTCAACGCAAAGCTGATCCGTAAATGTGTTTCTTGTACTGTGTTTCGTATTTTCTCAAGGAATCCTGTCGTTAAGATACTCCTTTAGTCGTGTTATGAACGCACGCTGTGTATCTCGAAGTCGTAGTATGTAATCTCTTGATTCTTCTCTCCGCGTCGCTTGTGGGGTAATCGTAGATGAGAATCCGCGTGGCATTGGCACCACCGCCGCGTTTGGTCTCGTCGTGCGGTCGAGCAATCGATCCTTTGATATACATTGACTCGCTTTCCCTTCCGTAATATCAGCTTGAATGTCGGATAGCCCGCGTGATGTTCGAATTGTTGGAAGATGAGGAGGAAGCTGTGCAAGAGTCGTGCCATAGGGGTCGCTCCTTCCATCAAGCTCTATCTCGGAGGGGCTTGATATCGGACGGCTCCATCGAGAGCTGCCGGTTATGAGTTAGCTTTTCATCGTTCTATAAAGGCCAAGCAATTGTTGGTGTTGTCTTTTGGTCGAGGGGTTGTGATTGCGGTCGGCTGTGTGAAGAGCGGTCGCGCTTGCCTCCTCAACAGCCATCAATCCATCAAAGGGGAGAAGAAGAAGGCAATACTTTATCAACATACCATTTTAGATCCTCCTCTGCCCCTCTCTATGTATTTTGAAAGATGTAGGACGATTTTGTCGTTGTTGTCGTTGATTTCGAGCGTTTGCCAATCTGTCTCGTTTGCGCAATGGAAATCCGAAATCCATCACTCCGCTTTCAAGATGCAGTCTGCCGAGTATGCTGAGTCTTTTCCAACGGAATGTGAGCTTAGACTGGCGTACTTCAAGTGTTTGCTGGAACAAATTCAAACAAAATGTTATTTTCACAATGACTTGACGTTGGAAAACGGGGTGAGGGTGGGTAGGATCTGCAGAACTACCAGCCCGCACGGACCTAAGTTTATTTCAACTACATCCTCTGCTACCCCTCTACTGACTGTAAAAGAGCATGGGATTTGGTATCTATTGTTTGGAGCAGAGGTTCAGCATTAACCAAGCTGTGAAATTCAAGCAATTTTTCTTCACAGGTTTTACAAACAGCTTTCAGGTTTGGGAGGCATGTTGTAGTTACTTGCTTGTCTCTCTGGGTCTCGCAATGTGCAGCAAGTCAAAGAGAACCCAAGGAGAGCTGCATGGCCTTTATTGATCCATTTTACGTCTAATCTATCCCTTCCAGTGTTTATGCAAATTTGACCTCCTATCTTGTGTGTTCGCTCGGCTTCCTCTCGACCTCAACTGCTATTGTCCTCCTTTCCGTGTGTGCTGCGAACTCGGAACATGCTTGACGCTACTTGTGCCTAGATCTGCCACTATTTGTCGATGGGAATCCACGAAGTACAGCCCTTCTCCCCTCTATTTCAGAGCAACCGAATTAAGCGAAAATATCGAGATTATTTCAAAAATTGCTGTATTCGTCGTTTCCCTGGTTCTGGTAATGTTGAGGAGAGCAGGCGCTTTTCAGCTTTAGAGTGTGAATAATTCGGTTGTTGTGGAGAGCTAGGGAGGGAAAACACTGCTCCCTGGGTGGATCGGAAAGCGGCACCCTAGTCTCCATAACATTGGGTTCGAGGCATCTGCGAAACCCACTAACGACGGACTTCCTACATTATAGATCACCTATCCTACTGCGCCGATGGCACTGCGCTACCTGTAGTATGGCTGAAAGAGTCTATGCCACTTTATCTACGCACCATGCCAATTATACCACCTGAAGAGACCTGAAGAAGCAAGCGCTTGCCGATTTCGAAGAAGGGTGGAGACTAAGTAACGTCTCCGACGCCGATCAGAGTGGGAGAGCTAACAGAAATTCTGGCTGAATGCAAGGGATAACTAGGTACGAGAAGAGAAACAGTTTTCAGTAGCAACGACCGCTTGACTACCTTTATAAATAGTCAAATACAGAGCTCCGACCCGGCGACAGCATTTATCGAGATGTGCCATTTCGATGGTAGCAAACCTGTTCAAAGCACCAATGGAGAAAAGCTTTTGAGGGCCAGGAACAGAAGCCAGAGCAGGAGAGTGCCTTGAAGCAAGAGAACTTCACAGGTGCGGAGGATAGTGTCACGGGTACGGCAGAGTCTGTCACGGGTACGAGGGATAAAAATCAAGGATATCTAGGAGCAGGACGCCTGGTAGAACTCATAGGACCTAAGAGGGAAGGCAGAGAAGAGAAGGGTAAAAAAAAGACCGTTCTGCTCATCTCCACAACCAGAAGAAGCCCCTTCGAGAGCGGGTCGCTTTCGGACGTGTGATAAGTACCAGGATTCAGCAGGTAGAGCCTCAAATGGTATAAAAAGGGGGAAATATTAAAAGTAAAAAGAGAGTGGAAAGACAACAGGTTTCTACTACTTCCCGTGACTCTTGTCGAGAGTGCTATACCCTTTTACGGCCAGGGATTTGGAATGCAAACCATCTATCTCGAACTATGTCATCAAAAAGATTGAGTGGTATAGCTGGATTCTTCGGAGATGGCTATCATTGCACACCTAAAGAGATACTGTAAAATCATTGGAGCGACAAACAAGTTTACACTACCATTAAAGACTCTGGCATGTAAATAATGAATGGAAAGGAATTTACCAATCACAACGAGAGCCACATGTTCTTTCGTTCACAAAACTTCCCTCTCAAACTTGATTTTGAAGAAGGCTTCCTTCCAAACTATGACCACGAGGTACATGTGTCCTTGTATTAGCAAAAAGTATCATCCCACAAACAGTACACCAGTACTCGACATGATTCTCAACGCGGCCGGAATTTACCACCAGGAGTTCAGTAACGAGAGATCGACCAGACACGATTTTCTTTTTTGGTTGGGTAATTGCTGAGGCATTTAATAAAAAGTCTAAGTCAAGAAATTCATAGGTTTTGGTCGTGGTGTTGAGTTAGTTATTATGGAAGTTCTTGGGTGCGCAGAGAGTTGAGCCGAAGACTGGTGGTAGATAAAAGGCCAGGACGGCGCTATGTCCTTATTTGCGAATCAAACATCAATCAACAGCTCTTAAATTTGACTTTTTGATATACTTCTAAATGACGACTAGACAAAGCTGAATATTTCCCCCGTATCTGTATTAAAAATACGCAAACTTGCACATTTAATTATTGGGTACATTTCTAACATCAGGGGATGACTCCACATAAAAGAAACGGTAAAGCTGCACATATCGTCATAAGTTCAATTTCAAGGAGTGTGTACAGCCACCTGTAGGAAATTAATTAGCACTTTTACTAACTGAAATAATGAACCCGCGGGAAGGGATTTCAACAACCAGATGATTTACAACTCAACGGTTCTTTACCTGAAATTACGACATTCATTTAGACTCCAAAAGAATAATCCATGCTACAAGTCGAATTTAGAACATTCTGCAATAAAAATTATTCGGAGCTAGATAAAGTCTCACAACAGTGGATGTCACATAAAATCGCCATCCGTCACAGAGACTATCTGCCTAAAATAAGTGAAAATCAAATTTCCAAACCCCACGCTTTCAAAAAGAATTACTTAAGCAAGACTAGTGATCAGAATACTGGAAGTAGAATATTGATATAAGAAATGATATGTGAGAACTAAAAGAAAATTGCACAATTATTAGGACAGGAAAACCTTAGTCATATTGATCATTATTGATCCTTGAAGAACGTCCTAAAATATCTAAGGAAAATGACATAGTATACACGGAGACTACGAGAACACTTTCAATAATAATAAACATGTAGTAGACTTCGTCAACTAAACATGGTCTGAAAGACTTTAGGGAGGATGTGCAAATGAGCGAAGTGAGATGTGATATTGGGATATCTAACGAATTTGATAAATTAATTGAGGGCACTGGATGAAGATTTAAGAGTTGTCACTTAGGTACGGTTTGGTGTGTAATATTGAGAATGCAAGACCTCGCTTTGGCATTTCCTTGGTTACATTATTAACTTCGATAGAGGAATTGCAAATGTACCAGTAGGTACCTAATACCTATATGTTTGAACTCATCGCTTATGTAATTGAATCGATTGTGCCGTGGAACAAATCTGGAATCTCCCAGGGCTTCAATGTTGCGGGGAATCGCGCAGAGAGTCACGTAGAGCATCAAATTATACGAATCAAAAACGTCAAATTCAATAGTCTAGATTGAACGCCCAGTCCAAGCGAGGCCAGCACTATCTACACAAAACCACCTTTGCACTATATCCATTCTGCACGAAATGCACTGCCATGGAAGCTGCGATAAATAAACGCCTAATTGCTCCGACCATATTTTTGCACGTGAGTTCTCCTCGTTATCTATCTTGCTCGCAAGGCCAATGGCTTATCCTGGTGGAAGAGAGCTGGCATCAACAACATCCTCGGCATCCTTTAGCATCTTCTCATCGTCTGGACCGTAAAGTGGTGAGCGAGGAAGAGCCATGAGACCAGTTCTTGCCGACTCCAGAATTCCGAAGGGTGCGATTAGTTTCATGAATGAGTCGATACGCGTGGGTTTTGCCGAGCTTCATGACTGTTAGCAACTTTCACGTGGATGCGAAAAGGATGTTTAGCTTACACTTCGACAATGCAGCTGTTTGTGCTAATGTCCAATACTTTCCCACCAAATTGATGTGTGAAATAGGTAATTGACTTCAAATGCTCGTGCTTGTGTCTCAACGCCTGACTGAGCGCTAATTTGCTTGGGTGGAAATCGGCATTTGACCGCTCTGCTCTATCCTGGGACGACTGCGCATCCTCCATGCTTTCTGGGTCGTTCTCTGTGATCTCTCTGTGATGAGCCTGCAACTCTTCAAAGTATTCCGGCCCAAGGATATTGATTTTGGCCAGCAACAGTTCGCGCTGAACAAGTGCAGCAGGTGTGTAATCCAGAACAGCCCAGACAGGCACTAGATCCTCCAATTGTCTACGTGCTTGCTCCACTACTCCATCTTGTCCAGACAGCACGATTGTCATTCGCGACAAATCCTCAACCTCGGTATTGCATACAACGAGAGAGTCGATATTGAACCCACGAGCCGCAAGAATACCAGAAACTCGAGAAAGCACACCGGGTTCATTCTGCACCAGGCAATTGAGAATGTGACGCTTTGGCGGGGTCAAAGAGGGCGAAGGTGTTTCGTAGAGAATGTTCGAGACGGCAGCTTGTGCGGACCAAGATGGTGGAGCATCTGAGGTTGGAAGAGGATATACACGCTTGTGGAGAGCCTTGTATGCCAGCGCTGACGTAGATGAAGCTGTTGATTCTGATCGCAGATGCTGACGGGCAAGCAAAGCGTTGGGAGTTCGGGGAATCGCAGCGCGAATTGGCAACGCCGTAAAGAGTTTTCGAGACGCCATTGGGACGTATGTTGTACCTAAATAGGCACTGGTATATTTGGAAAGCAAATGTCCCCCTCAATGTCCTCTTCTCACCGCAATTGAGCTTGTCAAAAAATGTCGGAGTCAGAAAGGAAATATTGGACAAACGACCGATGAACGGAGCCGAGATGTTGAACTTGATAAACTCACCCACTCTCAAATGGTGGGCCCGAGGCCTAGGCTGCCAGGTGAATTTAGAGCTAAGGCAGCCTCAGGCATGAGGCTGGAAATTCATACATTTCTTCTCACGAACTCACAGGCCATTTTGCGCCCGCAATAATATCTCGCATTTACATGAGAACGAACCCATTCCGTCAATATGGATGACACAGAAAGACGCACCGCGAAGCGATCGCGCTTCGACCAGAAAGAACCAGAGCCAAAGAAGGCATCACGATTCGACAGACGGTCGCGTTCGCCGCCTGCCAGGAAATCCGAGTCGAGACGCAGCAGAAGTCCCATCGATCGAAAGACGGAAAGCCCAGCGACCACGGCGGCCAAGAAGCCTGCAATCGACCCTGCCGCTGCTGCAGGTTTGTGCTCTCAATAAAAATCTCATATGACTCTGCTAATTTGCGCATAGCTGCCGCGGCTGCCAGAATCAATGCCCAAATCCAAGCCAAGAAAGGCATCCAGCACGTGGATGTGCCTCCTATTCAAGCATCCCTCAAGTCTCCAGTGGCCCCGTCGCCAGTACCTGCTAGAGATGGAGGGGCAAAAAACAGCGTCGCACATGTAGACGGTGAGATGTACATGGACGATGGCGATTACATCAAAGACATTGTAATAAATGACTTGCGCAATCGTTATACACTGACCAAAGGAGATACTCAAAAGATGGTAAATACTCCTTGTGTTGTACTCCACTGATAAATCAAGCATTCGTTCGATGGGACAGCGCTCTGGACATACCCTCATTTCATATTCAATCATTACATTTGTGTGGAGATTTCAAGCTTACCAGAAGCACGAATAGCACACACTAAACAAACCTCATTGGCATCTGCTGACTCCCGCTGCGTGATATTTAGATTAAAGAAGAAACCGGAGCTGGTACGCTAAACCTACCTACAACTTAACGTTTTATAGATGAAATGTTGACCGTTTGAAGATATCACCACCCGAGGAGAATATTATCCAGACAAAAGCATGTCCACGGCTGCAGTAAGTGATTACCAAATATGTTTGCGGATGAGTCTGACGCAACGCAGAATCCACCACTCTTCCTACACGTCACGAGCACGACTAAGGCGGGCCTTGATAAAGCGGTCTTGAAAATTGAGGAACTAATGCAGCAGGAGCTACCCAATTTAGTAGACGAACGAAGATTTCGACGAAGGGAGCCGGATGCAGTTGAAAGAGATGAGTTTGGTCGAGTGAGTGTTTTATTCTCGAAGTACGGGCAGTCACTAACAATGCACAGCGCAAATGGCCCGAGGAGAAGATTCCAATTGACTTTGAACCTATTCCGGGATTCAATCTTCGCGCTCAAGTTGTAGGTCACGGGGGCGCTTATGTCAAGCATATCCAACAGGAAACCAGATGCCGAGTTCAAATCAAGGGAAGAGGATCTGGTTTCATGGAGCATGGCACTGGCCAGGAGAGCAACGAGGATATGTATTTGCATGTCGCGTAAGTAGTAGTAAATCTGATGATTGCATCGTCGCTAACATTTAACAGTGGCCCCGACCCTGCTGAGGTGCAGAAGGCAAAAGAGCTTTGTGAAGACCTATTGCAAAATGTCAGAAATCAATATGAAGAATTCAAGGCTAGGCCACCACCACAACGTGGATACGGAGCACCAAGCACTGGTTATGGAGGTGAGAGAGGTTATGGTGATCGAGCTCCTGATAGATCGAATTCGTACGGAGGTGATCGTGGTGGCTATGGGGGTTATAACAACTCTCCCGCCCCTCACACTCCTGGTGTAGCTTCTGTAATGAGTCCAACTACCCAATCTGCACCAGGTGCTGGCAGTCCTTCACAAGCCGACTACGCTGCTCAATATGCTCAATATTATGCAAATGGCCAAGACCCATACGCTGCATACGGTGGTTATGCAGCATATGTTCAGTATTATCAACAATACATGGCAGCTGCTCAGGCCGCCCAACAAGCCGCACCACCCGGGGCTCCAGGATCTGCTCCACCACCACCACCCAGCGAAGCACCACCGCCTCCTCCACCAAGCTCGGCCCCCGGCTATAATGCTGTAAGTTGCGACAGATTTTGACTCCTGAGTATTGCTGACCAAGGATACAGGTGCCTCCACCTCCAGGAATGTAGCGTTCTTGATGGTCAAGATCTTTCAAGTTTTGCTGTCACTCCCGGGCATTTGTTGATATGAGCGGTGGGAAAAGATTGCAGGATACCTCGTGGTTGTACACTAGCAGAAGCCTTCATAAATTAATGCATTACAAACGTCTCTTTACAGATCCCTACATTACCCAATGAAATCGATATAGTTCATAACTTCCGTCCAATCATCAGAATCTTGATGCACCGGCTCTTCGGTATCTTTAAACGTAAGCCTCTGCCCATAAGAGATACAGAGTTCTTCCCCTTTCTGGATATCTCTCAAAGCCGTATAAGTCATTAATTGTCGTGCTACATCTCTTTCCCATCCCACATTCTGGTTCGGTACAGAATGATTAAACATGCTTCCCAGTCCTAAAATCACAGCTTGTGTCATTGTAGGAATTTTTGAAATTCCATTTTGATTTGGCTGCATATTATTTTCTTGCTTTTTTGGAGGTGTATATGGCCAATTACTATGAACCAAATTAGTTTGAATAGTAAATAGATAACTCGCGTGCGACTTACTAGGTATAGTGATACAACTCCGTTTTTCTAATATATTCCTCATTTTCCACCGGATCGAGAACCAAAACCGGACATACTTCTATAACAGATCTCCCTGGTATATCTTTATTCGCAAATACACCTCTTCCTAAAACCCCACATATCAATCTCATATCACATCTCAGAAAAGAAAAACGCACAGACACGTGGAAAAGAAAAAAATGTGGGAATTACCTTTCGGCGTATCCAACACCAAAACCAATCCATCGGCCCTCGTCAAAGGTATCTTGTCACTTTCTTTACCCGAAACCATCGAATCGGATCTTGAGCCTGCCATTGGTGAGTCTACCGATTTTTTGCTGTATGGCGTGCGGATAAATTGAGACATGGGCGAAAGGGGTTGAAGTAAGGCGGTGTATGGGCAGAATCTGGTGGGACAAGGACATCGTCAGAGCTTCATGGTTTGTGAATGAGGTAGGTTGTATGGATTAACGAATACATGAGAAGATGGCGCAACAGCGCGGAGCGGCTGATGCGGTGAAGGAACCGCATTCTGTTTCGTTGAAGGTTTTACGGTAGTTTGATTCCCATTCCCCGCATACGATTCAAGAAATCATCTCTAACTGACGATATACAGACTCTCCAGACCATCCCTCTCCCTCCAACATCCCCTCCCAACACCACCGTCCTCCTCTCAAGATGTCCACCCCAGCCAAACCGCATCCCTCGCCTACCCCTCAACGACACCCACCCCCTTCATCCTCTCCCCCCTCCTCACCCTCCCCCCCTCCTTCGGCTCCGCCTACGTAGGCGAAACCTTCTCCTGCACGCTCTGCGCCAACAACGAGATCCCCGCGTCCACCGCCTCCAAAACCATCTCCTCAATAAGAATCGAAGCAGAAATGAAGATACCCTCACAGAAACTACCTATCCCACTCGTTCTCGGCCCAGACACCTCCACAACCCCAGACCAAACCCACAACAACCCAGTAGCCGATCTTCCCCCGTCTTCCTCCCACCAACGCATAGTCTCCTACCCCCTCAAAGAAGAAGGCTCCCACGTCCTCGCCGTCACAGTCACCTACCACGAATCAACTCCGACCTCAGGCCGCGTGCGCACATTCCGTAAGCTCTATCAATTCACCTCCAAGGGATGTATGGTCGTACGCACAAAAACCGGTCCTCTCCCCTCCTCCTCGCTCCGGAAATGGGCATTAGAAGCCCAGCTCGAGAATGTCGGGGAGGAGACGATCGTGCTTGATAAAGTGATTCTGGAGACGACGCCGGGGTTTGTGAGTGAGGCGGTTAATTGGGATGGGGATTGTCCGGTGCTGGGACCGGGGGATGTGGAGCAAGTGTGTTTTGTGGTGCAGGAGATTGGGGATGGGGAGGAGGTGACGGAGGAAGAGAAGGAGAGGAGGAGGGAGAAGGAGGTTATTGATGGGAAGTTGATTTTTGGGATTTTGAGTCTGGGCTGGAGGGGTGCGATGGGGAATCGGGGCTTTTTGAGCACGGGGAGTTTGGGGGCGAGGATTTGAGGATGGTAATGGGGACTTGGTGAAGAAACGGGAAGGGGTTTATAGTTTGAATGGGGGTCATGGCTAGAAAGTGGAGGATATTTGGGAGTATTCTTATCAAAAGGTGACATAAATATAGCCTAATGTCTGGCCGGAAACATGATATTGGAGGAGTTATCTTATACATCACAACCATTCAGGCGAGGGGATTACGAATCTTACTACATTACTTATCAGACCACAGAAATTTAGCGTAAAATAAAAAAGACAAAACATCAATACACTAGTGTCCTGATTCCAATTGATAGTCATGTGAGATGTCTTTTCGCCTTCAACAGAACAAACAAACTTTTCTGGAACTAAAATTTCATGGCATGGATCTCTAGTGGATCTGATAGACATGTGACATGCAGCACTTTACTCACCAATTATGGAATGGAGCAACTCCGCCATGGCAGTGCTTAATACAATGAGCGAGTGACCATTTCCATATAATCAGCGAGTGAGATAAGGAATTAACTAATTCCCTACAGTCAACCAATTAGAGTAAAAATTGAATTTTTCAGATATATACTATATAGATATATGAGCAATTTTTAAATGCTACTCTCACCTAAATCGCCATATAAAATCCAACTTCCCGATGTAATAGCGCTACTAGCCATGAGATTAATAATACCATCGCCTGGTTCTCTATATAAAACTAAAGTTTAGAATGTTGCTATATAATAACTACTGTTTAATTAACATGAACTATAAAAACCACTTCTTACTACGGCTCTTTCTACTAACTTTACTCTTACCTCTGCCTTTTAGCTATATAGATAATATAATATTAATTAAGTAATGTTACGATTATTGTTGCCGATTACAACAAGTATTCAATTGATCTTAATCACATGATGGCGTTTGCGAGCTGTCCAAAAATGACGTTGATTGCAATACTTTGTGAGAACATAATAATTGATCAGTTACTAATAGCACCCACTAATCATCACGAATTGACTAATTCCTTAATATATTAGTCAATTACTCATTGTATTGACGAATTCCATGCCCGAAAGCGTCATTTCCATGATTGGTCAGTAAAACACTGCAGACATATCTTCTTAGAGTTCAGTAGAAGAAGAGACTTTAATAGGGGCCCTCGAGTTCGTGATCGTACTCAAGCAGTTCACAGCCTCGCACAGCACTCATGATACTTAGAAATGGCAGTATTCATTCACATCTATTCCAATGTATGTACATCCCCAAACACTGTCAAAAACCGAACACCATGGCCCGAGACAAACCCGAATCTACCTAATCCTAAACGCCTAAACACCAATCCTCAATTGAAGAAGCCATCATATCCTAACCTCAGCACCAATCCCACTCCCCGCGTACCAAAACTCCTGGTTCCAATGCTCAATCCTGATCTTAACCGTACCCTTCGCATCTAGTCTCAGTTCCCCTCCAAGCGCCTCACGGATCTTATCGTACCCCACAGAATCCAAACTCCACTGTACCGGTAAGCGCGGACTCTTGCTTCTCCCCGGCGTGACTTTGAACGGGAGATCGTAGTCGATGTGGCCAACAGGCTCGGTGTGGTTGTAGAAGGCGGTAGCGTTGATGTGGGTGATGAAGATGGTGGTATATTGTAAGGGGGAGATGAGAGTGAATTCTGCGGTTGATGACCAGAGGTGGAATATCGCGTTGTCTATGAAGTGAGGTTTTCCATCGTCATCCTCGTCGTTTTCGCCTGGCGAGGAAGGGGTGTGAAGGCGGGGTGTGGGGATTTCGACAGCGAATTTAGAGAGAGTTTTGCCAAGTGAGGGTTGAAAGGGGATGGAGTCTTTATGGGTTCGAAATGTAAGTGTGGTGTTGAACCCAGATACGTATTGGGATAGAAGCTCTCGTCCAATGTGTTCCGCCTTTTCGCCTCCAAATGTTGACGGATCCCAGGAAGCTCTTACAATGATGCCCGTGTTATTTCCTCGGACGACGTCTATATTTGTTGCGGTAGCGTCGCCGAGAACAGAACCGTTGTTGATTACGTGAATGTTGATATAAGGTACATGTGCGGTATATTCGGTAGGATTAGTAAAGTTGACCCTAGCCTCAAATTCCAAACGGGTTTTGCTGGTGGATAAAATTCGGAGATTGTCGACTCGAGGCTTCACATCTGCAAAGCCGCCGTCCGTAGAGATCGCTAAAATCTCGTCAGCTTTTCGGTGCAGTCGTGCTGATATCAAGTAAAAACGGCTTCCTAACGTTTAATAGGAACTACCCCATTTGCGGGCATTTTCTTGACTTGAACTTCACCCAAAACAGTTAATACCTTGACGTCAACAAGAGCATCCACGGTAAGAAGAAGAGGCTTCCCGAAAAATAGTGCCTCTAAGACAGACGAGAAAACATCATCGTCGGTGACAATGAGCGGCGCTCCCTCAATGCGAGACTTTATTTCCATATCCGCACCGTTCGAATTCTTGTCATCGATCCGTCTAGATTGAGCTTTTTGCCAATCTTTTAGAACGAGATTCCCCAACTTCTTGCCTTTGTATAGAACAGTGGCAGTAGCTTTTACTTCGCTGACATTGAGACCAAAATTTATCTCCTTGGGTAAAGCAGCGATCACAAGAATACTTCCAGATATTTGAGGATTCTGTGAGTCCGATCCTGGTGGGGACAGTGGGTCTGGTAAGCTGAAATGCGTGTCCGTCAGAGAAAAGTTCTTGATGACATTGTCGAAAGTGTGACCTGGGAATGGTACAGGGACTGTAACACTGGAGATGAGTTTCGTGAGCCATTTTGGTGTATCTTTTGAGGGTTCGGATGATCCTCGCACAAAAACGGTAGAGTCACGGCCTTTGATATACTTGTCCAGCAATAAATCAAGGGGAGACGAATCGTTGTTCGGGCAAGGACGTAATAGTGGCGGAGGTAATTGACTGACAACTCCAGATACATGTACATTTACCTCGGATTTAGGTTCAACGTCAACGGAGTCGGTAGTCGCATCCGCTAGATGGATGAATGGATCATCTTGTCCGCAATTTGGGACAAGGATGTCAAAACCGAGAGATGGAATAGTAAACTTAACGGGGTAGCTGTTGACAAGCGACAGTGAGACATCCGCTGCCATTCCTACTTTGCCGGTGGAAGGAATTGGAACCTCTTGAAAATTAAGTCGTGTAATATTATACGACGGAATCTTAGGAATGTCGTTGTCTGTTTATCCGAGTTAGCGAGGATTTTCCAAAAGGGGTGACGTGCATGTTGGAGGTACAGAAAGGGAACTGAGGAATTTAGAGTTTCATGAGATTGGCAAAGGAATGCCGCTCCATTGATGCGCAATTGAATAGTACGATCAAGCTGCTAAGCTAAAAACTTTTCCCCAAGGTAGAACGACGCAAAGGAACGATAGAGAGATTGACCTTCAAAAGTAAGAGACTCTGAGATGCTCTGAGTGCCAAGAAAGAATAAGCCTGATTTCAAGCCAACATTGGCTTTGCCCGTTACGCGTACTTTCTGTAAGCGACCATCCAACCAGTCGTTCGCAACTTGTTGAATGCCATCGACATTTCCTGGCTCAAGAATTGATACAAAATCGATTCCTGTGATATGACCATTTCGAATATCAACAGTGACTGGCGGCACATCCGCTGTACCGATAAGAATGTTGCCATACTCTGGCAAATAGACCTCCACCGTAGACGCTTGACTTTGAACCTCACGCGCAATCCACGTTCCAAATCTTCCAATATTCCTGACATTCTTGTTCTTGACTCTCGAGGCATCCATCTTGAAGTTGGCTTGGATCCTAGCTTTGACGCCGGTCTTGGTGAACGAGTCTATCGATAACCCGGTTGGCTCAATGACAAGAGCTTCTTTCGCATATTCCTCCACGACCGCTGGGGCAAAGAAAGCCCCTATGATAATGGCCACTGCCACCAAGCCAAGTACCGTGATAGCTACAATCGTTGGCCATCTGTGGCCGTCCTTGTCAGACTTTCGTGCAGCGTTTCCATTCTGTATTGACCGTAACGACGAGGCTGCGGGTGATGCTATGTATTCATCCTCGTTATCTTCCGAGCCATCATAACGTGTAGTTTCGTCCGATCGCGACAGCAGAGGCTCGGCCTCATGTGAGGCATTCGACTTGTTCGAGCGCTTGGAGCTTGGTCTGTTTGTACCTCCTAGCACGGATGAGGAGCCATTATCTGACATATTCGCGGTATTGGGTGGGTCGCGACCACGCTGTAACAGATTTAAGTGACCAGTGCAGAGTAATATACAGATTGAATGTGAATTGAATGAAGTTATTGATGGTTAATGTCGTGATGATGTCGACCGGATCTCCAAACAGGACGATTGCGTAGCCGCAGTTAGTAGCTGTGTACGGCTAGCCTAGCGCCACTCCAGTCTTGGCAATGTAACCTAATATTCAAGGCTGGTTCCCCACATCTCTGGAACCGCGAATTCTCTGCTTCTCATCAACTTCACAACACTCGATTAAATTTTGCATATCGCATTTCGGAGTGGCTAACATATCAGCGAAAGTCTCTCCTACTTCAAATATCTTAGTCACACAACAGCTGATACCTTTGCACTACTATTCTTACTCGACATCGAAAATAAAAGTACGGCTGGCCACTGCAAAGGACATATCTTGCCATCCAATCTTCCACTTCAAAGCTACCCAAGAGCTAAGTCCTCACATTCAACATCAGACGCCCCATCTCGAAGCCTCCGTTTCATTTCCTTATATTCATCCCCTCTTCCCCCAAGAAACGGAGATAAATTAGGCTTTCTCGCGCTTCCAACGCGATTTGGCCCTCATGACTCCGAAGAATAGAAGCTCACGCTTGTAACCAGTCCAGCAGTTTCCCATGTGCTGATTCTCTCCGGCCTTAAGCGCGTACATACGTTTTTCCTTCTACAATTATGTTTTGCTAGGAGTGGGTAGTTAGGTTCAGTTCTGATATTCTATTTTCTTGAGTCTGGGCGAGTGGTGTCACAGGAGAGGGGTAGACTATGTCTTCGTACAAGTGATAGTGGTAGCACAATATGTTGAAGCAGTATCTCTAACGAAACATCGCTCCCTTTTGAGAGCGTGAATGTCTCTCCAGAAATAATCTTCACCGTATGGCACACCCACCGCAGTAGCTAGAAAGTAGTATATTAGAAGTTTAAAATAAGACCTGAAATCGAAACCTAAAATCGAGAACTCTATATTAAAGCAATTTGAAATCTTCTCATCAAAGAAGCCTCGAGTGCACTCACTAAAATCTAACCTCCTTCTGGAGCTATCGTCGCAATTTCCAATCTACTTCTCGCATCTTACCTTTCACGCAAGCTCAATCTCAGGCTCATCAGCCTCCCTCAATCACTTCACCTCAACACACCCCAACGATCCACCCCCCCTTCTACCTCCAGCGACTCTCCATCACTGACTCTCACCATTCCCACCAGAACCCTCTTCTCAACCCCTTCAATTCTCCATAAAACTCCCTACTCCACTAGACAAGTCCCATTGACTATCACTCAATAGTCAGTGAGCTCAAGTGAGCGATCAAAATTCTGCCAGCAAGTGCTTGTCGATGTTATTTCAAGTTCATCTTCACTAACGATTATTCCTTTTACTAATTTTTAATCATTGTGTGGGGTTTGATCTTGAAGTCGCTCTAAATTCTGGAAGACACTTATAAGCCGGAAGTACGCGTTGAGCTTCGTTTTTTTTTTCTTTTATCTCCTATAGTTCTAAACACAATTGTCACTCTCGAGAAACCATCTGGTTTATCTTAAGAATACCTTCAACTTTATTTCAATTTACTGACTCAGTCCGCAAATATATGAGCGTCTGAAGTCACATTATTTCCCTCTCGTCTACACAGCGAACATCTCGCCGAAAGCCCCTCACAGGACTATCTCTTCACTCGAACCCCTTCATATCAATCATACTCTCCTATCAATATTCTCATCATTAATCTTAAAACCCCTTCATCAAACTAATTATACATACATTATCTCCCCCAAAGTTCTAAACTTCCAAGCTCCAACCTTCCAAACCTCCAATCCCCCAAAACATCAAAAGAAAGAAAAGAATACCCACCCAACAAAAACCGCCAGCAGTCCACCCCTTCACAACCCAGCAGGAGCCCAACCATCCCCCAATCAATCCCAGTTCCAATCCCACAAAAATGCAGACTTCCTATCCATGTCTCATTAACACCAAATGCATACTCCAACCACAAGACCCCAACCACACTAACCCAATACCCCCAAAACGTCCCATTCCAACCTAAACATCCACAACCTCAACCTCACTAACAATAACATCCCGCTTCCCCCGCAAATCACTCCTGGTACCCCAAACCTCTCTCGCAAAACTCAGCACCTTCTCCCTTTCAACCCTCTCCATCTCCCTCAACTCAGCATGATAATCCTCCGTGCTCTTCCTCAAACTCAGCTCTCGACGTCTCCTCTTCCCACTGCCACATCCACTGCTCACAGACGTCAGCGATTTGAACGTATCAAAGTCCTTCCCTGCCCACGTCCGAAATTTGCCTTTCCTGCTTTCAATCTTATCTGGGGAGAGTTGACGAGTGGTCGTGACGACGCAATCCTCGTAGAACTTTGGATCGGCGATGCTAATACCACCAACGACTTCGGCACGACCGGAGTCTACGCTTCCGTCGATGGTACCCATATCAGTATCAGCGAGATCCTGCAATCGTTTTTGTTCAGCAAGTTGCTCGAGCACTTCCTTCTCCATCTGTGCAGCACTTCGAAGCTCCATTGGTAGAATCTCCAATTCTGGAAAGTCGGTTTCAAGGGGAACATTCATACTGCTTCGTCTGCCATAAGTGTCTTCAATCTCAGGAGGCTCGCCTCTGTTCTCAAAGTTCTTGATCTCTTCCTTCAAAATTTTGTGAACTTTCTCGAAAATACCTTTCTTTCTTGCATCATCTGCATGGGAAGAATGATCATCGCCTTCGTAATGATACAAATGATGTTTGCGCTCATGCAGATACCAAGTAGGCTCTCCATTGCCAACGGTTTTCATACCGAAGTCTCTTGCTTGCACTTTGTCTGGACGACCGGCACTCAAACTTCGTTCATGGCGAGTGTGGCTTGGGAATCGTGCCCAGTTCGACGGATATCGCAGGTCAGGGCCAGTTGGCTTGTTCTTCTTGACAATATTCTTGCTTTTGGCTTTGGCTTTGCCGGCGATAGCGGCCATCTCGGCTTCCCAAGAGTCCATCACTAACTCTTGCATGTGTTTTGGATCATCGTCCTCTCCGTTATTTTCTTCTCCAGCAGTACTCTTTTTCTTCTTCCTTCTGTTTCCCATGAACGCTAGGCCTCCGAGTACAGTTTTGACCTCATCGGCTGATTTGCTTGGTCTCTTGCTCTTCTTTCTTGGAGTCCCTCCCCAAGCGCCTCCACGAGCTTCTTCAGCTCCACTTTTCTTTCTTGCAGAGGGTGAGTGCGCAAAGGTGGTTGGAACTCCAAAGGTATCGTCTATTCCTGCTGCTGGACCATCGTGTTGACGAATGGCAAACTTTGCTAGTCTTGAGAATTTCGAAGGTCGACGAACGATTGGAGACTCAGGAATAGAGGGTTCCAAGTCGAACTCCTCTTTGAATTTGCTCGAGACGGGTGTGCTAGGACACCTTCGAGACTCTAGAGAGGCAAATCTGGCTTTGACGATGCTCAATTCTGCTTCTCTTTCTCGAAAAGACTCTGTCTCGGAAACCAAAAGAGAACTGTCGTCAGGAGTTGGCCGCCGAGGTTGCCGCGAGAGCACCAAAAGACGTTGTGGTGAGCAGTCGCTTGATGTTGTAGCCAGAGTTAATTCTGTCCCATTTTTTGCAGGGTCATCTGCTAAGGCGAGTGAAAATTAGCTTTAATCATGTACTGGGGGTCTTTAGACTTACCGCTCATGTTTTGCATATCTGGCTTGACCTTGCTATTTGCTAGAAGACTCGAGAGATTGAAGCGAGAGCTTTCAGGGGTTGGTCTGGAACTGTTCTTTGTCGAGGAGTAAAATGAAGACGTCTTACTATGAACGAATTTCCCCCAGGAACGAGGTATGTCATCACTTGTTGCTGCAGAATTCGAAGTATTTCTGAGAAACTTGCCTCGCTCCTTGCGAATTATGTCTGTCGCATTACTCATGCTTGAGTCACCGCGGTGGTGCGAGCCCCAACTGGCCAGCTGAGGAGAAGAACATGACTGGTGGAGGGTTCCAGCAGAAAACAGCCGGTGATGTATTCCCATCTCGTGCAGTGGTGCTATAGTTTTCTGATGTTCTGCCCCTCCGTCGACGCCTGCAATATCGTTACTCACTGGACAACTTCTCGACTCGGAAACAAGCGAAAACCTAGTTGTATTGCCTTCGTCAAGACTTGCAATAACATTTGAAGAGTATCGAAGTCCTTGGCCATGAAGCCATCGACTCAAAACTGGCTGACCATTGATCGTCGATCTTGTGGTGACCATTTCAGTTGATATTTGGTCTTCATTGCTGGGCCTTCGAGCATCTTCTCCTGCTTTCCCAGAGACAAATGATAATCTCCACGATGATCTTGGTGGTTCAGCAATACTTGGCAATCTCATTGGAGGTAAGGTCGGTGCTGATGGAATAGGGGGCAGAAGACTTTCTTTCCTCGGTTGCTGCGGAGTTTCATGACTGGCAGATGAGCCTTCCGCTTTGGTGAGCAATGGAGAACTGTGTCGTCTCGTGACTGAGCTTAAGGATCTGCTAACAGTTCTTGGTTTTCTATTCCGGCTCTTTGGGGGTATCGCTGGTGCTGTGTTGCTGGTATCTTCGCTCTCGTTGCAACTTTCGTCGTCATCAGTTTGTCTGAAGTATGTTAGCAGTCGCCATTTTAAAACTGGAGTTTTCTTACTCTTCCAAAGACGGTAGTCCACGAAGAGGCAACACTGGATATGACTGGGAAGAACTCAGAAGATGAGGAACAGGTATTGGATCACCAGGAACCCATGATGTGTTGATTGCTGTTGCAAGTGTCGTATCTCCATCAGTGATAGATGCTATAGACTTTGCATCATCATCGTAACTCGCTTCGTTACTCAGTTCTTCCTTGATTCTCCTGTGCCGAAGTCGTCTAAGTTCTGCTCTCCTCTCAATCTCCTCTTCAGTTGTTCCAACGCTGGAAATCGAACGACGCTTAGCGAGGTTGAATTCCGGAGACAAATGTTTTCTGATCTTTTGCTTGACAACATTGAGAGTGCTGGTACTTTTTCGAGACCGAATATGATCCCACTCATCTTCCGTGTCAGACCTGTCACCACGAAGGGGATTTTCCACTTTGCTTAAACCACCTGCCTCGATTTGGCTACTTGGTGTCTCCCGCTCTCCTTTGCCGAGGAAAATTGGTAGAAGTTCTGCCACCGCTGTTGCATTAGTGGATCCCGACGATATGATTTCTTTGTTTGTTGCTGCTGTGCCTTGGATGGTGAAATGGCAGGACGTGGAGGTTCTCCTTCAGGCGAAGGAGGAGTACGACTTGTACAGCAACTGGCACTGGACTTTCCATCTCGTGGTGGCATTTTCGATAGCTTTAGATGGTATGGTAATACATCAGGAAGCCCAATTGTACTGAACGAATGTTGCCAGGACTCAAAATGGGGTTCAAAATGGGTGGAATTTGGTGTTTTTAAAAGAGCAGACACTCGAGAAGGAAAGAAAGTGGTGGTCGTAGCGAAGTCACCTAGCCAAAAGTGAAGTTGGGAAGGAACGAAGCTTGAGAAAACGTGACAAGAGTTCCCGACGCGTATGGGAAGGAAAGTTCTACCAACAACAACCAATTCGAGACCCAAGAAGTTGCAAACAAACGCGATGGCGGAAAGAAAACAGATCGCTCATCTTCGATGTATTTGCAGATTGCGTTTAAAACATGGAAACCCTCGAAAATCTTAGAAATGCTGCAGTAAACAAACAGTCCACATAAGAACGGCAGTCTCTACAGCATTCAAAAATCTGGCATTTGCAGTCTGCACTGATGCGCCCAGGTTTAGCTAACTGAATCCCAGACATTGCCATAAATAAAGACATATCTTGTGCTCATGGGAGTGTTTTCCACCAGCCACATTCTTCTAAATATCGACATCGATAGCAATACAGCAGCCAAACACCTAACTTCCCGCGGCCAAAGGAAGTACGCTGTATGCTTCATAAATTAGTGTTTCTCTCCTGATTGTTAGATCGTTGTATTCAGACATATCGTAATGACGTCTGATGCGCCTTACGCGGTGATTGAAGAACCGCCGGTCATTTCCTCTCTGCCTAGCATTCGCAAACGCTGTGGATGCTTTTTCATATCAATGTCTGCCTTTCAGGTTCTGTATCCTTTCCAGGCACTGAGATCTGGAATTTGATGCTGGTATCATGGAATGACGCGTACACCTGACCAAAAATTCTATTCTGAGTTGCAATATTCACTGCCTCTGACAACAACTAGGGTTCTCCAAAGAGCAAAATATCCATTCCAGAACGCATCCACACGCCGAATTTCACTTATGATCAGAAGCGTTGGCAAATTGTACTAGCAGAAATGCCGCAGGTGCGTAATAAAAGGCTCAACATGATGTAACTGTCAACTAATACCGCCAGAGAAACTCCATCTGGACAAGCAACATATGCCGGAAGAAATTTATCCCTCTCCAGTGAATACAGTTTTCTGATTTTGAGGCATCTTCAACATGAAGGTTGACCTACAACCTATTACTGCTTTTCGTGGAAGCTACTGCAGCGAAAAAACTTATACCGCTTAGTTCCCGAAGATCCACAACGGCTCTGGAAGTTCTAGAAAGTGGCCCTGTTACTCAGGGAAGTATTTCAATAGCAGGGAAATGGAAACCGCTTTCCATCGGTCTTCGATATTCTTGCGATGAAACCTCGCCCAAAATTCAAGGTTGTTTCCTAGAGGACCAAGAGAAAATATGGACTTGTACGACAGCGGACCGAACCCGAGTGGAATTGAAGAAGTGCCATGTCTTGTGCCATGTCTTGTGCCATGTGAGATTCGTACGCGTACGACTCACATGGCGCCAGGTTGCACCTCAAAAGTCAACTATGCGGCAGCTAGGCTGCGACTTACCTAACAGCTTTTCGTTTCGGTACTACCGTATGTATTCGTGGAGTCAAAGTACTTTGAAGCTTTGATGTGGAACGAGATATTGAGGACCGAGCCGTCCCCGTCTTGTCTCGTGAAAGTCTGGCCACGACACCTAGATGGTTGGCTGTTCGGGTACTGAAAACAATATCACTTGTGACTGTGATTATTCATGGTGCCTTCTTGGAGGCCAATATCCATGATTCCAAGGGTGGATCGATACAATCATCGCCGTGCCTTGAGCTGCACCTTCCTGATCCACCACTTTGCAACTCTCGAGCATCTGCTTGCGATCCTGGAAGCGCGCGCCTTGAGGATCCGTTGTTCGGTTCAGGAAAATACCGAAAAAGGGGGAAGATTTTGGTTAATCGTTCTCCTTTGCTCGTCCAGCGCTTCTACACAGCTGGTAATTTCCTCGGCATCGCCGCATTCAAAATCGGATGTGATGAGTTCGGACAATGAATGGAGGCAACAGAGAGTCCTGATACAGGGCCCCCTTATGTGTGAAATAATCAAATGCTACTGTAACTCGGGACATCCAAGTAGTGGCGGCAAAGAAAACCAAAATATCACCCCGAAACAAACGACCTTCCTCTTTGTCATTGCTGCTTACGCACCTCCGAAGAAGCGCACACACCTGCATCCAATGACATGCATTGGCCACCAATCCATTGAGTCAAGAGCCAATTTGGCAATATTCTAGAAGACGCCACTGGACAGCGTTGCCCTTCTAGCGTTCTTCCATCACGGCCAAGCTGGGATTGCTGGCGCTTGGCAGTCTGGGCCTGTCATGGGAATAAGAAATAGCCCGACAACAACGGCACAGAAGTCTTGCCCGACCCATGGCTTGCTATTAATATTAATCTGGGAAAAGATGCAAGCGGTGTGCGTAACGGTTGAGGAACGGCAAAGCCACATATATTGGTTTCACGGATTTAGTCGGACGCCTTTACACCTTCTCGTTGTAAGTTACGAGCTAGAGGCAAGGAGTTCGGAGTAAGCTCGAGACGTTCAAAATCTAATGGCAATGCCGGCCACAACTTATCGTCGGCCGGTCAGCATTATTACCGGAACCGATTGCAACCGTATCATTATTTGATATCACAATTTCATTGGTTGTAAAAATGCTGAGCGGGGTCGCAGAGAATTGAGGATTGTGCTGCAAACAGGTATCCTCGATCTCATCGTTCAGCCACACCTCTACAACATCACATCAACCTCGAGCTAAATAGAAAGCTTGGCATATTGATGCTCTGAAGCTAGAATACCTCTAAATGACCGACATCCATAGCCTAGTGGGATGGCAAAATATTTTCAAGTGCTATCCTATCTTCGACAACATCTGTGCTTACTTGGAACCCAATGACATCTTGCTATTCCAGCTAACGACCAAGCAACTTACTCCGTTTTTTGAGACTCTATTCAGGACGCAATGGAATATCAATCGTCAGCTCAAACGCTTTGTCAAAGATCCTGTCAGCTTCCGCTCACAGCTAGCTACATATGATGCTCTCATCTCGGGAAGCTTTGCTGTTCAGTTCTTCGAGAGAAAAATCTGGGAGGACTCTGAGCTAGATGTTTATGTGGAAGGCTGGATTGATGACCAAGACAGTTTTGATGCTCTGGGCGAATATTTGGTAGTAAATGAAGGATATACGCTTCAGTCCGCGCGAACAATAGCTAATGGTGGCTTGTCGTCTGATCAAGAGCGTGGGTGGCGTATCTCTGGGGTAATTCCATGCCTTTATCTTGCTTTAAATGCTGTGCTTACCTGGCGTCTAGATCAAAACATATGTGAGAAAGTTGAGCGGGGGAAAATCAACCAAGATCCGAATCATCTGTACGACTACTACCCCTTTGCATGCAATAATTGGCGTTTTTGGTCAAACCCAGATGATGAACATCATCTCGTGGGATTTTGCCTATTCGCTCTTTCCCGATATGACCTTCATCAAAAGGGCAGCTTACAGTATCAATGGAGATGAGGATGATAACTCGGTAGCAGACATCTATGGTGAGACTCTTGCGATGAAATATCAACGTTTAGGATGGACATGGGAGAAAGCACCCGCCAAAAACGATCTGAAAAACACACACTCCCTTCAATTGACTAGCAACAGACATCTTGGTGATCCTTACACATGGATCATTCCACTCGACGTAGGTGGTATCACACCTGGCAAACCTAGATCCGTCCTCCAGCATTCGTTCTTCAAAGTCGAACAACTTGTTCCATATGAAAGCATCGAACCAGGCCATTTCATCATACATGTAAGAACTGTAAAGAGCAGGCTTCTGCGCTATACCTACACGACGTCGATCCACCAACATGACCGTGGCTCCTTCTGGGGTTCTGTGGAAGATATCCTAGATGATTTGGAACACTTTGAAATTTCCAAGTTCTCTGAAGAAGAACAAGAAACGCTCTTTCGGAAATCGCGGCAACATACCAAATTTAAGGATCAAATATTCGGCATTGAGCCAGAGGGCTGGAGGTTTTTTGATGACCAGATTCCGGTTTGGTACGAAGAGCACTGTAAACGCCAGCGAGAACGACTGAGGGTTGAGAATGATGAGAAATTCAATGTTAGCGATACATCTGATCTTACGTTGGGTATGAAATGAAATGAGATATTAAGAAAGGGGGTTTCGCGAGGCACATGACAGAATATGAGAAAGATTGAGCGAGAATAATAAGCTTTGAATAAGTGGCTTGAAAATGCTCCAAATATTGCGCAACTCTCAAAGAAAATGCTCAGCAGTCATCCTTTCATCACGTTCTCTTTCAGAGTTGGATTATTCTCAGGCCAAGTCGCTAAAAGCTTACCGACAAAATAAGAATTGTGGATGCCAATATTGTGTCAGAGCATGACGACAGAAGAATGTTGGTGGTGGTGTTCCAGAAGCTTACTGGAAGCTTCAGGTGCGTTTCAGGTAATGGATGATCTGATCCCATCTTACATGATCGTCGGAGTGATTATTTATTTATTTCGTCAAAGAGGCAGTCAGCGCCGCAATGAAAGGAACAAATAGCCGCATTGAGAGGAATGTGACTGGTAACTGAGCCACGCAGGATCCGAAAAGAACGTTCCAATGAAATGTTGCTGCCGAGGCTGATCGACAATCTTTTATCTCCAGAAACATGTACCTTCTACCTCTGGTGTAGCCATTTCTGATGCTTATTTTCTCTCATCGACGATGCGAATAAGATATACGGAGAACTGTGGAGTTGATAATCTGTACGCGTACGAGATCGACAATCATGGGGAAAAGATATCGATGCAATGTGATGCAAAGACAGCGTTTTTTAGTCGTTTGTATGCGACTACGATGCGGGGAAGCAAGTCTATATCTCGGCATTTGGATTTCTAGAGAATTACCAGCGACTGCGCACTCACTCTCGAAGCTTATTACTTTGCGCTACAGAATTGCTTCGAGGCCACTATCTCACTATGAATAATTGCTCTTTCTAGCAATCGCATTTGTCTCGGCACTTGATATTTGCATCGCGACAAGTGCGACGGTAGATAGATTAGATCACCGAACTGGGTTTAGTCCAGAAGACGACATGGAGGGGTAGACGTGACGATCTTCGACAGACCCCAAAGCGATGGCTTTGTGAAAAGTTGATTGGTTGATTACCAACAGTTCTCGAATGCGTGTGGCGACACGAAACTATGGTGGTTGGAGATGAAGTGATGATAAGCATCATAAGCTTTGCATTATTATATCGACATCCGGTAGTGCGTGAGGGAGAACAGCCTATCAGACAGCTCACTGACATGATTGTATACGATGTCTATATTATGGTAATATGGGAAGAAGACGTTGGGTTGCAGCGTGGAATAACTTTATCGCCAGGTACCAGCGTTGGAAGCCGTTCGAGGTTTTGGCCACGAAAGACGTTTATCTGGAGGCATGTCCGATGAGCTTTCGTTACGATGCTAATCAATAATTCGTGTCGCTGATCATCAATCGCTTTGGCTTTCAAAGCGGAGATAATCTTTGCACATCACGTTCTTCGCGCCTTCGATATCGCTAGACCACGTGGAGACTGAGACCACTTCTTGTCGATCGTTTGGTTACGGATGCGTCGAAGCGCCAAGGCAATCTATTCTTCGCAGATGGGGTTTCGGGCCAATTGTTCTGCGGCACCCAAAGGGGAAAAGGGGGGCATCAACAAATTAAGCGATGGGGATCTGTTTTCTTTTCTTCCCTCCTCTGAGTTTGAGATTTTTTGCTGAGCGCTTCAGGAAGCTTGTTTTCTTTTATTTCTTTCATTTCTCGCGCCGAGGTATCCATCAAGCACCTCCCAGTTCTGCGTTGGTTTCCCGTGACTAGCGCTTGGTAGTCTGATAGATGGAGCTGCGTTAGAGGCTGGGCGAGCTCTAGAAAAAGCACTAGACGGGATGATCCTGGATTCAGACGCTTTCTGGAAGCAGCAAGTCAGAGCAGGAGGATAACGCCGCTTTGTCAAGCCTTCCAGGTTGTGACGGGGGAGCGCCCATGTCTGCCCCCCTTTTCAGAAGAATGAAGGCTTCCAGACTAGGCCGCTTTCAGAGCGTGCCTCTGCCACGCCGCTCCCATTCGACGAGTGCATGACAGCTCGAACACGATTGCAAGGGCGCTGCTGCTGATTGGAGTCTGCCCCCATGACGCCAGCTCCTCCGGTGTTCTAGCGCGTCGTTCGATGGCTTCCATTGTTCGCCGCTCTTCGACAGCTTCCATCCATGCCGTCCCACGGGTCCCAGCAACGCAAGAGACTTTTCTACGGGCCTTCCATGCTCCAGCACGATGACTTGGGCTCGCCGCTCTAGCAGCCAGAAGAAGGGCTGGGCAGGATCCGGAAAGGCGTGAACCTCGTCGCTGGCCTCTGGTTTGGTTCTCCCGTCCTGGATGAATTGCTCCCTGTTCGTGATGTATTTTGGTGGTGTTCTGCACAGTTCTGGTGGTGCAACACCCCCTTTCCTCTGATTGTTTTGACGCCTTTTCCCTTCAGCTTTGGCAGCAATTCAGTGCGTCGTTATCTCGCGCGGCGTCTCCCTCCGTTTATCCCCTCCAGTACTAGTGTGCTGACCTGCCTGTACATGTCGTCTCCCCAGCTCCAAATACTTGTAAACGCAGGGCCATCTTCTTCTTCTTCTCTCCTACCATTTTGGCCTCTTTAGCCACGGAATAAAGTGTTTTGATTGTGCTCTGATGCGTCTTACTTTAATTCGAATCTGAACCCCTACACGACTATCTACCTCCTGGACACCTGGATGTCCGCAATCCATTCACGGCCTGCCCTTTTGACTGAGTACCGGCGAGATCAGCAAGGAACCCATTGCGACAGGCTAGCTCGAGCCTAACCTTCGCCCTACCAACATTCTCACCACTGAGACTGAACGATCAACGCAGATCTTACACTTCACACCGCTGCCTCTAGCAATCTGCTCTGAGCTTGTCTTGCCTTGTGTTTCTCCGTACGGAGTTCTTTTCGTGCGTCGAAGATCACCAAGCAAAGCCATCTGCATCAACATCTAATCATCGTCGTTGGATACAGCAGAATTCTTGTCGACCCCTATCCGCGACTGACTGGCTGTGCGCCCTTCTTCAGTCCTCTTGCCTGCTGCCAAGTATCAACGCTGTTACGAATTACTGACTACGGTTCTTCTCTTCCTGGTCTGGCGATGAGTGTAAAGATCGATGTGGGTATAGGCATGGTTGAGGTCCTTTAGATGCTCTTGCACCTGCATCGGTCCATCATGCCCATCCTCAACTCGGCTCTCCACTTGCTCGACGGCCCCTCCTCTGTCTCTAGCCAAGGCCAGCTCAGCATCACGAGCGGGCCTAGACAGAAGTTTAACACGTTAACGCCGGCTAGCAGACGGCGGACCACTACGGACTTGCCTTAGAGAGGCAACTTCGAAGCCTACTAAGCCTAGGAGTGAGCGTCTTGGCTCCCTCGCGCAGGCCGGCTTGCTGCTCTGAGCGAGTGGAACAGCGAGCGAGTGCCAGAGAGGCGACTTCCTTCCGCACGCCTTTTCCCTTTGCTTTGTCTCGCGCTTCCGCCAAACGGGGCATCGTGAAAGAAAAGCAAACGGCCCAGCAAGCGAGGAACCGGGCAAAAAGGAAGCAAACGATTATTACTATTCTTCTTCGTTCCTTTTGTACGAAGCCGAACGGACGGCGCTGACGGAGGAAACCGAGACCCTGCCCTGACTGACGCCGGAACTTTTCATCAGCCACGACCTTGCAAACAGCGACGAAACCGCTAAGCTGGACGGTCCCTCTCTGCACACCTCAAACATTCAAGCAGCGAGCAGACCAGCAGGAGCCTCCCCATCATCATTGGCCTCAAAGTCACCTGTCAACGGCCCTTAAGCTTTGCATCACTACTACGCACTGCCCTCCACACCACCAATACCACCATCCACCACCACTCCCAAGCACGACTCGCCGTTGCTGCAGGACCGCATCCATCCATCTGCTACTCTACTGTATTCACGATCCTCACTTGCACCTGCTCTCACACACACAACCTCACATCTTACCAATCCGTTCTGACCACGCCGACAACGACTCTCTCTCATAATCTCATAGCATAGCATAGCACGCATAGCATCTCACCTCTCGTCGCTGATTGTACTATACCGGCTTCACCGGCGCCCTTCTCACCTCGAATTGTCTTGCATACCACGGTTTTGGCGAATTGTTTTTCTTGTACTCGATACCCGGACGTCGAACACTGAGCCCATTCCTTCCACCCCTTACCACTTGACACCTCTCCGCGTTTGAACAACTCTCGCTCCTGCGTCCTCACGCTCATTCTCTCTCCGTTGGACTCCCTTCTCTTTGCGGCAGGTCACACTGTACCAGGCAGCGTTTTCGCAACAGACCACCGCCAGCCCTTCCGGATCACTTCGTCTTTCGCCACTACGACCCTTCCTCCCACCTGGAACACACATATCCCGGCTTTGGGGCTCGCATTCCAGAAGCACTCCAACCGACATCAAATTCTGCAGACGCCCGTCGTGTGCTCACTGATACTTTTCAAATCCGCCATTAATTGGAGCTGTCTTGGGTGACATATCGGCATCGCGCGGCTACCTGCATATCACGACGTTACGAGTTGCTTTTATTTCGCTCGCGCTGGAACACAACTGCCGCCAACGGTTTCCCAAAAGCAAACGGAGACGGAAAAAGTAGTAGGCTTCCGACCTGTACCATCAAAATACCTCGTCGACACATGCATTTCGCAAGGTAACAAAGGAACACCACATTTTTGCGATCAGTCGACCGACATTCAAAGCGACGAAACAATTCACTTAATTTTGGAGGAAAGAAAAGGGGATAAGAGGAGTTAGAAGGAAGGATTGTTGCTCGAGCAGACTCATGAAATATCTTCGAACCGCGATGCGAAGATCGAAACACCGAAAACCGCCCTCATTGTACCTCCACATCCACACTACCACGTCTTCACGAGAAAGCTCCCCACGCTGCTCGTCCGTCCTTGAGGACTGGGACGCGGACGACGAAGGCTTCATGTCTTCCGGTGACTTTATGCCTTCGAGGCCACTCAGTCTCGCAATCCCCACGGGACCATATTGCCCTCGAAAGCCCACATTACAGGATGTTCTGGCGAACACGGCCGTTCCACCATGGACCTTGAGCGCATTCATGGCATATCTATCGCAGAATCATTGCTTGGAGACTTTGGAATTCACAATGGATGCCAAGAGATACAAGAAACATTACCGGGAAATGGCGGATAAAGACCCTCTCACGCCATTATCACCACAATCGCCCGAGTGCGAGTATGTCCGCATGTTGTGGACGAAATTATTAGATGCTTACATTGTACCAAATGGGCCAAGAGAAGTCAATCTGCCTTCACAAGTGCGCGACCATTTGGTATCGCTGCCCTGCACGTATACTCCACCAGATCCATCAGAGCTGGACGAGGCAGTTAAGATCATTTACGAGCTCATGGATGAATCCGTTTTGGTGCCATTTATTAACTCAGTAGGCCCAGCAAGATCCTCCGAATCACACATCAGTCCTTGGACTTCGGACGATTCCATGGCAGATACATATATGGCCGGATCGCTAGATGAGAGGTCACTATCACCTGCTCGTTCGCGGCGACTGAGAAATGACAGCCCACCTGCGGGGGATGTAGACACCATATCGCAATCTTACACAACATTATCGCCAAGAGTTTCCCATCAATCACATCTGAGTGCGGCACTTAATCGTGGGAGCCGTCGCTCAGCACATATATCTGGTTCTACCCACACCTCCTCGTCTGAATTACCAGACATTCTCACCGACGATTCCAATGATTCTCCTTCACCTTCCGGTTCGGCACTCGAACCAATGACTCCACCTAATACACCCCCAACATCTAATATTGCATTTAGCGAAGCATCACCTGGGACGAGTCCCAAGACCGGTCGAAGTGATTCGAGCGGATGGAAGAAAATCGGTTCTAAATTCGGCTTCAAGAAAAGTCGATCGGCTCACGGTTCAAGTTCAAGTAACCGGAGCTCAACAAGCCTGCCAAGTTTGGGCGGAAAAGACGCAAGTTCGTCCAACCACGGCTTATGAGGGCGGCAGGTCACGTCGTCACCAAATGATATGTTTTCAATTATCCCTATTCCAGTCATCGCGCCTATGGAGCATCCTGTGGTAGGGCTTACGCGCCCCAGAGGCGTGCGCAACAATCCGGCTTTGCTGAACGGGGGAACCAGCTTGAAGCTTAGTGAAGGTGATCTATCACCAGTTCTAGAAGCCCATCCTGGGTCCCCCGTTGACATTAGTTCACACCCTCGTCCCTCCCTGGCGGCATCGCTTAACCAGCGTTTGTACCATGGGAGCGACGCTGAGCTCGCAAAGTTTCATGAGAGGAAGGCGAGAATTCAGGGGAGAAGAGAAGATTCTATCAGGAGGGATGGCCTGGCCGCAAAAGGAAGCATCTTTGGAGGATATAGAGATGCGAAGAAAAAAGAAGGCGATGGGTTGGTGCCGAATCAACGACGTATGCAGGTTGCAGGACCGAATCCATTTTTTATACCCGCCAAAATCACGGAACAGGAAGAGGTTCTGAATCCGATCAGTCCTTTGACACTCGATCATGTAGATACCCCAATGACAGATGTCACCCCATTGGGAACACCCAGTCCCGGCACACCAATCGAGGAACTCCCAACTCCACCCGCAACCGAACCGCCAGCTCGATTATCAGTCGATACGGAAATGTCCATGCACTACGATTTCAAGACCGAAAACGGCATCTGGATCTCCGCCAACCCACTCGCCATGGAATCCCGCAGCAGCCTCAACACCAACACCACGTACAGCACCATCACAGATGACCGCTTCGACCGCATGTCCACCGTCTCCCACGCCCTCACCCTCGACACCTCCGTCGCGTCGTCCGCTGCGTCCATGATGTCCTCCATCGACTCAGCTTCGTCTGCGGACGTATACGGCTGGGAAGAGGAGCTCGATCGCAAAGAGAGCATTGAGACGACCTCCGCGTGGGAACGCGAGGTTAGTCGTCGTTTGCCGAGTGGAGGCCGTACTATGGGCCCTCGACCTGGCTTTGGCGCGGCGGGGAAACGAAAGGGCTTGTTATACAGAGTGCTGAATCTTCATGGGAGGAAAAGCAGTGGTGAGGGGAGTGCCAATTCGAGTTCGAGTACGCTGCCGAGTCCGTTGCCGTTGGGATTGCCGCCGGCTGTGCATGGGAGTGGGGAGTTTCCTACGCCTACTACTTCTGCTTGATTTTGATTATTTTTGGGTGGGGTTTTGGGATGGGATGGGTTGGGTGGGTGGGAAATGTGTTTAAAATGGGGCATTTTTTGGCGTTTTAACTTGTTTTTTATTCTTTGAGTTGAGGGTGTTGAGAGGATGGGGGGTGAGGGAATTCTTGTGTGTTTTCTTTTTGGAGTGGGAGGTGATGGGAGAGATTGACGGGGACGGGTTGTGGGGAGATGGGGTTTAGGTGGTTTGAAGAACTTGAAGTGTGAGGGGGTTTATGCATATACCAATACCAAATACCAATTCATCTCTACGGGGATGGAGTTTTCTGTTATAACTTCTGTGTGCTTGATGATTGGTGATTGTGATGTGATGAGTGATTTGTGGTTGTGATTGTGGTTGTGATGTGGCTTTGAGGTGTTGAGATAGATGGGAAGATTGTGTGTGGCATGCATACTGCCGTGGTTTGAGAAAGGTTCGTCCTTTGGAACTTGTTTAGTTGTGTAGTGTTGTGTGTTGGAGGTGAAAAGATTTGTGTCTGCTGTGTGGATTTGTGTGTTGGAAGGGGAGATGGGAAGGGGAGATGGAAAGGGGAAGGATGGAATGGAATGGGGGAATGGAGAAACGAATGAGGAAATGGAAGATGAATGGGGGGGGTTGGGAAACGTATAGGGAAAGGGATGAGGAATGGGAATGGGGATGTTGGAAGGGGGATTGGGATTGGGACTGAGGAACTGGGAATTAAGGAGCTGGGAATTAGAGAGTGAGCATAAACATACGGGTGAGTGATACGAAAAGGCGGTTGGAATTGGTGAGCCTGTGGGTCACAGTGGGTGACATTGTGGAAAGTAATGAGGAAGAAATTGGTCATTAGAGATGCAAGCACAATGATGGGGAGGATGGGGTTTGGACATTAAAGGGTGAGGACTGAGGTTCGTGAATGAGGATGGGTGTAGGGCGGGAAGTTTGGCGGGAAGTTGGGGAGGTGAGAGGAAGGTGAGGTGAGGGGGAGGTGAGGAAAGATGGAGATGGGTTGTGCGTGATGGTGAGAGAGGAGGGAGAGGGGATGGGGATGGGGATGAGTGGGGAACCGTCTGGGGTAACAGAAGAGTTACGCATAAGCTTAGGAATCATCTAGGTAGTCAAATGATCCCTTCAAAAGAGCGAAGCATATCTTTCTTCTCTCATAAACATGTTCCCTCCGTAGTTTTCTAATGAAACCAAAACCTCGCTTAGCCCCTCCACTCCTCTGATGTAATTAGTGATGGGACTTTTTCATTCTCAATCAGATTCTTTACATAATGTAGCGTTTTGTACTTTTATATCAAGGGAGTGTACATTCAAACTTTGATACATAGAGATAAGACTTAGGAGGTTTCCTCAACGATGGGGTGCTTGGGGACTTTTGAGAGGTTTGCTGGAAAGAGGGAAAGGAGGCGTAGAGACGGAAGCTGAAAACGACTGTAAATACAAGATTACTAGCCTTATGGGGTGCGTATTTTAAGCTAGATAAGTCCAAGTAAAGGAAAGGATTACAGGAAGTATAAGAAGCAAAAGGGAGCGGGTGTCGCTTAGTTCCCCTCCTCCATTCCTCTTGAATTGATGCTGGGATTTCGTTAATTTCGACGACTACCTCTTCCCCGCTTTTGTAATTGCTCATCAGGTCATTGGAGTTGTCTTTGTACACTGGAAGGGTGAGAGAACTGATTTTCAGACTTTCCCACTGGCGAAAGTGTCGGTCCTACTGGGTTACATGCTGGTAAATCAGATGTGGGAAGTCGTCACATTCAATTCCCTTGCTTCTTTAGAGGAAGAAGCTGTTCTTTAGATCATAAATATTCTATCCTTCTACTGAATGCGGCGTGGAAGTTAAGTTTGAAACTTTCCCACTAGGAAGAGTATCGATCGCACCTAAGTGAGTATAGGAAATACGAAGTTAGAAATCTGGGCTTTGATCGGCAATATTTAAGTATAATAGTACTTTTGTAACAAATGGATACGTGTTAAGCAGTTTAATATGTTAGAGAGTAAACTTAGAGTGGGATAGAAGGGAGGGGGTTTGGTATATTTAACGTCGGATACGGATATGTGGTTTGATGCTCTCGGTGATGGTGTACGGATGTGAGATCTGGTCAGGGAGGGGTGAGATGATGTTTTAGAAACCCTTTCGAAATGATTTATTGGTGATTGGGACTCGTCTAGTATTTGAAAACTTGTGGTAGGGGGGCTGGATTACTATCGAGTTAGGAGAAATTTAATTGTCAGATATCGATGGGAGGTTTAAGGTGTTAGAATATCAGAGAAGGCCACAATTTGTTTGGCGAAAATGGTGAACTGTATGGGAAAAAACAGGTAAGCCTATTACTCTATTGCTTTCAGAGGTTTGGATGTTGTGCCCCTTTTTTCTCGCTTAAGGCATGTGAAGGTGGGAGGAGACTGAATTGATAATTTTGTGAGACTAGAAGGGTTTAGGCGGATCGTATGAGAATCTAAGTGGATTAGACATCGTGTTTTATAGAAATCGAAAGCATAGCTGGAAAACCTGTGTTCTTTTCATTTGGTAACTATCTCGAGGGGGTACCATCTCCAGTGGCTGGTGTGAGGAATTATTACGCCTAAGCGTTTCCCATTTCACTTTCTCATACATCAAAGACCACCGGGAAGATTGACATGTGGTCAAGACCAGGACTATTATGTTTGGATTATTCTGTACTCTCCAAACCACCTCTTCGTATAACCTCTCCAACCAAAACTATCTCAACTTAGATAGCCATATTCGCACAACTAAAAGCCGGTTTCGTCCCCCCCGAGTAATCCGCAATAATAGCCTTAACAGCCGCATACAACCCGGGCCCCAACAAGAACAACCCACACAACATAACAAAGATATGCACCACAGTCATCACGGACCTAAATGCGCCCTTGAACAAACCCCCCTTGAACATCTGCCAGTACGCAACGGCAAAGTATATGAATCCAAAGAAACTATCAAACGCCGCACCGAGCAACGACAAGAAATCTCCCATGCTAGGAACAACCTCAGCGAAGATGAATCCGAGCGCCCAGATTCCGGCGATCAGAGCGATCCAAACTCCCCAGCCTAAGACGGTGTTGCTGTGAGCATGACGCGATTTGCCCATCAGACGACCGTAAATGTATTTTCCTGTGACATTGGCGTAGATGACGCCGATAACGAGGGTTGGCACGATGACGAATGCGAAAGATGCTTTTTTGTAAGCTACGACGCCAAGACTGCCGAATGCTGGGGCGGTGGAATATTGGCCTAAGTAGCGGAATCCGATGGCTGGTGGGACGACGAAGAGGAAGACCGAGATACCGGTTAAGACGGCGAGGGATTTGGGGAAATCTTGCGGTTTCTCCATCTCGGCGATGAAAGTTGGGAAGAGGATTTGCGGGACCCAGAGGAAAGAGATATTAAGCACAGCGTTCATGCAAGCGACGAAATCGGTGCCGGGTAAGGGGAAAGCGTAGGTTTTCACGGGGCCCAAGGAGGGATAGTCGCCGCCGTAGCCGTAGAGAGGCGCGTCTTCGATGCCGGCGAAGACGAGGAAGAGGAGGATGGCGATGCCCATGCAGGCGGCGGAGAACATGGACATGAAAGAGACGTGGTTGAGGGTTCGCGGGATGGACATTACGACGCCCATGATGGTGACGATGACGGAGAAGACGACGGTGCAGAGGGAGTGGTCGGAGAGTGTGTTGAGGATTTTGGCGCCGGTGAGAACGTGGAAGCCGATTAGGATTATGTTGTTGGCGAGGAGCATGAAGCCGCTGAATTCGTAGGCGAGACGCGATTTTCCGAAGATGTGGTAGCCGAAGTCGCCTGGGAGGGTTAGTTGATTGGATTTCTTTTGGAGTTGAGGTTGATATGAGGTGGCGAGAATACTTACAGATGTCTTTGATGTGAGGGTGCTTCATGATGTATTTGTGCATTGTGAGGGAGGTGATCCAGAAGAGTACACCTGCAACGATCATGGTGATAATACCAGGGACCCATCCTAAGACACTGTAAAATATTTTCAGCACAAGTGAGCTATGCTTCTCAAATTTTGAAGTGAAATATTTGTGTTCACAACGACTTCAATCGCTCGCTTAATCCAATGTATCGAAGTATATCTTCAGATCCGTCCAAGCGCCCCCAAATCCGCCAAGAGAAGATCAAGAAAAAGCAAAACCTACGAGAGTGACCATGTCTGAGCCATGATTGCCAAACAAACTTGATCTCCACAAAGCAACCATGCGGCTTTTTGCCACGACATAGTTCGAAGCTTAATCTCATGTTCATGATCTAGACACAAAACACGTTAGTACCGTTTTTCTCGAGCCTCATCCCTTCATTAACAGCAATTCAAACTCACCAGCCGCAACAAGCGCAGTAATAGAAGTATCACCATCCGATTCCAACCCCTCCAAATCACTCAACACCGGCTCCCCCTTCTGATCCACCCCATTCTTCTCACGAAAAGTCGCCATCGATCGTATCAATTAAATCCCGTCGAAGCTTCACAAGAAGGTCAAGCTTTCGCCAACACTCTAGCACTCTTGGACCCAAGAAAAACAGCCGCAGTCGTTGGTACTTGTACTCGCTACTCGCCGAAGCCTCATGCTTGCTTTTCCCTCGGTACTCTGAACGTTGCATGGCGTTATCAGTTGCGAAATGGCGTTATCAGTGGGAACTGGATAAGAAATGCAATTTGAACCAGTTACGGGGAGTGCTTATGCCCCCTTGTTTTCGTGGCGTTGATGGGGAGCGACGAGACTTCGGCCTGGCCGCACGAGCGCTTGGGGATGGGAGTCTAGACTCTCGGGTTTTCACGATGAATTGTTGCTGTTGCGTAGAACTTTTATTTTTTACAATATAGACCCAAAATCAAGCACTTCTGTCACATACGACCACAGACTGAGGAGAATTGGGCATCCCGTCCGCTCTGCCATACACAAGCCTCAGATCGGCAGATTAGTAGTTGGGTGGGTGACCACCAGCGAATACCTGCTGTTGTATGTTTTTGCATTTTTTTGCCATCCTACCCTTCTACTCTACTCGGAACGCCGGATTTAATGGCAATTGAAATGGTTAGGGAACTCAATTCTGTTTTTGGGGAGTCAGATTCCCGGAAGTTGGGTTGCTTCGACCCTCTTTTTTTGTTGGTTCCAATCACGCGCCGCCATCTGAGGCTGATGTATGGTAGACTGAAGAGAAGCGATATTCTCACCTACTCCCCGGAACACTTGCCTTATTTCGGCGCTTTTGATGCGCCGCAACTTCAAGAAGGCGGCTGAAAGTACTTGGCCAGGCATGCTGACCTAGAATCTTTAGTCATGTGTCTGTTTTCTGAGCTTTAGTCCAAGCCACTACAGAATGGGCGAATTACGACTGTTAAACTACTAATTTTGCATAACTTTTAATGCTGTATAGGTTTTCTGGTCTTTCAACTAGATTGGGCCTTCGTTACTATCGAACGTCAGAGCCTGTCTCAGCAAACTCCCCGAAATTTACCTCGCTCTGATTACTTACATTGCCTCGAAATCAAGTTCGCTCGATGTTACGTAGATATTAGGACCACAAAGAGGACACTGGGCAACTGGCTAGGCATAGCTAGTAGTAGGCGCATTTATTAGGCAGGAAGTATACCGCCGGAGATTAGCGAGGAAGGTCGCTCGTTGAGAGGGAATTTGGAAGACTTTTCCTTGGCGTTACACTGTTTTCACTCTGTGAAATCATCATCCGTGTTATGCTATTGGCTGCCCGACGTGGAGAGAACATACTTTCGGGTTATGTGAGTACATCTAATACCAAAAATCAACCGTATCTGGCGGCACTGCCCAATTCAGAAGTATCGCTCTCCTCGTCTCAATCCCACACTCAGAAAGCGGTTTCGGCATATCATTTCTTATCCACTCTCCCTCACCATAGAATCTGAAAAATCGCTTTATGCTCTTCTCATGCTGAAGTACAAAGTCCCAATCCCCAACATACACCTCCTTATTCCTAATCGACAACTTGGCAGACGGATACTGCTTGATCAAAGTTTTAGGCGATTGCTGATCGTCGTCCTGCGCGTAGAATTCGGCGAAGACTGGCATATCTCTGGCTCGCAGCTCGCCATCTCGGAACGCTTTTATAAATGACATAGGCTTGTTGAAGCGCTCGAGGTGTCTCCAATCTGAGTCCGTAAGGATTTCAATACTGGCGTGGAAATCGAGAAGGAGTTTGGCGAGAAGACGGTCGGAATTGCGGATGCAGAGTTGGAGGGCTGTCAGTGTTTGATCGGACAAGACGTCTGGATCTGCGCCTTCGGATAACAGGGTTGTTAGAATTGTGAGGTTAACTGCAGAGATGGCGCCTCGAATTGTGAATTGCTTGAATGCCCACCCAAATGCCGTTCGGGACCCGTATGTCTCGTATTCAAATTCTTCTTCGAGATTGGCGCCTTGACTTCGCAGTAATCTGATCATCTCTGGGGAGTGGACGAAAGGGTCGGTTGGCGATGTACATAATCCAGGTGGTAAGGGCATGACTGCCCAGTGCAGTAATGGTCGGCCCTTAAGTTTACTCGGACCCCCGAGCCTTTTCAATTCTTTTTCAACATACAGGAGTAATCCTGCTTGCGTTGCAAGAGCAAGGAAGTTGGGATTCCACCCTTCTGGACATTCCCAGCCATCAATACGTAGATAAGCAGTTGCAAGCTCATTATCATTCATGAATTTTGCGAGCGCATCAAGCGGCCCCGAAAATAGTATCCCCAATGTCTGCTCCACCATTCTGGAGTGGTAGAGCACTCCATATTTTCGGAGGTCAAATTGTGGGAGTTGGTACAAATCCTCGGGCTTCCTTGCATACCTGCGAAGGTGTTGACTCGTCAGAAATCTCAGCAGGTGGGCGTGGCCATTAGCTGGATAGTTGATTCGTAGTTTTTGCTGCATAGTCTCAAAGCTTCGCTGCTGTGCTAAATAGTCTTTTAGAGACTGGTGCAAAAATTGCACGATTTTGCCAGTATGCTTTTCGCATTCCTGGTCCTGCCAGGATGCTGTCTGCACCTCCAAAAACCCCCGACAACGACTTAATAACCTGCGCTCCATTTCATCGAATGACTGACTTGAGAGTTCCGAGTTTTTGCTCTGGTTTACGTAGTTTACTGCAGCGAAAAATTCTGTAATGGGTAATGGCTCTAGTGATGCGTATGCTATTTGAAGCATTACCAAGGCATCACTGAGGTAGCTGTCCTTCAAGCTTAGAAGAATCCGGTGATACAACTCGTGAAGATCACCATTGCCGGGAATAGATGAGAGGTGCTGCTGAATTTGTGCAGGATTGTCGCCGTCCATGAGGCCCTCGATGAGATCGGTGGCGACCAATTTCACCCACAGAAACACGCCCTGTGCTCGTGTAAACACTTCATCAAACGTCTTCTGAAGAGAAGCAACTGCCAAAGAGTTTGAAGCCAGATCAGGTCTTGAAGACAGGTAAGAATTGAGTCGTCCATTAAGATAAAGCCGTACGTCGTTATTAGTATTTTCATGAATGCGAATCCCTGGCCAACTGGCAAAAGCGTCTATGAAAAATGTCTCAGGTCGACTAGAGACACAAAACATGACTCGAACTGTTTTATCGTCGGAATTGTTAATCAAGTTTTGCATAGTCCCTATCAATCGCCGATAATCCTGAGCATAATTTTCAGCCTGCTCATCGAGAGCATCAATGAACAAACATATATTGATCTTCTCCTCCCTTTGTTTCACGATCGCTAGCATTGCCGCCTCAAGGTAGATAAGAGACCAAACGCCCTGCGCTTCGGCGCTATTCTCGAAGATGGGTTGTACAAATCGTGTCAAGTAGTCTGCTTGCTTCAATAGTTGATACAAAATACGGTGATATAAGCCTTCCAATGTTTTCTGGACCTTTTTTCCACGGTTACTGAAAAAGAACTCGGCCCAGATGAGTCGATGTTTTGGCCGGTTCATGTAGAGGTATTGAAAGGTTCGATGATTGGAGATGACAAACTTCATGAGAGTGGATTTCCCAGAGCCGGGCTTACCATTAATCCAGAAGACACCGTTCCCAGTTTGGAGCCATTTCACAAATCCAAGATTTTCTCTCTCGAAAATCCAATTGCATGTGCTCTCGTAAGCCTCGTCAACTTGATTGAAGCGTTCTTGAGTTTCAGGCATGTGTAGACTCGCAAGAAGACCTCCAGGAACTTAGCCGGTGGCCATGAAACAAATCAGGACAACTCACGCTCTCGTAGTCCTGGAGATGATTCTAAACTGTGTGTGAGCGTGGCAAATTATAGGACGTATGAAAATCGTGGCTTACGGTGAGTTAGATCATATTGTATGGAATCCAAACACAAAATTAAGCAGTCTTTGGTCTTCTGATACCCATCGTCCTCAAATCCCGAGAATCGACACATTTCGATATGATTACCGGTAATAAAGTCTTTTTGCTCGTACGCATAATCCAGCGCGGATGAGCTGTCTTCGACGACCTAGTTCCCGTTAGAATTGGAATTTCAATAGTCAACGGCCAAACAGACTTTTCCAGATAATGGGCCAAACCCTGAGATACCAGTGGCCTCCTGAAAAGTGAAGACCTTTGGTTTCTGCTCATCCAGCATTTTAGCAAACTCCTCTCTCAGTAGTTTTGCCACACTAGAGTCGAATTTCAGATCCCGTAAAAGAACATCGTTAGTATCGAATCCAGCGCAGGCCGCGAGTTTGCGTACAGTCAAGCCGAGATTGACGTAGCTTCCTCCTCGGTGAGGCGTTCCAAAGAAGAAGATAGCCTTGACCGATGTGTATATTGATTTGAAACGAGTGTCTACGGCAGTTCTGGCGCGACGAAGAACCTGAACGATGGTCAGCCAGCAGTTGAAGGGGGTTCAATACTACTCACGTCTTTCAAAATCAGACCGCCAAGGCTATGAACAATGAAGATCAACGGGCGCTCCGGATCAGCTCTTCGACGAGCGTCTAAACTGTTAAGGAGAGACTCGCCATACGAGAAAATATCAAGCTGCATTGCTGGGCCTTTGAACCAATTTGTGACCTTTGAGTCATAGCCAAATGTGGCAACTCTTGCTTGAGGAAAGTCATGAGGTAAAAGGTCAAGTGGCCAGAAGACATTTGGCGTTATTGTCGTTGCAACCGGTGATTGAGGGGAGACTGGCAAGTTTGATTCCTTCTTTGAAGAACGACTGAATATTTTCCTCAGCCTTGATGACTTTTGAGGTGGAGTCGAGTCTTTCTCTTGTGGTCCAATGTACGTGAAGGTTCTTTGAGGATGCCCTTGGAGACCATGGATTAAAAAGATGCTACAGAAATACATGTTAGTCAAAGGGTTTTCACGTCTTGGGAACGACCTTTTCCAAAGCGAAACTTACTCAACTACAGGTTGAATACCTTCCGATAAGATCGTGATGCCATGGTCTCTTACATGGCGCTCAATTCCTATGCAGCCTCGCTCTTGAACGGGTGACTGATCAAGGTTAGACCGAGAAATAGAGAGATTCGGGCTTTGCCCAATTTCTTGACGAGGACTCTCCATAGTGACCGAACCAGTAGTTTACATTGAGTTCAAATGTCCAACTCCACGAAAGAAAGAAGATTATGAGGGGTAGGCTGGTGAGGCTATCGAAAGCGCCCGCAGCCGCTCCACTTTGGCTGCAACGAAACAAAAGAAGCTGAGAGCTCGGCTCCCAATCAGCTCCAGGGCTTGGAAAAAGCAACTTACATTTATTGAGGCGCGAACCATTTACCAAGGTCTACGGCCCGCTCCATCGTGAAGAACATACAAACGGGACAATCTTTCTTGTAAACCATGGCGAATTATTTGCCTCTGAACGGCCTCAATAGTTTAATACTCCCTATGCCGGTCCACTGTAGTATGCTTGCCCGGTATGATATAAACATTGTAGAATGCGGCAATCATTGTATGTTGTTGTATTGTGAGGTCGGCAGAGGCAGGAAAAGATAAGGATTTGATGCCCACGTGACTAACAGATTGGGACTAGATCCTGATGTGGGTCCAATCAACCTATAGGTACGGAAAGTCGACAACCTTGGAAGTTTCAACTCTTCTTACCATATCATATATTTTGCTTAAGATACTTCAACAGAGGTAGCTTTAGAGCCTATTCAGCAAAAGGGAAGAGAAGAGTAAAGTACCATGAGCGGACATGTAACGCTACTACGGCCTGTGTAGGAGATTGACGCAAAGGGAAAGCGACAACATTGTGGCACCACGCCGCCCAAGATCTTGCCTCAACTCGGCGCATACTATTTTCTTCGCCCTACAACTTCTCCTCGACACAATGAGCAACTCTCCACTCCGAGTTGTTATCCGTGTTTGTGTCACAGACATCCCAGCCAACCCTCAAGAAAGGGTCTATCGTCTCGGATGCGATTTTGCTGAACAGATTCTTCGTCGACCGTACAACAACAATTTACGGGATGATTGTCACGATGCTATGCATTTCCTTCCGAATTGTGAGTCGGAAAATAGCCTGAGAGCTTGGTTTGTTTACGATTTCAACGTTACCGAGCCATTGGACAAGACACAAGTCTTGACCATTTCGCATGCGGTTTATCATGCTACACGACAGGGAGAACCTTGGTGGGTTAGGAGTCTGAGGAGGGGGAAGTTGGTAAGCTAATCGATGATAAGACTTTTACTCCTCGAGAAAACTGGGTTGATACGGCACGAGATTATTGTGCTATGTATAAATGGGGAGGAAGTTACATGGAAGGGTAGCTTTTAACTACCTTTTCAGTGGCAAAATCATCTCTGAACCTTAAGTATGGGACAAAACATGTGTTAAAACTGCAGGTTGAATGCAGCCGCACGGCTCTCGACACTTTTATTCCGCGCGACCTTGGTGAAAACCACGCCTTGAGCTTCCCTCTGAAGATGCGGGAGCTATACGAAAATGACTGGCGGCAATTCCACACGAATCCATCTATGATGAACACGTCCTCTTAAAGAATGAGTTATTTCATATACAGCTTTAGTCCTGTAATCTTGAACAACATGTTTTCTTGGGGGTTTGAGTTTACATCTCGTTGTCTGCGTTGCATGGATCCCTTAGCAATGGAGATATGTAGTCCTACAAACTTAATTTTAATGATATAGAGGGCGAACAGTAACTGCAACATGTCCACGTATGTCGTCATCTATGTATCGAAGAACTCGAAAAGATTTAGCGAAACCTTACATGGCATTATCGATGTAAGAACAGCCTGAAGCGTACGTTTGACACTTGACACAACCCAGGCAAGCTTTCTACCTTCTCAGGGAGCTCTGCGAGCGTATGGAAAGCGGAAACGATGCGCTCACTAGTTATAAACATACTTTTTTTCGTCAAGTTGCTAGCTTTCTTGCTTAAAATCAGAAGTGATTACCACAACCGATTTCGGGTATCGAGTTGACGAGCTATCTTGGAGCGGCCAAAGGGCTTACGACGATAGCATATGAGCCATAAAGTCTGCTCTTGGATGAATCTTGGTCACCACATCATTTTACCTAGAAGCTTAGGAAGTGCTCGCCTTGATCTTAGAAGAAGTTTTGGAGAGCAAGTTACTCACGTGACACCATCCGTTGAGAAGGGCTCGACCAAACTGAGTCCTCAAGACACAGCTATTTGTTTTCGAACTCCTTGGGAGACATGATTAGTGGCTCAACTGTCAGTCAGTCAAAATGAAGGCTTATTCTAGGCTATTTATTACATGCAGAATTGTGTACTGAGAGGTTGCTATTTAATTTCGATGTTACTAGTCGGAACTACGTTTAAGTAGCTCCTCGGCCTGTTAAAAAGCCTTTAGAATGTTTGAAATTACAAAGGGTAACGGTACGTTGGATTAAACTACAGCCCATTGTCATAGAGAGCAAGATTTCCGAAGGTCTGAAATGGTACAAAACTACATCACTGAGTAGTTCTCACATGACCAGGGTGATTCAAGAGGGATTTACAATCTAAAGCCACAGATTATATGGAAAGAGAGGAAATTATTGTAAGAAATTCAAGTACGTGAGTATGATGCTTTCAATTTTTTAGACCTCTCCGCATAACGTGGGAAGGTGTTTAAGTAATCTATGCCCACACGTGCCCAACAACCGCCCCACTTTTCGGGCTTTCCGCAAAACGTCGTGCATGTTTCGACCTCTTCTCATCTCTTCATCTCAACAGTCGACCTATCCGGCGCGATGAACGCAAAAGAGTGCTCAGGCATTTATTAGCTGAAATATCTCCCTTGGCCGACAATTTGTTATTCGTATTTTCTTCAACATACGCATAAAGACCCTCAAACCTTAGCCATTTCGTTCGCCATCTCCCACGCTCCAGCCATCGCACAGATCAAGTCGATCTCACAACCCGCGACCCTTCTTTCGCGATCATAAGATGTGTTTCCGGCATCGAGAGAAAATCACCACGATATCCTAGGGATGTTTCGTGAGGGAGGTTGAGAAAGACCAGTCGACGCGACAAGACCACGTCGCAATAGAACTCGCTTAGTCGACAACGAGGTTCATCCTAGATTTTCTTCAAATATGAGATGAAATATAACCCCTTCTCCCAACCTTTCCTCTACTGTTTCACCAGCAACACTACAAACTTTCTTATTCAATGCCTCTTGTTGGTCTGTTCACTGACGTCACATAGTCTATTTATCGCATGTTAGAGGCACGTGTGCTCACCCTTTCTCTACCAATTCTATCCCTGCGACTACGAAGTCCTGGTCTACACGTGTTCATGCATTGATTTACACGGGGGTAGTCCCTATCATGTACACTTTCTACTACTCGCAGTCCTGCCTTCTAAGCACTGGATTTTGCGTTTTTCCTCTATCCCACCCCTATATTCAAGAGATATTAAGGTTATGACCTGGTATGTTCGAGAGTCTAGAGGGTCATCCTACGCAAGAGGCTGGGGGGAGTTCTTCTAGATTAGAACGCTGGAAATTACCAAGATTATGGTACCTTGATTTTAGATGGGGTGGTTGGATAAACGTTAGGCAGGACACGAGGAGCAAATGGGTATATTATAGGGATTGCCACTCCATCTTCCCTATTCTGCATTACTTAACTTCTATTACAATCCACCATACACATCACCACACATTTCTCAAGTCTATTATACTTTTCTAGTGATCATTAGGACATCAAATCCCACTTTCGACTCGTGTAGGATCCTCAACGATAGAATTTGAGATGTCAGGTGAAGGTCCCAGTGAGCTTCCTATACACTACGGCGGTAAAACCATGGACGGAGAACTCATCAAAAGACCAAACTCACCGCCCATGCCCTCCTCTCCAACACGCATATATCATCCAGAATCTCGACGACCTAATTTCTCACCAGAACCAATTGAACCAATCTTCACAGACGCAGAGAACGTCAGAGCAGGTCTGCGTCGTCGACCTAGTCACCAGAACCCAATGCGTCGCCATTCCGGAGGCGAATATGATTCTCAACGTCCTTCATTCTCAGAGCGATCTTCTGCTGACAGAAGACCACTGAGAGCACGAGATGATGGATACTTCCGTGATGATGATCGTCCAATGTCCCGTTCTCGTGCAGATGAATACCGTTCTCACCCAGATTTGCGAGAGAAGTCTCGTCCTCCCCGCACTTACCGCAATGTCGACGCATGGGATCGAGGGCCAGGCTCTGCTTCGAAGCCTTACTTCGAGGAGAGCAGAGAATTCAGAGGTAGCATGGATCCAGATCTCGAGAAAGGCGGTTACAGTCCGTACAAGAGACCCAGCGAAGATCAGGAAAGCATTGACGGTTACAACTACGATCAACACAAGAAAGGATACAAACCATCCAACGCAGCCACAATCGATTTCAAGAACCTCTCTCCCGAGGAACGAAAAGAAGTCATGAGACTTCCATGGACGCAATGGATGCACTCCGATTTCAAGAACCGTAAGTCCCTTCTACCGCATTAGCTCACAGCCATACTGACACTCCCTAGACTTCGTCGCAACAATGGGCGAATTCGTCGGCACAACCATGTTCCTCTTTTTCGCCTTCGCTGGCACCCAAGTAGCCAACATCCAATCGACCGCCACCTCAACAACCACCTCGGGCGGCGCCACCGGCTTCAACATCGCAGTCTACCTCTACATCTCCGTCATCTTCGGCTTCTCCCTCATGGTCAACGTCTGGATCTTCTTCCGCATCTCCGGCGGGCTCTTCAACCCAGCCGTCACCTTCGGCATGGTGCTCGTCGGCGCCGTCCCCGTCGTACGTGCCGTTTGCCTATTCTTTGCGCAAATCGTCGGCGCTATTGCTGCCAGTGCTATGGTTTTGGGATTGTTCCCGACTCCGCTTAATGTCAGGACGACGCTGGCGGGTGGTGCGAGTTTGGTGCAGGGTGTGTTTATTGAGGCGATTTTGACGGCTGAACTGGTGTTTACGATTTTTATGCTGGCGAAGGAGAAACATAAGGCTACGTTCATTGCGCCGGTGGGAATTGGACTTGCGTTGTTCATCGCGGAGATGGTGGGCGTTTACTATACCGGCGGATCGCTCAATCCTGCTCGTAGTATCGGTCCTTGCATCGTTACTGGCACGTTCGATAGCGAGCATTGGATTTACTGTAAGTCTTACTCCCCCCATGAAACCGCTTTTTCCCTTGCTAATTTTTATCAAAGGGGTCGGACCTTTCCTCGGAACTCTCATCGCAGTATTCTTCTACAAGTTCATCAAGATGCTGGAATACGAGATGGCTAATCCGGGACAAGACGGGGATCCCGAGAATGATCCTACGCAGAATGAGGAGAAACGACAGGAGTTGATGAAGAGGAGACAGATGCGTTCGGAGTCTAAGGTTAGAGCTGCGAGGGACTAAGGTACTGTTCACTGCGAGTGGAAAATGCGGGTTTGTGGGCATAATGGATAGGATGGTGGTGATGAGATAATGATGGGATGACAATTAGATTTTGGGACAAGCGTAATATTGGGATAATGTACACGTGGGAGGAGATTGGAGTTTTTTGTTTGGTATGAAGCGATGGTATTGTTATTTAGATAGAAACATGATGGTTGATTTGCATGTGTGCTGTTTCCCTCGCCGTTCTGCTAAATTCTCAAAAGAGCTTTTCCCCCTCGAGTTCACGATTTGATTTCCAACAACGAGGGCTCTTCGATTCAAAGCGAGACAGACGATCCAACGTCGAGCGATCAAGTCGTGATGACGCTTCTGTCATGTACTTCTGGATCTCAGCGTTTGATGATTGACTCGTGTGCACCCTCAACCACGCATTTCATCTGATATGCGGTGTTTCATCTGAACTTCGCAACAATGCGATTACATTAAACAATACCAGCAAGATCCATGCACCTTAAACCCTAACGCTCATCATAATTCGTCATAATTAATGCCATCCCTTCCGTGTCCTTCTCATATCAGCGCGCCAAAGCAAATCCACCTCGTTCCACTCTCAAAGAATCCCCGGCAAGATAGCCTTCCGACTCCCAACCTTCTCCTTCCCAAACCTCTCAATATACCAGTTTCGCCCACTAACCGCCCTCGGCAACATCGTCGCAACCTCATTCACAACGAAATTCCTCATCGGCGTCGCACCCGGCCCAGCCATCAGCCAAAAACCCGCCCACTCAATCCACTCACAGAAATAATGCGGATACAGAATATAATTAAACAATCCATTCTGTGGCATCATATACACCTTATCCACCTTCCCCTCTCCCTTCGCCATCTTCCTCTGCAGATTGCGCTTCGCGGCCCGTCGAATCTCGCGGAGCTCGTCGTCGTGCCAGACGTTCGCGATGAAGCCGAGTCCCCAGATCATCATGCCGAGCTCCATGCGTCCGCCGGTCTTGAAGTCCGCGCGCCCTTGCCAGTCGAAACGCGTGGTTGGGCCGTGGCCGCCGAGGTAGCCGCCGATTGACAGCCCGTTTACGACTTGGAATGCGATGGCGAAGGCCCAGACGAGGGGGTGGATGGGGGACATGGATGGGTTGAGTAGGGGGGAGATGATGGAGCGGTAGATGTAGTGGATTGTCTGCATGGAAATGATTTAGTCATTGGTATGTATAGGTGAGTCTGGAAGGCGTGGACTGACGAATAAACCACCCATAGCTTTATTCTCCCACGGTAAGGATTTGAGGCCTAGTTCTCCGGGAAGCGTGTTCATGACATATAATAACGTCAAAAACCCTGGTGCTTCCATCGTGATCCAAGCGATTTTCCCAGGGATGTTAAAGCGGTTTGTTGTTGATGTTTTGCCTGCTGGATACCATTTAATTGCCCATTGAACGAGTGTTATCTGTATATCATTGTTAGGAATCGTTTTTAGATGTGTGATTATTGAGGGGTAAACGTACGAGAGGGAAATATTGAAATCCGTTCACGAGAAGCTCCCAATTGGCCCGCGATGGGGGATACCAGTTTTGAATGAGCACCATGTCGGATTTCTCTTCGTTGGTCGTCCGGTGAGATGTATAAAGAGAAGACTGATAGTCTTGTAAAGAGCTTGTATGTTACATTGAGGTTATTTAGAAGTATGTGCTACAGTGCTTTACCTAAACGTGGTGTTACCCATCAAATTTCGATGTCGTCAGCGGGAAGGTTCGGCCCGCATCTCGTAGCCTTGCATGTCAGGCTCCAAGATCGTGACTTGATTGGCTATTCCGGTTGCCGAGCCTCCCCCCTTTGTTGGAGATCTTCAACACCCCGCGTTTACCAAGATCTCGGATCTTATCGCAACCAATCTTAGTATTTATATCGTATACAGCCAATCGTCTTCCCTCCGTGCTGTTTGTAGGTAAACTCTTGCAAACGACGTCGAACGATCCTCTGTTGACCGGATATGTTCGTAGCTGCTTGAATCAAACCCAACTGGCAATTGCATGGACGCTCGTTGGGCCACAATTACTTCATCGGCGAGATCATATGTAGCTATTGATACATAAAGGACATATAAAATGCCCGAATCTACAAATCCTACATCAGAAGCTCCTGTCGACATTGAGAATATGTTACAACGGATACCCCACTATCGGTCCCTCCTGTCCTCCTTCGCAGCCTCCAAATCAACATTCAAAGTCCTCGCATCCGTGCCATCAGACATATCAAGCTCACCCACCAGCTCCTCAAAAGCTTCGGGGGTTCTCAAAACTCCCCCCAAAACCCTCCATGTCCTCGACTCCTCCTTCAACCCACCAACGCTAGCCCATCTCCGAATCGCCTTATCATCCCTCACATCTACAACCAACACCACGAAACCCAACTCCTCACCCCGAAGACTAGTCCTTCTTCTCGCAACCCAAAACGCAGATAAAGCACCCAAACCCGCTCCTTTCGAAGAAAGATTATGCATGATGGAAATATTCGCGCAAGAAGTCCTCTCTAAAATCTACTCTGAATCCCAGGCAGAAGATATCAATGTAGACATCGCAGTTACTAAATACCCATATTTCGTCGACAAAGCCAAGGATATGGAAGTCGCCGAAATCTACGCCAGGGAAAGTGGGGAGGTGGCGGAACAAGTCCATTTAATCGGATATGACACCATTATCAGATTGCTAAGTCCGAAATACTATCCCCCAAAACATAATCTCGAGAGTCTCGTTCCGTTTCTGGAGAAACATCGTTTAGAGGTTACGTATCGGACGGATGATTCTTGGGGTGGGAAGGATGAACAGGACAATTTTCTGTCGAATTTAAGGGAGGGGAGGATGAAGGTTGTGGATGGGATGGCTGCTACGCCGGCGCTTGGGGAGAGCTTGGAGGATGGGAGTTTGAGTAGGATTGGAGGGAGGACCGAGTGGTTTGGGGAGGGGAAGTGCGTTATGTTTGAGGGGAGGAAGGAGGGCGAGGAGACTGTTAGTAGTACGAAGGTTAGGGAGGCTGCGCAGAGGAAGGATCGGGAGGCGTTGGAGAAGCTGGTTACGAAGGGCATCAGTCGGTTTATTCTTGAGAGGGAGTTGTATAATAATGAATAGATGGGGTAATCACTTGCAGCCTTGAAAGTGTTAGACGATGCTCAGCTGGTGTTGCTGTAGCTACCACGTTGTTTATTTTTCAACGTGCTCTAGGGAGCCATTGTCTCGCTTATTTCAAGGGTCTCGTCTACCTAAACTGACCAAGCAAGATATGAGCAGTGCCCAACTGCCAAAAGCACATATGATACGGTGGACGATGATTTCACACTATGGCCTCATCATAGGATCGACTGGTGAAGCGAGTTTGCAGCTACATCTCACAACCTATGCAAGGAAACTCTCGTCATGACGTTCATGATTCCAGCAGACAAGCAGAGCCAGGCTGGGTTTGCATTCGTGCTAAAAGGTATCTGCACTTTCAACCCATTCTCATCCCTCCCATTCCATAACAGCCCCTCACATCTCAAAATCCCAACCCCACCTCCACCCACCTCCACCCTCATCTCACCCCCTCTCTTCTCCCTCCCCCAACCAAATTCAACAATTCGTAACCTTAAACGCCCGCATATAATTCGTCGTCCTATGATCATATGGATCACACGTCCACCCAATATAATTCCCCGAACAAGCATTGTTCGCCCACAGACGCAGACAGCAGTCCTCGCTCGGATCGCGGTCCCAGCGCCAGAAGGTGCCTTCGGGCATGTTCTTTGCGGTGCAGCCTTTGTTGGAGGAGCCGTAGTAGTAGGAGGAGCCTACTTCGAATTCCCATGCCCAGATGGAAGGGAGGGTCAGGGCGAGGGGGAGGAGGATGGTGGTGGTTTTCATTTTGGGAAGGGTAGGGTCTGTGTGTGTGATTTGTGGTGATGAGCAAGGAGATAAAGATTTGATGAAATAGGTTTTCGGTAGCGTCTAACTCCTAGTCGCGTTTCAAAAACAAAGATTTTTGTAATTCGAATTAAAGAAAAGGGACGAGAATATATAGATGGCAGCACATTGGCTTAGAGCATGTGAGTTTCTACGCATCTCATTTCCAGTAAGGCTGGGGCTATTAACCCCGCACAGAAGACCCCTTTCAGAGTAAGTTCTCCGACATTCAATATCATGAAGAATGTTACATAGTCTCTTGGCTTCCTCTCGGACCCAAATGTTGCTTGATTATTCGTTCCGGATAAATTGAGTGGCACAATTTTACACCGTATTATCTCGGCGGCACAGCGTGAAAGCGAGCGCGAGATAAACTCCTAAAGGTTAATTGAGTAAACTTTGAGTAATAGAAACTCAGCCTTACATATCTATTTCGTGTTTCGTACGTAATTGCTCTATTCGTGCGACAGATCGACTTTGCAGACACCGCATTTGAAAATCCAATAAATTTACCCTATGCTGTAAAAGAACTTGTCTGCTTCTGCCTGGCATTGCTATCGAATCCTTTTAATGGAATAGAAGGCAACGCGGTTCAGAAAATACTGCAAGATGGTGATTATTTACACTAAAGGGTCTTCAGGAAAACTTCAATGCGACTAGCCCAGCTGGGAAGTTTCAGGGTTCGTTTATTATCACGAGACATGATCATTCAATTACACTGTTTGATGAGAAGTAAAAGTTACTTGAAAGAAGACAAAGGTTTAAGTTGGGTACAAGATTTTAGTTACCCAAAGAAATAATCATATTTCCGAGGTATTTCGAAATCGACTTCGGGACAGTTAAGTGTGTAACATCTTGATGAATACTGTAGTAGTTCAAACCCCGCTCAACATATATAACTTGGAAATGGCTTTCAGCGACCGCTACCGACCTTTCCTACCTTGTTTTGAGGATGGGTATCTGTAAATTGCAATCTGCTATCTCCTTGAACGCAGACGACTCCACCGTTGCTTTGTTAGGATCAATTGGTCCGAGGATTCTTCAGCGTATGTTACGAAAGATTCTTTCAAGATGCTTCTTTGCCTCATTCTTCGCAGTGCAAATGCGTACTCAGAGGCATCCTTTCTTTTGATGTCCACCATCCTTTGCCGAACTAGTTCTCTCTCATTCACGAGTATCGTGTTCACACACCCGCTTTTGACCTCACTATTCTCTAGATATTAAGTGAAACAGATAGTCAAACCCTGATTCTAATCCGATGAAGCCCTTTTTGTGGTGCAATAGAGGACACTCCAAGCGGGACTCCCAGTGGGGACCAATAGTACTTTTTTCAAGAAATTGGAAAATCTGAATTATGTAGTATAAATGCAACAATCCCTCTTATCTAAGTGCAGACTTCATTGGGTAGACGCAGGAAGAGGTACATAATGTTATGAAAATTAGGAAGGGTTCTGTCGAGGTTTCTGCTACAAGTATGATAGTTTGACGATGATAGGCACACGTGACACCATCTCGTAGACATGCGTACTTCATGAGGTAGGTATCTCAGTCGCTCGTCCTGGGAGAGTCTTGAATATTTTTTACTTGGCTGTTTCTAATGATTGAACCGTAACACCGTTTACTCAGTACTTTTCTTGCAATTATCCGTAATCTGTCTAGCCCAAAACCAATTTAATTACAGCCCTCCATGTCAAAGCCACTCCGGTCCCCTAGAATAAAATAAAAAAATCCACCCAAAATCAAGCCTGCTTGAATACTGAGTTCCCCTGAACATCCTGAAAAGAAACAATATGATCGTTACTATTTTCCCAAATCCAAAATGAATCTTTCAGAGACAACATCATGATAATATCCAAACCCATCCGAAACCCATCCACTTCCAATGCCTAGCAGCCTCGAATAATCACAACATAATTATCCTCTGTGTCAGACATCTGTCCACAAAGTTTCTGCGTATTTTTGTTCATGCATCTATTCTCTATAGTCTTTGCGAGGCTACGTAAGTGCTCGCGCTTTGGTATAATCGCGTACTGGTTCTGTTATCTTTCATTAGACCGGCAGAGAGATTGATAAGGGGTGATTACATAGTTGCAGATCAGTATTGTGGAACCCCCGAGACAAGCACCGATATTTTCACATCCTGGCGGAATAAATGCTGTTCCTGCTGTATTTCTGTTGGAGGGGTTAGCGCAAATTGAGTTATGGGTGAACGAGACTTGGGGGACAGACAAGTATGCGTGGGCAAAGGAAATGCCTTGAGTGTTGAGACTAGTGGATGGGTAGGGGAATCCGAAGTTTTTGGTTCCACAACAGAGAAGTTTTCCCTGATTTGTTAGTTGGCATTATGAGAGAGAGGCTTGAAGTACCTTGATGACCTTGGTGCCTACAGCTAGGTCGTCAGAAGCTGGCAAGGCTAATGCGATGGAGACCGAGATGAGCGTGCTGAGAATTAGAAAGAAACGCATGGTTTGAGATGTGGATTTAGTTCGGTTTACTTTCAGTTGGAGTAATTGGGTATGAAGGAAAAATTTGTGTAAGATTAGACTTCATGTTGAGATGAGAATAAATAAAGAGATTGATGTTACGCAATTGATCGGTTGATAAGGTGATATCCGTGATCTAAGGGAAAGCATTCACATGAGGATAACATATGAGATCGAGGAATTGGAAACAACTCAGAAATTGCCTGCATTATTAAACTTGACTCTGTTCTAGAACGTGATTCATAATGAGGAACCTATGCCCTTAAAGGGTATTTATCTGAAGTGTGAATATAAGATATATTTAATCACTTTATTCACTGAACAGCCAAGAATAAAACGGTTTGAAAGATGTAATAATTATGAGTTGAAGCTTAATGACCCAAGAATTGAAGGTGAATAAATTCTCTGATACAGCAGCTTATTGGTATAAAGATTGAACTATCATTTAACCCCCTTACGCCGAGACTATGTGATCTATACCCGGATTTTCTGTAATTTGATAGATATATGGAACTTTCTGCATTGTTGTTCACAATCACATGCATGAAGCACTGGTTTTGAAACATCTCGACTCCATTTTCATTCCTTGTCAAGTCCCCCTAATCCAAAGCAATCTTCAGTTCCTAGCACGAACAAGAACTACCTAATCACACATCTCATATATGGCTGAAACCCTCAATAAGAAGACTGTATTCTCCCAAAAAAGTGTTACCTACAAAAAATAGTCGGCAGGAGCAGAGGCATATTTCCAAAAGTCCACCAAACATGCCCAAAAACACACATCTGACACGTCCAGCTAGCAATACAATATAACTAAACTCTCACAAAAATACTGGGGAAAATCACTGTAGCCATCCTTGCTTAGTTCCGGAAGACACTCACACATCAGATACTGAAAGTTGATTGAGATTTGCACATGCCAAAAATCTGTAAAACTACCTACTCCTTGGAACTGTAGCTTCTTCTTTCTACAAAAGTACATGAAACGTGAGCGAGATGGATTTTCACCAATAGTTAAAAGCATACATCGAACGCTCATGGTGATGTTCAAAGGTAGTCTGTAGTGGGGCAACAGTCGGTCACCTGAAAATGAATTGGTCGCTTAGCATGCGACCTCCGTTAATTAGCTTAAATCAGTACAATATCCTGGCATCTTTTGGGAGGGAGATTTCTGTTTGGCTAATTGTGCTTGAGTTTATGTGTGATGTGTTCATGAAATGCGGGTACTTCTGCTCCAAACCAGCATTACCATTCGTCGACGCCAACCCACCGTCGAGATTACGTTCAGTAAACCAAGCCCAGAAACTATTGAGATGCACAACAAAGGTCATTTCAGACAGAGATTCAATGTCTCGTGCTGGCTTTGGAACTGAGCTTATGAAGACGTGGGGGTCCCTTCAAGTTTCAACTTGCCCCACTGATGCCTCCCCCTCTGCCTCCTGCCCGACTGGTACCACCCCTTGTTCTGTTCGATATTGCCTTCCAATTATGAAGATTCATCTCGTCGCCTGTTGACTCCTGAACAATTCGAATTTCTGGACACTTCCATCCATCTACCTCACCAAACCACTTTTTAAAATCTTCCGTCATGATTCTGACCCATGAACTCCACCGGAACACTCCGCCCTTAGTTAAAAACACCAAATCTCTAAGCTCTTGCATTCATCTCATAATCGTATGGATAGCACACATCTTTGAAAGTTTCAGGATGGTCTGCTTTTACTCTGAGTCGGCGTATAGATGCTCTTTCTCCCCTTTCAACGTCGCGTAAATAGTACTGTTCAATCTTTATGGTATCCACAGAGAAATTTGTCCAGATATATCGTTGTTTGGTTTCGGTAAATTTGCAAACAATAGAGAAAGCTTTGCTGAAAATGGCGAGCGCTTCAGAGCGAGACTCTCGACAAACGTGTAAAGTGACAGGTGTAGGGCTAGAAGTAAAGAGGTAATATGGTCTGCCAAATGCATCGGCATGAGGCAGTAACTCCAGAAGACGCGCTTCAAATGCGGCGAACTTCCAAATACAGCGACGAAGCTCTAGTGGAAGCCTTGGGAAGAGACGGAAGGTCGTAAGGGGAGTGACGGGTAATGTTGGTTCTTCCGTGTTGGATGCCATCTAATACCTGCTCACTATTTTTGCGATACTGGGAAAGGAAGGTAGAAGAGATTCAAAGTACAGAATAGTTTCTGGGTCCAAAATCGATCATGTGCCGTAGAGACTAATGCAGGAAAGCTTGTCAATAAGGCACACACTGTTGGTGATAGCTTGGCAAAGATTGCTACAAGAGCAGGAGCCAATAGCGGTTGTCAGGGGGGGACCATCACGTGACTCTGTATCAATTCAGGCATTTTCCAAACTTGATATTCACTTTGAAAGTACATGAGATCATGTGTCTATATTATGTCTTAAATTATCGGCTAATACGATGGAAAGATAAAAGAAAAGAAAAGACAAAATAGTCTTAGAGCCGGCGTGGAGGTCTTCTTATAGAGAGCCTCCCTCGCTCGAAGTTCTTTTATGTAATTATTCCCTCAGTATTGGCTCACTTTGATCGTAGTGTCATTCATTACGTCCGAAAAGCTTTTCGTGAAGTATTCCAAAACTACTCTCCAATTACTACCGTAAATCCATTGTAAGAACTATACTGGAGCACAAAAATCATAAAAGCGTTCTTGTTTGGGGGTTGCACTCAGTTTTGCGCTACCCAGGAAAGAAAATAATTTTGCACATCACCGAGTACCTAAATGGTCTCAAGTTGAGAGGACCAGGGTGCTATGATTTGTTGGCCGCATTAGATAAGTACCTATAGGTAATGACTGAAGGTTATGCTCCACAAGTAAACACTCGCTATACTACGTTGTATTGTAAGATTACGATTCCCCTGTATTATCGAATCAATATTCATTCTGCCGGTTGGTGACCCGCATCGGAACACTTCTGCAAACCAACAACACACACCAATAATTTCCAGTGACAAAATCGTCGTATTCACTTGATCATGTTCCAACAAGGAAACTGTTGGTGGAGTTTGTCGAAGCCAAAACTCGAGGTATCCTTTCAAACAGGAGAAGTTAATCAAAATAAACCGAAATAAGAAAAGATGGGTAAGTTTTGTCAAAATTTGAACGTTGCAAAACACTAATATAACGAGTGCAGCAGCTCTAAATAATGTGCCTGTAGAGGCAACATGGACATGGAGTCTCGACAAATTACCAGAGGGAACTGGTACTGTGGTCGTCAATATATACCCAGACAGCAGCTTCGAGAATTCGATTGAGTGCTCAAGCGAAGGATGTGATCCATCTGTAGCGATGCAATTCCTGCTAGACCACGTCCCCGAGGGAAACAACCTAGTCAAGCTCTTGCTATCAGTCAAGTCTGGATACATAATCCAGTCCGACTTTCTTGACCGGCGCATGGTTGACTGCCTGAACGTGACCAAAGTCCAAGGCTTTGTCGCTCCAGGGCAGCATATTGAAGGTTGTACTGCCGAAGCATACCAGTCTATGAGCTTCTCAGGCTTGCTAGAGTACTGCTACGGAGCGATCGTGATCCGGGACGACAGCTCAGTATCTGTTGCAGCTAGGTCGACGGCAATTAACGATGAGTTGGGGAAACGTCTGTCTTACCCATGGCTCTCGCTGAGCCTAATACCTCGAAAGCGCCTGGCGCTCGTCGGCGCTGGTTCTTTGCTGAAGGTACATGGATTTCTCGTGGCCGCGGCGTCGCTGAATATAGCGCTGGTCGTGTTCGACAACGCCGGCCACTGGCTGTCTGATGAGATATATAGAAATTTTCGAGAAGAATTCGTGCCTCTGGACATGACTGTAAATGCAGAAATTACCCAACGCATCGCGCTGGCGGTGACTGAATATCAAAGTACCAACACAAAAGAGCAACACCTCGATGGAATTTTGAGTGTTGAGGAGCATCTCCATACGATTATAGCCCACGCAGCAACAAAGTTGGGCTTCAACACTTCGCCTCCAGAATCCGTAGGCTTAGCTCAGAATAAGTATGCAACACGGCAGCTTGACAAAAACATTTTCTGCCGACTCGTCAGCTGCCCAGCTGATCTAGAAGCAGTGCTCTCTGAGGAAGGATCAAAGCTTCTGTATCCTCTTATTGTGAAACCTTCCAAGGGTTGGTCATCCGAGGGAGTTTGGAAAGTGGCAGACCAGAAGGAGCTACATGAAAAGGTCACTTCGCTATGGCGTGAGTCTTTCACAGCTTGGCACGGCCACGACGTTGTAATAGAGACGTATATTGATGGACCCGAAGTTGACGCCAACATGGTCCTTGTTGATGGCAAAGTTGTCTTTTTCGAGGTCAACGACGACTTTCCCAGCGCTGGAGATTACGACAGTAACGAACGCGGAGCTCGGGTGGCTAACTTTGTTGAGACGTCAAATATGCTACCATCAGCTCTTCCTTCATCCGAGCTGAAATCGTTGCAGAAAAGACTGCACGAGCTTGCGCTTGCTGCAGGCTTTCGAAACGCGGTGCTCCACATTGAGGCCAAGCTTCGTAACTCGAGCTGTTACTACGCTAAGGATTCTGACGGAGACAGACTCGTCGAGTTGCAGTTTAGAATGCCACCAACCACAACGACACAGCCTAAGGATGTGTTCCTCCTTGAGATCAACCCTCGCGCACCAGGCTGGCAAGAAATTGAAGCCACCGCACACACATATGGCGTATCATACTATAGCATCGCCCTCCTGAACGCCTTAGGTGACAAGCAGCGCATTGCATTCTTATCTGTGCCTTTCGTTGGCGGACCCCAGTACCACATGCAACTGCTGTTCGTCTCGGCCCAGAAGGGAGGCGTCTATAAATATGGCGACATTTGCAAAACTGTGTTGGAGTCAGACTCACAAGGTTCTAGTCAAAGTGAGAACCTTAGTGACCACGTTGTCAAGAGCGCGAATCTTATGGAGGATGGTGAGAAAGTACTCGACCCTGGTACTGGACAAGTATATGGCAATTTTATTGCCTTCTTTTTGGTCATGTCGCGCACAAGCCGCAAAGAAGCGATGCGCATTGGGTGTGAAATCGAGCGTCGCGTTAGAGAGCATACGAACGGGTTTTGATTTCTTTCGAGCCACGGACTATAGACAGTCAGAACTGTTCATTAACACGCTATGCTATGAGATGAGGTACCTTGATGATTATAGCTGGACTATTCGAAAGATTCAACAGCTCCAGAAGAAATTAGACTCAATGCCATAACAGTTCATTGCAGGGTTTCGTTGAAGTAGAATTTCATTGAAAAAATAGATTAATGAGAAAAGTTCTGGTTTTTCCGCGTAGGAGAAAAGGCCCACTATATCTTCTTGATCCTTTTAGGGTAGTTACTGGTTATGGTTAGGAGGTTAATATTAGGGTGAGAAACTAACCCTTTTAAAATAAGATTAAAGGTAGTGGTAGAAATTTTATTTCTGTCGGGGTCTAGAACTAGAAGTACGTCAGTATCCTTAGTGATCTGGTGTTAAAGGGGTGTATTATCACGTGGTTGTCCACGCCAATTTCTAAAAGAACCTATTTCCGCGAAATTGAAACAATGCTGTAGATTAATGAGTTTTGAGAATCTCGATACTTAGTAATATGATATAGAGGAGTTGGACTATTATGGAGCTCATTTTGCCCTTTCGAGAGGGATTTCTTATCACGAACGGTTCGAATGGAGCGAACAGAGATAAGACTAGAGTAAGAAGATAGAAGATAGCCGTGGACCCTTTTTGGTCTTGTTAACAAGTTTATAGCGCAATAAATGATGCACTGAAGTTACAAGGAGTATTGGCCTTGCGCAGATGATGTTAGAAAAATGCAGACAGCTCCATCTCATCGTCCAATTCCAATGTAATGCGCCTATGATTACCGCACAGTTGATTTCCTCTTCTGACGCTTGTGATTTTCCACAAGTGGGATGTAAAGTTGTAAAGATGGGATGTTATTCTTCAACACCTCCGAGGTGTTATTGATGATTTCAGTTTCGCACTAAATCGCCGCCCAACAAGCGAGGGGTGAACATCTGCGCAGAGTCTAGATCTTCAGTACTCTTCCTCAAAAATATTCATGACGTGACCAGTTCCCGTCTTCTAAGCAGTCAAGACCTCAACTCCTTCTTGTATGCTGTCTCATGTTCATGTTGCCTTCTTTTGCTGGTCCCTAAAATTCATCCTCAACTCCTTGCTCGACTTCAAATGATAGATTCATCTAATGCCAGATTTTCTACACTCAGTTGCACGATCCAGCCATATCTCCTACTATACACAAGAAAGTCGATCGACCGATTGTTTAAGAACTCGGCACATCACTCGCACTTGTTTTCTCATTCTGAGTGACTTCTTCAAGTGACCAGGCTCTGACTGCACCATCATCACCTGTGGTGATAATCAATTCTTCGTCTGGTCGCCTCTTTCCAGAATCAAAACGCTTACACCAAGTGATGTGGTTAATCTCATACGGCCCATGAGCACTTTCAATGGTGCCAATCACAACCCAAGCTCGTTCGATCTCACCACCAACGCTAGTCCGACCTTTAGTCTGCTCTTCATACACGACTATGCGACCATCGCTGCTGGTACTGCAAACCCGTCCAGAAATAGGCGACCAAGAAATAGAATATACTGGAAGTGTATGAACAGTGGGAAGAGTCGCTGAACATACCCAGGTCTCCATAGATGGTCCAGGTCGCATGGTTGAAGGTATCCCAGCATTCGAAAAATATGACGGCTTATTCGGCGGCGGTGGTGTAGGCGCTTTACTCCATACTCGTATCGAATGATCTGCGGAAGAAGATAGAAGTCGCTGAGCAGGCTTGTTGTACTCATTTTCATTATCGGTACCCTCCGATTGCATGAAGGCTTTCCGTGATACCTCTGGTTCCCATTGTAATGACCATACTGTTCCTTCATGCCCTTCCAAAACCGCAACTGACGACCACTCACCCTCATCATCCCCTCTCCATAACCGAATCGTATCATCGTAACTCCCGCTTGCTAAAACTTCACCATTCCCGTCGTCTTTCCTCCACGTAACACACTTGACATCAGCATCATGTTCTTGCAATACTGCAACGGTCTCAAATTCGTCCTCGCCCTCCTCTCCAATTTCTTCCCAAATCCATATACTTTTATCTCTACTACAAGATGCAAGGTATTGCCCAGATGGCGAATATGCAACACTTTTAATCTCACTGTCATGTCCTTCAAGAACAATGCTATATTCCCAGTCCTCAGGACTCGACTCGTCTGAATCATCATCAGAGTTATCCATGCGTTTATGTGGCTTCGATTGTCCAAATCCGGAAATCTCTACCTCCGCTACCTCATCGCCCCCAGTTTCATCCTGTCTCGAATCTCCGTGTTCGCCAAATTGTTCTCGCCGATGCCAAATCCCCATTGTCGCATCGAAACTCCCCGTCGCAATGCTCATGACCGACTCATTTCCCTTGATCCTCGGCTGCCACGCAACACTCCTTACACTCCTTTCATGTGCCTTTTCCAATTTGCTGTGTAAAGTAAAGTTCTTTAGAGAATAGACGCGAACGGTTTTGTCAGATGTCGCGGTCGCGATGAGGGGTATATCATTCGGATTTGGTATTGACGCCCAGGCGCGGGATAAAGCTGGAGGTTTGAAGTCAGCTATATGTTGTATACGAATCGATGAGTCTATCGGTGCATCCGTCATTTTCAAATGTATGTGGTTTAATAATGGAATGGATGTAGTTCAAAAATGGAGGGGCAGATTTATTTTCATACCGATAAGATTTGCCCGATTACGCAAGGCGCTCGGACCATCTCAAGCTTGGCTCGCTTAGGCGGCTAAAAAGGTGGGGTGCTTTGCCGAGGCGAGAACATCAACCGATTGTCTTCAACGACAATGTATGTTGATCATCCACAATGATGTGTTGCTTCGGCATATTCCTAGTAGATAGATGGAGGTGTGTTCAGATTGCAACTGCCTTTTCAGCACACCCTGTCGATGTCTTACAAAGTTTCGATTTCAATCACATGCGTTGTGTCATTGACACTACTAGGCGCGCCTCTGTGGACCATTGCGTGCTTTAAGTGGTTGATTTGAGGATTTCCTCACATATCAGAAAAGCTCTTTTTGGCTCTGACATTACTGCAAATGGCTATTATATCTTTTCACAATATACAAATAACGATCTTACCAGTGGTGAGTTTGCTGCCTCTCAGATTGAACCTTCTCTATTGAGGTAATCAATTTCGGCAGTAGAGCTTTTTCATTATGATTATATTGGTCAACACTCTATAGTGTAAGATTTCCATGCTAAGTTAAAGGAGACTATCGAGTGGAGGCATGTTGCTGGATCGAAATCTCAATTGATTCTTTTGAGCAAGTGCTGACCGAGAGAATCGTGAGGAGTCACTTGTCCGTGGGAGCCAGGAGTTCCTAGTGTCTTAGCTGTTTACTTACGAGCGCACTCGACTAAGCTGATCTGATATTTTTTACAATGCGGTTATTTGTCTACCCCGTTTATCATGAGGAAAAATTGGAATGTATGAAGTCACTTCAAGAGACTAGAACATGAGCTTTCTAGCTCCCTACAAGTTTCAGTCACGATATTCTGAAATTCTAAAGCTATCCAATACTAAGATTGAAAAAGTCTGGATGCTCACATGCCCGCCCCTACCAAGCCGTTGATGCTCTTAGTTGTACACAAATAATCAGTGCCCTCATGTTCGATGAGAGCAACACATCGAGTAAGGCCTCAACTTATATCTGGCCCAATGACCCTAAGGAAACCCCCTCAACTTGAGCTCCCGCTTAAGTTTTGTTGATCGTTTTTAGGGCTCTTTAGACTCAACTTAATCTCGTTTGATAGGTTAACTCCTTTCTGAGCTTGCTTCCATGGAGTAAAGCTTCAGTTACAGGGTTCTGACCCAGCGCGCAAAGGTCCAATCCAGACAATGTCACTTTGGGGGGTAGTGGAACAAACTAGAAATTTCTGTTGCAAACTTTTACTGTTTTCATTCTAATTTCCGCTGATCAATGAGATCTTATACCAAACGCCGTCATGTGTCCGTCATTATTGAAAGTCGATAATTTGTTAGTTTGCTTTATTGAGAGTATATATGTGGACGTCTCTACCCACTGCCAAAATTGATCCTCATCCTCTTCAGTCTCTCATTTTCATTATCCTTACTTATACGAAATTTCACTTGATGAACAGCCGAATCAGACATTCAAAAGAGAAACGCCACTAAAATGTTATCGACGATGAAACAAATTTCAACAGAAAAGAATATGGGGGGAAGCGGGGGAGTGGGGGACCATAACTCGATAAGAAACACGCCAGAGTATTTCTATATTAGAAGACAAGCCGGAACGCCAGCTGGACACTTCGAGGCTGTTTTCGACCCAGAACCACTGAGAGAAAATCACTGGAATGTGGCTCAGATTTTTTTGGGAAGCGGCGAATGACAAAGTTTGAAGGATCTACACTGCCTGATGCTCTCTAAAAAGTGTGGCCTTCGAGGCCTGACTCTTCTCGAAGATACAATTCTCCAGCAAGAGGTTCTAAGGGTCCTTTCAGAATTCCAGATACGTCTCCATATTTGGAGTTGAAAGTATCTCAAAAAGAAGAAGTGTAACGGGAACTACCCGTCGCCGGCGAAATCAGCTATCTGAAGAAGGGAAACTTTAGTCGAAATTTTCTCCCAAAACTTTAGATATGCCTGGATATTCCGGAACTTATGTTTTATCGAAGGAGAGAGTAATATTTGAAAATTGTGGGTTGGATTGGAGATGAAAATCAGGAGGGAGATTGATGCCGAAACTTTTTGTGCAGCATTCGTTCAGTTGTTGGTGGAGACTATCTGAGTCCGAAAAGGGTTCCTATTACTCTTGATCAGCTCTTTACGTTTAGTTTATGGTAAGTCCTACCCAATGTCATTTGTCACTGCTCCTTCAACTTCTTTCTGTCAATTCCCTTCTCGATCTAACAGACCCTGCTAACTCATACTCAGAAGAGATCGCATTCAATAAGCATCGTTCCACCATATAATTCAACTCTCGCCTCCGGAAATCATAATGATATGGCCGCTACGTGTACCGAAGTCATGCTCTGGAAGTGTTATTCGCTCGCAATTCTCGACCTGATGCCGTCACGACCTATCTCCTTATCGAGACGATAGCAACACTTTCCAAATGCGACATGTGACGGATCGATATTTTGACTGGGAGTTCAAGTCTGAAAGCAATATTTATGACACAGTCCTCTCTATTTGCCTCAGTGACCTTTCTCAAACGTGACAGACGGAGCCATCATTTCTAATTCCCTACTAATTGAGCAGCCTTGATCTGGACACATCATCAATATTTCATATCCTATTACAACATACCTGTCTTCTTAGAACTTGATCTAGAACAATTAATGAACTTTAGGTGAACATAAAATGTCGCTGTCTTACCTCTCATCGAGGGATCAAAAGCACTCGGGGTCGACTCCAATTTTAAGCAACTCGAACAGGCTAACATCACGCGATCAGTTCTCCCAAGCTCTCACGTGGTCTCTCTAGGAGCGCGGCTCCAGGGTATCAAGAATGATGATATTCCTGTTCGGTGAAGTCGGATGCTTCTTCTGTCGGTGGTCTGGAACCTTGGTAGGTAGAAATTTGTGTCATTATTAGGTACGTAACATCTCCGCCGCTACTAGGAATTTTAACAGCCCGTCTCAGGTAGAAACAATTTAAGCTAGACTTAAAATCAACCGTCGCCTTAGGTGTCTTGGCACCTTTTTGTGCGATGGGACGCTGATGCTAGCTACGGAAGTGCGAAAGAGCTTTCTTCTAGTGTAGCCTGGGCAGGACCTAAATTCAACTATGCGTCACGCAAAAGATTACAGATCGTATTCTTCTATGTCTCATCGACATTTTGCGGAAGAATTATCTGGCCTGGGAAACTTCTCCAAGAAGTCATGCTAATTTTATTCCATTGCATACGGTCCTTCTCCCCAAAAAGTATGGGTCGATACTTACATTCATTTTTTGATTGAATTTGACAGATTCGCAGTTACCCAAGAAGATTCAACACAATCTATTCATGAAAACGAACATGAAGACATATTAAACATGTTGACCAGTGGCCATCATGGCTTGAACCTTCTTCTAACACCACAGTGTCCTGCATTGCATGACTTCTCAACGGCAGAATAGGAGTCTAGCAGCGGACAATGCTTCCCGATAGTATGGAAGCATCACATCAAGAGTTATTCTTCTCATACGTATGGAGGGTAGTCAATCATCTGGTCGGATTAGGTGAGTACCGTGGCATGGGCTATTATCGTTGCAATCAGTACCCTTGTTCTCGCTGAACCGCTTCAACGTCCACTCGAGATGGTCATCGAATTAACCCCTCCGACTGGAGGCCTAAGATCTTTCCAACACCGATTACCTACTGGAGTCATCGTTACTTCTCCGAAACGTAGACAAACTCCCGACGAAGCCCTCGAATGGATGACCCCAGCGATGACGATAGATTGACCTAAATCCCACGGCGTTGAGGAAATGTTCTCTTGGTCTCACGCCGCGTTCTCTAGTTAGAAGAACTGCATCACGATTTTCTGAGTTCAAGCGGCGAGAGAACAGCACAACTGTTTACTACATCGACCCGCCAGTTTCCTCATCGATCGCCCCGCATTGCAAGACCTTGAAGCCAGGAATGGCACACGTTTTTGCATCTATTCCAATACACGGAGATGGTTCTCAAAACATCTACGTGGGAGTACGCAGGCAGATTGTCGTATGGATCCAGGAGTACGAGATTCAAATTGAGAGAATACTTTCGACTTGGTTTTAATTCCTCGATATTGCTATCTCTGAGAAAAGAGGATTCTGTGGCAGTTCTTTTGCAAAACACTGCTCAACGAGGTGCAATTGCATCTGGCGGGCCGGAAATGGTTTGGCCATTCTGGAGCGGAAGGAACGATGGAGAGAACGATGGAGAAACTTGGCGATGCCATTACAGATGATCCGCCGCAAACCGAGAAAAACTTATATTGACGCCATCACAAAGCTCCAAGCAACACCGGCCCCCGGATACTGCGGTAACCGATGAAGCCAAATCAGGCGACTGCACAATCTGTGCTTTAGGGACGAGCAAGAGCGAAATACAAGAATAAATCGTTCCAAGGAAATTTTATTGCAAAAAAAGAAACTGCACGTCAAATAAAAATAGTGGCTAGTTTTGTAATAAAAATGGTTGAAAAGTCCCAGCTTTTGATTCTCTTGTGCCTTGCCTCTGGTGGTCGGGAAGTTCTCTAAATCTCTTATGCGTCGGGGAAAGGAAGACATTGTACGTTTCTCTGATGTGACGACGGAAGTTGAGAAAAGGGAGAACAGAGGTGAACTTTGGGGCCCAAAGATGAAGCAAGGCTGAGTTCATGCATCTTATGGGCTAATATCAGAGTTGCTGACACCCGATATACTACATACCTATGCAGGAACACTCTTGCTAGCCATCGGAATTCTGAAAAACGTTGCGAACTTCAAGCTTAGCTTGGCACCCGGTACTCTTGGGTGTGAAGCGTTAGAAGCCTACATGGTGGCCTGTGGTTTTAGTCTTGAATTAGACTATGGTTAGCAACCGGCAACCTCCACTGAATGTCTCAAACTCATCGAGATTCGAAGATGTCATGAAGGGTCATGATAATGGTACACCCAATTGAAAGATTGCTCTGCGAATGTGCGAATGTGCTTTGGAAGATCAAAAAGACGTGAGAAGATGGGGGAACTTCGTGGGGTTTCGAAGAAACCAAGTTCAAATTTGGAT